GAAGAAATTTCAGTCAGCCAATTGCTTTTTCTCAACATGGAGAGAGGCATAATACTCACCATCCGGCCCAGACGGCGTGGACGTCCATGCGCTCGGCAATGTCGACAATCAGCTCGACGTTGGCATAGTTGTGGTTATTTGTGCCGCCGGGCACCTCGACGTAGTGGTCCGCCATTCGGATGTAGTCGGCGTTGGCCTGTAGATCTTCGGGCGTGGCCATGACGGTGAAGTGGATGGCCCTCTCGTCGCCAAACGTCTCGTAAGCCCATTTCCGGACCGATCGAATCTCCTTGACGGCGGCGATACCGTTATTGGCAATGAGGACCTGATCGTGTCAGTCTGCAAGTCCCTCCAAGAGCCTGAGATGCAAGACACAAAACTCACATTTGTAATGACCGTGTGACCGTCGTGCTCGGCCACAAAGTCCTTGACCTTGCTGGCGGGGGCATTCGCCAGCCGGTTGCCTCCAATGAAGTGGTCTGCGATGTTGTGCTTCTCGGCATACGAGGCGCTGCCGTTGGCAACAGGCACCGTCCGGCCGTTGCCGTTCGGGGTGCCGTTTGCTGCTGAGTCGGCCATGGCTGCTGGTGATGTGGTGGAGGAGGGAGAAAAGAGACTGGAGGGCTGGCGATCTCGGTGTCTTTAGTATGGAGGGGGAGGGGAAACAGGACGTCAGAGGCGGTCGGCTATCTGGCGCGGCTGCTATCCACCGATCGAATCAAGGAAGAAGCGAATTAGAGCAGTCCACGGGGGTATCTGGACTGCCGATTAGGTGAACAGAAGCGAAGTTGTCTCTGTTCGGTGGTTTTTGCTGTCGGTTCGGTTCCTAGCTTGTTGGCCCGCTAGGGAATGAGGCTGAATCAGGCACGAGGGAGCAGAAGACGGCCACGGCAGTGGAGAGGCTGCAGCACGCTTTCGAGAAGAAGGGGAAGGAATGGAAGACGGAAAACAAGAGGACTTCATCCAGAGGGAAACGGGATCGTGCGGGAGCCCCGAGATAATAAACCGAAGGCAGACAACAAAATCCATCCGCCCAGCGACGATCGACGAGGGGCAAGGGAGCCAGACACACGCACACACGCAGAGGTCAGTACAAGGTACGTAAGGTACTACTTACACACACAGGTACGGGCAGGGGTCTGGGGGTGTGCGAGAAGCTTTTTCGGGCGGGCTTAGGCGCAGCTACGGGGCCTGGGAGCAGCGTTAGCGGCCCTGTGGCTCCCTCAAGCCCCCCTGTAGGCGGTGGGCTCCAGTGGCTGCACAGGCTGCACAGGGGATGGACGGTGGGTGCCAGGCAGCTAACGAGATCTGTTGGGGTCGGCGGGCGGGTTGTCTCGCTGCCATTGAGTTTAGCGGGGTGGGGACGAGGCTGGACGGATGAGGGTAGCCTCAGTTTGGGCATCGATTTGATGACGAGAGAGATGAAGCAGGCGGGATGAAGACAGAAGACGGAGATGATACAGAGTAATACTGGGTTGGTTTTTGATGAAGCAGCAGCTGGGGATCATGCAAACAAGAGCCTGAGGATCCTGCCGGGTGGGCGCTGCTGTGCATCCGTATTACGTGCGGAAAAAAAAGGTTGGGGTGATATCAACACACGCCTGACGCTTGATGCAACCACTGGCGATCTAAGACCCCGTTCCATCTGCCGGGAATCGATCGATCATTTTGCGCCAAACCAGCTGCGAATCAACAAACGACACCTCCTCCGTTAGCCACCGTCTACTTCAGACGTCTTCGTCTTTGGGTTCACCTTACGGACGACGCATCTCCAAATAGGCTTATAGCAGCCATCAGCAGAATACATGCAATCCGGCCGCAAACGGGCTGACGGGTGGAAGCACGATCAAATCCAGGAATGGCCGGTACACTATCTGACACCTCTTTCGACCCTTGCTTACGGTGCATACGGCGCGCGTGGACGCCAGAAACATCGGAGGATCTAGGGTCGGATCTGGGATGCGGAGGAGCGAGACGGAGTTGTGCTCGTCTTTTACTTGTGACCTCTTTGCTTTGTGACGATTCCCAGCTGACCCCCGATCGATACGGAGTATTACAAGTCCAGACGAAGCCCAAGACATGTTGGCACCGCAGCCAAGACGCAGCGCCACAGCTGAACTATTGCAACTCCTCGTCCACCCATCCAGGTACAGGTTCAACGACAGACGGGCACTGCGTCATTCATCGTACATCCCCAGCATGGAGCCCGGCCCGAGCTCATTTCGCCTGTGCAAGCTGAGCCCAAGTATGATGCTCATATGGAGCGTATCGCAACGATAGTACGGAGTACCGAGTCCCATCTCTCGGGCCCCGCGGACCGGCGAACGCAGTGCGGTGCCCAGACTATCTCAACGGCATCAACACGATAAGCCCCGAAGAAGAGACAGAACATGGCAAAAACCTGCTTGAATCAAGAGTCAAGGGGGTCATAGTAACTGAATCCCATGTTCCTCGTTCGTAACAAAATTAAACATCTGCAGCCCCACCTCCGAGACCTGAGATTCCGTGTTAGTCTCCCGTGCTAGAGGCGAATGAGCAGAAGGGGATAAACCATTATCAACAAGATGCAGATTGGTGTGCGAGATGCTTCAGTAGAATTGGTCAGGATATCGATGCTTCTTACGTCGAAATACGCGTAGCCACGGCTCGACTAGCAGCGGCCAATCTTGTTACCATTGTATCGATAGGATATCCAACGAGATGCAAGATAACGTCGCGTCGCATCTCCATCTCCATCCGCATCACCACCACGAAAAACACCACAAACCGCACCCCTCATAAACGTCACCAAGCCAACAAAACCCATCAAATCAACTTCCACCTGAACATCCGCGTATCGGCCGTAGTACCAAAAAGCCAATGCCACTACTAAGTAATACCTCACTACAACACCCCTTCGCCATAGCATAACCAAGTAGTATCACAAACTCTCATCCCCTCCACCCCATCATTTTCCCATCGCCTTCACTTTTTTTTTCTGGGCCCCCCAATTGTTGAGTTCCACCCAACCGCTTTGTCCACGTTAGACTAATAATGTAGGTATATGGATCTGCCCGCCTTGCTTTTCTAGATTGCCTTGGTTGCTTTGCCTTCTGTCGCTTCTTTTCGTTTTCCATACTAAAAAAGGCTCCGTAACGCTCGGGGGAACGGGTGCATCAGACCGGCTCGTCTTAGCAAATGTTGTATCATAGCCGGTGATCTTTTTCTTCTACCTTACGGTGTAACTCGAGGTCTTCTTCCCTTGAGAACGTTCTTTCAAGGGACATAAAATCCTCCAGGCACTCACGTAATACGCATATTCACACTCGGTTCATATTGAAGCAGACGTAAATCCGCCGACGCCCAAACCAAAAACATCCGGATACTCGTTCAAGTCTTCATACACGGGCATTCACTCACTCATCAAGCCAAAAACAAGAAAAACGGCAACGAAAACGAAGAAAAATCCTCACACCCCAACAATTCACCCCAAACTGGAGAACGCCCCCCTCCCCTCCCTCCTCATTCCAGCCAATCATATTTTCCCACACAATACACCGGCCGGAATCTAGCTCCCAGCTTTTTTTAGCACTCATCCTTTCCTCCCTTGCAGACTCACGGCCTCCGTGGCTCCCGCTTTATTGTTCCTTTCGTTTTCCCTTCGTTTTCTTCCATATCCTCAAACAGTATCGATGTGTTACGTCTGTTGCTTATTTTTACAGTCAACGTGATTTGTCCATCCAATAACCTATTACCAAGGTTGGATAAATACAGTTTGCTGTGGCTTAACCTAAACAAGTATGGGGGGTGTGAGTGAACCCGACTTCCTCCCGTCTTCCCTTCAACCTCAAGAAACTCCGTACTCCGTAGGACGCAACCGGCTATGAGCGGATACGTCCATCCATCCAATGTCCTGCAATGTGAGGTGTGCAGGTAACAGCGTTACCCACCCTCTTAGAGCCAGGAACTGCTCGCCGTTGCATCGCTCCAAGGCTTTGGTTCCCAACAGTAATACACAGCTGGAGATCTCCATCTCGCGATACTAGCCCATTTCAATGCCCTCATACACCCAGATCCTCCCCTTCTACCCTACAAGTGCCCAGGTTAAATCTATCCGTACATACACCTGGGAGCCATCAGTACATACGAACGAGAATCTCAAGACCCTAGGAATCACATAAAGCCCGATCCAGATCCCTGGGCTCGTCATCTCTACTACTACAAATACATGCCCCATCCCGGGCCGAACCTCTTTCGGCAATCCGACCCCATCTCCCTCTCGTCTCATCAACCTACATTCCCAACCAGCGACATAACACCTCGTCGCCCGCCTCTCAAAATGCACCAAGCAAGTCAATAAAAGGAGGTAAAACATTGTATCAATTTTTTGTATCAATACTATCTTGATATCTGCTGCTATCCTCCCTTTGCTTCCCTCCATCTTTCATCCCCCCTCTCTCAATATCCCCCTCCAATCCAATCCTCAATAAGAACAAATGAAAAAGCATTCTATAGAAACTTATGCCTAGTCTTTGTCGAGCTCAGCCCGTACCATCTCTTCATAAATTCCATGTTGTGCGTGTAGTCAAGTAGTGCCAAGAACAAGACCCCTCCGCCTGCATCTCAGACTATCAGGACGAAAAGGGTCGAGGTATAATAAACTTGGAGAGAAAAAAAAAAAGGTACCAAAAACCAACAGAAAAAGAAAAGAACAAGGAAATGTGGTTAAGAGAAAGAATAGGTCAATCGGACGCAAAAGGGCAAATCACAACCAACCCTGCATTGAAGCAATAAAAACGTGCCCGTAATCATCATCAACACCTTGTTCGCCTCGATGATGCCGATGTGGCACAGCGACCAAAATGCACCCTTTCCCAAAATACAGACAAACAATTGAACCGCAAAGCGAGAACTCGAGTTGGGAAAAAGCGTAAGAGTAAAGAAGGAAGGACAAAAAGATTAGGATAAAAGAAGTAAGATCGCGGAAACCATTGCGGGCCGCGCAGTCTCGACGTGAGAGCTCAATAAGTCTCTCCCAAATCGCCCAGTTTTCGGAACCCAGTCGTGCTGACGCGCCCCGATCGGATAGGCACGCCGCCGCTGTTGGAGCTGCCGTTGCTAACGCTGACTCTCCTGCTCACGCTCTGGCGCCTCAAGCCGGGGGCCGGGATCCCGCTGCCCGGCATGGGAATGCTACTGCCCGGCGTCGGGATGCCACTGATGCCTGCTCCCAGGTCATATCTGGTGGAAAAGGTGCCTCGCCTACTAGGCGTGCGGTACGCGGGTTCGTAGTCCTCCCCAAGCAGGTCGACGCCGCTCACACTGCCAGAGTGCCCGCGTACAGAGTTACCGAAAGAGGTCGCTGGCCGGCCAAGGGGAGTTCGAGTCCCTGCCGACAAGGAGCTTCGCGACATTGGCCGCGGTGGAGGCGGCAATTCGTTGCGAGATGGCGGCCTTCCGTAAGAGGTGTGGCTGGCACGCGAAACAGGTCGGCTGGTCTCCGATTCGGTCCCCCGGCCGTTGGACTGCGTGCCAAACGAGAGCTTGCTAACGCCCGACGTGCTTAGCCGAGGCGTGTGGCTGGTTCTCGATGACGAAGCATAGCTGCTAGTGGGCGTCAAGTCATCTCCAGTAAACGTCGTCGACACCGTTGACTGCGTGGTGGCTCGCTTGCGCGACCGGACGGCAAGCGACGTCGGCGCGCTGGGAGGTGCAGCAAGCACCGGGGGTCGCGAAACCGGGCGAGGCGGAGTGCTGCCGCCGCTGCCCGGCGCCGGGAGCTTGGAGCGTACCGAGTGCACTCTGGCCTCGAGCCGCTGCATCTGCGCTGTGAGCAGGCGGATGTGCGACAGCGAGTTTGACGCGGGGATTTTGTAGTTGCTGTTGCGCGACACAGTTGATCGGTGTCCCGGTGTCCGCAGAGGTGCGCCGCCGCCGTTGCCGCCGCTGGCACCGTTGATGCTGCCGATGCTGCTGATGGACGGACGGCCACCAGTAACCACCCGCGTACCCGTCGCAGAAGTGGTTCCACGAGCTCTTGAGCCCGCGTCCACCGACGGCAACCTCGTGCGGCGCATCGGGGCAGGGTTCGGGGTCCGGATCCGTGCGGGTCCTCTCGACATCTGCGCCGAGGCATCCGACATTGGCGGCGATGGCGGATCCAGCAGCTCCGCCGTCGGTTCGCCCAGCGACTTGGTGATCTCGGGGGGTGTGGTGATGAGGGGCGAGCTGGCGGCCGAGTCGACGGAGACATCCGCGTTCTTGTCAAAGGTGGGGGATCCGAGAAGCGAAATGTCGGACGAGATGGTCGAGTGTCGTGATTCGTACTTCTTGACCTTGTCCTGCATCAGCTCGGCCTCGATCTTGAGCTCCGACAGCTCCTCCCGCAACCGTTGCGACTCGATGCGCAGCGCCTCTCGCTCCTGCTCGCCCATCCGAATCTCCTCCTCCATCAAGACGCCTCGTTCGACGGCCTGGTTGAACTTGGACTCCATGTCCTCAAGCGACGACGTGGTGTTTCGCGCCTGACGTTCGAAATCATCGTTGGCGACCTCGGAGTCTCTCAGCTTCAGAGTCAACGTGCGGTTCGCCTCGCGTAGTGTGGTAATTTCTTTCTCTAGTGAGGCCTGCGCAGCGATGGTTTCTGCCTTTGAGTCTTTGTATTTCCTCTGGAAGATGGGAAGAGAAACAGATTAGCCACCGTAGCCGAAATGCAAAAGTCGTCGCAAGCGTAATATGAAGGGGGCCAGAGATTGATCACCGGACCCCTCCCAATAGTATCAAGAGTGTATAAAAGAGCGCAATCCCGACTTACCTTCCACTCCTCGACTTCAAATCGGAGCGCGTCCGCCTTCTCTTTGAGAATTCTCTCCTGCTTTTCTGCTCGCTCAATGTCCTTTTCGAGTTCCTGCTCCAATTCCCGACTGGACTCTCGGAACTCGGCCAGCTCAGACTCCAAGAGCTCGTATTGCGCCTTGTACCAGGCAAGGGCGTCCTCGGGACCGGCAGCCTCGCTGGGAGGGGACGACGGTGGTTCGGCCATGGCGGATCGGAAGCTATGTGTGAGCTGGGTGCAGTCGTTGCTTCTCGTTGTTCGTTTCCTCTCTCGTTGTGAAGGGCGGTGTGGGCATGGGTTGTTGTGCGACGTAAGATGGTAAAGTTAGACGACAGAAAAAAGTAAGGAAAATTGATAGTGAATGAATCGTTATGATGCGGCTCGATATATCGCTATAATGTCAAGACGCGACGGGTTGTCGGGCGCAATTCGTGAGTATCTGTTGAAACAAGAGACAAAAGGAAACACTGGCTAGTGGCGGTGGTTGATCGTGGATCGTTAAGGAAAGTAATCGTCGGAGTGCCGGCGAGTCAAGCTGAGCTCAAAGCTGGAGCTAACCAGCGGAAAGAAAGAGAGACGGAGAAAACGAGAGCGTCGTCTTGGAGAGGATGTACGAGGATGAAGTCGCAGAGATGCAGAGATGCACGATCGGAATCCGTCGTGCGAAAGCTGTTGGCGGTAACGGGAGGCCCCGTTTGTCGCTGGATGCCTTTCACCGTCGCCTGTCAGTTCCACCGCCTTGCAGCCCGTCCAGGCGCCCGATTCGGTTGCGCTCACCGAGGAAGCTGAAACAGGCCCCAAGCTCACAGCAATATCGCAAGTAGACAAACAGCCAGAGAGGCCGCTGTGTATGCGCTTGATGTTCGATGCGGATTGAAGCCAGAAAAAGCAGGAGCCGCGGCAACGAGTCAAATTTCGCGAGCGCGCGGCGTCGCTGTTTTCCTGGCCGCCAGGGGATCCGAGGCGCCGCGGTAGCCGGTGGATATGATGTCGAGTATTCCGTGTTCCGTTATTCTTGCTATTATTTCTTCGGCGAGAAGAGGCAGTACGGAGACCTTGCCTGTCGCTGAGCCCGTTCCAAGTCGAGTCGGAATGCGGGAGGCTCTCGAGGAGGTGCAAGTTGCATGTTTCTGCTGGCCCGTGACGAGTTGATGCGACAAACTCCCCTTTGGGCTGCATCAGATTTGGCGACCGGCAGGCGGCGCTATGCCGCTTGCGGGCTAGCCTCAGGTGGCAGCCATGGGCAACAGCCTGAACTGGGCCTGGACGGGCAAGGCCAGGACGCTGAAGCTGCTGAGCAGCAAATTGCAGCGGCTGGGGCGCTGCAGCTACAGCGGCACGGTCCCCTGGGGGGTCACGTGGTGCACCGCCGCTGGCCACTGACAGCGGCTGCAGGTGACATCAAATGGAACCAGCCCGGCACGTTCGCCCACAGGTTCAGGTACCGGTACCGCCCGCCTCCAGCTGCTGCTCTCCGTATTTCGTAATTCGGGGTGCATCGCAGGCGTCGCTGAGCCAAAAGGCGGACATGCTGCCAGCGCATCCATGCATGCGGCATCTCCTCCTCTGATTGGACCAAAGGCGCTGCAGGTAATTATCGCCATGTGTGTACCTCGTACTGTAAGCAGATGATGCCTCTTGTGCATGTGCCCGTAAGATAAGGTACAGTATGGACGAGGTCGCTGTATCTGTACCTGAAGCTGTACGTACGTCAGATCGTTTCTGGGAGCTTGATTCGCCGGAATGTAATCATTTCGCAGCCCCGGTGACGACCCAAACCCCATGACTAGCACACCTTTGGTACCCAACGAGCACCTCTATGAGTTTCTGGTGGTGGATGTTGCTGCTAGTGGTGACATATCTGGGAAGATTGCTCATTCATCTTATGCTGTGGACGAATTCTATCTTCGTCCTATTGTGATCCATACCCTATATAGATTTTTTCAACTAAAAATGCAGCCTCGTCTAATCACTACTACACTCCAGGGTAGGTGGTCTTCGTTCTCGCATGCTGCCGTGAAAGTACATACAAAACAATACTCACACAAAGGGTTCAACATCATTCAAGATCGCTTTCATTCATCTCTTTGTAAACTTTTACCTACAGCGCTCGGCCTTGTCCTCACGCAAAGATATAATACCAGGTAGGCAGGTGGGTAGGTATCTTGCTATATGTATGCTCGGCGAAGCGTTCACCAAGGCAGCCCCTCTTCACTGCTCAATCTACCCCTGGGCCCTGACTCTCTTTGTGCCGGATGCCCTGGATCCAAAGTTGTGCAGTCGTTCACCGATCAGGTACGCCTCATCCCTAACGCCCGCCGCCCACCGGTTCGTCACCTTGACAAGACCGATTGCGTGTTTGGCAAGCATGGCCGCAAACGCTGCCACGGGATACGATTGCCTGTATATCACCGCCATCCTTACCGCCTCGGCCGCATCGTCGGCCGGGGAGCCTCCAGCAAGGCCGCCGTGCCTGATCACGAATCCTGCCACCATGGGCGGCCCGAAGACGGCCACGCAGAACGCCAGCAAGCCTGGGATCACAAAGGCTCGCGTCAGGAGACGTACGTCGGGACGCATCCACCCGCGGCGCATGATGGATCGGACTGCCCTTGCGGCTCGGCTGTCTGGAAACAGCGACGTGATCATCTGGCTCCCCAGCTTCAGATAGAGCAGTCCCAGCACCCATGATTGAATGACGCGCACCGTGTGGCGTTCCACTGCCTCGCCCTCCAGAGCAGTCGAGATAGCCTTTGGAGGATACATGTACGTGTGGAGAGGGATGGTGACATAGAGCTCCATCAGTGTCGACGTAAGCAGCGGGAACACAATCACCAGGATAAAGTAGGCATAGGATATCTTGGCCACTCGGACGCCCATGGCCGTGCCCCGTCTCCAGGCTCTGCCGTCAGCCACGTCGCGTCGTGCTTGCCGCACCCATCTCCGGACTGTCTTCTTGATCATGGGGTAGTGGAATGCAAAGTAGGCAGCCGAGCCGAGCAGGTAGACTCCGATGCTAAAGGCGTAGATGTCATTTGTTCTGACGTAGCTTGGTATCAGCAGCTTGAAGATTCGCCTGCCCAGAATGAGGGGAATGATGGTAAATCCCACGCCGGTAACCGAGGCAAACAGCCAGATGAAGAAGATGAACAGGAGCACCCTTGCGCGGAAGTAGGGAGGCACGTAGACCATCAGGTACTGGTTCGTGGAATAGACATCGTCATCCTGGCGGCCGTCCCGTCGGTGGTTGCGCTCGCTCACGGTCAGGAACACCCGCTGCCCCTTGGGGATCTTGATCCTGTCGGAGGCGGGAGCGCGGACAAACTGACCATCCTTAATGAGCTGCTGGGACTCGACGAGCCGAGCCTTTCTGCGGCGCAGCTCTCTTCTTTGCTCCGAGTTCATGACCGTATTTGGCTTCAGATGGCCCCCTTCAAAAGTATCCCGCCACGTCTTTGGCACGACCACGTCCCCTTCTCCGAGCTCGAGCAAGTATGACGACTTCAAAAGCCTGGTATCCTCGGCGCCGGGGCGCAGACGTAGGGTTCCCTCCTCGTCAATTTTTCTCTCTCCAAAGAGGAAGTATGTGAGCCTCAGACCTCGCGCGCACTTGCGGAACCACCACGTGTACATGGTGTGCAGCGCGTCGCTAGGCCTGAAGAACTTGACCACAAGCGGCATGAGGAAGTTGTAAAAGAGGAGGTCGATGGGGAATTCCAAGACAGGTTCGTTTGATGAATAATGGATGGGCAGCACGCCTGGCATGGCAAACGACAAGCCCCAGACAACGCCGCCGAGACACACAATCACAAGCGCTCCATAAACGAACGCGGAGAAGAGAATCTTCCTCAGCTGCGTTGTGAGGTTCCTCTCGAGTACGTCGCGGACGGGGTGAAACTCGGGATCGTCAGGATCTCGGATGAAGTCTGTGAGAATACCGAGTGTCAGAAGCTTGATATGATACGGGCACGTCTATAAACCGGGGGTAGCAATAACTTACACAAGACACCTGGCCGCATAATCTTCCGGCACATGGAAACGAATAGAGCAAAGTGAAACATGTAGCCGGTACCTACGAACCAGTGGACAAACACTGATGTCAACGGATACTTGCAGGTGAACATGATCCGGCTCGTCAGTGTGGCATCCTCGAAGAGCGGCAGGAGGGCTACGTCGAGAAGCAGGCCGCAGTAGAGAGGGAAGACGAGCATCTCGATGCTGATGATGAGAATCACCTTGATAATTCCGCTGGCCTGCTGAAGAAAATCGATGACGCCCGCCTCCCAAGCATGAATCGTCGCGCTTCTCGAAAATGGACTGCCCTTTTTCAGGTACAACGCACCAATCAGAAAGACAGTGGCGTAGCCGGCGAGAATCGCCCAGAACCTGTCTAGGCTCGACCAGTGTGTCAACTGCGGATCGGCCGCCGGCCACTTTTCAGGCATGCTCAGGTCAATCACCCAAAGGTTGGGTTTTGTAGCCAAGAGCGCACACTTTCGAACCATCTCATTCAGTGCCGTGAAAGTCGTGTACACGATATTGGCAAAGCCCATGGCACGGGCAGCAGTGAAGCTGTCGCCAATGTTGGAGAAGACCGACAAGATGTTGCCCTTGACCGTATTAAGGGCCTCGTGGCTGACTGCGGAAAAATTGTGAATCTCCATGGTCGTCATGGGGAAAAACTCGAGGAAGAGGGACCTGGACAGTCTGCTACCAGCACCTGTCCAGAGGGCCCATGATATCTTCCTGGCCGATACGACATGAGCCTTAGCAGACCCACCGATAACAGATACAAACATGTCGACAACGTTGAGCCCGCACCAGGAACTCAGTCCGCCGACCAGGAAGGTGACGTCTTGAAGCAGCTTGGAGAACTCGAAGAGCATGCGCACAACCCGCGTGGGGCTCGCGAGAAGCCACACGGAGACGCGGCCTATGTTGTAGGGAAGGAAGATGCAAGCAAAGATGGTCACGGCAACAATGATGGCGCAGAAGATGGCATTCTGGAAAAGACCCGCGATGGGACCACGCATGCCAATCAACTCCATGACCCCTTCGAAGTCTTCCAAGTCGTCGATTGCCTCGGCATCGAATGCCGCTGCATTTCCGTCAGCAGCGATGCCGTCCACATCCTCACCATTGGCTTCGTCTGGAACATCGACCCAGCCATCGTCCACGGCGGCATCATCTTGTCCAACACCAGCAGCTCGTTGGGCGGCGTCCCCCTCGGCGGCTACGGCTGCCTCTGGAGCTGCAGCAGGGCCGCCTCTAGCACCCTGTTCATTCAAGTTACCCCACATGAAATCAGCAACTCTATTGATGAGACCAGCGGCTGGGGCATCATGGTCGTTGATGGCGGCTTCTTCGGCGGCGTCGTCGATATGAGGCGGTCGACCGTCGAGTTCAGCATCCGCGGCTGGATGGCGGTGATAGACGTCAAAATCGGGAGGATGGCGCGGGAAGGCTTCTGGCTCGGGGAGGCGCTGTGGCTCGGGAAACCGTCGGTAGGTGTCTCTTTCTGGAAGGCGCCTGTAGTTTTCCCTGTTCAAATGGCTGTCCTCGTCGTGGTCGTCGTCGTGGTCCTCCGGCTGGTTTGACCCCTCCTCGTAGGTAAGATCATGCTCGGGTTGCTCCTGGTCCAAGGATCCCTGAGATTCATGCTGGGCATCCGGGGGCAGGAAGTCAAAGGACCATGAATTGTTCGCCAAGGGGTTGACCGACTGGTGCTCCTGGAACCCGTCGGACATTGAACGAGGCCGTGAGCCAACAGCGGCGAATGCATCGTCATAATGATCAGCGGATGAAGAGCCCGAGACAAAGGCATCTGCCGGGGTCGGAGACCAAGCTGGTTCTTTGCCTTTCCCATTGGCCGGCGACTGGAGCGTCTCATGATCTGAGTCCGCGTCGTGCTCGTGATGACTTTCCCCGTCCGCGGCAGGTTCGCTTGTAGCTTCATCAGCAGCGGCACGTTCGGCACTATCCATGGTGGAGCGTCGAGTAACCTCAACCCAGTACTTGAGCTTCTCCTGCAGGCCCTCTTCCTCAATGATTCGCAGTATCTCTGAAAAGTCGCCATTTGCGCGCCGGTAGATGCGCAGATAGTCCTCGACGGTGGCTCGCTCTTCCGCAACTTCCCCATCATCGGCGCCCTCTTGTGCGTGCGAATTGAGCTGATCGTTCTGCATTGATGTGGTACTGGACGTGGGGAAAGGGTCGTGCTCATGGTCCTGATCAAGCATCGACTGGTTCGAAGATCCCGGAGTCAATGAGTCTTCGGGGCCGACCATGACAGTCGGAATCGCTCGCCAAGCTTGTTCGTCTACCAGCTCGTTCTCCTCCAGAGTTTCATCGTCCGAGCCTGCGGCGTCTAGATTTGGCGGCAGGGGCTGTGGCTGAGCAGCATCCGGCGGCGGCGGCGGTGGTGGAAGCGGGAACTCATTTTCAGGAGCGGCAAAGGCAGCCCGCATGTTGATTTCGGGCTGCTGCTGAACAACATAGTCTCTAACTAGGATGATGAGAATGAAGGAGATGATGACCAACACCGTGATGACTTGTCCTTCCAGCACGGATACAATAGCCCGGTTTAGATTGGCGCTTCGAGTGAGATTACCAATGAATGCTACATTGCCGAGGAGAGTCGAGGTGATGGTGGATTGACTGGCGTAACTTGATACGGCAGAAGCGTTGGCAACCTGTTCCGGGTCGCCGTCCGAGGCAAGCAAGGGGGATGTGAAGGAGCCAAGGAAGAACCGCACGAGATAGTCGGAAACGTCCTTGCCTTGGAGGTGGCCGACGACGGCTTCGACTTCAGCCACCGACGTGGTGGTGGCATTGAGCAGAGGGCTGGCCGGACAGGTACCAATGGCTAGGATTGATGATGGAATGGTAGACAAGGTGTTGTTGGCCTCGCTTATGCGCGACATGATGGAGCCGGTAGCCAGGCCCTCGTCACTGATCCGGAACATGAACGACCAGAAGGCTCTCATAAAGTAGGGGAGCCAGAAGGCCCAGACGCTGATGGCTACAGCCGCCCGCAGCCACACCAGCAGGTTGCGTAGCAGGTATTTGGCCATGTGCTGGACGAAGATGTGCACAGGGAGCGACTGCGGCATGTCTGGAGAGTACAGCTTGGTGAATCGAAAGGGCGTTTTACACAGCTCGCAGTACTTCTTCTGCGAGTGCGAGAGCCACTCCATCAGGCAGTCCTGATGGACGTATTTGATGCTGCCGCTGCACTTGCACGGGTAGAAGAGCGGCTCAGCCTGAGAACCCTCTCCACGACATATACGACATATCGAAATGCCCGGTTCGTTCGCGGCGCCAAGGCCATCGTCGTGCCGAGTCGAGTCTCGATGTTGGGCCGCGGGCCCGGCGTCTGGGGCGGCCTCCATGGTGGACGCTGGAGGCTGCGAGGAGCGACGAGAGGCGAGGAGAGAACAGAAGGAAGATGGAGACAATGCCCGCAGCGGGGGAGCTATCGAAGGAGGGAGGTCGGCGACACCATCAGTCGAGCGAGTGCGCCTTTCGTCGTCGGGCAGGTAAAGAAGCTTGACGCTGTGGAAAAGTGTCCGCCCCTCTCTATCTTGAAGCTCGGCTCGGTGCAGACGGGAAGAGAAGTCGGGGGTGTAGACTGGAAGCTGCGAAGGCCAATGCCCGTGAGAGCTGCAACGCTTTGGCCAGCAATCTGCAAGGGGGAAATGAGGATGAATGAATGGAAGGCGGAGTTGGTGCACGAGGCAGAAGAAATGATTTGATGGGAGACGAAGTTGCGTTGCGAGTTGTTGAGCGGACTTCGGATAAACTAGCGGGAGAGTGAAGCGTGGCGGTCGATTGCAGGTACTGTGGCAGGGCGCGATAAGGCGGGTGCGGGTACTAATCGATACCGTGGCGGTGGCGGAAGAGATACGCGGTTGCGCTCGTACTGCGGAGGTAGTCGCTGTTGGAGACGCAGGTGTTTGCCATTTCAATAGTCGAGCTCGAGGTCGAGGCGAGATGAAGAAGAAGGGCTGTGCTATAACAGAGGCGGCCTTTTTATCTAAGAAGAGGATATAGACGAGATGCGGTATACATACTGTGATTATTGGTGAAGTCTTTTAGGGTATCTGGGCGACGTTGATGTAAGCAAGGCATGTATGACGGTCAACTTGAGGACATGGGTACTATCGACAGATATCAGAGGCCTCTGTCAGACACAATGAGTCTCTGAATGTGTTGGTGCCTTTGGTGGCCACTTGGAACCAGCAATTGTCAAGGTGGCACAGCGTATTACCGCCAGTTGCCACATTGGGGCCGACATGGTCATTACATCAGTGGTGCTGCGTGCACGTCCAACAATGCGGGCTCTTGGAGCATCAAAGCTGCATCGCCCTTGATCATTACACAGACAGATGAGTGGGATGCATTGGATGCCTTGATTGGGGCGAGGCTGCTCAGCTCCTTGACAAAGTCTATTCTTGGGGTCGTCCTATCCATAACCGCGATTCGATCCATGCAAGGCACTGGCAAGATATCACCTACATGGGGCTTCTCTCATCTTCCATCTACACTCAATCTCTCTGTAGTCCGTCCACTGCATCAACTCGGTCCATCAGTCTCGTCATATTGCTTATCTACCCGTTCAGCTACACACTCGGTCTTGTCTTCGGTGGCCACCCAACTCGCTCCAGTGATGGCGGATCTACAGCTTAGCGGCCAATAGCGGCCCTCTTGCACGTCTCCAAAGCATGCGAGGCTTCTTGATCGCCGATGTCGACGGCAGCCAAAAACAAGCTTGTGGCCAGCGCCATGACGTGTGCGGGTGCGAGGACGAGGGCAAAGACGATCGCCGGGCGTGGTGTTTGCGTGGTGCGTGGTGCCCCGATCGCTGTTGGTGTAATTCACAGCTTGATCTGTCGAAGCATCACAGCCTCTCTCCATCGCTATATAATGCAAAGCTCGCGCCCGGCAGAAGCTGCTTACTTACCTGTAGTCCAACCTCTGACACACGGGCATCTCCCCCCTGATACATCTGATGCAACTGCAGGGCTCCAGCGCTCCCGTTTCGCGTCATCGCTGAAACATCGTCAGTCCGTCTCTGCGATCCTCAATCTCACGCCTGCGACAGCCAAATTCCCCTCCAGCTGCAGGTTCCAAGGCTCAGCTTCCCTGGGCGCAGTGGGTCCTGGCCGCGGAACTCGAAACAGCCCCGCGGTACCGATGAAGTACCTCCACCGCGATCTTTGGGGCCAAGAAACCCTGCCGCTACTTTACGACGGCCCCCCATCCACTGAACTGCTGCCCGCTAGGCTGCATCACCAGTCCACTAGAAATATGGTAGGCACTCGCTAGCCTTGCTATCTATGATCTGTTTTCTTCCTCTTCTGCCTCATCTTCACTTTCTCTGCCTCTCCAACTTTTCTCTTTCCCTTCTTTCGCCCCTCTTCACCATCGGAACTTCGTCTCTTCTTCTTTTGCCTGACTATTAACTTCTTCTTACCACAGTTCGACTTTGACAGAGCTGGCTTTTCTCTCATGGCCGAGTCCAGCGGCCTGAAGCCGGGCAACGGCTCCTCGCATGTGAACGGCAAGATGAATGGCCAGACGACGGCCAAGAAACAGCCTTCGCCGAGGCGACAGGGCCTCTTTGCCTGGGTATTTGGTGTAGCTGCTAGGTGAGTTGCCGCATCTCCCTATTGTGCCCTTTGCCGGCTTCAATTGCTGGCCCTTGCGACGCAGCGATGCGCTTCTTTCCGCTGTCCTGCAGCATGCCGTGGGCGGGGATAAATCGTGCTGATGACTGCATCTACAGAATCGCGACCTGGGCCATCATTATCACGCTTCTTTTCCGCTGCCCCTCCTCGCTCGAGGAGTGCGACCAGGACTCTCCCTTCATCTGCAAGCCGTACTTCCAAGCGAAAGCGACCATCGCCCCATACACGCTGCCTTACTACGAGCAATACGCTGCGCCATATGTGGACTTTGCGAAGCCCTACTACGAAACCGTCGACGCCCGCGTCCTCACGCCAGCGCGCACCTACGCCGTCCAATACGGTGCTCCCTGGGTGGAAAAGGGCCAGCAACAAGCCCTGGCCCAGTGGGAAAAGCACGGCCAGCCCCAGGTAGCACAGCTGCGAGAGCTGTCGCGGAAGCAGTACGAGCAAACAATTGCTCCCCACCTGGAGCGTGCGGGCGAGGCCCTCGGGCCCTACTACGAGATCGGTCGGACCAGTTCCCTTCAGCTGTACCACGATGTTCTGCTGCCGGCGTATGGCCTGGTGCAGCCCTATGCCCATCAAGGCTACACGGCCGCTTCGAGCTTCACCACCGGCACCGCGCTGCCTGCTGTCCAGTGGACCTGGGCAAAGACGAACGCCTTCCTCGACAAAGCAGTGTGGCCGCAGCTCCGGATGCTCTATGTTGAGAATGTAGAGCCACAGCTCGTTCGCATCGGTGAGCGTTTGGAACGATACAAGAATCGCGCCAGAACCAAGGTGCTCCCTGATGTGACTTCTGCTACTACGTCAGTACCATCTTGTAAATGCTCCCATCTCGCCTCGTCTAACAGTAGAATAGGAAACGAAGAACAACCACCGAGCCGCCCCGATACTCGTCCTTCAGCAAGCCGTCGCCGCAGGGAACGCCGGCGCCAACCACGGCAGCGTTCCAGTCTGAGGCTCCCACCCCGAGCTCCAGCGTTGAGAAGCAGCCGGTGACGGAATCCTACTGGAACCCTGTACAGCCCCCTGCCCCCGCGGAGAACGAGACGGAGCAAAGGAGAACCGCTCGTGAGATGGTGGCGCAGGACCTTGAGATGTGGCAGAATAAGTTTGCCGCCCAGGCCGACGAAGGCGCTGTCGATATGGAGGACCGAATTGAGGAGATTGCGGGCCGCAGGATGTCTGAGGACATCGCCCGCTACGGCAAGCCTCTGGTCAAGAAGCTCCGAGCAACGGTCCAGGCAGAGACCGACCGTCTCAAGACCAAGATTTCCAGCATTGTTGCCGAGCACGCTCGCGGCGCGCTCGATGATGCCCAGGAGCAGATCATTGGCGCTGTTCGAAGTGCCGGTCTAGCTATCAAGACGGCCGCGCAAGATATCCGAAGCTGGCGCGAAGAGTACGATGAGAATTTGCAATCCGAGGTCCTGAAAGCCGCCGATGTGCACTTTGAGATACTCGACGAGACTACGAATCTCGCACTGCAGCAACTCGGAATGAAGTGGGCTTGGACCGAGGGAGTCACATACAAGGACTGGGCCAAGTACCACGAGCTGAAGCAGGCGCTGGCGGAGTGGACCGAGGAGCTGAAGCAGCTCATCGTCACCCACCCTACGCTTCTTCGGGCACAGGATGCCTCTGCACAGATCGAGGATGAGGGCATGACGATTGCGTCGGCTGCTGCCAAGGAGCTCGCTCGCCTCAAGCAAGTAGCTCTGTGGAAGCTGGCGGCGAAGGATTCCAGCGACAACTTTGATTCGGAAGCAATGGAAAGAGCAGCAGAGGCTGCACAGAACCCTACTATGGCTGACAACGTCACCGAGCCGGTAGCTCAAGAGGAAGAGGACAATGCTACAGCAGGAGAGTCGCCAGAAGCAGCTGTCGAGAGTGGCGATGCTAACGATTCGTCTCAGCCGGTTACTGACGCCGTTTTGGGAGCCGTGCTCGAGGCCGTCTCAGAAGAAGCAGCGGCAACGGAGACCGACGAGGCCGTACTGCCTTCGGAGCCCGAGTCTGCCGATGAAACCAAGGACGATGCCTTTGTTGATGAGCAGTCGTCGAGCGTCGAATCAAGCGAGACCCAGGAGGACAATGCCACCTCGGACGTTTTTGAACATGTTATGGAGCAGACTGACACCCACCCTGAAGGCCAGAAGCCACTTGCCGGCCAGACTGACGACGTTCCGGAACCCGCTGGTGATGCCAAGCATGACGAAGAGTCCGCACCAGTAATTCCGGAGGCTGCATCGATTGCTACTGAGCCTGCCACGGAAGCTGTACTGGAATCCGAGCCCGATGAGACGGTCGAAGCCGTGCTGGAATCAGAAGATGAGATCTTGGAAGAGGACGACGAGACTCTGTGGCCACAAGACACGGCGACTCAGAAGGCTGCCCCTACCGTCAAGGCATCTTTCCTCGGCGCGGCCGCTCAGGTAGTTCCTGGCCGGCAAATCGTTCTGGACGAGGACGACGACGACAGTGATGATGACTACCTCTCCAGCGCGTCCAAGGCTGCCGAGGCGGCCTACTCTAGCGCTGTTTCTCTCGCGTCTGATCGCTATTCTAAGGCAGTATCAATCATCTCGGCCCAGGTCCGTGGAACTCCGACACCGGCTGTAGAGAACCAGCTCCTTTCCTCGGTCTCGGCCGCTTACGACCAGGCATTGGCTGCGGCGAGTTCGAGGCTCAAAGAGTTTGCGGATGCCGCTTCAGCAGGAGTCTATGGCACACCCACTCCTACGCAGGCGACTCCTTCGCAGGCACACTGGAGCAGAGTGGAATCCATTGCTGCAGACCGTCTGAACGAGGGCAAGCTGTGGGCCGAGCTTCAATATCAGAGCGCCTTGATTGCCCTGGGACTGGCGACACCCACCCCGACCCCGACCAATGCTGCCGAGAAGTATTACGAGCAGGCCAAGTATAACTATTACGCCGGAGTTGGCCTGGCGCACGATCGTTACAACAACTTTATCTCTGCGGCTTCGTCTGCATGGTCCTCCCTCACGGCCACACCAACACCGACGCCTCAGGCGCTGACTGACTCTGCCATCTCAATGGCCTCTGCCGCTGGCCAGGCTGCCGAATCTGTCTACTCCAAGGCGACGGAGAATGTTGCTTCTGCCATCGAAGCTGTGGACGAGTCGATTTCGTCTTTGCACAATGCGGCAACGGAGCAGGTTTACAACGCCGGACTGGCCATTGGTGAGACGTGGGGGACGGTCGTGAGCCAGCTGAGCCTGGAGATTTACGGCCAGCCAACGCCGGCCGCCATTGGATGGTACGACAGCCTGACGTCGAATGCACAGGCGGCGGTGGCGAGTGCGACTTCGGCCGTCGGAAAGGCTGGTGAGACGGCGTCGGCTGGTGCCGCGAACGAGTACGAAGCAGTGAGCGAGCTGGTGTCTGAGCTGATTGTTGGCCGGGAGCCGCCCTTTACGGAGAGCGTGCTGTCAAGACTGCAGGCGGCCTATGCCTCGGCGACGCAAAACGTGGCCAGCATGGCGAGCGGAGCCAGCGCGGCTGCTGGATCAGTGGGTGAAAAGGTGGGCAGCATGGCGAGCAAAGCAACCGACGCGGCGAAGCATGGCCGAGACGAGTTGTAAGATGACAATGCGGATGGGCGGAGCGGTGCTTAGACGATACCCTATATTGTTTCCATCTTTCCTTGAGTCGAGATGAAGTTGGATGGTTTTGTTTTCCGTGTGTATTCATTCCCTCAGCATGAGCCGGGCTTTCCTTTGTTCTGGGACAGCAAACCAAAACTGTTGTTTGTGTATTCTACCTTATGTGTGGGTTGAGAGAGACGGGCCGTGTGCCTGCATTGTACGCTGTATCTAGATGCTTATCAAGAGTTTTCTTATTCTCTTTTCATGTTGACATGCCGTGAAAGTCGGTCAAAATCGGTGGAAACCAAGGCAGATGGTAGCGTTGGAGCAGAAGCATACGGGACCGGGGTGATGTCATTTGAAGATTCCCTTGAGCCGAGGCTGCATGGTTCCCTTGTCCATAACTCTAGAGACATGGAAGAGTGAGGGCATTGGCGAGTTCTTATTAAATCTCGCATATCATTGGTGGCCCGTTTCCCTGTGTATGGATTTGAATACTACTAGTAATACGTGTCTGCAAATGCACGAGATGGGAAAGATGTCAGCTGTCATTGACTTGATGTGTGTCTGCTTTAGCTGCCTTGGTTACATCCATGGCATGTTACTTTCTTGTCATGGACTATTTTGAACCCCACGCGTTTCCGTTGGCTCGTGCTGAATTTCCCCAAGTTGGTGAAGAGGGGAGATGAGCGAGGGGGGCTAGAGGTTGGGGGGTTGCATTAGTCTGGTGGTTTTGTCCCGCGATTTGCTGATTTTTCTCTCATCTCGTCTTTTCTTTCTCGATTTTTGAATCAGCTTCGTGCAATGAAGGAAGAATTGGAGCTGAAGATTAGTTTGATTACTGGTGATTTGGATAAGAGGCCGGGATTGGTATTGCGGGGGACGGAGTGATCTAGATCTTCCCCCAAACATGATTGCGGACCAGAAAACTTGCTTGACGTGCGAGTCCATGTCTCAAACAAGCAGAGACATGACTTGACATAGCCTCGAGCCCGGATGCAGAAGAACGAGTGAAATAAAGGAAGAAGATGAGTCTTGCTTCTGATTCCCTTCTTCTCATGATAAATGCTTCTCCACGATCCTTTGCTCGGCCCATGACAAGAGACCCGCAGAGGCTACATGCGACTACCCCGTCCAAGGCAGTTCGGCTCGGCTCTAGTACTCAAAAGAAATCGAGGTCAAAGTGGATAATAAATACCAAGCCGGTGTGTCTCACTCTCTCGTCTTCCCACTCTTCTCGTGCCCTGTGTACTTCGGTTTCTCGTGCGACACTCTCTGTCTACATCCGCGTCATCACTGCTTCAACCGAAAATCGTAGCTGCTGCTACCAAACAAGAGCGGAATCAAGAGGAGGTAAAAAGTCGCGACGAATGGAATTCGTAGTCGAGTTCTTCTCTCTTCTTCTCAAGTCCATCCGCTGAAAGAGTTTGGGGAAAGAAAGCGCGGTATTGATACGGCTGCTCTCTCTCTCTGTACTCTCTCTTGGAGGGCACACGGTTCTGTGTGAGCCTCATCATCACCACCACCTCCTTCCCGGGCCATTGAGTTCTCGGGGGGTTGATCTCTTTTGACCGCAATAAACGGGCCGGTCAATCGTTGTTGGGAACGACTGGAATCACGGCAATCCGCAACCATGACGGTTCCTCCCGCTGGTCCTCCGGCCTACTCTGGCAACGACAAGGGCGGCGTCACCGCAAACCGAACGGAATCACTCGATGGGATCCGAATCTCCATGTCCTCGGGCGACTCGAAGCGGAACACGACGCACCGGCAGCTCAAGGCCAGACACATTCAGCTCATTGGCATTGGAGGCACCATTGGCACTGTTCTCTATGTAAGTCCCCTCTCCTCTCCCTCCTCAATCTCATATCATATTCTCACATACATCTTACTGATCACGAACAACTCATCCAGGTCCAAATCGGACAAGGCCTGCTCAACGGCGGCCCCGGCAGCCTCTTCATCGCCTTCAGCTTCTGGTGCACCGTCGTGCTGGCCGTGACGCTCTGCATGGCCGAGATGGTCACCTACCTACCCGTCTCGTCGCCCTTTATCCGCTTCGCGGGCCGCTACGTCGACGAGGCCTTTGGCTTCGCCACAGGCTGGAACTTTTTCGTCTTCGAGGCCGCACTGGTGCCCTTCGAGGTGACGGCGTGCAACTTCATCATCCGGTACTGGACGGACGCGATTCCCACCGGCGCCCTGATTGCCATCGTCATCGTGCTGTACGCCCTTATCAACGTCCTGGCCGTCAAATGGTACGGCGAGACCGAGTTCTGGGCGGCCATCGGCAAGGTGCTGCTCATCGTCGGCCTCATTGTCTTCACCGTCGTCGCCATGCTGGGCGGCAATCCGCAGCACGATCGCTTCGGCTTCCGCTTCTGGAAGCAGCCGGGCTCATTCGCGGAGCTCTACTACGAGGGCGATCTCGGCCGCTGGCTGGGCTTTCTGCAGTGCCTCATCCAGGCGGCCTTTACCATTGCCGGGCCCGACTACGTCTCCATGGCCGCCGGCGAGGCGGAGAACCCACGCGTGGTGATGCCGCGGGCGTACAACGCCGTCTTCTACCGGCTGACGGCCTTCTTCATCCTCGGGTCACTGTGCGTGGGAATCCTGGTGCCGTACAACGACCCGGAGCTGAAGGCGGCATTTGCGGACTCGAGGCCGGGGGCTGCCGCGTCGCCGTACGTCGTGGCCATGAATCGCCTGGGCATCCAGGTGCTGCCGCACATTGTCAACGCCGCGGTGCTGACGGCGGCCTTTTCGGCAGGCAACTCGTACGTCTACTGCGCCTCCCGATCACTGTACGGCCTCGCGCTGGAGGGCAAGGCGCCGCGGTTCCTGACGCGGTGCACCAAGGCCGGCGTGCCCGTCTTCTGCGTCGGCTTCGTGCTGCTCTTTGCGCTGCTGTCGTTCCTGCAGCTGTCGTCCAGCTCGGCCGTGGTGCTCAACTGGTTCGTGTCGCTGGTGACGGCCTCGCAGCTCATCAACTTTTGCGCCGTCTGCGTCTCGTACCTGTGCTTCCACCGGGCGCTCCGGGTGCAGGGTATCAGTCGTGATTCGCTGCCGTACAAGGCGTGGTTCATGCCGTATGCGGCGTGGTATGGCCTCGCGTGGACGTTTGTGATGGCGTTTGTGGGGGGGTATACGGTGTTTTTGCCGTTGCCTGGGCAGTGGAACGTGGCTGATTTCCTCTTTTCGTGAGTGTGATGAATCTTGTGGGTGTGTGTGTGGTGATGTTGATGCTGACTTGTGTGTGGTTGTAGGTATGCCATGATTTTCGTCTACCCGGTGCTGTACTTTGGGTACAAGGTTGTGAGGAAGACGAAGATTCGGAAGCCCGAGGAGGTTGATCTGGTCAAGGACTTGGCTGAGATTGAAGAGTATCAGAACAACTACATTCCTACACCGCCGAGGTATGTTTTTCTACATTCACTCGTATATATATGTGTGTGTGTGCGTATGCTGACGACTGTCCAGGAATGGATTTGAAAAGATTCTTAACAGCCTCTTTTCCTAGACAAGGTAGAGTTGAAATGTGCTTGGTTGGTGATGGACTAAGTACTTGTATTCTCTTTACATTCTATATAAGTCGTAGTATATCATTGGATATAAGTCGTAGAAGACGCTTGAATCTACACTTTTCTTGAATCATACTGGTCATAATAGCCTCTCTCCTACAAATCCTCACTCACATTCCGTCCAACTCCTAAAAGCTCACCCCCTCGTCCCGGTTCTTATATCCCTCCCCATTTACAAAGTTCTTCTCCGTCCTGACAACCATATCCGGGAGTCCGATGCCTACCCCGAAAAACACAAACAGCGCCCACTTCCAGCGGAACGGGTTGAACGCGACGCAAAACACAAACCACCAGACCAGCTCGAGGTACGTGAAAAAGTCAAAGGCCCCCGTGGGGCTGAAGCGCTTGAGCGTGCGCGTCATGTCGATCCAACGCTCCATCCACCAGCGGCTCGGGCGCGTCAGCGGGTCCACGAGGAACATGAGCAGGATGCGGGTGTAGATGCCAATGTGCCAGTTGCCGACGGTGCCAATGGCCTCGACGAACGTCGCGTTGATGGCCGACACGGAGGGGTGCGCGGGCGGGAACGTCTGCAGGTACCAGTTGGGCGGGCCGTACGGCTCCTGGAAGCAGTCGTCGGGCAGGATCGCCAGCGACGGCCGCTTGAAGCCGGTGGCCATGACGACAATGTCCGCCTTGACGACCTCCTCGTGGCCGGGGCCGCCCTTGGGCACGCCCTTGGACCGGCGGTTCACCTTGACGCCGCGGCTCGTGAAGCCCAGGATGTCGCCCCGGATCCACTCCGCCCGGCCCTCGCGCAGCTTGTCCATGACGGCCGAGTTGACCATGGGCGTGCTCATGAAGAGGCCCTTGTCGTGCGTGGGCGCGAGGTCCTCGAGGTCGCGGTAGAAGAATTTGCGCAGCAGGAACTCGGGGATGAAGGAGAAGAGCGTCTCCTGGCCAAAGATGTTGAGGCTGAGCAGCGTGTCGACGAGCATGTTGCGCGGGATGATCCACTTGTCGGAGCGCGAGAGGATGGAGACCTTGGAGGCGCCGGCGGAGAAGGCGAACTCGAGGGCTTCGACGGCGGAGGCGCCGCCGCCGATGATGGCGATGTGCTTGTCCTTGGCGTCCTTTCTGCAGGGTGTTAGTATTCTGACCTTTTGATCTGGCTTGATATTGTGTGGTATAAATGGGTTAACTTACCCAGTCAATTCACTAGAGTGGTAAATCTCGCCCTTGTACTTTTCCATGCCCTGGATGTGCGGCATCTTGGGCTCGCCGCACGTCCCGATGGCGACAATGAGCCCGTCAAAGCGGCCGAGCGAGGGATCGTTGTTGATGACCCAGCGGGTTTGATCGTCCTGCTTGACGCCCTTGACCTTGACGCCGAACTTGGTCTTCTTGTCGAGGTTGTAGCGCTTCCAGAGCTGCTCGACCTGGGAGACGATTTGCTTGCGGTTGGGGTAGCCGCCCTGCCATTGGACGGAGGGGTGGAAGCGGTACATGATGCTGTGGATTTGCAGGCCGGATGTGTCGTTGACTCTCTGCAGAGATACATTAGCTCGCTGTTTTGTATCGATTGGCATGAATCGATGTATGACTTACACTCCAGATGCCACCCAGATTGTCCCTCGGCCCGGCCTCGAAAATGGTCACGTCAAAGCCATGCCCAACACAATGCGCCGCCGCCGCAACACCAGTGAGGCCGGCTCCGATGATGCCAATCTTGGGCCTCGTCAGCTCGTCGACTCTCCGGGGCGGCTTGGGCGAGAGGGCTTTATCAACGATCCATTGGAACAGCTGGTATATGAACAGCAGCGGGTGCAGCAGGGCGTACACCAGGCCTGAGTCTTCAGCCATTGTGAGGTTTATTCTCTTATACCTTCCAACTCACAATCCCAATTCGGATTCTTCAATGAATTGAGTTTGTGTAATGAATGAGAAGTGAGCAATTGGACGTTCTGTCTGACATTGTTTTTTTATAGTTGTTGTTCCTTGAATTAATGGCTCGTGATTGTGACGTCACGCACGGCAGGATTGAAGCTCCCCACATTGGATGAACTCATTGATCCGCATGTGGAAACGAGGGTTGACGATGATTCTGCCTTTTTGCATGTGATTGCGTCCCAATGTGCCCAGCCTAGCCGAAGGGAATCCCTGATCCAAAAAACCACCACCGCAGACAAATCAAGCAATGACATGGGAATCTCACTCACTCTTTTACAATCCACATCTTTCATCTCATCATATCACCTAGTTACTCACGAATAAACACCACCAAAGACACAATGGAGAACCCAGGTATGTACATCCCATCTCACTCTCACCAGCATCATCATCATCATACAACTAACACTATTCATCACCTCCAGTCCAAGAAATCGCCGCCGTCATCAACGCCCTCACAAAAGGCACCCCCCAGCAGCAGCAGGACACGCTCAACACATACTTCCTCTCCAACGCATCCTTCACCCACCCCTTCTGCCGCGTGCCCTCCTTCTCGCGCGGCTCCATCCCGCTCGCCAGAGACCTCGACTCGCGCTGGCTCATCTTGGGCATCTACCGCTGGTACCGCACGCTCAGTCCCAAAATCAATCTCACCGTCGATTCATCCGGTACGTCGTTTCCCTAAATCATTTACACAGTCCTTGACATCTCGTCGCCGTGAAACAAGCGGTGTGGCCCTTGTTATTTCCAGCATCCGTCAAGTAAAACATCAAACCTAACCTAGACTTCTCAACCTCAGTCTTCGACCAGCGCACAAACACCCTCTACGTCTCCATCCGCCAGACCTTCTCCATCTGGTTCATCCCCCTGCACTCCGCCAACGTCAAGCTCCTCTCCGTCCTGCGCCTCGCCCAGGGCTCATCCTCCGAGCCGGGCCAGCTGTCGCCGCCCAAGTACTACGCGGCGGACGGCCGAGGCAGCGCCGTCTCGTCCGCGCTCGCGGGGCCCGGGCAGGAGAGGCTGCGGTACTACATCGCCAGCCAGGAGGACCTGTACCAGACAAACGACTTTGTGGCCTTTGTAGTGCCGTACCTGGGGCCATTGCTGGTGCTCCTGTGGCAGCTGTATAGCACGGGGGTGACGGTGGTTTGCTCGATCTTGTTCTTGCCGTTGTATTATTTCATGAATAGCAGCCGGGTCAAAGTTACTGGACGGGCGTAACTGGTTTGTTTGGGCGTGTCTTTTGTTTGTCACTTGATAGATGGATGGATGTTGAGTCAGTTTTTGCCTAGATGTTGAACAAATCACAAGTTGTCGTGCAAAGCTCCCACTTGCGCTACCATGAATTGTTGCTACCTTACCATGCAACTCGACACTATCCATCTGTCCTTGTCGCTGCCAATATCACAAGAGGGGTATATTCCCAGCCGCCGCCGAATGCAAACACGGTAAAATCCATCATCCTTGCCCGCTAAACACCCTGTGGAATCCCTTCCAAACTCCGATAGATGGCAACCGGAAAACGCCAGAAAATGCAGAAATGTTTCCCTTTCCCTTTCGTATCCTCAACTGTCAAGGTCATCCTTATACCTCGGCCATGTCTTGTTCTCGCCGCCGGAGGGGTTGCGCATGAATCTGTCTGAACTCGTAGAGGCACTCGAAGCCACCCCAGATGATGAAGACGAATCTGCATATACTGTATTTCGCTAGCGTCAGCTACCATACCAATTCTACCAAGAGAGAGCAAAATGGAAGAATATCGAAAAGAAGCCAGGACTCACACAACAGAAGTGAGCAGCCAGACCGCAATGGCCATCATGTGAACCTGCGAAAAGCCCTCTCGGCTGATGACGTCCGTCTGGCCCACCCCGGACGCGACCTGGGGCGCCGAGTCGCTGTCGAGGGCGGCAAAGCCGTCGGCCGCGTACGAGTAGCGCGAGAAGATGATCATGACGATGCCGCCGAGCGAGACGGCGAGGGAGAAGAGGTCGTGCAGCAGGGCGCGGGCGGGCGAGAGCTGCCGGAAGCCGAGGGCTCGGTCGATGTTGGCGACGACGATCCACGAGTCGTTGAGGATGGCGATGGCGGACTGCGGGAGTTGTGCCTTAGGGTTAATGGGCATGGTCCTGTGCAGGACGAGAAAAGACAAGGTGTGAGGAGGTGATAGAGGAGAGAGACTCACGCCAACGAGGCCGGCGGCAATAGCGCCGCCCTTGTCTGGCCATTGGTTGATGATGAAGGCGAGAATCACCAGCGTCGTCACGCTCGTCATCCAGGCAGCTGTGCGGGCGACTATCTGGACGATGCCGTAGAAGCTGGGGCAGCAGCTTCGTGCCATGGCTGTGGGTTGTGCCTTTGCGTGTGTAGGTTGTTGCTTAGAGGAGAATGGAAAGACGAGAGCTGAAGAGAAGGTAGGCCGATGCTGACGAGGGTCACATGAATGGATATGGCGAAGCAGTAGAGCAGAAAGCAGCAGCAAAGCTCAGGAAAGAATGATAAGAGTGAGAGAGGCGGCGTCGAAGTTGAAGGATACGAATGAAGAAGATGAAGCAGCAGCAGCAGCAGAAGAAGAAGAAGAAGAAAACAAGGCTAATCGTGGCGTCGCACCGCTGGACAGAATCGAGGCTGAACAATGACAATGGCAAAGGGTAGCACAATTCAGAGCTGAAAAGGATAAATACTAGATCTAGGTAGCTGGGCGGTAGCAGTGAGGAGCACAAGCAAGGGCAGAGAATTGGCGTGACGGGCAGCTCGAAACCAGCTGCCAGGGCCGGATGGCAGGCCGTTTGCTTTCCCACGTGAGGCGCGGAGCTCTTTGCCGACGTGGGTGGGTGAATGGGAGGGAGATGCAGAAGAATAATAATCACTCCATGGCATAAGAAGAAGACGAAGTGCAGGGGTTGTGGGAAGGTTGGTGGTTTTGTCTGTGCGTGGGCTGAGTGTAATATTGGTGATGATGTTTTTTTTGGCGGGTTGCTGGATCTGTTGGTGGTGGTGATGGTGGGATTCGAGCACAAATGAGGGGATACGGATTGCTTTTGCACGAGATACGGTACGTAGACGAGAGGAGAGGAGAAGTAAGATAGATGGGACACGAACAGCACGGAATCAGTACGCAAAAGATCTGGTGCGGCTGGTTGGCGGCATTTGTTGGAGATGCTGGGGGAAGAGACGGGAGGGATCTGGGCCAGTTGATTTGCTTGGGCGGCAATCCGGAGTGACGAGGTGTGATTTGCTGCCCGTCTCGCTCTCTAGACTCTCCGCCGGGCCGCTCTCTGTGTGTCATTTCGCACGATACGATGATCACCGACAGGGATGGGCAAATCAATAGCACAAGCTGGGTAAGCAGGCCTCATCTCTCATTTGAGTTGACTCTTGGTCTTGAGTTGCACAGAGCACAAGGAAATGCAGGGACTCGCACGACCCAGCCAAGAATCTTCAGCAAATGGATACAAAGCGCCCGTTGATTCCAGGCCATCAAAATCTCCTCTTATCGCATCCTCATAAAGAGGCATTGGCAAGGCAGAGCAGACAGCAGAGCAGAGGGCCTTCGTGAAAGCCCACCCAATGGTGTCGACAGGGATCTGAATAGCCGCTGGAGCCCAAGCAATCCATGCTCATGCGGCCAGAATCCCTCCGCTATCTAGTACGAGTGCTACCTGGGCCAATGCAAGGGTTGCTGGACTGCTCTAGTATTGGATTTCAGCTTACGCACGGATGCTCTGATACTCGTACTTGCCTGGACGGGTTTGACGTTGCCTTCATGTTTGTTGGCTGCTGCGGATGGTTGCAGGCGATCTCGGGCTGGTTTTGGTGTCGTTCATGGGGGATGCCGAGGGTTTGTGTGCTTTACCGATAGTGACCAATCTGGGGCCGGTACTAGTACCATCGCCGTATAACTGTGATGGTGTTGAGGATATCACATAGACTTATACTACCATTACATACAGCCATCAACACTGCAACACCAGCTTCATCTCTACACCATACACATCACGCAATCAAATACACAACTGACGCACACACACACACGCACACATGCATATTCTAATCTAGATCTACCGCGTCTCCGGGCGTCGGCCCGTCAGGAACCGTCTCTTCTAGCGCTGTGGGAACTCGAGTCAAAGTGAACGGCTTGCCGGTGCTGTTGCCCCATTTGCCCAGCCAGCCGGCTACAGCCCAGTCGGTATACCGTGCTAGTTGCTGATGCAATTGAGTTTGTACGGAGGCGATGGCTTATTTCGACGTCCAGAAGAGACAGGTACCTTAGTGGGTGGAAAGGGTAGGTACCGAGTCGGGTTTATACGTGGACTTGCTCTTTCAGGTGAACGACGTTTGGACTAGACGCTGCAAGATTGAGACTGCTTTCTTATACCTAGTATTTCTCTTTGTTGGTATTCAGAGCGGGTTCAATATGCAGAAAAGCAACTTATGACCTTGTAGCGCGGTTGCGTCTGGATAACGTGAAGCTTAATGCCAGCTTAAACCTTAGTTGAACTTTCACAAGGACGAAGCCAACAACCTCCAGGTTACACATCTCCATTTCCAGAGCAGACGTAGAGACACCATTCATTAGAACCCCTGGGAAGGAGACAGCATGGTATTCGAAACCGAAAGAGAACAGAAGCAAAACGAACAAAGAAGCAAGAGAAAATGGATACGTTTCCAGGACACATCGAGGACAACTCGCCCTCCCCTCCTCGACCGAGGCTTCACTTAGCCTCAAGCCTCATCCGCCTGGCTGGAACCATATCACTACAGCCTCATTTACCCAACCATGTCCATAACCGACCAAACACAGCCAGTGGCTTCCTCTCAGCCAGACCCTTTTCTGCTCTCGCCTCGGCCCTAGCCCCAGTGCGCTCGCTCTAATGCTCCTATCGATCAATTCACTTTGGTGTGTGGATCTGGCAAGCCCAGAGCCAAAGTGAGAGTTGATGTGAACGATGCAAGCCTTGACAGCCACTAGACAGCTGCCGGGAGCCCTCAAATAAATCTCGACTGTTTACTTCTCCCAATGTTGATTTCTTCCTCTTCAATATCACACATCTCAAGAACGAAGAGGCCTTTTCTTCAAAATATCTCAGCGTCTTCCATCAGGCGTTCATTTCAGACAAGCCAAGCTCAGCTCTTGACATTCAGCTCACTTTGAACAAAACAAACATCACCGCTATTCATTCTCCATCTCCACCTCTCACGCAACTTGCACACCTCCATCTCTGAGAGTTCACTCACTTCGAGCCTCAATATCGACATCAAATCCATCGCTCTCTTAGCCTTCCTCATCATTCGGCCAACGAAAATGGGCGACATATGCTCAGACGACCCTGTTGAATACACCAATAGACTCAAAAATATGCCGGAGATGGGTTCCAGCGCCAAAGTCATCGACAAGCCTGTCGAGCTGCCCAAAGACGACAGCGTGGAGGCCATCATGAAGCGTTATAGCTGCCGGCCCATTCCCTGCCGCAGTGTGAAGCAGCTGCTGGTGGACTTTCAAAGCCGTGAGTGTCCCTTATCGTCTTCCACGATTATTCTTGGTTGCCAGACATCCTATGAGCAGATTGATGCTGACAATACAAACAGCCATCGCCTTCAACCTGATGGCTCTGCTCTTCCTCACGCACCTCATGATGCCCCGATCCCGCGTCTACACGAGCCCCTACTTCAAGCTCTCGCACTACAACCCCGGCACGGGTCTCTACGCAATCGGTCGCTACGACTTTCACTTTGTCCTCTTCTTCGTCGTCCTCTTTACCGGTATCCGCCACGCCGTCATGGCCTTTGTGCTCAGCCCTCTTGCAGAGCGCTGCGGCATTGAGAAGAGGCGCGACAGGGAACGCTTCTCCGAGCAGGTGTGGAACATTATCCACTACTCCATTTTCTGGCCCTTGGGACTTGTACGTCTTCTCTCCAATTCATCTTGATACTTGTGTGAAACGAGAAACTGACGACGAGCAGTGCATCTGGTACACCTCGCCTTACTACCTCAACATGGCTGAGCTCTGGACCGACTGGCCCAACCGCGAAATCTCGGGCACCATGAAGTTCTACTTCCTGACACAGTCGGCTTTCTGGGCCCAGCAGCTGCTCGTGTCGCTCATCGAGAAGCAGCGCAAGGACTACTGGATGATGATGGTGCACCACCTCGTCACCATTGCGTTGGTTGCCGCGGCGTACTCGTACCATTTCACGCGCGTCGGCAACGTGACCATGATTATCATGGACGTCGTCGACATTGTCTTTCCAGTATGTATAGCCTGAATTCTCTGTGCTCAGAGATGATGCTAATTGCTGCCTGCAGCTTGCTAAATGCGCCCGATATCTCGGCTACAACCGCGTCTGCGACTGTCTCTTTGGCCTCTTCGTCGTCGTCTGGCTGGCCACCCGCCACGTCTTCTTCAGCATGGTCCTCTACAGCGTCTACCACGACGCCCACAGCATCGTCCCGCACGCCTGCTACCGGGGCTCCATGTCCGACCTCCAAGGCCCGCTCCCGCAGCCCGAGGGATGGTCCTGGATGCTCGAGCCGTTCAGCCAGCCCCAGGGCATCGTGTGTGTCAACAGCAACATCCTCAACGGCTTCTTCGCCTACCTCGCCGTCCTGGAGGGCCTCATGCTCATCTGGGGCTACTCCATCCTGCAGGTTGCCATCCGCGTCCTCCGAGGGCACAACGCCAACGACGTCCGCAGCGAAGACGAAGAAGAAGATATCCCGCGTGAGCTGGAGGGCCTGAATCCCGCCGACTACGAACACTTTGACGACTGGGGAAACACGCTCTACGAGCCCAAGGCCGACAGCAGCGTCGAAAAGAAGGTCCTGCTGTACGAGCCTGGCGCTGCGGAGGGCGGCGCGGTCAAGGCGTGGGACTGCGGCAACAGGCTGTCGCTCGTGAGGGGAGGCATCTCGAGCGGGCTGAGTGAGCATAAGGAGCTTCTGAGCCGGATTGGATGAAAGGTGTCACGGACTCATGTCTTTGACTTGACACATCTCTTGAGAAAAGGGGAAGAGAAAAAGGGGAGCGGTTGGGGGGTAAAGTTTGGCTGAGGGCCTTCATTCGTTGGATTTGATTGAGGGTGGATTGAGCTGAAGGTTAAGATTGCAGTGATGGATATGACTTTGCATATGGTCTTTTGGGCGGCTGGATATGATACGACATGGCTGCTGATGCCATTGTTGATTTTTGGGGAGCTGATAGCTTGCTGATACCAATTTGATCTGATTTGTACCAATGCTTGGCTGTTTGTACATGACGATGGTCTCGGTTTCTCTTATGCATGGGCAGGGCCATATGCCCACTCTTTCATCCACAAGACTAGGAGAATTCTTTCACCTCAATCTCCGATCAAAACACCAGGCGATTGTTGCCATACTGTAGCCAAGATATTGATTCAGATTGGCGTGACTCTCTCACTCCCCTGATGGAGCTGAAGGCCAACCCGCGGAGTCCGTGTCAAGGGACCCTTGCTGGCGTTCTCAAGCCAAGTATGGGGAAGCCCACCAATGGCCGGGATGGACCTGAAATGACCTTTACAGCAGATAGAACAAAAGAATTATGTTGTTTTACATGTGAATACAGTTGGAGTAGCTACCATCTGCGTTGAAAAGGAGGTTTTCGATTTGGAGGATTCCTCTATATAAGGTAGTACTCGATTGCCCATTCTCCCAGCCTGTCGGGTCTCAATTGTTTACTTGATGCCAACAGACGTCATCAGTCAGCACATCACCGATCCGGCACTTGTCAGTGGCCCTCCACTCCAGAATACCAAGCCGGTACCTGTCACCATCCCGCCCACAGCGCCATCTCGCCCACTTATAGCGCACTTATAGCCCCTCTCACCCCCCTGACAGCCTATTGCAGCCCAAAGGCCCCAAGTACCCCTCGGGTCACTCCCTAGCCGACGGCTTTAGAGCATGTGCTGCCACTTTTATAAGTCCACAACACCACGAACCCTCTCTTCTCTTCTTCCCTCCCTCCACTCGTGATCTTCCACCAACAAACATTCATTTTGCTCCTTTTCTCGTTTCAACCGCAGCAATGCCTCGGCTCGACGCCGCTCCATTGCTCAGCTCCTCCTCGTCTGTCCAAACCAATGCCTCGCCCAACCCTCGCCGCCGCCAGCAGCAGCAGCAGCAGCAGCAGGAGCAGACATCCGGCGGTCCCGACATCACCACCAACGGCTCCCTCCCACGGCTCTCGTCCGAACGCAAGAAGCGCCGAAAAGCTCGCTCGCTGCTCCGCCGCCTCGCCCGCTTCTCCGCGCGCAACACCTGGGCCATCCCCCTCGCGCTGCTCGCGTGCTTCGGCGCCGCCTACGCCGTCCACCCGGCCGAGTCGAACCCGGTCCACCACTTCATCTTCCTGTCGTACCGCCAGCCGAACCCCCTCGCCGACCTCGACCCGACGCTCCCCGCGCACTATGGCAAGGGCCTCTGGGACATCGCCTTTGTGGCATTCTACACCATCGTCCTGACCTTCTCGCGCGAGCTCATGATGCAGGAGCTGCTCATCCCGCTGGGCCGCCGCAACGGCATCAAGAGCCGGGGCAAGCTGCAGCGCTTCGCCGAGCAGATGTACACGGCCATCTACTTCAGCCTCATGGGCCCGGCGGGCGTCTACGTCATGAGCCGCAGCCCCGTGTGGTACTTCAACACGGCCGGCATGTATGAGGCGTTCCCGCACCGCACGCACGAGGCCTGCTTCAAGTTCTACTACCTGTTCCAGGCGGCGTACTGGGCGCAGCAGGGCATCGTCATGCTGCTGGGCTTCGAGAAGCCGCGCAAGGACTACAAGGAGCTGGTTGCGCATCATGTGGTCACGCTGGCTCTCATTGGATTGAGCTATAGGTTTCACTTTACACACATGGGGATTGCCGTGTATATAACCCACGATATCAGCGACGTCTTTCTTGCTGTAAGCTCTCTTTTTCGCTCTCAATTTCTCACTCTCCGTCCCACATGACACTAACTCAACGCACAGCTCTCCAAATCCCTCCACTACATCGACAGCCCCCTCGTCGTCCCCGTTTACGTCTGCAACATCTTCGTCTGGTGCTACCTCCGCCACTACATCAACCTGCGCATCCTCTACTCCGTCCTCACCGAGTTCCGCACCGTGGGGCCCTACGAGCTCGACTGGGAGACGCAGCAGTACAAGTGCTGGATCTCCAACGCAATCACCTTTGCGCTGCTCGCGTCGCTACAGGCCCTCAACCTCTTTTGGCTCTATTGCCTGCTGCGCAGCATGTACAAGTTCCTCGTCTACCGCATCAAGAAGGACGATCGGTCCGAGTCGAGCGGCGAGGAGGAGGGGCAGCCTTTGGTGCCCGAGGGAGTTGAGGGTGGTCTTGAGAAGCCTGCTGCCGACGGATCGTCATAAAATACGGTTCTCCACGACACCTTGGAACCTGTTCTTGGCTCACGGACTGGTCCTCTTTGAGTACCAAGAAGGATCGAAACGTCGGTTTGATATTTCGAGTCACTGAAAACCAACACTTGTAAAACAACTTCATCCATGGCGACAGCGACGACAAGCCATTATTCTCGCGATATAGGGAAGCGAAGGCCCTGTATATTCAGAGATACCTTGCATATATGAGTTTCACGGCTGATTCCATGCCAAGCTGCCATGGACCCCTTTGGATATTGGGCGACGCTGCTTGGAAAACGCATACACGACTTACTTGTGTATATCTATACTGTATCAATAGTAATACGTAATCATAGCATTCTCATTGTACATCACTTCTATGATCACGGGACTCCCTTGGAACATGCTGATATCCATTCAAACCAAACCCTCGCATATACCATGCGTTTCCTACCAAACGCCGGATTTGTCTGCAAAATCTAGAGAAGAACGAAATACGCCGCGACTCCTGATATATACCGAACCATCCACCTATATACTGCCATCATTTCATCATATATATTCAAAAAGCATACTCTTCCACGTGCAGATAGATGCCCTGCGCCCCCGTCCCCTTATGTACCGCCCGCTCATCGCTCAACCGACTCACGCAGTTGCGCGTCGCAGCCACAATCTCAGGCCCGCCGCAGACGACCACAGCTGTCTCGCCGCGCGCCGCCTCGACGGGCTGCCGGATGAGCTGCTCCATGTCGGGGCGGGAAGAGTATTCGCGGATGACGGGGAAGCGGGACGGGGCCATCAGGGCCGTTGTTGTCGCGTTCTCCAGCTTTTCCTTTTCGTCGTTGTCCGCGGGAGATTCTTGGGGCGTCTTGGTGTCGCAGCAGCAGGAAGACTTTGCGCCATCTTTGACGACCTCTTCGAGTTCGGAGCTGCTACTGCTGCTGTTGCTATTGCTAGCAGCCGAGTTGTGTGAAGTGCTGGTGTCGTTGCGTGAGAGGGGAAGGCCATCGGTGCCGAGTGCAGAGTTGGTAACGGCAAGATGGATGTTGACGGCGACGCCTTTCTCGACCAGAGCCTCGCCAGCCGCTCGTGCTCGCTGGACATAGTACTCCATCTCCTTGGAGGTCCTGGCAATCAGCAGCACGTCGATGCTCTTGACGCATCCCACAAAGTCGGCCTGGGCTGCGGCCTCGAGCAGCGGCAGAGTGAAGCTTGCTCCGGTCGATGCGCCGATGAGAACCATGGTCTCGTAAATATCCCACCGAGGGGGCGCGCCAAACGGACCATAGAGGAAGCCGGTCAGAGTGCCCTCGGGATTCTTGGAGGCATAGTCGTGAATGCGCTTAGAGAAGCCCTTGTGCTTGCGCAGAATCAGCTGGATGCTGTTGCAGCAGCACGTCCCCTTAAGCTTGCGCGCACAGGCAATGGTGTACGGGTGCGCCTCCAGGGGCCCCAGCCGCGGAAGCCACAGGTAGATGTGCTGGCCGGCAATCCAGTCGAAATGCACATCTTTGATGGTGACGACGGTGGTCGCGTTTCCCACGGTTCGCGCCAGGATCTGGTGGCCAATTCGACGTCGCCCCTGACACGCTGATCCGCCGGCCCTGACCCGCAGGTTATGCCACAACAGCAGCACCCATCGAGCGGCGCGGTCAAAGACAACAAACGAAACGGCCAGCCAGAAGAGGAAGCGGGCGTTGGTGGGAATGTGCCAATACACGAGCACCAACATGACGACGGACGAGGCAACGTGCTGCAGCACCCACAACTCGTAGGCCATTCGCCGTATCGGCACGAAGCCGACGACGACGTTCCACAACAGGATGCCCCAGGCGCCCAGGCCGTACTTGACCATTGTCATCATGTCCAGCTCGTCCTGCAGGATGCCGCCGCGCACCCACTCGGTCCAGAAGTTGAAGCCGTGGACGGTGGCGGTGACGAACATTGTGCGCGCCACCCAACGGTGCAGCCAGTTGAGCCGCTCGTGGCTGGTGCCGATGAGGAAGCCGACGATGTTGACCTTGCTGGACAGCAGGAAGAGCATCGGCAGCTGCGTGAGCGTGACCCAGGCGTTGCGGTAGGCGAGTCGCTCATAGAAGTTGATGTCGTGGATGATGGAGTGCCAGGTCATGAAGTAGATGATGACGGCCCAGTAGCAGAGCAGCACCAGGACGCGGCCCAGGGGAGGCGGCGTGAGCCAGGTGAAGTGGCGGAGGGGGACGAAGAGCTGGGGATGGCTCATTTCGCGGACCATGGCGGTTGCGGTGGCCCAGCACTGGCTGACGAAGCCATCTGGACGAGTGGGATCAGGCGTTGACTGGCTGCGAGCGGCTTTGAGTCTGTGGTGAAGTTAGTTGAGGGTCGGAGGTGAGGTGGTGGGAGAAGCGAGGATGGCATCGACGGACCTCTTGACAGCACCGACGTAGTTGATGCCTCGAATCAGCATGAGTGATCCCACAACGGTAGCGGCGATGTACCAGTAGGCGCGGGCAAGGCGGTGGTTGGTGTTGGCATCGACGCCGGTCATGCCATCGCCGGTCATGTCCATACCGCCCATGTCGTCCATGTCGTCCATGGTGAGATGTTGGCGGTGTTGTGTCTAGATGTGTCTATCGAGTATATACAGATGCAAGTCAAGGGTGAGACACGGCGAATGAGCGTTTGCGTGATTGTAAGAAGAGACTAGGCGCTCTTAGTCGTGCATTGTTCTCCTCCTTTCCTCGTCCCAGCAAGCAAACGACACACTTGTCGGCGTCGTACTTCTTGTATGCGTAGAGCGACGATGCCGTTTGCCGTGTTTGCCGGTGACAGATAGATATGGTCAGAGACCAGAGCAAGTTGACTATGAGCAGGTTTGTCTGAGGCGGAGAGGAATTATCAATAACTCGCTCACGGAGAATGTGGGGGTTGCTGGATGGTTTCGGTTTCGGCTTCTTTTGGCCGAGTGTTGCTTCCGGGCGGGATGCGAAGGTACCTGTAAGCAGCTGACCAGGAGGCGGGTGGTGGAGGCTGATGCTTAAAATACGCGGGAGGCTAAAAAGAAGGGAGAGGGCGAAGATGAAGCTGATGCAGCTGGTGATGATGGTGAAGATGAAGAGTTTCAGCCTTTGGTCAGTGGTTTTGCTGGTGGAGGAAGTCGATCCCTTGATGGTTCACGTTTCAAATGTCGAGGTGCCACGAGGCAGTCGCAGTCGCAGAGCCACCTGCCGCTCTTTCCATCGAGAGAAGATACCTGTCAAGAAGTACCCTCAATTGCCCCGTTCGGTCCCAGGAGGGAAGTTCAATGCTTCATCAATCATCGCATGATACTGCTCTACTTGGCTCTACCGCTGCATCTGTGCGTGGTCTCAGGTACTTGCATACCACCCAACACCGCTGCGAGCTGCAAACGCTCGAGAATAAACTTGCTCAAATGCTCTCAGATGGGTAGCACCGGCGCTTCTGATTGGCTGCTTGAGGGCCCGGTCCCTGTCCTAGCCTCGCCGCCAGTTCGGGAGCCGGGAATCCAAAAGCCACTCGCTTCTTTTTTACGATCTAAGAAGTCATGCAGAATTCATCAGGGTACAGATGCTCGTCGTAGTAATACTGCTTCATCACGAGAATGCTGTTGGCCTTGACAAGATCAATCAATCAACCTCTCTGTTCTCAATTGCATTGGATGCCTCTTCCTTGACGACAACCAACAGCCGCATTCAGTCTCCCTGTTTGCTCGTCTCCCCTCGCAACACAAGTACCACCACATCGAATACCTACTGCCCCTCGTTTCACCCGCGCAAAATACTCGTAGGAACAACAACAAAACAACTCCGTAATCTTGCTCAAAACCATTGAAGCTACCGTTTCAATCTTGTTGCCCCCTGTCCGCCCGTCACCGCGCCCACAGCTGCCCGCCTTTGCATGTGGCCGTTGCTCCAGTGGCGCCACCCCCCCCTTCTAGTACTGGTGGAGCGCGCAGGTTCCTCTGAAGGGTCCTCTGTAGCTGCTAGAAGCGGGCTGCTATAAAGCTCGAGCACGGTGACAGCCTCGCCATCCCGTGGCTCGACCTCTCTCCCTTTCTTCTCCAGCCTCTTCCAACTCGTCCACTTGTCAACCTCACTTCAACTCTAGCCAAACTCTTCCCTCTCGCCTTCCCCCACCAAACTTTACCACCAACCGTCACCATGCGTGCCTCATCCGTCCTGCCCGCCATCCTCTCCCTGGCCTCCCTCTCGTCGGCCCACTTCCTCATGAACTACCCCAAGTCCATCGGCTTCAGCGACGACGACGAGGGCACCTCCCCCTGCGGCAGCTTCACCCCGGATCTCTCCTCCGGCTCCAGCCAGCTCGTCGACTTCCACGTCGGCGGCGACTCGCTGGCCATGCGCAGCACCCACCCGCAGGTCAACTGGCTGTTCCGCGTCACCCTGGACTCGTCCGCCAAGTCTGACTGGCAACAAATCTTCCCCATCGTCCAGCAGAGCGGCCTGGGCAACTTTTGCGAGCCTCAGATCGTGCTGCCGTCCAGCTTCGCGGGAAAGAAGGGCGTGATTGGCATTGTGGCCGACGGTCCCGACGGCCTTCTCTACCAGGTATGTGATGATGATGCCCGGCTCGACTCCGTTCAAGGAAGCATGAGCTAACACAGATCGCAGTGTGTTGCCGCCAACTTCGTTTCTGGCTCCATCGACCCTCCCTCCGCCTGCAAGAACGCCTCCGTCACCGCGTCCTTTGTCAGCGACTCTAAGCTCACGGCCCTCGTGTCCGGCAGCGTCTCCGGCGGCTCGTCCAGCAACAGCACCGGCTCGTCCTCTTCCACCCCTACCAGCCCCTCGAGCACCCAGAGCAGTGCTGCTGCCGCCAGCACCTCCAACGCTGCCGTTGCCCTGCGTGCGTCGTGGTCCGTTTCCGGCGTCAACCTGGGCGGCGCCCTGACTGCGGTGACCATGTTCTTGGCCGGCGGTGCTCTGATGTTGTAAAAGAAAGGATGGAACGGGTTGGGGTTGTAAGAAAAATTGGGATTTGTCTTCTTCATATTTGTTTTATGGGGACGTCATATAACGATGTCATTTGATACCTACGAGAGCATGCATGCATGACATGGGCGTTTGATATAATAATGCAATGATTCTTTGCCATGACGAGCCAAACACAACATCTGTCCATTGCTCTTGTGTGATTGTATTCTCTTGAACCATCCTCCATGGCTGTCTCTTCTCATTCAGTGTCCGTCAATGGACACACACCTTAATCGTCACAATCCCATCACTGCAACTCGCCTCAACACCAAAAGCCCGTCACCAGCACGACAAAACCCCCATCATCCCTCCCGCCTCCACGTGCATCTGCTTATACATCTCACCCGCCAAACCACGTCCAGCAAATCGGCTGCATCTCCTCTTGCGCCTCCTTCTCCACCCGTCCCTCTTCTCCACCATTCGCGTCTGTCCACCGCCCTCCAAGTCTCTCCAGGTTCCCGCTCTTGTCACCGCAAATCACCACGAGCTGCTGACTTGAACGAAACACTCTTCAACTTCAATTGACGAGACATTGCGACAATGCCGTGATCAATTGGTGTTTTGCTATCTGTGTTGGAGCTGGAACGATGCGATGCGGTGATATCAGCGCATATTCACTGCAATTGACCGAGTATTCCGCCATCTAATACGCTGAACGCTTGAACCTCTGTCGATGCGTCCTGGAGATACTTGATATTGGGTTCATGCCTCTCACCCCCAATGCTGCGCTCTTCAGTTAATTCAGTCGTCCCGACAGTCAATTTCTCTCACTATAAGACAATTTCACATTTACAAGTCTGATGGCTTCTTTTTACCCTCTGGAATTCCGTCCACGTCTTACCGCCATGGCATATCAACAAGACAAGCTCCCTTCACAACAGGGCATGTTCACGATAGAAGATACTTCCACTTTATACTCGTCCATCCCTCTTCAATATGCTATATCTACGAATCCAGACACGGCAATCTTGACTGCGGTGAAAGACGTCACCATCACGCAAGCGCTCTCACTCCTCTCTGCGGGCATCTTCGCCCTCTATGTCAACAGAGGCTTCATCAGATCCCATCTACCGCCATGGCTGAGGCCATTCGCCAACGAAACCGCCCCCGAGGGCATCAAGCGTCGCTTCTGCTCCGTCTGGGCCATTCTCCTGCTTCTCATCAGCATCGCAGGGCTCGTCCTCTCCTTCGTCCCCGTCTTGCTGAATCCGACCCGCTACCTGTACCTCTGGGAGGCGGTTCCCTGGGCGTCGGCCCTCTTCATCACCATCTGGGATCGCCCGACCAAGACGCCAAAGCTCTTGTTGGTTCAATACACGGCTATCCTTGGCGCCAGCACCGCCATGTACGCCATCCGGTTCCTAGATCGCTCTCTCTACGGCATCGACCGCTTTCGTCTCGCCAGGATGGCCCTCTCCGGCCTGGCCATGATCCTCATTGGCATGATGCCTCTCCGGGAGCCCAGCTGGGGCAGCAGAGACATCGGCCAGTCCCACGGCAAGCCCTTGCGCACCCTACGCAGCCCCGAAGACGACCTGAGCCTCTTTCGCTTCTGGACAATGAGCTGGGTCAACCCCCTGGCCCGGCTCTGCCGCAAGCGCGAGATCACAGAGGACGACGTCTGGCAGCTGCCCTTTGAGTTCCAGCACCTGCGCCTGTACATGGCCTTCCGCGAGCTTCAGGGAAAGCTCCTCCCGTGCTTGATCCGGGCCAATGGCTTGGACTTGACGATTGCGACGCTGCTGGCCGTGTCCGAGAGGGTTGCCGAGGTGTCCAACATCCGGCTGACGAGCCAGCTGTACAATGCGCTGGATACGAGGAACCCGGATGATGCCATATTCTGGGGCTTGGTGATGCTGGTTCTGGATTGTGCTCGCCAGCTGTGCAAGACGACGTCTTCGTGGTACTCTCGCAAGGCGTACGAGCGGTCTCGCGGAGAGGCCTTCATCGCGCTCTTCGGCAAGCTTTTGACGCGCGCAGTTCCGGGCTCGGACGTGACGGAAAAGGGCCCCGACGAACCAGATGCTCCTCTAGGACGCGGGAAGCCCAGGTCATGGCTGGCCAGGATGCTATGGAGGAAACCCAGCACCCCTAGACACAGCTCCAAGGCACTTCCCGGATCAGCTTCAAACGCAAAGGTCGTCAACCTAGTGCGAGGAGATACGTACGAGATCTCGCAGCGGTTCTGGGAATTCCCCAAGCTCATCTCCCAACCCATCAAGGTTGTCGTCACCATGTACTACCTCATCGACATCATGGGCTGGCCGTCAGCCATCGGCGTCGGCCTGATGCTCATCTTCCTCTTCGTCAACTCGACGCTGGTCGGCAAGCTGATCACGCTCGAACGACAACGAACATCCATCTCCGATAAGCGCGCCCAGGCCGTCTCCCACTTTGTCGAGGCCAGCCGTCCCCTCAAGCTCAACGGCTGGACCGCCACTTGGAGCGCCAGGATCATGAAGTTTCGGGGCCTGGAAATGGCCAAGCGGCTGAGCATTGCCTACGTCTCTGCTGCCATTTCCACCGTCAGCGTCGCTGGCGGGACGACGTATCCGTTGGCCAGCATCGCCTTGTACACGCTCATTCTTCGACGAGGGCTGCCGAACGACGTGATTTGGCCGTCGCTGCAACTGTTCTCCCAGCTGGAGATGAGCGTCAAGGAGGCCTTTGATCTCATCTCGGCGTACTGGAAGGCCACGATCCCCATTGAGCGAGTCAACAAGTACATGGCCGAGCCCGACAGAGACGACATCTCCAACAACCCCCGCAGCGTCACGGACATCGAGTTCCGCAACGCCTCCTTTTCCTGGCCCTCCACCGAGAAGCGCATCCTCCAGGATCTCAACTTTAAGTTTACAAAGGGCCTCACCGTCATCCGAGGAAAAGTTGGGTCCGGAAAGTCGAGTCTTCTCCTCGCCGCCCTCAACGAGATGGAGCTTCACGAAGGCGACCTCATCAGGCCTGATGTTCCTGTAGCTTATACCCAGCAACTGCCCTGGCTGCAGAACAAGACGATTCGAGAAAATATTGTCTTTCACCAGCCGTTCGACTCGTCAAGGTACCAACAGGTCCTCCACGCCTGCGCCCTTCTACCGGACCTCGCCTCGCTTCCGGACGGCGATCAGACGAAGCTCGAAGAAGGCGGCATTGGTCTTTCCGGAGGCCAAAAGGCGCGCGTGTCTCTCGCCAGAGCCGTCTACAGCCAGTGCAGTATCATGCTCCTAGACGACCCGCTTGCTGCTCTGGACCACGACACAGCAAGTGCGATTGTTCGCCGATTTCTCCAGGGTCCCCTTGCCGAGGGCCGTACCATCGTTATGGTGACGCACCGAGATGATCTTGTTCTCCGGATCGCCGACAAGGTGATTGATCTAGACGACGGAAAGGCAACAGTGCTTTCAGAAGAACAAATCCGGCTCGAGCTCGAGCATCCATATCACGACAACGGAAAGACGACGCACGATGACTCCGAGACAGCCCACGACATCTCCTCCGAGAATATCGTCGTTCTCAAAGACGCCCCTGAGGAACCAGCAAAGACAGGAAGCGTACCACTGAGTGTCTACAAAGAATACATCCTCGCCGGCGGATGGCACCTCTGGGTTCTCCTCGGCTTTTCATACGGCGCCTCCCGGATATGCGACATATCACGCGCCCGCCTCCTAGAAGCATGGGGCTCCAACTCCGTCCAACTCGGCACGAAGAGCACACGCTGGGGCCTCCTCCCTCCGCCAGACACACACCCCCTCCCCTGGCTCCTCGTCCTCGCCGGTCTCTCAGCATGCCAAATCGCAACATACGCCGCGGCCCAGCTCCTCCTGGCGCAGATCAGCGTTCGCGCAGCGCAGGGCCTGTTCAAGGTGGCCATCGAAAAGGTCAGCAGGGCGACGTTCCGGTACCACGACACCACGCCGACGGGCCAGCTTAAGAACAGGCTCATCGCGGACATGGGCATGGTGGACGGCGGCATCGTCGCGCCCCTCGAGTCGTTCGTGTACAACCTCATCGCCCTCGTCCTGAGCCTGCTCGCCATCGCCTCCCACCAGCCCGCGCTGCTCCTCATCCTCTCCGCCGTGGCGGCCCTCTTCGTGCACTTCTTCCGCATCTACGTCCCCGTGTCGCGCTGCCTGCGCCGCATGGAAATGCGCTACCTGACGCCCATCATCGCCAACATCGGCGTCATGCAGGACGGCCTCGTCACCATCCGCGCGCTGCGCGTCGAGCAGCACTTCCAGGACCGCCACCTCGACGCCGTCGACGACTTCCAGAAGCAGGACCACTTCTTCTGGAGCATGGCTTTCTGGCTCGACTTTCGCCTCAGCCTGAGCTCTGTCATGACGCGCACTGTCTTGATCCTGTTCATGGTCTGGCGCGGCACGAGCGCCAGCGCCGTGGGTTTTGTGCTGACACAGACGACGATTGCGATGGCGGCTGTGCAGCAGCTATGCGAGCGGTTTGCGCAGCTGCAGCTCGACGCCGTGTCGTTGGAGCGCGTGAACATGCTCAAGGAGATTCCAGAGGAACCCAGTGGCGGAGAGGAGCCCCCCGAGGACTGGCCGCGACCGAGCGACGACGTCAAGTTTGAGCGTCTGTCGTTCAAATACGACGCCCACCTGCCCTGCGTGCTGGACAACGTCTCGTTCGAGATCCCCGGCGGCTCGACGTGCGCCGTCCTCGGACGCACAGGATCCGGCAAGTCGACCGTTGCCAACGCCCTCCTCATGACACAGGCCCCCCACGAAGGAACCCTCAAGATCGGCGCCGTCGACCTCTCCCGCATCAACCGCACCGCCCTCCGCAACCGCATCACCTTCATCCAGCAAGACCCCATCCTCTTCCCCGGCACCCTCCGCGACAACATCGACCCCGGCGCCTCCTTTTCCGAAAAGGCCTGCCAGGAGGCCATAGCCCGCGTCCTCGGCGGCGCCTTCTCCGTCACCACGCAGATCGACGCCGCGGGCAAGAACCTCAGCCAGGGACAGCGGCAGCTCGTGGGGATCACGCGCGCTGTGCTGAGGAGGAGCGGGTTGGTGATCCTGGACGAGGCGACGGCGTCGATTGACCGCGCGACGGCGGCGACGGTGCAGCGGATCTTGAGGGAGGAGTTGAGGGAGAGCACGGTGGTGACGATTGCGCATCGGCTGGAGGCTGTGGAGGATGCGGATTGGTGTTTGAGGTTGGAAGGGGGGAGGGTTGTTGGTTGCGGGCCTGCGAGGGGGGTGATGGATAAGGGGGGAAGTGATTGATATGGTTGATGATGAGTGTTTGGGTCGATGGGTATTTCATCAGGATGAATGGATATGTATAAAGAATGGAAATATTGGATATATCGCAACGGAAGTGGATAGAGTATAAAGCATACTTAGATACCTTACATGACTATATATATATATATATATATATATATCTACGTAGATATAGATCAGGTTATATACCGTCATTGCTATGACAGACTGCATGGACAATTATATGTAGAGTCTTGCAGCTCAACCTCAGAATGATGTGATGATACGTTGAGGCTCCTTTTACTTTGACAGCCATGTTATGTATCTGCATCGCTTCATTTGTCACGACACGGAATATATACATATAACCTTTCGCATCACGCTGGACAAGGCTAGACGGATTCAAGCACAAGCTTCGTAGATGAACATGATCGCTCAACCATCCCACGCTCCATGCCGGCAACCGTGCTATGCAAACACAAGAGTCCTCCTCCCAGCGCCACGCGGCACTCCTTCATATCTATCCGAGTCGTCGTCGTAATTCATTCGAGTGATTCATCACCCGGCATCCCAGTTTGTACTCGATCCAAGATGTAAACACACCGCTCCAACACGCATTTATAAAACCTTGGCTCCGTCGTACAACCCAGGAAGAACAGAAAAGAAGTGAACAAAAGGGGGAGAGGAGAACGAAACCAAGCCCGCCGTCCCCCGTCCCAGCCAGGGCGTCACCACCTCATATTACAATGTGTTATCAGAGTGCTTTTCTCCAACCATGAACCGGTCACACAACTCGTATTCGCTCGTTTACACTTCCTCTTCGGTTTGCACAGCCTCGTAGCCGCCTCGCCTCATTCCAGCAATGTTCATGAGAGCAGGCGTCTCATACATTGCCGTGTAGTCGACCTTATCGCCACCGAGCATCGCATATCCCGACTCGCGCTGGCTAAAGATGGGTGCGGGGTCGCACCAAAAGTCCTTGCAGTTCGTCATGCAGCCCCTGCTGTAGGGGTTCTTCTTCTTACGCTTGTTCTTCGTCGTAGCCGCGCCCCGGCCTGTAATGGTCTCGATGAAGGGATCGACTCCCAGCAGCTGGCTCCACTGCTTTAACAGACCGCCCTTGTGCTTGTGGCCGTGCGCGTGGCCGCTTGCTGGCGCAGCAGGAGCCGAAAGGGACGGGTGGTTGGGGTCGAGAGGAGCGCCTGTGGACGTAAAGGCAGTGGACAGCGAGGTGTTGGCTCGAATGCCCGTCATGTTCTCGTACGTGGTCATGGCACGCGAAACTTGGATAAACTGCGTGAATAGCAACATGGAGACCCATAGCAGCTGAAGAGATGCCCACATGGCGAGGAGGAGCGTGTAGGAGTCAGCATTGATATATCGGCAGATGTTAGGGCCGAAGAGGGTGCAAGACTCGGAGGCTGAGGGTGTAATTTGTTCATAGTCTGATGAAGTCAGCCACATTCATCGTAAAAGTCTCATGAGGAGTCATACAGTAGTATAAAAGCCAGTCATAGAGCGGAATTCCAATGGTAAGGAAGATGAGGTAGAAGAAGAACTGGCGATGGTTGTTGACGCCAACGCAGTTGTACACCCACGGACAGTGGCTGCAAGGTCAAAATTAGCACGATCGGTTCATAACGGCCGAAGATCTCGTTTCATCTTACTGGTCATGCTTGGCCACGCATCGCTGGCATCGGCGACAATGCTTGCTTCGCAATGGCGTGCGAATCATGCAGACGACGCAAAAGTTGGACTCGTCAAACTTCCACGACTTGAGCAGCTCGTCGATGACGGCCCTCTGCTCGGCAATGCCGTTCATCTTGGGCACAAAGCCCGGGTCGTATCTGATCGAGGCAATGTAGAAAAAGGTGGTCAAGCCGAAGGCTGCTGCAAAGGCAAGGTTCAGGAGGAGGTGGGACGATGAGCCTTGCCATCCTATGGTCGCCGGCAGGATGTAAAAGAGCCAATTGATGCCGACCAGGGACAGAGATCCGGCAAAGATGCCCGCCATCCAGGGCTGTTTAGACACATTAGCGACGACCCCTATACAGATTCAATGGAAGCACTTACAGTCTTGTGAAATTGGCGCATGTCCGAGGGAGCATATTCCAGCACCTGCTTGGCCACCCACAGCAGGCCATAGGCCACGCCTACTGCCAGCGGCAGGCCGATGAAGACGGGAAAGCTGGACAGAGTTACCAGCACCAGCCACACCATCAGAAAGGGCCACAGGAACAGGAAACGGGTGAGGAAGGCCTTCTTGTCTTTGAGGAAGTAACTCGCGCCGGGCCAGGGGGGCGTCGCGACATGGCCGTCCTCGTCGTAGCCGCACTCGCGCAGGGCCCGGTGCCAAGCGGCCGTGGTGTTGAGCTCCGTGGCCGTCAGCGCCGGGGTCTTGCCCGTGTCCGTCTTGGCAAAGCGGTCGGCGCCGTACTCGATCATCTTGAGGACGCAGGCGGCGTTGCCCTTGACCAGGGCCCAGTGCAGCGGCGTGAAGCCCTGCTCGTCGGTGGCGTGGACGTTGGCCCCCCAGCGCAGGAAGACGTCGACGAGCTGCGGGAAGCCCTTGTAGGCGGCCCACATGAGGGCCGTGTGGCCGTAGCTGTCGAGGACGTCGACGGGGATGCCCTGGTGCAGCAGCAGGACGATGAGCAGGACGTTGCCGTTGAAGGTGGAGATGTGCAGCGTGTTGTAGCCCTGGGAGTCGGTGATGAGGGGATCGGCGCCGCGCTGCAGCAGCAGGTTGACGGTATAGTAGTGGCATCGCTGGGCCGCCCACTGCAGAGGCGTGGCCACCGACTCGCCGCCCTTTTTGTTGAGTTCGGCGCCGTGCTCGATGAGGAACGCGCACATGGCGTACTGGTTGTTGATGGCGGCCCACTGGTTGGCAGAGTTGGAAGTGTCAGCTGTGTCTCTCCTGTGTGTTTCTGCTCAGGCGTCTGCGTCTTTGCGGCTCACATGTAACGGCGTGATGCCCTCGTCGTCGCTGTACGTGGCATCGTACTCGCCCGAGGCAAACAGCTTCTCCATGCCGGCCACGTCGCCGATGCGGGCCAGCTGCATGATGTCGTTGTCCGGCGGCGCCTCGTCCGCGGGCAGGCTGCCCATCTCCATCTCGCTGTTGAGCTTGGGCGCCGCGGCGGCTGCCTTGGACGACGGTTGCATTCGCAAGGGCGCTGCGGCCGCGCTGGTGGTGGAGGAGGCCGAGGAGTTCCTTGCGCGAGCTGGCAGGCTGTCACTACCCATGTAATGACGGCTCTTGACGGTGCTCTGTACGAGGCAGCGGATCGAGAGGTAGAGGCACAGGAGGGTCAAGCGGCGTAGAACCGGAAACGAGCGTCGTCCGCGCTCTCCGGCGTCGTCGAGTCGAGCTGGAGGGCTGAAGGGTCGAAGCCGGACCTGGATCTGACGGGCCAGTTACGCGAGACGAAGCCGTTCAGCTGCGGGAGCAGGCGAGTTTAAAAAAAAAAGGAAATAAGATAAGAATCAATGATGGGGAAAAAAGGCAGTAAAGAAGATAACAAAAAAAGAAAAAGAAATGCCAGGGGTGGTTCTCGGATTTGGCGGCTCGTTAGGCGAGGGTGACGAACCGGATCTATTAGAGATGGACGAGGGTGAGACTTGGTGGAGAGAGGACGATTATTAGAGCGGGATATCGATAACAGCCAGACGGATTACGCAGCATTAGTGAGTGAGTGAGCGAGTGAGTGAGTGGCGGAGGGACAGGATGGCGCAGCAGACGCCGAATGCTTGCGCTGACGGAGAAGAGAGAGAAAGTAAGAGTAGTAAGCAGATGGAAAAGAAGATCTGTTTGAAGTAGACGACAAGGCAGGGAACGGATCAGGGGCGTAGGATTGGGATTGTCGCGTGCGTTGCGGCTGAAGAGAGGATCGCGTTTGTCCAATTGGCAATGGCAATTGATAGCAGGAAATTAGGTGACGATGCTAGCCTGGGGGAGTCTCTAGATAGGCGCTTATACATACATAGCAGACTCCCGTCTGTCGTCGTATTTCTTTAGGTGGTTGACCGCATCATAGAGCTCGGCTGTCAATGATGGCACAGCTTATGAACATCATAGACAGCTGCAGCCAGTGCATCACTTCAAGCTAAAATCACACTGATGGCCCATTCAAAGACATGCAGCTCCGAATCGTGAAATTCCGAGCACACGGACCTCGTCAACCAACAGCTCGGCAAGCCACATCTAGCGAATCCAATCCCGGCTGTGGCGCAGGAAGCTCCACGTCCTCACTCGCCACACTTGGCAGGGTCCAAACTTGACAGAACAGCATCATCTCAGCTCGCCTCGCCTCGCCTCGCCTCGTCCGACTGCCCATCTCCATCGTTCGAGGGGATCGGGGCCGGCTTCGTCTTTTCGCATCGCATCAGGCCACGTCTTCATATTTTCCCTTTTTTTTCCTAGAAAAGGCGACCTGGACTCGACCAATTGCGTCCTCATACAAAAAGCGCCGCATCCTTCACAACAAAACTCAATACAGGACAAAGCTCCCCTCTCCAGCATCAACCCAAGGCAACACTCGCCCACCATGGTCTCCGCCGCCGAGCTCTTCGAGCTCATCATGACGCCCTCCATTCCCGTCATTCTCATTGGCATCATCATCATCCTCGGCGCACCCGTCCTCCTCCACCTCTTCCTTTCCTCCTCCTCGACCTACACCACCCCCCCGAGCGTCCTCCTCCTGGGGCCCGACAACGCCGGCAAGACGGCCCTCCTCACCCTCTTCGAGCGCGGCACCAAGCCCGCCTCCACGCACACCTCGCAGGTTGCGCACTCCATCGAGCTCAACGCCTCCACCGACTCCGTCACCAGGAGCTCGTTCCGCAACCACGACGATGCGACGGGCACGCACACCAAGTTCTTCCTCGTCGACACGCCCGGCCACGGAAAGCTGAGGAACGTCGCCATGGGCAAGCTCGCGCGCACGGAAAAGGTCAAGGCGGTCGTTTTCATGGTCGACGCCGCTGCTCTGGGCGAACAAGAGACCCTTGCGCCCACCGCCGCGTACCTCTACGACGTCCTGCTGTTTCTGCAGAAGAGGGCCACTTCCAAGGGCAAGGACAAGGCCTCTATCCCGGTCCTCATCGCAGCCAACAAGATGGATCTCTTCACCGCGCTGCCCGCCACTATGGTCAAGTCGCACCTCGAGCTGGAGCTGTCCCGGATTCGCGCCTCCCGCAGCAAGGGCCTGCTCGACTCTGGCGTCGGCATGGACGATGTCGGCTCTGAGGAGCAGGACGGCTGGCTGGGCGAGTATGGATCGGAAAAGTTCACGTTCCAGCAGATGGGCGAATTCGACATTGACGTCGAGGTGCTGGCTGGCAGCGTCCTGACGGAGGAGCCTGGTGCCGACAAGTGGTGGTGGTGGATCGCCCAGAGGATATGAAAGACTCGGAGACGGATGCAGGATACGAGTATGAGATGGGATGAGATATGCTTTGTATGAGTACCAACGCCGCACTTGGCTATAAATGTTTAATGACGAATGGGTAAAGGTGGGAAAAAAGGTCATAATGAGGATGCATAACGTTCATATACATTTATCATCTGTACAACACTACTAGGTATCGATGAATAGAGATGGGTGAAAATCATTTTGCTATTTTCTAACATGCAATTCCCGAGATGTTGAGTCTATCAGGCTCCGTGCAGCAATGTTGATCTATATCCCAGTCCCAAGCTCTCTGCCCATGACACACACGCCGCTGGTTCCCAAGCTAAACAAGATAATGACGCCAATAAGAAACAGAAAAGAGTATAGAAACATATCATGGATACTTGTCCAGAGAAAAAGGGCATTAAACAAGTGTCAGAGCTTTACAGCTTCTGGTTCACCATCCAGGTGAGCAGGTCAACCTTGGTCACGACAGCAATGGGCTTGGACAAGGACTTGGAATCGCCCTTGCCATCCGTGACGACGGCAGCGCTGTTCCACTCGAGGAACTTGCTGAGGGCGGACAGCGGCGTCTCCATGGTGATCTCGACAAACTTGCGCTTGCTGCCCGCCTTGGTACCGCTCGTCAGCTTGCGCGGGTCCGTGACGACCTCGTCCAGTCGGGCAAAGTCGAACATGACGTCCTTGACCTGGGACTGTGCCGTGGCGCGCCCGCTCGAGATGTAGCTCAGGAGGTTGCCCAGGGTGACGAGGCCGACCAGCTTGCTGGAGTCGGAAAGGACAGGCAGCTGATCGAAGCCCTTGTCGCGCATGGTCTCGATGGCCTCGGAGCAAGAAGCCGAAGCCGCAACCGACGTGACGGGCTTGAGGCGGAGAGACGCAACGGTGGCGCCGTGGTAAGGGTCAGAGGCGGTCTTGTTGCCAGTCTGGGGTGTCGAATCGCTAACTGCGGGTAGCAGTCCGTTGGCAGCCAGCCAGTCGTCGTCGGCAAACTTGGACAGGTAGCTGCGGATACTGTCGGGTAGGACAACCACCACGACGTCGCCCTTCTTGAAGCCAAAGTCTCGCACAGCCAAGAGCATCGCGGCCATGGCAGAGCCGGAGCTGCCGCCCACAAGGAGGCCCTCCTCAGCAATCAGTCTCCTGGCAAGGTAGAAAGACTGCTGGTCGTCGGTCTTGTACCACTTGTCCACAAGTTCGCGATCAAGGACCTCAGGGATGAAGTCGTAGCCGATGCCCTCCACCTTGTATCCCTCGTTCATGTGCTCCTCGTTGAGCGACTCGGGCAGGGCCAGGATACTGCCGTGGGGGTCGGCAGCAATGATCTTGATGTCCTTGTTGTGCTTCCTCAGCCCCTTGGCAATACCCGTGATGGTGCCGCCAGTTCCCGCGCCCGCGACGACAGCCGCCACCTTGCCGCCGGTCTGCTCCCAGATCTCCTCGGCGGTGCCGAACTCGTGGGCTTCCGGGTTGGCAGGGTTGCTGTACTGGTCGAGGATGTGGGCGTTGGGGATCTCCTTCTCGAGACGGCGGGCAACGCCAATGTGAGACTCGGGGCTGTCCCAGGCGGCCTGGGTGGGCGTGCGGATGATGGTGGCGCCGAGGGCTCGCAGCACCGAGACCTTTTCGGCGGACATCTTCTCCGGCATGGTGATGATGGTCTTGTAGCCCTTGATGGCGCCAACCAGGGCGAGGCCGATACCACTGCAAGACAGTAGAGTTAGCAAAACAAGCCCGTCAGCTTATGTATACATCATGGTTGGGCCGTACGTGTTTCCGCTCGTCGGCTCGATCAGCGTGTCGCCCGGCTTGATCCTGCCGCTCTTCTCGGCCTCCTCGATCATGCGCAGGGCGATCCGGTCCTTGACACTGCCGCCAGCGTTGAACAGCTCCGTCTTTGCGTAGACCTCGCACTCGATGCCCAGGCTCTGCGGCACCTTGTTGAGCCTGACGAGCGGCGTGTTGCCGATGAGATCGGCCGCCGAGAGGACGGTGGGGGCAGTGCGCCGGGTCTGCGGGATCTGGGAGTCGGCCATGGCGGAGGATGAGAAGACGCTGTTCCCGTACGGAGTGGTTTGAGAGGTTCTTCGGAGGATGAGAGACACGGTTTGCCACAGGAACAAGAGGTTGTCAAGGGGTGAAAAGACGGAGCTTGGCCTCTTAGCCTTTTATTTCAGCTGCTTTTTTTTTTCTTCTGCCGGCGATATGCGACGCCACATGATTTTTCTCGGGTCAGCCCATGTGCCTTGATGGGGCGGTGACGGCGTCTCGCAAAAACCAATTAGTCCGGGCCTGTGTAAGTGACGGGCACAAACGCTCCGTCCAGTGATTACCATACGTGCGTTTCTATGTATTCCGACGAGAACTTGCATCCGCTTGATGCTATGAACACCAATCTACCGATCTAGCTTTTGATTCTAGCGATAAATCGTTGGATCATCATGACCGTCGGTTTATCCCGGCATGTGAAGATATTGGATTGGATCACTGACGATGTCAATGGCGTGATGCACCTAGATGGCTGACATAATGAAAATCTACCAAAAAACTACATTTTTTGATACGGGTCTAGGGTAGCAATTCTGGGTGAGAGCAGCCGTGATGGATATGGTGATTCAAGCTTCAATTTCCTAACCCAGCAACTCAGTGTCCAGACGTTCAGCAGTTTTCTCCTCTATTGTTTACCGGCCATTTAAAATGTAGATGCAGGGACACAAAACCGTATCGGGGCTACTAGTAGCGGCGAATGCACCAAACTTAGAGACCGAGCAGCGGTTGGCCAATTCCACGTCTTCGGGGCACTTTTGATGCATCTTCACATCTCCTCACCCTCGCGATCCCCGACTTGATGCAGCTTGCTCGCTCCGCATGCTCCGGCTTGCGTCTCATTGGCCTCGACAGTCACAACCGCGAACAGTGACCATGCAGCGTAACCCAACTCCTCGCCTGGTCTATCAGAAGTTCTCGCAAACTCCCACCAAGCGTTCCATTGCCCAGCCGCGCCGTCCTTCTTGGAAGCTGGTTCGCCACGTCTACAGACTAATACCACCAACCTGGGATCGTGATGGCGAGTACAACTACAGCGACCATCTCGGCGGACATGCTTGCCGTCGATGCGGGCGCCAATCGGCTGGGCCAATTGTTGCGCCAACCTGCTCCGCTGAGGCGTGAGAGCCGTCAAGACCTGCCCGTTCGGCTGCCAAGGCGATAAGATATCCAGATTGCCTTTGCCAGCTTCCCATTGAGGCATCGGGCTCAACAAGCTTAACTTGGGTTTTGCCAGGGCTTTATTGCGAATAGAGTCTTGGCTAGCAGGGGGGGCAGTTATTAGCCGCCGCTCAGGACCAGGAGCAACTGCCTCCCTCGAAGCTGCTTCGAGATGGGGAGTACCTGGGTTGCTAGATAAAAGGGATGTCTGGGTCCTCGTGAACGTCTCACTTGCGTGCTTATACCGCTTCCAATACCAGGACCTACATAGTAGGGAGTGATAGGCAGTGCACGCTACTTATAGTGTTATTATTCATATACTACACTTACACGACACTGTCACCTCGACCTACCAATCCATCCCAGAGTCTCTGCATCATGAAGCTCTGGAGTCGCCTGGCCTGCGCTGGCATTCTGGTCGCGAGTGCCGTTGTCGCTGATGTACTCTCACCGGACGCGATCGAGAGAGATATTGAGGAGAAAAAGTAGCTACAGCCACGACCCATGACCACTACAATGTGTCTCAGTGCTGACTCTCGAGCATAGCCTCCAGAATGTGCTTTGGAACCTGAACCACATTGCCAGCGACAACGGCGGCAACAGAGCCTTTGGTCTCCCCGGCTACAACGCCTCTCTCGACTTCATCCTTGAGCGCGTCCAGACACGCTTTGCCAGCGAGTTTGACACGTACGTTCAAAAGTTCACGCACCTGTTCGAGACAACGAGGTCCATTCACGTCACCGGACCCGAGGGTGAAAACGTCTATGTCATTACTCTCCAGTACAACACGGCCACGCCTATCCCCGGCGGCATTACTGCCGAGCTCATCGACACGCCGGTTGACGACGAGCGGGGATCTGCCTGTTTCGAGGACCAATGGGCGGGCATCGATGCCACGGGCAAGATTGCCCTTGTGCGGCGCGGCGTGTGTGCTATTGCCGACAAGCTCAAGCTGGCCAAGGCTCACGGTGCGCTGGCCGTCATCTTGTACAACAACGTGCCGGGCGACTCCATTGGAGGGGCGACCCTGAGTGCCGAAAACATCGGACTGCTGGTCCCTGTTGGAGTTATTACCGAAGAATACGGCAAGGGCTGGAAAAATCGTTTGGGCCTGGGAGAGGTGTTGACGGTCAATCTTCTCGTGGATTCGATCAATGAGCCCAGAGACAGCTGGAACATCATCTCGGAGACCAAGGAGGGCGATCCCAACAACGTGGTTATGCTTGGTGCTCACTTGGATTCTGTCCAAGCCGGTGCCGGTACGTATATAAAGCTCCCTCTGTACTTGGCTGGAGAGGTGTTTATTCCACGCCAGTGGACTGACCAGACGTGATGCGTCCACGATATAGGTGTGAACGACGATGGCAGCGGAACAGCCGCCCTTCTTGAACTGGCCACCGCTTTTAGGAGATACACGGGCTTTACCAACAAGGTTCGATTTGCCTGGTGGGGGGCCGAAGAGTAAGTCTTGCCGTTTGTCTGTCGTGGCTTCGTCAAGGAGTCGATTGGCTGATCGAGACGCACAACAGGAGCGGCCTGATCGGCTCGTTGTACTATGGCAGCCAGCTGTCTGAAGCGGAGGCTGATCGCATTCGCTTCTACTTCAACTACGACATGATTGGCTCCAAGCAGCCCATCTACGCCGTCTATGCCGATACCGACGCCCACAAGACTGGAGGCTCTCTTCTCTTTGACTACGTCCAGTCCAAGGGCAAGCCGGTTTACTATGGGTGAGTCTTGCTCATTGCGAGCCACAAGAATGAGACGACCGGCTAACTGGTAATTGATAGCGGATTTGGGTCTTCCTCAGATTATGTTGCCTTCTTGGAGCTTGGTATCCCTTCTTCTGGCCTCTTCACCGGAGCTGGAGCTCCAGAGGATGCGTGCTACCACCTGGCCTGTGACAATCTCGACAACATCAACTGGGAGGCCCTCACTCTCAACACCAAGGCTGCTGGTCGTGCGGCGGCACAGCTCGCTTTGAGCCTGGATGGCATCCCCCCTCGAGAGAAGACGAGTCTCAACCCCAGCAGCAGACGGGCTATCCAGAGACGGCTTAACCGGGCGGCACAGCTCACCAAGGTGATTGAGAAGTCTCACAGCTGCGGAGGCGTAGGTGACCACACAGTCTGAGGCACGACATGACTGCAATGCAGTAAAATGAGGCGTCATTAAACTACCTAAGTCATTCGTCATTACTGCGTATTGCCATGACCGTGAATGAGAAATGAGTTTGTCGAGTTATCCCGTCCTGCCAGATGCTGTAAGTGTTCGGATATCATCCATTTGTGATGTTCCGAGAATATCAAGTTAAAGATCGCAAGCCAGATACTGTTGATATGGTCCGCTCATTGTTTCGTGAATGCGACAGAGGGAGAGTCGCCTTTTGCCTGCTGGCGTGAGACAAGACTACTGAGACTAGGTATGCATGTCAGAACTCACCATGACACAATGTCTCTGTCAATTCCCTCATACTAGTATATCCTTTCATTCCATGTAATATTAAACCTGACAAGTCATCTCTTATCCTGGTTGCTGAAGATAGAAGTCTTGTCAACCCGTACGCCAAATCTGAGGGTTTCGGGGATTCGATATTGGAATCGCGCGGTAAGTCGGATATCTTGGCCCTCCAGGGATTCTCTCCGCGACAACAGCCGGAGCGGGTTCTTGAACCGTGGCACCATTGTTCTTCTTCGAAGACGATGAAGACTTTCTCTTGCTTTTTGCGGGGGCTGCTGCATAGTATGCGGCTTCTTCTTCGGTGTAATCGTACTCGTATACACTGCGCGTTGTGCGCGAGCTTTTGCCCTTGGCTTTCTTCTTCTGGCTGTTGCCCCATCCGTTGTTGTTGTGGGTTTGCTTTCTGTATTTGTATCTGGATTCTTTCTCATCATCGTACGTTATCGGCATTCTGCGTCTGCCGACGTAGCAGAAGCCGATGATGAGGAGGAGCACGACGATGCCCACGACGGAACCGAGTATAGCCCCGATCTGGCCTCCTGAGAGACCGCTGTGGTGGTGGGATGTTGTCTCGGGGAGAGGGACGGCGGCGATGGTCTCTGTGGAGGCGGGCTCGATTGTGCCGAGGGTGATAGTTGTGATGATTGTTGTGGAAGGGCGGATGAGGGTTTGGGTGAGGATGTGGAAGTCGAGTTGGCGGATTTGGAGGGAGGGGGGAGTCGTTGGGGCAGGGGGTTGAGGGATGTGCATTCTGGATTTGTCTTTGTTCGCTTGGAAGGATGTTCAAGTGTGGAATGTGTTGTTTGTGTGAAAGGAAGATAGAAGGGGGATGATATTGGTTCCCAGTGAGTTGTAGATTGAGAGCAGGAACAGTAGGAGAAATTGACTTGAGTCGGTGGCGACAGGATGGCCCTCGTATTTTATCACTCCTCTGTCATAAGATAAAAAGACCTTTGAACTCATTTCTCTGGTAGGTTGGATGTCAATAGTAGCAGATTACAGGTGACCGCTATGTCTGCTTCACGCACGCCCACCCCCTTCATTCGGGATTGAACATCATCTACCGCGCGTAAGCCAAGTTCTCTGCACCGCACTCGGCATTTACTAGGCACAGACGACAGGAGAGAAGAGAAGCGGCAATTGACAAGAGAAGATGACCCGTCCTGTATGCAGGTCATGATGCATTTGCTCTAGTTCTCTGTAAACTGAAGATAGAGGATTCTCTTGGACCGAGATGTAGCATGTCATATGATGTGGCCATGAGGTCCAGTTAGCGCACCCACCGTGATCGCTGGGGGTTGCATCGACACTTTCTCCCCCTTTGCTCTCTTCGCAGTGCGATGCGCTACAAACCCAAGAAGAACCGTTTTTGGCAATGCCAGATTTACGTGTGTGGGCGGGTAGTGAGTGTTGATGGTGGTGGGTGGAACTAAAGCTGGACGTTGCCTTATGCGTGTGCTATGATGGGAGTTCATTGAGGGTGGCTGGGGAGAGGATTTCGTTGGCTGGGGTGAGAGTTGGCAGGGGGGGTGGTAATTGGTTGGGGATGGACATGTGGTCCAAGTTTTGTTGCCGGATGCCTGGTTTATGGATGGTTCTTTGAGGGGATCTGACAGGATGTCAAATGTTGGAAGACGGGGCAACGAATTCTATGGGTGCCGAGACATGTCTCGTGAGACTTTCTGTTTGATACGAGAACTACTTCTCCGGTAGAGCCAGGCAACGTTTGAGCTTCCAAACTGTGAAAACAGTAGGGTAGGAAGAAGCATCTCACCACTACACGCATCCAGCCACGATCAGTAAGTACCCCGTCTATGCGCTTGGCATGTTCTTCAAAAGCCAACAACAATAAATTACACATCACGAAACTAAGAAACCAGGTTTCTCCGCGCGATCAAAACGGATACCGGCATGAAAAAAAATCTTATTCTCATTAGCATTCTCCTGCCAGCCTCGCCTCGCTACAGCAGGGCTGTAGCTTGGCCCGTGGTATATAGTTTCGATTCATGTCGAGGCCTGCAGCATCTATCTACACCTGCTGTTGTTGGCGTAATGCCAGGCGGCAGAGAGAAGGGGGGATGGACAGGGGGGAGATGCGGATGGCTGCATCTGGATATGCATGTGATGGGCGTCGGCGTTCACAGCTTCCTACAATTGTGTACATGTTGACAACCAGGCTAATTCGATTCACCACAAAGCAGCTGAGGAGATGAAAGCTTCCTGCGAACATTTTTTTGGGTTTTTGTGTTTGGGGGAATACTAATCGAGCAACCAGGTTGCCGACATGTCCATCAAACAAACTGTAGCTACATGTACTTTTCGAAAACAAAAACCCAAGCCAACCCCTTGTCCGCCCTCCGTGATTAGCATGAGGATAACGCGATGGTGATATCTTTTCAAGCAGTATTCACAGACATTTCCCGTCGAGGCGAGGAACATGGTGACCCATCCAGAACAAAAGAAAAAACAAAACCCAACACCTCCACTCCAAACCAGGTATCGAGAACTCAAAATTAAAAGGTATAGAAGACAGAAGAGAAAACATCCAATAAAAACATGGGGGGAATAACCTCAACGCTTGCCCAAGCATGTATCCAACCGTAAGGCTAGTCCGCGTCTCGTCTGTCTTCGGATAGATCCTTTGTTGGGAATCCCGGATTTGGTAGAGACGAGGGGCTGGAAGACGAAAAGCCCTATAGGACAAAATGAATGCTTTTGTGGGAGCAAAATACTTGTTTGTTTGTGAATAACCAAAACTGAGGGCACCTGTTTACAGGCCCTGCCTCGAATACATGGGAAATGCTGGAAATTGTCTGTTAGTAAACTGCAGACGAAAAGAGGCAAAGAAGAAGAGAATTTGGTATACTTACCAATTTGATTGGTATTTCCCATCACTGTCGTATTGTAAAGCCAGACTCTGCTTGCGTCATGAACCCTGGACTTCGGATGGATCCAGGTCGAATCAGTTCTTGGGACACCCTCAAGTGCCCCCTTCCACATCTCTGTCTCCTACCCCGTCCCCTCCGCTCTTCTCCCCGTGACCACCCTCCTCCCCTCTCCACTACCCTCCTCCCCTCCCCACAGCTTCCCTTCCCCATGAGCTTGGTGCTAGGATGCACCAACTCAATGAGCAACAGGAGCTCTGTTTACCAGAGCCCCCTTTTCGGCGTCATCCTCGCCGACAACCTCTCGGGTCTTTCCCCATTTGAAGTCATCCGAGTTGAAGAGGGAGTAGACCATGATGACAATGTTGATCACAGGAGAAAGCAGGAAGTGAAGGAAGAAGCCGACAAAATACTGGGTGCGCTCCATCATGTTGCGGGGAAGCCAGAAGCCGACACAGAAGGAATAGAACTAGAGAGTGTTAGCTATGAGAGAGCAAGAGAGACTACCATGGAGTAAGTACTTACGTAGCGGGCAAACAAGACCGAGAGAAGACCAACGAAGACGGGATCCTTGAACACCTTTCCGCCTCTCACGATGAAGAGCCGAACGAGCTCAGCCACGGCGGCCATGATGAATGGCGTAATGGCCCAAGTAACGACGGCGACAAGGCTCTGGACTCGTTCGACGAAGATGATGCCGGGCCTGAAGAGCATGACAAATTCGTTGGAGATACTGCCGAGAGCCCAGCGCTTGCGCTGCGAGAGGAAGACCTTCATATTTTGGGGCACAATCGTGAATGCCTTGGCGCGGAGGGCCTGAGCGGTCTGCTTCTTGGGGAACAAGCTGAAGATGATGGAGGCGTGGATGCTGTCCTCGGAGTAGTTGCCCATAATGTGCGAGGTCATAACGTCGTTGGGCTTGGGGCAGTAGCCGAAGCGCTCGCGAAGGACCTCGTCGCCAAAGGTGGACTCGTCGACGCGGATCAGCTGGCAGCAACCGGGGAGGCAGTTGACCTTGCCGGTGACGCGAGACTGGAACATGCGGCGTAGGCCTTGAGTCTGGGAGTACTCGACGGACTGGTAGAGGGACCAAGGGGAGAAGGGCTTGCCGTCATAGTCGACGCAGACGTGGCCGCAGACACCGACGAGCCTTGGGTTGGAGCGGATCTCATGGAGCATTTCGATGATGCAGAACTGGTCAAAGACGGTGTCGGCGTCCATGCCGACGAGAAAGTCCACAGTGTCGAGGCCGTGCTGAACGAAGATATTGCCAATGTACTCGTAGAGACCGTTGTTGAACATGGTTATGACGTTTTCCGAGCGCTGCTTGAAGTGGTACAGGAACGAGCGGGCAAAGCACAGACTGTCACGCTTGCCCTGGTTGTAGCTCTTACCGACCAAGACGTAGGGGAGACCCTTGTACCAGCCTGTCTGGACCTTGACGGGCATGAAGAGGCCGTCTCTGGCACGGTAACCGTTCTCGAAGCGACGATACTGACCGGGTCCAAGAATGTCCTCAAGGAGATATTCCTGAGTCGTCTTTTCCATGTTGGGGCCGCGGACGTTGCCATCAACGACGATGAAGATAACCTTGGGATGAGAGCCGATTTCCTTTTGGTTTACCAGAGAGTCGAGAGACCGTGTCAGCTCCTCGCGGGTTTCGTTGTAGCAGGGCAGCAGAAGTACCAGCCTCTCGGGCTCGTCCGGGATGATTTCCTTTCTACCGAAATAGCAAGGGATGGTACGCCTGAGGATAGCCATGATGATGATCGCGAGCATCATGCCAGCCTGGAGCATGGTGTTTGAGCTGAGAAGGACAATGAAGAGATAGTACAGCTGATCGAACCTCAAAGCCAAGAAGATGAGGACTCCGTTGATACAGAGGAGACCGAGGATGAGAAGCCATTTCTGAAGCATGAGGAGGGACTTGGACACTCTCTTGAGCTCAAAGTCCGAGTCCCATCGCAGCTTTGCCTCTTCCTGCTGAATGGAAGACGAGAAGGAAGAGGCAGAAACGATGCCGAGCGAGTCCTGAGACTGAGGAGTCTGAGTTCCCGGGACGAAGCTGCCGTTGATGTTGCGGATGACGGACTGGAGTTTCGTTCAGTTAGCTTGAGTCAGGACGCGAAGACTCCCACGAGCTGACGGGTTTGATGCAGGGAAACTGTGAGTGGTTCGCTCAATTGCCTACCGAGTCTCGTGAGTTTTGTTCCGCGCTCAATCTGTTGTTGGCAGTGTGGTTGAGCATGGAGATTGGCGGCTTGCTGAAATTCTCCTGCCTCGTGGGCCGCTGGGTAGCAATGTCGCCCGAATCCGTACCCGGATTCGAGTCGACTGGCATGATGGGAGAAGACATTGTTCACTTCTCCTTTCTGATGTGTGTGTTCCACAATAACGAACGTATGTCAAAAGCTGAAGGCTTTCTTTTCGCATGAAACGTCGAAGCGATCGTGGAGGACGCAGGACAAAGAGAACGAGTCCTGAGTGTGGTAGAAAGAGGAAGGAGAAAGAGAGAAGAAGGAAGGGTAGGCGTCTCCTAAAAGAACGAGAGAAGAGGGCTGATCGAAGACGAGGCTTGCCGTACCGCGCTAACTCGAGAGGGCTCAGAAGAGGGCAGCGAATGACTGGAGAGGACTGTTAGCGAAGAACAGGTCTGGAGCGACATGAAAGAGGATTGGGATCTTTTTACTGGCTCGTTATCTTAGTTTAGGGCTCTCATAGGGCTGTTGAAGAACGAAGGAGGCTTTGTAGCAAGCAAAAAGCTTAATGGGAGGCGCTGGACGGATGTGGTTTGGGTCCTGAGGAGGAGGTAGAATGGCGGACAGACGCGGGTCAAGGCTTCACTGAGCTCAAGGGGAGGCAATCAGCATTCATCATTGAGCTGCTTTGTCTGGTCGTCTTCGATGAGGTATGAGCAACAATGTTGGCCATAGTACGGAGAACAGCGGAGGCATGAGGCAGCCAATGTGATTTTGTGGGTTGAAGCCTCAACTACCGCCAAGTTCAATAGTCGAGAGTGGCTTTGTATGTGTTTTGGCCACACTGGCAACGTACTGTCATCCCAAAAGGAGGAACCAGAAAGAAAGAAGAACCTCCCCGGGCTCGCACAAGTCGCCCTAAGCGTAAAAGGCGTGTCAAGGAGGAAAGGAGTGAAAAACACCTGGGGAAGAAAAAAAATAACTCTGCATCAGATATGGTATCACCTCGCCTCTCGGAGCTGAGAATCCCTCGAAAGAGTGGATGAGATCGCTGAGTGGTCCGATTGAGGGGACGCATCTGCTCATGCAGCAGCCTCGAATACGAAGGCATCGTCGGCTTGCATGAATTAGAAAGCAACAAGAATCCCATGGGCTTGAGGCTAATGCAACTGGGCCTCTGCCGCCAAGGCCGGCGAGATTGACTTTTACGCCTGGGCTTGAGTCAAAGGTACACCACCTAAGTAGGTAAGGGGGGGAGGAGAGGTAGTACGTTGGAGGGACGTAGGTAGGTGAGAGTCGTAAAGGGGTGTTACTGCGTATTGGGCATTGTAGTGCCTACTTAGTACGTAGTCTAGAGATGCCTTTGTGTGTGCTCTCTTACTTACGTGTCAAGCTGGTCGTGATACTTTGGGGAGTAGATCTATGTATCCTCGTGGGCCAGACGGCAGCCGACACGAGCTCGAATGTTACAGTCACACCTCTTATGCATGTACCTGGAGCATCTGCGATGGTAGTCCTTCCTTTGACTCAACTCCGATTTCTTTCAATGTCATCAAACGCCACATTGTTTATGCTCAGCGCCGGAGGTACTTGTGGCAGAGACGAAAGGCAGGATTGGGCAGACAAAGAGGGGGAACATCAGCCACGCCGCCTGTACATGAAGAGGGGATGAGGAGAAGGGAGAGAAACAAGGAAGAGACCGGTGAAGAGCTCAAGTCTCAGCTTTGGGGACGTGTCAGTGCGTGGTACCACGTGGGATCTGGCAAGGAATCTGATTCCTTGGTGTAGTATCGCGGACTTGCAGATTCATGTACATAATGCTTGGCATGCAGCATGGGTGGCGTTCTCGCGGCCTTCCATGGGACCCATGTGAGCCGTCCTCGGGACATGTCGTTACCCGTGTGCGGGTGATGGAGTGATCGGAGTGAGCGAGTGTGTATCGAGAGAGTCTGTAGGTTAGTTTTCATGTACTTCGTTAGTAGAGCTGCCAGGAAGAAACAAAGGGTGCGCTACTCTCAAGCCACTCGACGCTTGACTAAAGGCGTAAATCGGCACATTGAGGAGCGAATAGCGGGAGAAGAAAGAAGAGGAGTAGAAGAATTAAGATTGAAAAGGCCTTCCCAAGTCGAGTAAGGCTCCTGAATCGGAGATATTCCCCTCCCCAATCGCCTTCGTTCGGCTCCCTCTTCTCCACCACCACTTCGCACACGGCACATCGACTACAACCTGACGGAGGTACAAGTACTCCAATCTGGATCCAGGCCCACCCATTTTAAAAACATGCTTAAATCCGTAGGTAGAACTTTGTGGGCCTTTGCCGCTCTCCTCTCAATAAGATCTTTGCTCATGGCGGTAACGAACCGGAAATGTAAGCTTCACACCCCCCCTCCTCTTTCAAAAACGTACACCAACAAGCAAAGTCCGTCAGTTCCAGTGACACAAAAGAAACCCCGGCGTTACCTAGATTTGCTCGACTTTCGCCTGATCAGGCTGAGATTCCGACATATTCAATGTATCTTTTTATCCCTGCCCTCTTCCCTTAGCTCGGAAGTTTTCGTCCTGCTCGTTAACGACACGAGAGGGACACCATCCGACCACGGAACTATCCTTACTGCGGAATAGTTCTTGGACAAAGGCGAAGCTGAACGCTCCTCCCGATGGACCTGCAGTAGTTTCTTCATGCTAGCTCGAGATCTCTGCACATCTCCGTAGCGCAGCCAGCCGGACGTGTTTCTTCCCCCCTTTTATCGCTATATATATATATCTTTGGTAAGTATGCAGTAGTCCGGTTGTGCGAATACGAAGGGGAGTAAGAGTAATGTCTTATACGTGTTTCCTTCTTCTTCATCGATCGTCATGATTCGCAACTTCAGATGGGGGATCTGCATCTTGCCGAGATACACGCAGAATACGCAGCTTTCCGGCGGACCGCCCCTCCCCCCTTCCCCCTCTTTCTCACCAAGCCACAAATCTTGTTCGGTATATCGTCTCCGCCCCCGAGATCACGACATTAGACAAGACAGGGCATTAGGCGCTAATGAAAAATTGATGGAAATAAATAAATATGGACGAGGCTGGTAGGGAGAGAAGGGAGAAAAGCTACCAATAACGGGCTAGGCGTGCAGGCTTGGGAAGCACAAAACGCCCTGAGAAACATACTTCCGTACCTACCGGCTGTTTCTTATCCGATGTTTTTTATGTCCGAGACTCAGCCGGCCAGTGAGAAGAGGGAAATGCTGTACGACGCTGGACTTTTTGTGCTGATACCTCACTGCGTGGGCTGACGGGGGAGGGATAAACCGGAGATCCGCATTGGGCTACCGTGAAAGCCTTTGTGCCCAAAGCTGGTGAGGTCAGAACCGGAATCAGTGTGTTCTGTCTGGCTGAGTTCCAGTATCTGGGAGCCTTGCTTGAATGTCCCTACTACTGTGTGCGATGCAAGAATACGAGAGTGAGTGTTATGCGTAGAGACATACGAGTGGTTGCACAGGAAAACTGACCTAGGGCATTACAAGCATATCTGGGCTTAGCATAGGCGTGAAATGGCGTTTACAATCTTCCACTTCAGTTGTCTTACTCGAGGGTCACCATGTGCATTCACCGATCAGGTAGTCGAAACCTCACGATACTTGAGCACGAGTTGATGCAGAGCTACAATGGAATGACAGGTCAACAAATCAGGGTTTTCTATTAGACATTAACGCAAGTTTCGTACCAATAGGCACTATAACAAAGTCAAAATCAACCTCCCCAAAACCACACATCACCGTCTCCCCAAACTTTTCCACTCCAGACTCCAAGCTATAGCACGCACCCAAGAGATGGAAGAACCACGAATGGTTTTCCATCATGTGTCAACAACCGTAAACCCTGACTGAAGATGCCATGGACCAAAGACCCGAAGACCATCAGCCAGAACTTTACTATACAAAGGAAAAGAACCCCACAGACCCCCTTTGCGAGGGGGCAAGTGACCGGAGACCAAGAAGCCTTAACCAGGACGATACCAGAATTCCCGTAGCTCATTGACCCAATTGCCAATGAGTATCATCATTACCAACTATACCCAATGGCCAATGACCATTATCAATACCCATCATACCAAATTCAAGCGACTTGTCTGGCTGCAACCCGCAGCAACATGGCCGTTCACAGCGGCGACCATTTAAGCACACCACATCTGAACCTTGACGGAATCCTTAAGCTGGCCAAGGATTTCAAAGTCGAGACCGTCCTGCTTGAAGGAAACGATGATCATGTCGAAGTTCTCCTCGAGATAGGCGACAGTCCAGTTGGCCTCATCCAGGCGGGTGATCTGTGGCACCGCCTCCTGGGTGACGAGAGGGTCCGCGAAGGAAACAGCGACCTTCTCAGAGAGCACAAGGCTCTTGGCCAGCTCAAGACCGGGCGAGTTGACCAGATGGGACTGGCCGCGCTTGAAGCCCATGCCGACGACAAGGATTCGAGGCAGACCGGCGGCGGAGGCAGGATTGGCGTACAGAGCGTCAATGGCCCTCTGACCGATCTCCGCGGGACGGGCGTACATCGCCTCCGAAGCCGCCTTGAGCAAGGGGAAGTGGCTCGTGGAGAGCAGGTAGTACGGGTTGACCGGGATGCAGTGACCACCGACTCCGAGACCGGGCGCGTAGGGCATGTAGCCAAACGGCTTTGTTGCGGCAGCGCGGCAGACCTCGTACGGATCGATCTTGAAGGGAAGGCAGGCATTGGCCATCTCGTTGGCGAAGGAAATGTTTACCATGCGCTGGCAGTTCTCGTACAGCTTGGTCATCTCAGCCACCTCGGGCTGGGAAACGGTGATAACCTTGTTGAAGGCTGCCGAGTACAGCTTATGGATGGCAGCCAGCGAGCCGGGGACGACGTCGTCCAGGCCGGAGATGACTTTGGCGATATCGTAGGCGGCGGGCTCGGTGCGGCCCGGGTCGACACGCTCCGGAGACATGCCGGCATACCAGCCCTGGGACGCGGCGAGCGGTCCCAGAAGCTTCCGGGTCATGCCGACGGCCACGGAGCTCTCGAAGACGATGGTGGAACCGCGGGTAGCGTGCTTGCCGACGGTGGTGAGGGCACTCCGCAGGTACGAAGTGTCCACGGACTTGTCCGGCAGGAGAAGCGTGGGAACCGAGATCAGGAAGTGCGTCGCTTTCGAGAGCTGAAGCGGGTCCGAGGTGATCTCGACTCTCATGTTGTCGGTGTACTTGGCAGTGAGATCCTTGACACGAGACTCAGAAACGTCAAAGCCGGTAACGTGGAAGCGGCGAGAAAAGACGTCCACGAGGTGCTCGCCCACGTAGCCAACACCGATGACGGCCACGAGGGGGTCAGGAGGAGGACTGCTATTAGCAGGAGACCCCTCGAGAGGATTGGCGGGGGACTCTGCGGGCGGAGTCACGTCGTAGTACTTCCACTCGGGCTCGGAAGGCAGGGGGATGAGGGCAGCATGAGCAGCCGGGCAGGGGGGCGAGCCGGGAGTGGCCTCGATCCCTGGGGACTGGACCGGCAACTGTGATTGATCCATCGCGATAACAAGACAAACGGACCAGGAGGGAATGACCGAAGAGAAACAAACAAAAGAAAGAAAGCAGCGAGAAATCGCAGAGACAGAGAGGCTACCAGGCACAAACAGAAGGCGTCAGTTGTAATTGTCGAGAACGCTTTGGTTTGCAGTTGGAATTGGTAAGTAACGGTGGCAGAAGAAAATCGAGCGAAGCCGGGTCACAGGTCCTTTTTAAATATCTGTGGGAGAAGGCAGAGAACGCCAGCATGAATCTCTCAGTCCATTGCTTTCGAGGCTAAAGATGTTTTCGCAAAAGCGCTGCCAAAGCGAGGAGGCATGTGTCTGCATCGAGCACTAAGTTGATTGAGTTTTAAGCCTCGTTTTGGCTCCTAGGCACTCCTCTCGGAAGAGAGGGAAGCATCTCACAATTAAGTATCTCTACCACTAAAAGCAAGTATCAGCCATATGGTTGCCCCCCTCAGGGGCAGAGGGGAACCTAACTGAACTCAGCTGAGGAGGTGGATTTGGCCGAGGAACAAGTGGAATTCACAACAGAAAAGGGGGTCGAGAAATGGACCAACGAAGTCTATCTGGCGTGATATCAGGTTGAGCTTCAACATTTAGACGGATCTGGAGGCTCTTGAGCAAATGCCGTGTACGTTAGTAGGCATAGGAGAGGTTAAAAGCTTCCCAGGGCTTATTTTGGCCGAATCCGCCTCAGAGCTTCTCAGCCCGACTCCTCAAGCGTTTGCCCCTGGCATCAGCTCTGTTCTAAGCTTCGGCTGCTTCTGGGAGGACAAAGCTTGCGGCAGCCACGGTAGCACTGCAAATCTCCAATACGATGTGGGAGAAATCGTACAGTCCTGTCGCCACAGCCTTTGCACGCTGTGCCATCTCCGCGTCATAGGCGGATCGCTTGGTACTTGTCCTGGTTCTTCAACAAGCCCATACTCGCAGGAACAAGGCTTGTGGGACCCATCTCGTCAAAAAGAAACTTGCTGTCTCGTGTGCCTGGCGCGTATAACGTCAAGCCAGGTTGAGGCTTAAACTGACAGTTCCGTCAGCTGCCATACCGGCCCTCGCCTCGTAGCTACCCTACGCAGTTGAAGGTTGAGCTATTCGTCTATCTAGAGTTGGGGATCATGACCTTGGCGGGAAGATGAGAACTCACTGGTGAACTGAACCGTCTGATTGGGCCATGACTAGTTGGAGATCTCGCTCACAGGCGAACCGATCTTATCACGACATAGCTGAGACTCTCCATCGCCTTGAAGCAACTTTCTTGTGCGAGAACTGGAACTCTGATTGGCTAAAGTAGAAGCTCTAATTCTACCACCGCAAGATCAACCCGCCTAGACCCGGCGTTTGTAGAATAAGGACGAGGTGGCTTAGGGGGCTAACGGACGAAGTAGAGTAATAAGTAGCTCTACATGCGCCACAACTTTGAATACCGTCATGACGTCCACTGGGCGAGGCTTCCATTCGACCAGATGTACTCTGTAGAATGAGAAGCGGTGGCCGAAGCCGGATTCCCTGCAAGTTGTACCTCGTGAGCTGCACATCTCCGGTCCGTTGAGATATTAGAGACGTACCATTAGAAAGTCTTTTGCTGCCTCTTTGAGCCTTCTTTCAGTTTTTGTTTGTTTATTTCTCTTGATCAGCCAAGTAATTAGGATCACGATGTAGTGTTAAGGAGGCCCTGCCACAGCGTCAATAGCCGCAGTGTTGACGTGTCACTTCAGATTGAGCCGGCTTCGACTATGGTAGCACCAACTCCTCCACACGAGCTCGGTGCCTGGCTGTGTAATCACCAACTTTCCGAGAGACAAGTCACTCGCCAGCCATCTTTTGGTAACTTTCATTCATACACACCCCTACATTGGCCATATGACGCCTCGCTACGCCGCCTCAAGTGAGCATCTTGTCTTCAAAAGATTCTTCTTGTGCCTTGGTCGTGCTTTTTGGCTTTGGGCCTAATCGACGTTGATAACGGAAGAGGCCGAGATATCAGCAAGCCTCATTGGACATGCTCGAGCGTGGCTTGAGATGGCGCGCCTCAACTGAACATCTGTCGAATACGGTGAAGAGTACAAGTAACCGGTGTGGCTCTCGCAACGCCTTCTGCTTCTTGTGGATGATCGAACTGAGGAACGACACCTTGTAGGTACCAGCCTCAACTGGGCAACGCTAGGCTGTACAATGTTATCATGATGCCGTTCTCTGTAGGTAGTAACAACTACCGAATCCGTGACATCTCTAAACGGCTGACATTGTGATATTACTCAATCCCTATACTTCTACCTGGCTGGTTCAATCAAAGTCGACGATACCATGGCACCCCTCATTACACAACGTGAAGCAAGGATCGCCGGATCAGGCACTGTTACACACCCCCATACGCCTTGCCAATTATCCTCCCGCCTTTCGTTCATCGCGTCCCGATACACTGCAGAACCCGCGCCATCTCATCCTCAACACAGTATTCACCGTAAGACGGATAATTAGGACAAGACTTGGCGGGAAATTGATTCGCCCAGAGGGTGTAGAGCAGAAAGGGAAGAGGGTGTAATGCTCGCCATTTGTCTGTCTCCTGTCGTGCGCCTCTCTACTAGTCCCAAAGCCAACCATGGTGGACCGTCTTGGACGAAGAGAGAGGGCGAGGACATTTACGCTCTGGTCAGACGATTTGATGGCTTGATGAGTCCCGGCTATCTCGGCTTTGGCCATCATGGCGTTGGTTATTTTGGGGAATCGTACCGCCCTCCCTTTACGATGGTCATGAGATTCCGTCGATATTGCTTTCCCCCAGCGAGCAATTTGTATGCATTGCTATTATAGGAAAAGAAAGAGGCGTACATGCAACCCAGCCTCCATGGGTCCGATATTTGCCGAACAGCTCCAAGCTTAAAGCAGGTAGTTGAGCATGTGTGGCTACTAGACTCGCCTCAATCCCGCAGCGAGAACGTTTTCTTGGCTCGCTTACTCGGCAACGATTCCAGGCTGGTCGTTGCTGTTGATAAGATAAAGGGCTTCCTGCCTCATAAGTAGTAGGCCTGAGCTTGTCTCTTTGGTGCTGGCAACGATCGAAGCTGGCAGTTTCCTTTATTATATGCTCGGTCATACTCACGAAAAGAGAGCGAATCATTGATAGCTGAGCATTCAAGTGTTATACCATCTTAGTATTTCACCATGGGACTCTTCAGGATTGCCATATTGGCGATCGCCGCCATGGTTTACGGAACGGTCGCTGCTAACCCTTGCGGTCCTGGTTTTGGGAGCTGTGGCAAGGGTGAGTGCTGCTCCGAGTTTGGATACTGTGGTACCACAGAGCAATACTGCTCTGGAGGATGCCAGCTTCTCTACAGTCATGCCTGCGACACCCAGTAAGTTGAAAGACACAGGACACAAGACGGAACAGGATCGAGTGGCGGAGGATTCAGGGCTAATGCTGCGAGTGAAGGATCCCCCCGGCCGGCGACAGCACCGAAGATGTGTCTCGAAGATTTGTCGGCGACGTCCCATACGGTGAGCTTCCAGAGATATACTACCCCTACTTATGATGTCAATCGGGATCTTCTTCGTTCTAGCCCGAATCTTGCCGCTGATGTCCATCGTGATCCTTTGAGACTGACCAGTGACTAGCTTCCACCATCACCGATTGCACCACTCCGGGCGTTGTTGCTCTAACCTTCGACGACGGGCCGTACACGTTCACCAACGACCTGCTGGATATCTTGGATGATTACGGCGTCAAGGCAACATTCTTCATCACGGGCAACAACAGGGGAAAGGGCAGCATCGATAACGAAGATACGCCGTGGCCAGGTGTCCTGCGACGCATGCGCAGTGCCGGACATCAGCTGGCCAGCCACACCTGGACTCATCGCAATCTGAGCGGCGTCGACATGGAGACCCAGAGGACCGAGATGATATACAATGAGATGGCCTTCCGAAACATCTTTGGTTTCTTTCCGATATACATGCGGCCGCCGTTCCTCGAGTGCAGCTTGCGGACCGGGTGCATCGAGACGCTCGAGAGCCTCGGCTACCACATCATAAGCACCAACCTGGATACAAAAGACTATGAGAACGACGACCCTACGTTGATCGAAATCTCTAAGCAGAAGTTTTATACCCTCCAGTCGCCCGACGAAGAGTCTCACGAGTATATTGTCCTCGCCCACGACGTTCACCAACAGACGGTCATTACCTTGACCAAGTACATGATTCAGACCAGCAGAGAGCGAGGATATAGGCTTGTGACCGTTGGCGAATGTCTTAACGATCCGCCCGAGAACTGGTACCGCTCAGCCTGAGCCCTCGAAGCGAACATTTGATGCTTGCAGCGGCCATCTTCCGCTCTTATACATAATGCTTGTCAGACGGGACGTGTGCTAGTGTGATTTGGATCTGGTCTCTTTTGTATAGTGTTGGCTTAACTTTATTCGAAGCTTAATATGGCTGGCAGCTTAGGTTTAATTTGAAGTCTGGTCTGGTTTCTGGTCTGTTTTTGGCTTTCATTGGCGGACGTTGGCATATTCTTGCAGAGCATACCTTGTTGAAAGTGCCCAGCATGAAATAGTAATTATCTTCATTGCATCATTACATCTTAATCTTGAATATCATTATATTATCCATACCTGCTCAAAGTTTTGTATGCTGAAGAGCTCAAGTATGGCAGCGTAGGTCTGTTCCTGATCGACCCTAGTAGACGAGTTGATGCCAAATATCTTCGCCTTTCTATCTTGATGATACAATAAGCGGAAGCTGACGGTGGTAACATGTAAAGTAAGTCTTCTTATCTTGGCCTTTGGTGCCGCCACGTACTTCTTCGTGATGGCTTGTCAATTAATCCTAGCCCCATTATATACAGAGTAACAAGATCTTGAGTGATGGTGTTTTGAGGTAGTGCCCACAAGGCATCATTCTCAGCTATTTCAGGATCTCTGTGTTGTGATGGATGAGAGAGGTTGTGATAGAGTGCTTAGGGAGATCAACTCCAATTCCATACAAATTCACTCTCCGACATATCACTTACTGTCCATTCAGGCCACTCAATGGAAGCCCCACGAGAAATCAGCAAGTCTGCAATTTTCTCATGCCCCTTTGGAACTTCGTATGGTTGCTCCTGGTTCACTTTGGCATTTCTGGAAAGGAGAAGCTCCACTAGGTCCTCCATCCCTAATGCGGCAGCAATGGATAGGGGAGTTCTGCCAACAGAATCCTCCGTCTCAATATCGGCCCCATGCTCCAGGAGCAACTGCGCAATGTCTTCATTATTAGCTTCAATCGCTTGCAACAGTGGAGAATGGCCGTCCTCATCGTAAAAGTTGACCTTGGCACCATGCTTGACGAGCAGGTCCACGATGGAGACGCGTCCCCACTTGACGGCAAGTGAAAGCGCTGTACGCCCACGCGAGTCTTTGGATTCGATGTCAGCATGTTTGTGGATGAGAAGTTCTACCATGTTTTCGTGCCCGGATATGACGGCGAGCTGCAGTGCTGTCCAATTCAAAGTACACGTTAGATCCACGTCGTAAGTGCCGAGGAGGAAAGTTGCCGCTTCAATCAGGCCGAAGCACGCCGCCAAGTGCAGGCCAACTGGTTGTTTAAATGCGGCAAATTCAGATAATGTGATCTGAGGTATCCTTTGGAAGTATACTTGAGCTGCTGCTGCAACATTCTGCTCCTTTACTAGGAAATGTAGGCTGTCGATGAGATCCGCTTCCACTCGAGCATAGAGCCCCCATCCTGTACTCGCATACTCGAAAAAGGGGTTAAGCAGCAAGCGGTCATTGTATTCTTCTTTGCCCTGGGCCATTCCTGAATTGAATGTGTCGAACGAGACATATGTGAGGCATGTTTTGGCGATATGGAGCCGAGCGTCGGGAAACCACTTGCTCTTTTGCGCCCTGAAACATTCACGCACCGAGAGATGACAAAATCCAATTCTCTGAGTATCTGCTTCGATGTTGATCAAGCCAAAGCAGACTGACAGGATGGAGGCCTCATCTGGGATATTCTCTTCGTCGAGACTTGATTTGCCCGGTTCCACTGCAAGGGCGTGCTGTAGTGCTTTAATCGTCAATGATCCGCGTGTCACCTCTGCCCATATTAGAATGTGTATAGCAAGATCCGTGTGGTCCGCGTCCTGCTTCTGAATTCGCCGCATTATCGTGTCCAAATAACCTTGGGGGAGCATGCAGTCATGCAGGGCACGTAGCATGCTCCTATTTGTCGTACACCCCCTTACTGATTCGATAAGATGTTCCGTATACAGAAACCTAGCCGGGTCAGTATTATTGTTCCTAGATATGTTATGTAGCATTCAACATACATTCCATTAGTCAATTTGACTATTTCAATCTTTAGTTTGTCTTGGAGTACGGGATTGGCATGGACAAAATTCGGCATCTGGTCCATGTTGTTCTCGACATATCTATTGATGTCATCCTCCCTCGCGCGATGCTCCATGATTATTGATCCATGGTCTCGGAATCTCCGCACAATATCATAAACGGACCTTGAAACTGCGAAGATGTTTGCTTTAGTCTGGTACTGTAAAGAGAAGAGCCGTGATACGAAATGTTGTGCGATCCCTGGTTCCAACTCATCCAGCGCATCAACGACGATAAAGGTCCGCGATGACATGAGAACCAGTGCTTCGACTGCACTACATATCTCGTCCACTGATGGCTTTGTGCTTTGCTTGCTATGTGAATCGAACAAGTCCTGCAAAACCTGCGGTAGAGACTGTTCGACTTGGCACATCTGCTTCAGTATGCTGGACATCAAGCCCAAGACGCCTTGCTCTGCCTGGTCCAGCCGACAGAAGATATAGCATATCTTAACTGTTGCATCCGGATGAAATACTTCGATGAGATGGTCAAGAACAGCCGCTGCAAGAACAGATTTCCCCGATCCAGGGATTCCATGGCAGAAGAAGGCTTCGCCACTTTGGTGAAGCCACTGTTTAAAGTCTTCCATCTCATAAAGCCACTGGCCTGTTCCCGGAGCTCGTTTCTTGATGAGTTTGCTCAGTTGAGGCTCATAGTCTACCGAACACAGCCAGTCAAGCTGTTCGACCGTACCATCACCGTGTTCGGCAGCATCTAAATATTTTGTCAGCGACTATGGTGATTGACTCTTTCATTCCCCTACACCATTGGGCGACTTACCGTGGAGTGGCATATGAAGTAAGATTTCCCTCACACAGGCAGCTGCTGCAGCTGTGGCATGATCCTTCCAGCTGTCATTACCGTGCGAATCCGCATAGTCAGAGATGCCGCAAATCAGCAGGTAAGGCAATGCGCTCGTCAAGCCCGCTGCATCTTGTTCCATACACAGTACATCATCAGGTAGATGCCTCCCCAACTCATCCCGCTCGAGGGCGTTTTTTATGATGATCTGATTGCTAGAAGCAGTCATTCCACAATGGACTCTCTTTTCTCGGGGTAGTCTATTGATGATTTGCGACATATCGCAAGAGCCACATGGCTTCTCTATAGACCGGGAAGATCGCAGAGTCTCATGACGACTGAAATTGCCATCAGGCCCGGTAGTAGAGTTCTCCACATGGTCATAGTTCGCCTTGAACAGAAAGTCCTCCAATTGATCAGCCGTGAGAGATATCGAACCAGTAGCGGACATCGCGCTCTTTTCTCTGTCAACGTGTTCTGTTATTCTTGAGCCAAGGCGCGTTTGATGCAGTTTCACCTCTCTCAAAATAGCGAGCAGGGTCTTAGGAAGCTCCGTCCACTCCCCAGTCTTCCACCACGAAACATGTTCCAGTTCGAGTTCCCCTTGCCCCACGTCAGCTATCTGTATGTGTTCGGGCGGCGTGCTAATAACAACGTCCCCAAGCCTGACGTTGGGCCGAATGCTGCTACCAACTCCTGTGATGAAACAGTATTTGACGGAGCTGAACTTTTCATGAAGAGTCGCAGATAGGGACTTAATTACTGAGGCTTGCGAGCTTGGCCTTCTCGGACATATAATAACGACTTTGTACGAACCAATGGTTCCCAGCGTATACAAGGGATCGTCGTTACGCGGGACTGCCAGCTCATGATGTCTATCATCAAGCATAGATCTCGCAATAGACATCGCCCTTGGCTCTGTGCATATCCATCCAACAGTATATGTCGCGAAATGGGCCTGATCCTCAAGTGTGCGTTGTTTGATCCCCTCCTGTGCCGATATATCGCTTTGGTCTGCCATGTTCGGTTCATCTTGCTTGTTTTGTGGAAGCTCGTCAGGAGAGTCCCCGGCTGATAAATTCCGGACCCATTCGCTAACCCTGAATCCAGGACGAAGCTCCGGGACGGGATCGAGCGCTCCTTCGCATAGTACCGCCATATCTTCGACCACGCTCGAGTTGTCTCGATCTATAATGCGGTTCCAATGCTTATCGTATTCTTGCGTATCAAAATCTTTGCGCATTGAATCTTGCCGACCCCGTAGCTGCACTTGGTGACTCTGCGATGAATGATCGGGCTCGTTATCCTCGTCAGATCCCTGCGGATTGGTACTCAAAGCAAGCTGAGCAAGCCGTTCAAGATGGAAGATCAGATGCGACTGCATCTGAGGTATGTCAGCGAAGGCGCTGGGGCAAAAGGGACAGTCTCGGCGTATCATCATTGAGGGACCAACAACAACAGAGAGCAGAGCGGGCGAGAATTGTTCTGGTGTAGTGTTCGGATGGGATTGTTTCAGGTGATGAACGTATTCTGGTTGGGTTTCAAACTCTTCGCCGTGTTCTTGGCAGTGCCACACGCGTGTGTGTTGGCTTTCGTGGTCGATCCATTCTTGTCGATCTCCGTAGATGCGATTAGGGTCTTGACACTGCTCATATGTGCAATGATACGGCTGCAGATCATGTATGACGTGTACGCTTTGTAGTAAATCAAGGTTAGATTAAATATCCCAGTGGATACCAATGCGTACTACTTACATCCACAGATGTTTCTGAAGAAATTTCTCGGGGCATAGAGTCCTGCAGTAGGGACAAATATAGTATCCAGCTATTCGCTCCCCTTGTGGCGGGTCAGGCCACTCCAGCTTCTTTCCCTCGGGGCCGACGGCTGTTGATGCACGTGTTTGGTGAGAAATGGCCGACCTGAGGTCATCCGATTTGAGGAAGTCTGGTGGCAGCCTTGTAGCCGTTGTGTTCGAAATCGGGATAACTGGTATCTCAACTCGTTTGTGGGCCTCACTCTTCGCATGCTCGAGATGCAAAGGAACTTCTACAGGCTCTTCGGCAACGGTGTTCGGCTGCCCAGCCTTTTGCGGGGGTGACTCTGCTCGCGTCTGACTCAGTCGAATGACATGTTCTTTCCAGTAGGTGAACTGTTGTTTCCGCCTGGAATTGGCAACGCCAGTCCTTCGAATGAGCCAGTGATCAGTGGATGTATAATAAGCCAGTACATCTTCGACGTCATTTGCGGTTGCTCTGATATCCGTGCTTTCCAGAATGTATTGGCGATTGAGAAACGAGACAGCTGCAATCTCGACTTCCTCGCGCTCTCGTATGTAAGCCGTCCTTATATCGGCCGGCACATGCTTGTACAGATCCTCTATGGTGCGCTGTGGCCTATTTCGAGGGCTCCTGATCTTGGCTGCCAGACTGTAAAGCGCGTCCAAAGCTTCTGTGACTCCTTTTAGGCGAAAGTCGACCTCGTGAACAGAGCTATCGTTACTTGGGGAAGATACGGCGCTAGCTTGAGATGAACCGTCCCTCTCTGTATCTGAGTTTGTGCCATCGCTTTCCTCGTCTTCCTACTGTTCGTCTTTATCGATTGCCTGTTGTTCGTAGGGCAAACGCTCATTCCGTAATATAGCGAGAAGATTATGTAACTATACTCGACAGTTAGAAATGCAAGCTTGACTAAAGAATTGTGATTGTGTGATTGCGTGAGGGATGGGTATCGGATCGCTTCGGCACAGAGTGTTTTCTGGTAAGGTGGAGCATATGAGATTCGAGGCTACATACATGACTTTCAAGTTCCTCCAGAATCTCAGTAAGTCGAGCTTTCACTACCTCGGCGTCTCGAACGCGGTAGTCGAGAGATGCGTGTCCTTGGTGGTAGAGCCCAAGACTGTGCGCCCACACCTTGAATCTTTGCTCCTCTGTCACTACTTGTCGATATTTAGTTGACTGGCTGAGCTGCAGAAGGGCAGTCAGTTGGGTAAGTTTGTCTGATGTCCTCTTTCCGACCTTGGAGAGCTGTGCCGGATCCATTTGCTCCATGGTAGTCAAGGTGTTGAGCCACCAGCCATGCTGGGATAATGTGAACCAAGTCTACTCGAGACAGTTGAGCTCATGAGGGGCTCGAAGACGCGCAGGGATGCGAAGGCAAAGCTCAGCAGCCGGCCAATCGTAAACTGCATCAGCCCTCCACAGCATCACGGGAGCACTCGTACAAAGAGCTACCCCTCTTTCAGCCGCAAGAACTTACGTGTAGTCCATTGAGACTGCTCTTGTCTGCTTTGCAAGTCCTTCTGTTGCATTCCTTGATCTGAATTCACAATGTCGGGCTTTGAGGTTGCCGGGGTGGTCCTCGGAGTCATACCGCTGGCTATATCTGCCCTCGAACACTACAAGGCGGGAAAAGGCACTGTGGCAACCTTTATGAAGTTCCACGGACAGCTAGATACACTCATTTACCGGCTGAAACTGCAGAGAACCTTCTTCTATCTCAACGTTCTCGAGTTGCTACGCAGCGCAGGGGTCGAAGAGGTAGTCAACAAATCAGACATAACCGAAGAGGAATGCATTAAGGTTCTCCAAAATGCCAAAAATGCCGACGAGATGAAAGAATATCTGGGATCTGGCCAGCTATTTGTTACCTTTCATGATATCTTAGCAAGATATGAAGCTTGCCTGAAGTCGATTGTGAGCAAACTAGGCCATATAAAGAGACCACCACAGGTTTGCCTGTCTCCATACCCACATTTTCTGGACGTGCATGGCTGATTTCACCATCAGTCTGCAAAAGATGACTTGAAGGCCATTTTGGAGCACAATCCAGTAGGCGCCTCATCGTTCGCTTTCAGAGAGCGCTTGAGCTTCACGATGGAGAAAGGGAGCCTCAAGCAGCTGGTTGAGGAACTGAGCGAAGATCGACTCTCTCTGAAGGAGCTCATCTACAGCATGAAAACGCAGCAAGAGTACACATCGAGGCATCCTTCGGACGAGGCCCAGAAACTGGCGAATAAGCTTTCCAGAATTCAGAAACACGCAGCTCCTCTGTTTGAAGCATTGCGTAAAGGCTGTAGCTGTAGCTGCGAGAACAAGCACAGGGTTTTTATGAAGCTCGATAACAGGATCCCGCTCAAAAGCGGCAGGCGGAGGAAGCTGAAAGACGAAACGGAATTCAGCCTTCTGTTTGACCACCAAGGATACTTGCAGGAAACTCATGTCAACGTCCGTGAGGATGACGGTAATGACAGCGGAGAGAACGTGGTCAAGGGCAGGAATACGACGAGGGTTGTCATTGTTCAACATGCTGAACCAATGCCCAAGGAGAGGATTGTGACACGATTGTGCCGGCACGTGTCTCAGTTGCAAGAGACGGGACACGTCTTGAAGCTCAAGCTAAGCAACAGCGACCTCTTCCTTGTCGAAGGAGAGGCGGAACGTAATCGAGATTTCGCAAGCCCGACAACCCTGTCGGATATCCTCAAGGCCGGATGTCATGACGACGACGCCAAGATGTTCCCAAAGGAACAGACACTCTTGGCTCTGAACGTGGCGTCTTCCATCCTCCAGTTACAGCAGACGTGGTGGCTGTGTCTGCCATTCAACAGCAACGAGATCAAGATATTGACGCCTCAAGAAAGGTCCGTCACGTCGAATAGCTCGCCTTTCATTGAACAGCTCATGAGCGAAGTTCTGCCATCCTTGAACGATGCTGTCAAGTGCAGTACTATTGGCCCAGACCCCAAAACTGCATTAACAGAGCTTGCCATCCTCTTGCTGGAGATCTGGCACCACAAACCGCTTGATATCTGGTGTGCGAAGATGGATAAAGCAATTCCTACATCGCCACAGGCACGAATGATGGTTGCTATCGAATGGCTGCAGGCTACCTCTAGGCGTCTGCTTCCCTACCAGAGCCAAGTTATTGAACAGTGTTTGCAAGTGTGTGCTGGAGCTCTCCGATTCTGGCACGAGAAGGATTTTATAAGGATGTATTGTGAGAATATTATCAAGCCGTTGCAAGAGACGCTAGGGGCATGGGATACTTCAGGGAGGGCATATGTTTGGAATTAATGAATCTCAGATGACCGTGGGGTTCGCTATATAACTCTAATTTCAATAAATCTCCCAGAAGGCATATGTAATCTGCTTCCATTGTGGCATTGATCTCGAACAGGTCTCTGAAAGTGAATTACGACGCTGCTGAATCTCGGGTCCTTCACCATCAAGCCTTTCCGACAGAACCTTAGACAGGTATGCGAGAAAGACAATGTTGCAGAAACCCATATGTAGACCTCCATGGAGCCTTAAGAAAGACAAACGTTAGCACCGAAAGAGTTGCAGGGGGGGAGGAAGTGTCATACATAGGATCCATAACCGAGTATGCTGATGCCGTATATAGGCCCAGCATAGGAGGAACCCCGCTGATATGATAGGCCATTGGTAGTAGAACTTAGAAGGGGATAGAAACCGGAATCAAGCTGATGATGGCTGTTTGTACCAGTGATTCCCGTGTGGTAACAAATCCAACGTCCTCAACGTCAATTACATCGATGTACACGCTGAGATGCAGCAAGACAAGGACAGGGTAGTAAAGGATCTTTTGCTGGATTCAAATTGGCTTTCCTATTACATGCTTTCCTTCACAAATCGCTGTCCTGTGGTCCGGCTCTATCAAGTGTCCCTACCAGATCACGCCTGTGCATGAACAAGGGTACTTGGAGTGACAACGGGTCGGCCCATGATTTCTAGCGGTCCGGCGCGTTGGGCCAGCATCCGAGGCTGCCTTTTCTGTAATATTTTATGTCAATGGAATATGATAGTAGTGATGCTACACTGCGTATGTCCTGCTTGAAAGTGAGCAAGGTGGAAATGGCTCTGTCGGCTACGGCGTAGGCGTGGCTATGCTTGTATTGGAAAGAGATCATACAAGTTCTCCCTGCTTGTTTTTTATTTCGGTAGGTATGCACATTGTCGGAATATTTGGGCTCAATAATGACAGTTTTTGCAGCCAAGCAGTGTAATGGCTCATGGCTGAGAACCCCCCTTGCAGTGTGGCGCGACATGGTATGATTCGCTTCGCTTTGACTAGTGGAAGCAAACAAAGCTGAAATCCAAGGGTTATTGGATTCAAGGGTCTAGACCCGTGTCTTTTTGATCATCGTGACACTCTGGAGCCTCTTCTGCTGGGGGCAACCGGCAATGAACCTGCCATCTTGGAGTGCCACAGTGACTAGAGGACAGCTCAACACCGAAAGTGAAGGCGAGCCGCCGTTGCTCAGCTGCATCTGTTTAGATGACATGTCCACATTTCGACATCTCATGACTTTCGCGCTGCCCGAGGCCAGAACATGCCGCTCCATGCTTCCCTACGTTCGCGTAAGATTGGGTTCTGCAGGAGGAAGATGTCGTCTGAATCTCAATCACCATATGTACATATATATATGCCTTCAAAACCTCTCCTCGGCAGCCTCAAGCTCAAGAGCCCAAACGACCGATCCATATCTAATACCTGCTGTTCTCTCGCTTTACTAGACTCCAAATATCGAGTCACAACCTCACGACTACATGGCTGTCGACATGAGCCATATTGACCACATACACCATGTGGAAGGGGATTTGAAGAATGGTCAGGAGAACTCCTCTCCCTCTCAAGATGGCATCACAAAAGACCACCAGGTCATAGTGGAAGTTGTCGAGTCTGAAGAACGTACCACTACCTGGTTCAAACTCCGACAAGTCATGCGTGAGCCGTTCTCCGAGTTCTTTGGGGTCCTGATCCTCGTCTTGTTCGGCGATGGATCTATAGCTCAAGTTGTGCTTGGACAAGGCGCCAAGGGAGACTGGCAGAACATTAATTGGGGATGGGCGTATGTTGTTCTCCATTTCCTATACACCACAGTGATGCTAACTACCTGAATAAGCTTGGGTCTGATGCTTGGGGTTTATTCCGCTGGGGTATCCGGTGCACACCTGAACCCAGCTGTCACCCTCGCCAACTGCGTCTTCCGCAAGTTCCCTTGGAAGAAACTCCCAGTTTACGTCCTTGCTCAGCTTCTCGGTGCAATGGTAGCCTCCCTCATTGTATATGGGAACTACAAATCTGCCATTGACGTGTACGAGGGAGGCCATGGCGTACGCACAGTCGGATTGAGCACGTCTACTGCAGGCATCTTTGCCACATATCCAGAGCCGTTCCTGACCAAGACGGGACAATTCTTTGACGAGTTTACCGGAAGCGCCATCCTTCTATTCTGCTTATACGCTCTCCAAGATGATGGGAATATTGGTGCTGGGAACTTCCTTCCGCTGGGCTTGTTTTTTGTCTTCTATGGAATCGGAGCTTGCTTCGGCTCCAACACTGGCTACGCGGTCAACCCTGCGAGAGATCTGGGTCCTCGTATCATGACTTGGGCAGTTGGCTATGGGCACCAAGTGTGGACGGCAGGCGACTATTACTTCTGGGTATGTGGGATTTCCAAACCCTTTCTGAGCGGCTACTGATGTTGGACAGGTTCCGGTAATTGCACCATTCTTGGGCTGTCTCTTCGGCGGCTTCCTCTACGACACATTCATTTATACGGGCGACAGTCCTATCAATGCGCCATACATGGGCTTCACACGGGTCTTGGGCAAGCGGGTCAAGGCAGGAAAGCCGGTGATGGTGTGAAAGTCCCAAGATGCACATTTGAAGCATCACTGGACCTTTCCAGTTTGATATACTGGCAGGTAGTTGATATATTTAGTGGATATAACCATGCTGCAGATATGTCTTATATACACCTACTGTAATAGCGTGCGGCATTCAGTACTCTATTCGCAAGCTTTCGTCTCTAACTATATAATTGTACCTAGTTACTATGGAGTTTTAGGTGTATAAGTCAATATCTCGACCAATCCTCTCATTCAAAGTTATGCAACATGATACTGGAGACCTCGAGCTTGACACACGAGTGCTTTCACAGGTCTGCCAATGTGCCCGTGAGATATCCTAGCCGGACAATAGTGGCTTACAAGGGCTTCTACTGGCACCTGATTTCTCTTGGCTTGTTAGACATGGAGTATCGTGCTGCCGTAGGACACTTGTCATGCGCTTATATAGATTTAACTGCGTAAGCCTCGACTGTGCGCATCTCCCCTCTGGACTTTGGTATCTCTATTCTCTTGGACAGTAGTACTATGCGCATCTACAAGAGGAGAGGGTATTTGCCCTAAATGGCCGGAGCTCAACTTTTCATGCTGATCCTTGATGTGATTGCTGTTGTTTGATTTGATGAGTCTCTCTATCTGCCAGTACATCTGACATAAGTACGAGAGATGCAGCCCACAGTGTCGACCCATGTGAGAAGTGGAAAACATGACCGGGTTGAGACGGGCGCTCTGAGCGGAGAATGTGGGGAAACCGTTCGACAGAAAGGGCTAAACATTGTGAGGCTCTCACACTCTTATGGCCGGCAAGCAGAGCTGCCGCTTACGTTTCCTATTCAATTCTGCCTTCTAGACTACATCGTTTGCTGGTGAAATAGGCTCACTAGTTGGACTATCCTGGACCTCGGCAGGTGGGTATTACTTACAACTCTAATGAGCAGCCGTAGCGACTGATATAAGCGTGCCCGAACCGGTCACTGATGGTGTTTCAATACTCACCGGCTCAACATCGCCCATCCAACAGAATCCAACATCATTACCCCCCCTTCAGTTCAATGCAATGGCGCCAACCAGCACTTTGAGAAAACCCCAGAGACTCGGGTTTCTCGAAGCCATGGAAATGTCCCGCCTCCCTAGCGACGACAGCTCCCCCGCCACGCAGCGCTTCATGAGCCATCGGCCCGCCTGGCAGCCCGGCGCCGAGCTCCCGTGGGACAGACCTGACGTCTCGGAAGAAGCCGCGAGTTTTCGCAACTTCAAGGCCTATGGGGGCCATGTGTATATTCAGGCACCGCTGGCTGCTGCTCGCATCGTGGAGGCAAAGGAGGAGGAGGAGGCGAACAGAACGTCTCGTGAGTATAACAGAGGCAAGTTTGGGATTCATGTGAGTCTGCTCTATGTCATTCCAATAGCACCAACATTGACGAAATGGTTTAGTCAATACAAGGCGTGTTCACGTACGGAGGATACACAGACCGGCCCTTCATCTACTCCGTATCCAAACTCTCATCGGGCCGCTCCTTTCAGACATGCCTCGTCACAGTCCGCCAACCCACACAAACCTCAGCAACCCCCAGAGGCCCGTTTCCCCTCTCCGACGCGAACCTCCCTCTCGGCCCCATCTGCTTCAGCTGCCACGTCACGTTCAAGCGTCCTGCGCCCAACTTTGCAGACGAGCAATTGACCTCTGCGCAAGAGCGTTTCGCGCACATCCTTTCGCGGAGGAGACCTGACGAATGGGAGGCGAGTCCCCAGCTTGACATGGATATCCTCAATGATCTGTTTCCGAATGAGGGACATGGAGGCTTCCCCATCGTAGACATGTACAAGGTGGACATGTCTTCTTGGAACGCCGATAAACCGATTTCGGAACGCCGTGAACTGCTGCTGTATAGATTACACAAGCCCGTTCCCGCGGAAGACGCAAACGCGCATGTCCTCTGTCACGCATTCGAAGCGGATCGGAACGGGCTCCTCACGATCGGGAACCACCTCGGCTGGGGCTACAACCTGGCGGTTGCGGCGAGCCTGAGCTACACGTTCCTTGTGCACGTCAACGCGGAAGAGGCCGTGATGAAGGATGGATGGTGGATCCAGGAGGTGTGCTGGCCGCGGGTGAGTGCCGGTCGAGCCGTGTTGGAGAGCCGGATATGGAGCCCAGAGGGGAGGCACGTCGCGAGCGGGTATCAGGATGGGCTTACGGCGCCTCGAGAGGGAAAGCGGGCAACAGAGAAGCTATAGAACTTTGCCTCTTCTTCTCTATTTCACAAGCATATTGTAGATTTTGAACTTGAGGATGGCTTCACATATAACTCTCTTAATTCTTCATCCGTTACTAGGAATCATCTTCAGCCACAACTCACACTTCCTAGACCTTCCACGTTTCTCCTCATAGCCTCTTCTCCATCACGCAGCTTAACTCCAAGACCCCTCCAATCCTCTACCGCACGCACCGTCCCACCGCCGTCTCAACAAGCACCCTCGCATACAGCCGATGCAGCACCCCCGGAAACCCCCCAAACGGATCCTCCCTCGGCCTCGTCGTCACCCCATCAAACGCAAGCGCCTTCAGCCGGAACTCCGCCTCCTTCCGACCCTCATCCAGCTCCGCCGTCAACGCAGACAAGTTATCCATCGCGTGCGGTCGAATGGGTGTCGGCGCGGGGCAGCCGCGCAGGGTGATTGTCGTGGGCGTCTTGTCGAGGACGAGGAAGTAGTTTGTCACGATTGTTCCTGTGCTGCGTTAGCTGGCTAGCTTGCTGGATGTCTTCATGTCATTTGTTGGAAGTGCAGTTGAATGAGGTAATTTATACCGGGCTCGTATTTGCTCTGTCGCAACTCCTCCGGCGACCACAGACTCGCATGTTTCTCAGGTCCCCTCGTCAATAACCCCATCACCCTCCTCTGCACAGCATACCCTAAACCCAACAATCAGTCTGACAAACAAAACCCTTCTACAACTCCCCTCACTTGACATGAGTAAGAAAGAAAACAAACCGAATCCTCCCCACATCCCCCGCGCAAACTCCTCGACAAGGGCACTCCCCCCTCGCTTCGCGTCCTCGAGCAACTCCGGCCTCAGCCGCTCAAACGGCACCCTTCTGAGGCAGCAGTCGTGCGTGCTCGGGTTGTTCCTCGGATTCACCTCCTGCAGGATCGGATGCTTGAACAAGGGATCGGTTTCCGGTCCGAACGGTTCGAAAGAGCAGTTTCGGGTCCATAGCGCGAGGCCTGCGAATGTGGCTGCCGGGGCGCCGATGAGGACCTGTGTGAGGAGGATTAGGCGTCGACGGGCTGTGGAAGGGAGGGGCATGCTGAATACGCAGTCACATGAATCAGCCACAGTGAGATGGGACACTCGAGCAGAAGACAACAGGAGCAGGAGATTCATTGTGTAGAAAAAGAGGGAGGGACGCCCTTTTGGTCCGTCCAACTCGGGTTTCTGGCCCGGGCCGCACTCGATCAGCTTCACTTCGGGCCGGCAACTCGGGCCCACCGGGTCGGCGACGCTTGTCCGTGATAATGGATAGCCGGGAGCATCGTATACCCGGCCTTGAAGAAGAAAGTATCGGGAGGCATTTACCTCGCATGGTTAGTTAAAGATGCAGTGTCTGCACCTGATCCTCCATCAAGACATCAAGTTTACACAAGACTCAGGCAGTGGTAGAGATGCTAATGTCATACAACTATCGCTGCGGAATAGCCCCCCGTCTTGGGTATCTCTGTGCATAAAACAAGGATATAACGCTCCCAACTCATCCAACGAGACACTTTGGGTTCCAATATCGTATCGCCCGTTGCAATCGTCCAGCCAGAAAGAAAGCAAGAAAATACCTTATTGTGCCAAATCGTCCGCATCTCCCATGCCCACCAAATGCCAAATGCCAAGAATGCCAGATACCAGCCAAAGATATAAAAGAAGAGAAGAGAAGTGAGCAAGCCAGAATAAAATGCCAAAACTCCAATCCTAGGAGACATCAAGAAAAGTAAATATGCCGATACCTTTTCCCTCACATGTATCCCACCCTCCGTGTGTCCCAACATCGGATCACTGCATCAGCTGATGCACCTCGCGAGACGTCTTCCTCTTCTTGTCCAGCTTTAGTAGCGGAACCTCGATGCCATCCACCATCCGCTGTATTTTGCCTTCCCTCAGTACCGCCCAATGCTTCTGCAGCCGCTCCGCGCTCACAACGAGCTCGAATCCAGCAAGGAAGCAGAAGCTGATTTCTAGCCTCGCCAGCTCGACTTCGCTCACGCCGCCGACCTTGGCAATCTTTGTATGCGGATACGAAAGGTCCTCGAGCGCCTTCATGGCCACCCGCAAGCCTGCGAGCACCAACCTGTGTGCATTCCGTCTCGTTACCGGAATGGCGCGCTCCTCGACGGCGAGGCGGTGAATGTACAGTGATGTGGCGAGGTAGACGGCCGTGCTCATGGGGCAGAACTGGTGCAGCCGCTGCAGATACTGGTTGACCGAGATCGGGGGCTCGTTTTTGCTGTAGAACTTGCGCGTGATGGCGCCGTGCTGGAGGTTCAGGGGCTGCGAGTCTGCCCCGACGACGATGTACGGCTCCGGCGGATGCAGATTCGGGGCCGAGGACGAGGGATTCGCGCGTCGCAGAGAGTCGTGCTTCAGTCGCACGCCGTCGATGGACTGCGCGTAGGCGTCCTGCTGGGCTATCAGCTGTGCTGACATGGACGCGCTGTACGCCTGGAGCTTGCTTGGTCTGCCTACCGACGAGTCGCTCCTATGGGCGTATTTCTGCTGCTTCTCCTGGAGCTGCTGTTGCTGCCGTTGCTTCCGAAGCTTTTCTTCCTGCTCCTCTCTCAGGGCTTGGACTCGTAATCGCGCAAGGCTCTTCTCCGAATACGACCGCACGATGTTCTCCTTCTCGGCCTGCATATTGCTCATCTGGGGATCGGTGGGCGTCTTCGGGGGAGGCGTGGGCGGGACGTCGCCGGTGATGCGGACCAGCAGCTCGACGCCGGCGCTGAGCAGCTGCAGGGCGTCGGCGGGCTTGAGCTTGAACAGGTCGTACTCATCGTTGCTGCTGCCGGCGGATGGCGGGCTCGGGGTTCTTCGTTCATGGTCGATGGATAGCCGCGGATCGGACGAGGGAACGGGTCGCGGCGGAGGGTCGTGGACGGGACTGGGTTCGAGGGAGGAGGAATCTGGCTTCAGTTGCTGTTGTTCCTGCTGCTGCAACTGTATCGCCGCAGTGGCCTCGACTTGCTGCGTCTCGGTTGCGGCAGAGGACGACATGGCGCGGGATCTGGCAAGTGTTTCGCCTCGCCCGGCTTCACCTCACCTCCTCGCGTCTGCGCTGTTGGCGGTGCTTGTGTTGTGTTGCTGCTTTTCTCGCTGTTTCAACGAGTATGCTGGTTTGTCCAAGCGGCAGCAAGGTGCACGCGCGTCGCGGTTCGAGGTCGTGATGGAGGCTCGGGTCGAGTCTCGCGTGGAGGCTGCGCGCGTGAAGGCGACTTGGATCGCAGGTTGACGCTCCTCGTCTGTATGATTTCGGTTCGCGGAATGGAGATTCGGTTGTGTCGCAGAGGCTCGTCGGCGTCAAGAGACGCAGTCGTGGATGCGCCTCGGTCGATGCAAGGCGTGGGTGCGCTTGGACTGGGCCACTCTCATGATCCCGCGGGGACGCTTGCGGCAAGTCAAGGGTCTTGTCTCTTCTTCCCCTGTGCTTCGTCTCTTTTCCTCTTCAGTCCGTGATTCGTCTTCCTCTCGTCTTGCGCTTTCTGCGCCGCTCGTCTCTCTCTCTCTCGTGCTGTCTCTGCAGTGGCCACACGCAAAGGAAAAGTCTCCGTCGCCGGAAGCGGATTCTATCGGGAAGCGCCGTCTGGGAGAACAGACACAAGACACTCTGAATGCAAATGCAAATGCAAATCAGAAATAGGAACGGCGAATGGAAGTCCCTTGCCGCCTGGATCAAGTGACCGCGTGATCAGCCAAGCTCTGCAGCCGCCGAAATAGTCAAACAAATTAGAAATAAACGAAAATAAGATGCCGACGAAGGCGAAGGGGAGAAAATAGCCGTGGGGGCGCCACACACGACTCAAGATTGGGGTGGACCGAGCGTCCGTCCAGTCAGGCACTGCGCTTGTTCTTTTCTCGTTTTACTCTTTTTTCTTCTTCTTCTTTTGTCTGTTCTAGGCCTTCATCGACATGTTGTAATAGCAGGAGAATAAGAGGCGAGAGTTGAGGCAAAATGACTGGAGCTTATTTGCCTTCAGGGACCCGAGCCGGCGCCTAAATTGCCCGTCTGTCGCCACGTGTGATTTGATTCCGTGCTGATACACAGTTGGAGTAAAGCCGAGGAGGGACAGACAGCACCTTGTAGGTCATGGATGAAGCAATTGAATTTGCTTTTCCCTCAGTGGCTTTTCGTATCGAGATCTGGCCTTCTAGCTGCCGCCATCCATTCAATCAGTATCTCGTCATGCCATCCTTTTACTTCCATTGCTTGTGATTCCTTGTTTTTTTCTTTTCTACTTTCTTGTTCTGTTTGTACTTTGTGCATGCATGTGCATTGCATAATACCTGCAGACGAAGCAAAATAATAGTCCTGCTGCTCTAATGCAAATGGCCGCCCAATAAGCTGAACCGATTGACTGACTGCATGCGACGAGATGCTCCATCCACACCCTAAAACAGCTTGTTTGATGGCCGATCATCAGGACCCTTTACTTTTTAGTATTACCCAGACCCTCTGTTTTTTTCCTTCCTTTTCTCCTCTCCTTGAAGAGACCCCTATTTTTCCTTTCTCGCTGGCAGATGACTAGAAAATCATCACGAGCCTAGATCATTACTTGTTCTGGCCAAAAGCCAAACGCCACAGAGAGGCTCCCCCACTTGACAACCGACTTATTATCAGGAAGCTGAATCAAGGTCAACTGAGAAATCACCTCAAGTTGTTAATTCCCATTCTGAAACAATATATTGCAAGCTCATCAGAAGTGAAGCCCAAGATCCAAGCGACCAAGCTTATTACACACTCTTCTTACTCCCCGCCAACCACCACCGCCCAAAAATCCACGCCACGCCAATGCAAGATTCATCCACCACCACCATCTCCCAACCAGAGCACCTCCCCATGCACCTCCATGCATCACCTCCTCTACGCCATCCAGTCGTCCCAAGCGGTCTAGAATCTCATTCCACTAGTGAATCGACGATTCCCGCTGAGAAAAAGGTACGCGAAGGAGCGGGAGTGCCTTTTCCGCTTACAGCCTCGTACATATCACCACCCATTCATGAGTTGAGGTGGGATGATTTCAAGCAAGTTACCAATCTATATTCTCCCCCATTGGCTTCTTCTCCGATGTACTCCGTAGACAAGGTAAAAGCACCAATTGTCTGCGCTTCCGACACATTTCAACCATAATCATAGGCCAATTCTCGATGCATGACGCAGTAAGATGCCCGTACATGCACGCCTCGTAATGTACGCAGTGCAGTAAGTAAAAATAGGTCCTCCGCAAATCGAAGCGGTAACCGCGTCTTAGACGCCGACGACGTGGCTGGACGCCATTGTTCGCTGCGAGAGAGAGGAAAACGAGGCGTCAGCTATCTACGTAACGTGGCGTACCTTGCGCGAGAGCCAGAAGTGGAATGAGAATTTGATGATTTGACATGTGAAAATATGAAGCTGTTATGAAGCAGTGGAAAGATGGAGATGGAGCTGAAGCTGAAGTGAAGCTGCGCATGTGCTTCAGTACAGGAGTTGCTAAAAATAGCCTCGGAGCATCCTGCTTTGTGTTTGCTTCTGGGTTGGCTTGTCCATCACAAGCGCACTGCTTCAGTGTCATTCGACAATGTGACATGTTCGACGTACGACCAAGGGGATCAAGGCCAAAATGCTTCAATGTCGTTCAAGTCGTTCTACAAATCTAAGGCAAGGCAACCTTTACTGGCCTCTATCCGAGATGCAGCGCTCGATTCCATCGTCCCATCGTCCCATCACCATCTACCCGCATAGTCTCATCAACATCCCGACGCAACCTTGACATCCACCACCGCTGATTGGCCATTGTCGACGTGTGCAATGGCCTTCTTTAGCACATCCTCCAGCTCAGACCTCTCGCTCACTCGGGCCGCAAAAATGTCGCCATCCGCAGCGGCCTTGGCAATCCCGGAATAGTCCGGTGACGGATCAAACGAAATGTTAATCTCCTCGTTGCTCGCCTGGGAGCCCAGGCCCTCGGGGTGAACCAGCAGCAATGACCGGCGGGGGGCGTTCCATCCTAAAGGGTTACACAGCGGTCAGTCGTCATTCAACATGGCATGATGTGCGAGATTCTTCGTGACTCACCCTTGTTGTTGAGTACAATGGTCAAGACGGGAATGTTGTAGCGTTTGGAGATCCAGTACACGCTTCCAGGGACAGTAAAGAGGAATGTGCCGTCGCCCACAATCTGAACAACGAATTTGCCCTTGTTCTTGCCTCCATTCTCCACGTCAGTGGCCAGCTTCATGCCCAGCGCACCACCGCCAGACCATCCGAGGCCGCCGCCGCCGCAGTTGATCCACGACCCAGGAGTCGACGGCTGGATGTTGTCGTACACAAAGACGGTGTTGGTTACGGCCTCGATGGCCCACAGCGTATCCTCGGGAACGAGCTTCTTCACCTGCCTGCACAGATAGCCAGTTCCGAAGCCGCCGTCGGGAAGAGGCTCAGCTGCCTTGGCAATCCGAGCAAGACGCGCTTCATGCTCTTCCTTCCGCTTCTCGGCAATCTGCGCGACGTCCTGGGCCTGCAGCTTCTTTGCGTGCTCGCCGGACTTGAGAGCCTCAGTCAACTGCTCGATGGCAAGCTGGCTGTCGGCGCGGTACGTGGCCTGGGACTCAATGTAGAAGACGGGCATCTGCTGCTTGAGCGGATCGAGGTCGATGTGGAAGACCTTGGCGTCGGGGTTTGGCTTGACATGTGTGGGGATCCACGGCACGTCGGCATCGATGACAAGAATGACATCGGCGTCGGCAACCGACTTTTCACCTCCGTAGTTGAGGCCAAGAGAGGCAGGGTGGTCAAAGGGGAAACACATGTCACTGCCTCCGCAGTCCACTACCCTCAGGTTGGGAACGATGTTGGCGAGCTCGACCAAGGCTCCGGGGAACTTGTGGTTTCTGCCGCCGTAACCCGTCAGGACCAGGGGGCGTTTGGCACCTGCAAGCGCATCTGCTATCGTGTCGACGGCTGGCTTGGGCAGACTGCCAAGGTGCACGGGGTTCCAGTCGCTCTGTCTCAGCTGGTAGGGCTTGATCTCTTGCTCCATAACCTCCCGAGCGCCATACAGATATACCGGTCCCTGAGGTCCCGATTTGGCCCATTGCAGAGCACGGTTAACCAGCTGCTTGACATTGGAGCCCGTCTTGATCTCGCCGGTGTAGCGGCAGTACTGGGCGACGATCTGCTTCTGGTCGGGAACATCCTGGATCCAGTGGATGTACTCGGTACGGCTGCCTCGGTGCTCACCCTCGAGAGTGAATGGCGATAGGCCAGCAAAGACGAGAACGGGGGCACGACCACAGGCGGCGTTGTGCACGGCTGCTCCCAGACCTTGTGTACCAACGTCGACGTGAACAATGACACATTGAGGCTTGCCGGTTAGTCGAGCATAGCCGTCAGCCATGGACATGGCGACCATCTAAGCGGCAGGGTCAGCACTGTTACTGGTACAGATTAAGCTGTGCAGGATCAAATGATGTATGGTCTACATCTACTAGCATATGATAAGCTGTGGGAGGGACATGAACGTACTTCGTTGGGACAGGTAATCATGCGTGGAAAGTTGCCCTTCTTTTCACGAGCACCCTTGACCATGGCCTCGATGATGCTCGGGTGGTCCGACCCCAGGTTCACAAAGCAGTGAGTGACACCGGCCTCCCACAGCGCCTCGAAGAAGGCCGAAGAGGCCGTGTACATGTTCTGGTAGTCTGGCTTCTCCCTGGCTGCGGTGGAGGCTTGTCTGCTGCTGCTCACAATCGCGGTGGAAGGAATTGCTCTCTTATCAATGAGACTGCGCCCTCGGGCTGATGCGGTTTTTGGGGTTGTGAGGCTAGATCCAGAGTATTTCCGTAGCCGAGAGGGCGGCTGGCTGTAAGTGCTGTGATTTGAAGCTACGGCGCCGATGAGCGGCACCGCAGGACGGCTTCTCCAAAGGGCCGGCAGAGACGCCCCGGATCGCTGCAGGAGAGTCATTCTGCCTCGCTATTGGACGGCCGCTCTGGGGGAAGTTAGTTGCATGAAGCACACTAGACGGAATAGATGCTATGTTCGAGGTATCAAAAGGCAGAAACGGTGTAGGGGGATTGGTGCGTTGGCGATCAGTAAGTCATGAGTTGAGGGGAAGTGGCTTGTGAGGGGGCGGCTGAGTGTGTTCGGCATCGGGCTCGGATAGACATGGTGTAAGGCATGATAGAAACCGGAAAGTATCCGCGACGGATGACATAAGAAAGTGTGATGGAGAAGACGTGGGAAGAGAGGAAGATGCTTTCTATTTGATACATGTATGCGGGATCTTGATACTTACTTGAACAGTCTGCGCGGGGAGTTATTAGGAGGGTGGTATTAGCCGTACGGCTCTCTGAGGCAGACGTGGGATGAGAGTGCCTTTGGCGTGGGGATGTTGGAGTGGTGGTGCGAAGGAAGATGTGGATTGGAGGAGGAGAAAAGAGGTAGATGTTAGAGAATCGAGGAAGAGAAGAGAGAGAGAAAGAAGTGACCCAGCTGCCCAGTCAAAGATGCCCGAGCTGGAGAAAGTCCTGATGCAGATGACAGGAGGCTGCATGTAAGTAAAGTAATATGTCGAGTGACAGTCAACAACGGCCAAGTATTCGCCAATGGAGGTTATGCACCAAGACCGCGCAGTGGGCATATCAGAGGCCTGACTACGCCTGACTCCCTAGGTACGCTTGACTACGCCTTACAAGTGCAATAGGGCGCGCGCAAGCCATGTCGGGCAGTAAAAACGAAAGATGTCTGGAGCCGTTACCCACACGACTCAAACCGTTATCTAATCGGTTTGTCTTTTTGTCTAGGGCGCCTCCGCGCAACGTCCGGTGATGCCCGTCCGGCGCCTCGTGATCGCTATGAAACACCCTGTAGTCGCCTATCTGAGCAATCTGGCAACTTGTGCCGCGGCTGGCCGCTGGGGGGGAGGTGAAACCCCGATTGGCGCATGGACTGACGATTAGATGCCTGTCTGGGTAGCAAGAGGGAGGGAAGGAGGAGCTGCGGTAACGCGGGGTAGTGGAGAAGTGGTGGGAAGGAGATGGGACAGGGGGCGATGAGCTAAGCTGAGCAGACAAGTCTCAGTCTGACTGTAGAGGCGACAAGAGCTGATGCAGTGTGATATCAAAAGTGAAATTGTATGGAGGTAAAGTTATGTAGAGAAGTGGTGTGAGTGATACGGCAAACGTAGATAAGAGGCGGATGAGCTGCTCCTGCTGTTTGTTCCTCGGTCCTGACGTTGTTGATATTAAAGATGCAACTGCTCCCGTTGCCGTTGCCTCCACTCGTGTCCACCGCCTAGATGGGGAAGGCGGGGCTCGGGTGGTTGCCCAACTCCCTCCCTGCACGTTATGCCCATTCGGCTTCGCGAACCATCAGGGTACGTACTCAATCCATCAATTCACACTTGAGCTGCGACATTAACAGTCACCTCCTTGCATACCTAGTGCTTCACATCTATAATATACCTCGTGACTCTTACAAAGACCTGGGATGAGACGATTATTGCAGCAGTACCGATAGATCATCAAACCGAGGCATGGCTCTGTTGGATGGACTGGGGAGACTCTACACCTCTGCCTATCTTGCATTTATCCGGCAGGCCATCATCAACCAACAATCCATCTTCCTGCATCCCCATTCGGACTCGTCACACTGATATGTTCTCAACTACCCGATTCCATTAGGTATACAACACATCTCGGAGCCAACGAGCCCCCGTCTCGAAAGCTAGGTATTGTCCAGCACTGAAAAGACGGCTCTCACCAGCGAGAAACCACAACCACGGCTCATATGTATATCCCCCTTTTCCCTCATTCACCCTCAAGGCAAATCGACGCTCTGAGGGTTCAGAAACACATTGCTCCCATCATAGAGTTTCTTGATCTCCTGCAGTCTCGGCACCTTGTCGCCCCAGTACGTCCACTGCGCCTCCTCTCTGCTCAACGACACATCCACGTATCCGGCGTACGTCGTGTTCGCCTCCGGAGCCGCCTTCTTGATCCTATCATGGACGCCAGAGACAAAATCCCTCGTGCCTTGGTTCAGCAGCGGAATGCCGATGGCATAGGACTGGTACATCATAATCGCGTCGCGGTGCGGGTAGGCGGTTGCGTTGTACGCAGTGTCGGCCATGGCGCCACCCTCGGAGTTGAAGATGATGAACCACAGCAGAGTGCCGGGGTCGGTGTCGTCCATGTACGTGAACAGCTCGTCGATCGAATCCTTGCGCAGCTTGTCGTTCTTGCCGAATGCCAATGACTTGCTGGCAAACGGCGTGGCCAAATCACTCAGATACAAGCCCGTCGTCTCAGCAATGTGCGCCAAGCTGCCCAGCCAATCTACCACGGCCAGCTTTACGTCTCCGCCCACAGGAATCTTCTTCGCGATGCCCGTCTCGTCAAATTCATCCTTAGTGCCATAGAACGTGCCGGTGATGAGAGCACCCAGAGGTTCTGCGATGAAGAGCGTTGAGAAACGTCGATCGAGGTCCGGGTCGTAGACCAACTCCTGCCACTGCTCAAAGACAGGCGCCATGTCTTTCTGCTCGCCAAAGCTGAAGCTGTAGGTGTACTCGACAACGCTGCCGGGCTCCGGGTGCGTCTTGAGGACGAATTCCGTCACGATGCCAAAGCTAGCTCCGGCACCCCGGATAGCCCAGAACAAATCTTGGTGCTGCTCTTCGTTTGCCCGGACCACGGTGCCATTGGCAGTGACCACCTCGACTTCGAGGACGTGGTCAAGGGCGGCTCCCCACATTCTCGACATGGGGCCCAATCCTCCCTGTTCAAAGCCATCAGTTGAGGCTACGTGAGATATCATCTTTGCTGTTACATATATATCTTACTTACCACAGTTGCGTGTCCTCCAACACCAACCCCAGGGCATGTCCCATGGGCAATAGCCCGGCCGCCATTGGCATGCAGCAGCTTATCGAGTCCATCCAGTCTGAACCCCGAGCCGATGCTCGCTTGCCAGGTGTTGTTATCCATTTGGAAGCTCTGAAGACTGACCAGATCGATCATCATGCCATTCTCGTCACCCGCCCCCTGAGCAAAGTTGCTGCATCCGGAATGTCAGATCAGGAGAAACGGCGAAGTTTACTCGAGAAAAACCCTTGTTTCATACCCATAAGAGTGTCCGCCAGACCGAGCCTGGACTTTATACCCATTATCATGCGCGCACTTCACCGCGCCAGATACCTCAGTCGCATTGTTCGGCCGAACGATGATATCGGGATACCGCGGAAGATCAAGATTGTACAGCTTGGTCCATGCCGTATCGAGGTTACTCGTCGGGACATGGTAGCACTCGAGGCGTCCGTTGCAAACGCTCTGTATGCACGACTCGATCGGCAGTGTGGAATTCGAGTTGCCCATGGCGAGAAGGGATTTTATTGCGCTTCCCACGATGCGCTCTTTTCAGTTTCCCCAGCTGGGGAGGCTACTTTCTTTATACATGTTACGATTTTGACAGCCATGGAGATTACCCCGTCGTGTGGGAAGGTCGATTTTGGTACCCCTGTCATGAATGCTACACCGCAAATACGAACAAGAGTGTTTTCTTGTGGAAACGGACGAGCAGAGCAAAGACGAACGGGCATCTGCCCCGTATCTACGGGTCTCAACAGGCGAGTTTGTTTTTCCTTGTCATACTGCGTATGGCCTCGTTTGCCTGACGATCTCTTCGCGAAGAGTTGAGGGCGGTGCCGGCAATATCTTGCCATCATATGAGATGTTCAAACAAAGCGAGAGAACGTACGTGAGTAGTATGTGAGAGCTGCTTCCAAATCTGAGAGCAGCTGGGGTTACACTGGTGAGTGGTACTACTAGTACAAAGTTTTGACGTTGGTACGAATTACATTTCAAGTAGGATGATAAGGTACCTTGTGAGTTTGTTTCCATGGCTCGTGCATGAATAATCGAAACGCCCTCCAATTGGTAATAACCTTGCGTCTCACTATTTCCAGGCGATGTCACCTCACGCAGTAGCACAACCAGGAGCATAGCTACAGGTTGTTCGGTTAAAGTCTGACAGGTTCGAATAAGCTTATTTACATCAATCTTCATTCATTACAATAGGTGGTAATTGCCATCCATGTACAAGTAAATTATACAGATATCATGTCTCATGTCCTCCTCGTTCCAACTTCGACCCCTTAGTACGCAACCATGGTGTTCAGCCCGTCAAGCTCACGGTCCCAGCAGCGATGCGTGCTAATCGCATACGCAAACTTGTCCAGGAACCCTGAAGCGCCCTTGGCAACGGTCACAATCTCCTTCAGATGCTCCGGGTGCACGTTCTTCAGTGTAACCACACCGTAGCTCTCAACGGCCTCGTGGTCACTTGAGGTGGCCACTCGATCCGGCATCTGCAGCGCCTTCTCGACCAACAGCACGCCCTCTCCCGTGGCGCCGATGGGCTTGAGGTGGCCGAATGCCTCGCGGATGTAGTGCAGGGCCCGTCCGCTCTTGGAGAGCTCGGCGATGGCTTTTACGCCGCCGGGGATGAAGAGGGCGTCGAACATTGTGCTGCGCTGGCCCTCCAGGTGGTGGTCAGGAACGACGCCCTTGCCGGCCTGAGTTTCGCCGTCGGGGAATGTCTCTGAACGGTGAGTGCCGATGACCAGCGGGACGGCCTTGGCTGCGAGGAGCGCTCCGTACATGGCGTTGAAGGCAACGGGGTCATATCCATCGGAAATGATGATGCCGACTCGCCTTGAGGCAATCATGGGCTTCTCGGGAAGGAACTCCAGTTGGCTGAGACCCTTTGCCTTCTGCCCGTGGTTCGGCCGTCCTGCTTGCTGCGGCAGCGCACCTCCAACCATCTTGCCCACCGACTGCGCCAGGCCAAGGTCGATGTCAGCAAGTCGCTTCACAAGCCTCTCATACACCACCGGCTCGTCGCAGTGATCAAGCTCAAACGAGAAAGCCGCCAGCATGTGGTTCTTCTCAACCTCGGACAGCGAGTTGAAGAAGAGCTGCGCCTGCGAGTAGTGATTCTGGAACTTGGCGCTCTTGGCCCGCTGCTTGATGCCAGCGACCTTGGCGGGATAGTCGACGTAGGCTCCCTCGGCGTGCGTGGCCGGGGGCTGGGCCTCGAAGCGGTTGGGCCAGTAGTTGACCTTGCCCTTGGAGATGGTGTGGCGCATCGCGCCGTCGCGGTTGAAGTTCATGACGGGGCAGACAGGCTTGTTGATGGGCAACTCCTGCCAGTTGACGCCGAGACGACTCAGCTGGGTATCGAAGTACGAAAAGTTTCGGCCCTGCAGGAGGGGGTCGTCCGAGAAGCCGATGCCGGGCACGACGTGGCTGGTGCAGAAAGCTACCTGCTCGGTCTGAGTGAAGAATTCATCCACATTCTTGTTCAACTCAAGCTCGCCGATGTACCGGATAGGTACCAGGTCCTCGGGCCAGACCTTGGTAGCATCAAGGATGTCGAAATCGAAGTCGTGCTCGCGGCTCTCGTCCAGCACCTGGATACCAAACTTCCACTTGGGATACACTCCATTGTCGATAGCCTCCATCAAGTCCTTGCGGTGGAAATCAGGGTCCTGGCCAGCAAGCTTCAGCGCCTCGTCCCACACCAGCGAGTGCACTCCCAGCTCCGGGGTGAAGTGGAACTTGACGAATGAGCGCTTTCCCTCCTTGTTGATGAGTGTGAATGTGTTTACGCCAAAGCCCTGCATCATGCGGTATGAGCGAGGGATGGCGCGGTCCGACATGGCCCACATGAACATGTGCGTGGCTTCGCTGTGCATCTGGACAAAGTCCCAGAAGTTGTTGTGCGCCGTCTGCGCCTGGGGGACTTCATTGTGAGGCTCCGGCTTTCCGGCGTGAATAATGTCCGGGAACTTCATCGCATCCTGGATGAAGAAGACGGGGATGTTGTTTCCTACGATGTCCCAGTTGCCCTCCTGGGTGTAGAACTTGACGGCGAAACCGCGCACATCGCGGACGGTATCGGCCGAACCGCGACTTCCAAGGACAGTCGAGAAGCGGACAAAGACGGGAGTCTCGCGGGATGTGTCAGTGAGCACGGGCGCAAAGGTGACATCCTCGGCGGACTCGAATAGTCGGAACGTTCCAAAGGCTCCGGTGCCTCGGGCGTGGACTACACGCTCGGGGATACGCTCATGGTCGAATCGGTGAATCTGCACATGCAATGTTTAGTTTCCAGGCCTCTAGGAAGCGAACATAGAAGCTCAAAAAATCTACCTTTTCACGTGCAAATGGGTCCTCTAGCAGTGAAGGTCCAAGCTGGTCATCGCGAGCGATCCGCAGCCAGTCATCCGTGCTGTTCTGCTTCGTGCCGAAATCAGACGTGATCCGGCTGTCCTTGGTTGGCTCGACCATGTGCTTCGCCAGCTGGTCTGCCTTCGCTTCTTTCTGGCCCATGACTGCTTGCTTCACCGATGGCGGGATGATGTTGGACATGTTGTATCACGGCGCACTTGATTGATGGAGGCTTTGCTGAGAGCTGCGAAGAGTTCTCACGTACATTCACAGAGACGCCATTCGCAACTGCCCTTATATACGGCGTGCACAACGGGCAACCGCTTACAGGGTTTTTGCCATGAGATCATGATGAGTGGCGATTTGTGCGGCAAGCCGTCACTCCGTCACTCATACATCAACGTCTTGGTTGTGATATTAGATTGACGTCAACGACCGCCGACAGCTTGGTCGCTCTCCCTCCTACAAGCTTTGCGACAGATGATACATCGATACCCAGCTAGAGGCAGAATCGGTCCCGGTTTTTGCGATCCCACTTTGTGCTCGGTGATTGAAAATTCAGAGAATATCAGTGGTTCGTTTGATTCGACCATCAATTAGTTCAGTTCATGCCGTGGTTCGCCAAGTTTGCGATGCCGAAACTGGAGATGCAAATGCCGGAAATGCAACAACTTTCCCCTCAGTCCAAGAGCTCTAGCATCCCACTTCCCGTGCTGTGCTTCTCCGAGCTCTCAAATGGTAGCTTGATGATTCATTATCCCACCATTGCTCGGGTAATGATCGACCTACCGGCATGATGTAATTGAACGATGCCTTGGACAGTGCGGAATGGAGTCGTGCTCGTTCCACGCGGCTAAGTGTATTGCCGAGCACAGTACTCCGAATTATCTGCGCGATGCTGTCGGCCAATGCAAGGCAATAACCACTTCAAACCCAGGACACTATCAAGACTAACAATTATCCAGCTACGGCGAGCGATATAGCTAGTATATAAGGTAGTAGTGTCTGACAAATACTGCTCTGTTTCTACTATGGTCTCATCTGAATGTAATAAAACAGTCGTCGATATCTGTTACCTTCGCTTTGTTGTCGCAAACGCATCTCGGACTGCTGGAGTAAACTGTCCGAAAGGACAGTATTGGGCCGAGGACGTCAAGAAGGTGCACCTGCATCTATTCACTCGGCCTCAGACGTCGCCACTTCTGGTAATCCAGGGAACGAGGTGCCTGGGGCTTCTTGATGGGCTTCTTGATGGGTTTCTTGATGGGCTTCTTGATGGGCGATCCCGTCGACGGCGCCTTTCCCTTGTCCCGGGGCTTCACTTTTGTACCTTCTCCGTCTCTCTCGCTCTCTTCGTCATTTGAAGACGGCGCCGAATCCTCGTCTGTGGAAGACTGTGGTGGCTTATTCTTGCCATGCTTCGCCGAGCTTTCAGCCCGTGAACGCGAGTCGCCGTGATCTCTTTGACCAGGCCCTTCTTCGTCTTTCTCGCTCTCTTCGTCATCTGAAGACGGCGCCGAATCCTCGTCTGTGGAAGACTGTGGTGGCTTATTCTTGCCATGCTTCGCCGAGCTTTCAGCCCGTGAACGCGAGTCGCCGTGATCTCTTTGACCAGGCCCTTCTTCGTCTTTCTCGCTCTCTTCGTCATCTGAAGACGGCGCCGAATCCTCGTCTGTGGAAGACTGTGGTGGCTTATTCTTGCCATGCTTCGCCGAACTTTCAGCCCGTGAACGCGAGTCGCCGTGATCTCTTTGAACAGGCCCAAACTTGGCTTCTGTTTCAAGCAGTAGCTTAACAATATCTTGTTTACCATTTTCAAGCGCCCATGCAAGCGGTGTTTGTCCTCGATCATCTTCCGCTTGTACATCCGCGCCATGTTCAACCAACAGCTTGATAACAGCCCGGTGTCCCATCTTGACAGCCCATGAAAGGGACGAGTTGCCGTCGTCATCTCTGGACTCAATGTTTGCGCCGTGTTCAAGGAGATGCTCAGCAATGGAATGATAACCGTTCTTTGCTGCCAGTAACAACGGTGTGCGCCCGGAAACGTCTGCTGCGTCGATGTATGCACCGTTGTCCACCAGTAGCTTAACAATCGCGCGATGGCCGTTCCAAGTCGCCAATAAAAGAGGCGTGTAGAGATTCGAGTCCGTGGCATCAATGTTTGCACCGAATCTTAACAGTGCTTCCACGAGTTCAAAAAGCCCCTCCCACGCGGCCCTAGAAAGAGGCGCGAAACCTCCTTCGCCCTCCGGAATATTCACATCAGCACCCTCCTCCAGCAAGGTGAGAACAATGCCCGTCTTGCCACTCTCAGCGGCCCAAGATAGGGCCCAAGATAGAGGCGTTCTTCCATGGCTGTCTATAACGTCCGGATTGACCGTGTCTTGGAGCAGATCCCGCATTGTCAGGACCAGTCCAAAATAAGCAGCCAGATGCAGTCCCGTCACGCGCGACGGCGGTACTTGGCTGTAGCCCTCGGAGCCTTTCTCAACCATCAATGCCTGATACGATGCAGAGACTTTGTCTTCGCTCTGTAGAAAGTCCCCTATCAGAGGGTTTCCTCGTATATCGCCTCGAGAATGATGAGCCCAGTTGTGTGCGGCATAGCTGTAAAAGGGATACGACCTTAATCGCTCCTCAAACTCCTCACCAGACGGGCAGAAGCTCGAGCCAAAAGCGTCAAACAACAGGTACGCGAGACAACCAGTAGCAGTGATACCTCGGGGCTCATCGCGCAGCCAGTCTGGCCACGTTTCCTCGATCCAGCGGCCCATCCATTCGTCGGCAAGTCGGAGGGTATCGTCGTCCGCGTTGGCTACGAGAAACCCAGCGCACGCTTCGATGATGTCGTCAATGCTTCTCAATTTTCTTTCATCAAGGCTCCTGTCACCAGCCTTCACTATTATGGCATGCTGGAGTTCCGGGCCAGTCATGGGCCTCTTTGCGAACGTGACCCATACCAGAGATCGGATGGCGAGAGCTTTCATGTACGGCTCTTGCAAGTTGATTTGATCCATCATCTCGTTGTATCGATCAGACATCCTCTCTCTGTGCAGCCGCTGCAGTGCCGCTGTGAATGATTCCAACGTCGTGTCGCGTGCATAATATACTCTGGTGAGACATGTCGGCCAAATGACCGGCTCCTCGAGTTCCGGGGGGCTGGAAAAGGCTTCAAGCAAATTCTCCGCTTCGTCTCGGGTAGATGATTCAGTATCTTCAAAGGGCTCCTCATACAAGCTGTGATTTATTTCGCCCGGCTCGCCTGACATGTAGGTGTCGAGGAATATACTTCCAGCTTCATACTCCAAATAAGAAGATGAGGCAGATGCTAGGCGTTTGAGCTCTCGGGCAATATGCTCTGCTAGCTGTTTACACGCATCTTCTGAGGATGGCTCTATGCTTTCCGGACGACACTCGCAGAGGGGACAAGTAAGAGAATCCCTGGCTTTGGTGGTTCTGTTCCTCCTTGCTTTTGCCGATATTTGCGGCTTCGTGAGTTTCTTTGGATGAGCTATCGATAAGTGCTGTATAAAGGCCCCTTTATCGGCAAACCCTTTTTTCCCACCGGTATTCTCGTTGCAGGTGTCAATGTCGCAGTACCAGGTCGTGGTGTGTATCTTCTGTGCCCAGTTGGGGGTGTGCATTGTCTGCATGTGATTTTCCCAGTCGTCCAGATGAGCAAAGAATCGAAGGGGTTCTTGGCACTCTTCGGAGATGCAAACGTATGGCTCGACATCCCGGTCTATATGATCGCTGAGTTATAATTAGATGCGACATTCGCGGAGAGTGCCAGGTGAAGCACCACATACCGGAATGCTTGTTTCGGTAAATTGAACAGGTTCACGGGCTCTAAACAGACCGGGCATGAGGCGTTCTGTTGTCCCCTTTCCACATCCGGCTGCTGCGGATATATGAAGCTTTCGTCTGAGCCACTTGCCTCCGAGAAAGAGTCTCCGCTGCTGGAACACTCAGTGTTGTTAGAAGAATCACACGACCCACGCATGCGCGTGATAGCCTCATATTCTTCTCTGTTCTTTTTCCACGAAGTAGTGTAAGACATGGCATTGCCCCCACCTCCCCGGATCGCGTCTGGCATATCCGAGTCGTTACTATCAGTTGTTCGCGCAATATCGTCACTCGTCTCAGCCGAAACAGGATGTAGAAGACCTTTCGCTGCCAGCTGCCTGTTGTATTGTTGTCGGTAGAACATAGACTTGCCCCTGACATGTAGAGATCGCCCAATCTGGTCGACAAGTGACTGCTGGGCTTTCGGAAACCTATATCTAACGAAAGATGTGTAGCAATGACTCTCATCCAACAGCCACTGCTGTTGGTCTTTAACAAGCACAGTCTTCCGAATTACCGACCCCAGAGAATGAAGACGTTTCACTGCTTCTTCAACGGCTTCCAATCCGACGCTCAATGCTAAGCTCTCTTCCGTGTTGTCAAGCGTCTCGTCGAGGCGTATCGTGTTATCCCGCTTGGCCGCAAGCTCTGTAGAAAGATGCGTTACAAAAACAATGTCGCGTTGCATGTGACAGGGGGAACATACCATACTCCAAATTGACGTAGATCATATTCAGCAACTCGAGCAACATGGCCTTGATATTTGCCTGTCCTAATAGACGTGCGTCAAGTGATGCTCGCGAGGCGGCAAGGACTCCAGTATAGGCCGCCCAGAGCTTGAATCGACCCCAAAGTTCCTCGGCGAGGCCATGGCGAGAAGAACCAGGCTCAAGGCTAAGATACTGCTCAAATAGATCGGCGCAATCGCTCGCTGCCTGATGTAAAGTCCTCTCGTGCTCAGACGAGACCATTGTATCGTACACATCCTGCTTAAATCAAGCGGAGATGCGAAATATGTCAAGCAGAGAATGTAGGTAAAAGGCAGCAAGCGGGGTAACGAGATTGAGGACTAAGAAGGATTGCCAGATGCAGGAGCTGATCAATCAGATATCGAGGCAAACGCGTACTCCGCAGTCTCCCCAACCAACCTCTCCAGCAACCCAATCGCCATCACAGGGACAAACGGAGTACGGGTGGCGGGCGGTGCTCTCCTCACATATTCCCATTGCGATTTTGACAAGGCATGATTCGTCAACTTCTATCAGGAAGATGCGTCTGTCCCAGGATAGCGGAGGACGGAGTGAGCTGTTGCTGGCGTTACATCCCGCCTTTGTCGACGCTTTGCCAGCCGCAGGTTCAGGATCCTCCATTCAAGACAACAATTGTATCGCACTTCTGCGACATGAAATCGCAATGATGGCAATCATCTTTCACAGCGGTCTTGCTGAAGAGAACCTGTCAGCAGATAATTTCTGCGCATGCACCGACAGCCTCGACAGTATTCTCGACCAGTTCGAGGGCCTCGTGGACGCATCAATCTTGACTGAAGCCACTGGGGGCAACAGAGACCACAGCGAAGGGGACTTCCCTAGGCTTGTTGCCCTCAGAGACCGAATACTTCGAGAACAGTTACATTCCGCATCGCGCTACATCTCGTTCGGCAAAAAGGCATTGCAGCGCAATACGACCATGATCGCAACAAGCTTCAACCAGACACTCTCGAAAGCCTTTGCAGGTACCCATGGCAAGCTAGGTGCTCCAGTGCTCTCTGACTCTGAAGAGGGCGGCGAGCCGGATACTGCAGCGATACGCCAGGTAGAAGAGCTCTCGTCAAATCTGGAAGGACTGTTCGAACAACTGAAGAGGTCAATATGCTCGAAGAATCCACAAGGTCACAATGTCCACGTGCGCCTGTCTGAGTTTACCGACAATGAACTTGAAATGATGATATCTATTTGCGGTAATCAACGTCTATGGCAGCAAGTCATTTTTGGTATAGGGCACGCTCACAATGGCGAGGTGCAAGAGAGGTATATGAGGGAGATTTGCTCCGAGCTCACAAGGTCATACCGTGTCAGAAAGATACTATCAATGGACTTCAACGGAAAGGGTTTCTCGAGAAGCTCAAACACCACGAAAGCGCGCTCTAAAGGGCAAACAATGCTACAAACGAAAAGTCTAAGAGAGATTCTTCAGAAAGAGGAAGAACTGCGACAGGGGAGACTGAGCCACTACAGGACGATCAAGAAGAAGGATAAGAGAAGACTGGGCATGCTCCTTTCCAACTCTCTTATACACTACTACGGCAGTCCCTTACTCCGAAGCCCGTGGAGCGCCAATACGATCCATATTCGACAGCACAAAGACGTCAGCCCTGGCCAAAACCCAATGTCTGAAGCATACTTGAGTTGCGATTTTGACTTTAAGCCGGAGGAGCTCGATATCGCCAGAGACCCAGTGCCGGGAGATCCCTTCGTTCTGGCTCTAGCAGCGCTATTGATAGAGCTTGAACTAGAGAGAGAAGTCACAGTTCTCGACGAAGATATCGACCAAATTACTGGGGAAAAGTCACTATACATGGCAGTCACCCGTTGGCACGGAGACTTGGATCAGTACTTGGAGTACATGGATCCATTCCCGGATATCATTGATTCGTGTCTGCAAATCTGTACCGATCTTGACGAAGTGGACAGCGAAAACTATCACAACAGACTCAGAAGCGAGATACTGACCAAGGTGATCTGCCCTCTGAACCAACGAGATCGGGTTCTTAGCAAGTCATGGAATTGTATCCGAGCTTCAATCACGGCGACACTCCGGGACATACCATCTTACCACAGCCCCATCTCCGTGGACTCTTCTCTGTCTCCGATAAAAGGTTCTTACGAGCTGTCGGTGCCCAGCGAGAAGATCACCAGAGATGAAGGAGTTTCCATGCAGCCACTATTACATCCTCCACGCTCATCCCTGGAGATGACTGAGCCAGTCCTCCTTTTATCCAATGGAAGCGTACGTCAGCAGTCGCGGTATTTAATATATAAGACTAACTCAAGCATAGATATCAAACAGTGTCCATTGGCTAAAAGAATTTGACCGAATCAACAGGAGCCTAGAGAGTTTGCGAGTCGCCGCACAGAACGTTGAGAACGTTAGGGTAGCTGTTCTAGATACCGGCTGTGACTCAGACGCACCTTGCATTGCAGGCATGCCTGGTGCCATAGGACGATTGGCTGCTCATTGGCATGACTTTCAAGAAGCGTCGCCCGAGCCCATAGATGAGGATATGAACCAGCATGGTACGGCGCTTACAGCCCTATTGCTCAGAGTCGCACTGCATGCCGACATCTTCGTCGGACGAGTTGCCAAACACGAGAGGGGGCTATTTGAGTCTACGCACAATATTTCAATGGTATGATAATCAAATAGAAAAACTATCTTTAAAGAAACTGATTGACTTCTTTAGGCTATCAGGTACGCCACCATAGAATGGAAGGCCGACATCATCACCATGTCCTTCGGCTTCCCTTTCAAAGTGCGTGAGATTGAAAACGCTATTGCAGATGCCAATCGCCGGCGAAGAGACGCAGGGAGAAGCGAAGTCATCTTCTTCGCAGCTGCAAACAATGACGGAGCAAATTCCGAAGAGCTGTTTCCCGCAAGCCACGAAGCGGTCATATCCGTACGCGGAACGGACCATACCGGAGCATTCATCAACAAGTTTAGCCCAAAGCCCAGGCCACAAAAGGCCGGAGGCTTGCTCTATGGGACTTTGGGACAGAATGTTCCGTATGACATTGGAGACGCGGGCGCTCAGGCCTCGGGATGCTCGGTGGCAACGCCCATCATGGCGAGCATTGTAGCGACGATTATGCAGTATGTGAACTACACTGGAGGCTTGGATGAGGAGACGAGAGCGAGGCTGCGGACGCGAGAGGGAGTTGTCCAGCTCTTGGAACACATTTCCGAGAAGGAGGATTCTGGACACCGACGGTATGTTGCGCCGTGGATGTTTTTTAGATGGAATGATATGGAGAGGATGTCGGCCATAGTCTATGCTCTCTCCAAGTTGGAGCGGCATATGTAGGGGCCCCATATTGCTCTGTATTCGATGATGAATGGTGTTAGCCGGTACCACGGTTGGATATGCAGCGTCGTATGATTAGGATTCAAGGTGGATGGCCGATATCCTCACTCGTTAAAGCAATATAGAAGCAATATAGAAGCATGGAAGAAGATGAGTCCAAGTGGTGGTAATAGCAAAAGTCAGTCATACTCTTTTCTATATAGAAAATTACAGTGTGTATATGATAGATTACTGGACATTTCTTTGATAAAGTTCGAATATATGCACGCTATATCGTAACACATAACACGCAAAGAACACCACAAACCCAAACATTTCTGATCGTCCCTACCGGTAGCCAGCACAGCTTGGCATCACACAGCCTGAAACACCCATGCATGCTGCTTATTATCGGGGTTCAAAGGAACTATCCCCTTCTGAACTGCAGCAATGTTCTCGTCTGTTCCAGTGCTAATTTCAACTTCCACATTTTCTTCCTCTTCTTCAGCATGATCATCATCCACCAGCAAAGCCGCCTTGTGGCGAAAGTCATCCAACTGGTACGCCATGCTCTTGCCCCAGCCCTTCGGCTTGATGATCATGAGCTGATATGCAAAGATGATCTCATTACCGGACTGGAAGGCATCCGACCTGCTCGTCGTTGAGGCCATGCCGATACTGGCTCCGACAGCCAGCTGCGGGGCCACGGTATCAGTTGCTTTGATATTGCACATGTATTGCGCTGTGCCCTCGTGAATCAGCTGGAATCCCCTTGCGATCTTCACGCCAGTCACCATGTACACTGGGTAGCGGAACACGCTGCTGGGGCTCAGTATGCTGCGGACTCTCTCCTCGTTTACTCGCTCCTGGATCTCCTCCATCGAGGGCAGCTCTCGGAAGTATACCGTCTCCAGCGCCTTCATATGAAATTCAATCTTCTCGCCCCTGTTACGTCTCGGGCCCAGCTTCACATTGAGCTGGTCAAACATGCGAGTCCAGATGCTCACGTTTGTGCTCCGGAGCTCTTCCGTCGCGAGCGACCAGTTGTACTCTATCGCCGTCTCCGTCTCGGGCAGCGGCTTGGTCGGCTTGGAAAGGACATGCTGGGGGCGAAAGGGATCGAGGACAATGTTTCCGAGGGCGATCGGGCCGCCTGGGCGGTACGTCCAGTTGGGCGCGACCAGGTAGGTCGGATCTTGAACGGGGAGCATTTTCGAGAGCGGAAGTGCAGCTACCCTTTCCCCGCGAAGCTACCGTGAAGGCGTCGTTTGCAAAGGAAGGATTGCGAACTGTCTAGAGGTGCGGGGTGAGGCTGGCGGTACTCGACCAATTGTTACCTTTCGCCTGCATCCTCCCTGCAGATGAGGTTTCGTATATACGAAGAGGAACTGGACCGTATCACCCTCCACGTTGTTCATCTAATTTGAATACTTCAATGCCTTGACGAGCCTTGTGCAAACGAATCTGCACGTATAAAGTTTCAGAATTGGTTTACTCTTCATGATTCATATCCTGTATCAAATGGTCAATGGATGAAGATACCGCACGCTGGGAGAGGCAAACAACGACCAATGTCACCTATCCAGCCCCCACTCTGGCAGCAGGTCAGTTACATACATGCTATCCCGGCAGTCGAGAGGCATGACCGTGGAAAAGAGAAGAAGAAATCCAAAGTCCACTCTGGAGAAGTGAGTAAGCCGGAGAGAATCGACTAAAGTTGCATACAAGTCCAAGTTCCAAATAGGTAAAAGTGGCTCAAGTGACCGGCATGTCATGAAGCGGATCCTATCAAGCGCAGCCGCTGAGCCACAACAGCGACACCAATCGCCGTATAGAAGACCAGTTTCAGCTGGGCATCTGCAAAACCGGTGGGTGTCATTTTGATCCTCTCCATGAACTACCGGCGCTGCTTGGCGGCAGAAGAGTGATAACCCCTCATACAGGGCCAAACCAGGAAAGGGCATTGCCAGATGTGGCTGGCTGAGCATCCCCTGTAGGGTAAATATCTTCAACTGAACCGCTCTCAGCTGGCTCTTGTCGTCTTTCTAACTCTCCCTGTACCAATTCAGCTCAATTGATGGGAGCTGTGGAAGATGTGAGCAGTCGATGGAAGAACGTGTTGCAGGTTGATTCGTCAGACGGCTCGCTTCAATTGAGAGCTGGAGTATTTGGAATATGCTGGTGATAGAGTAGCAACCTTTGATATTTCGCTTGGATGGAGGACTGTTGCCGATGTGTACTGGGAGCTGCCTTGGAATGGCCATATCCAAGTACAGGACTTTCAACAGATATAAATATGTGTCTGTTGAGAAGGACTACACAGCTTCTCTTCTCCATCGTCTGCATCCTGCCAGTGCAAGACCACACAAACCGACTTCCAGCATCTGGTCATTGAAAGTCTCTTCTTTAAGTCAACAAGATAGTCGCTTGCTACACAATGGCAGAAGCAGAGACTATCGTCGTATCGGGCCTCAATGAGGAAGGAAAGCCGATCATCGCCAAAGAAACCGTCACAAAGATCGCATCAGCATCCCAAGACAAGACCGTCAAGATATGGGACCCAGAGACCGGCTACTGCAAGGCAACCCTCCAAGGCCATGCCGGCGACGTCTACACAGTAGCCTGGAAACCCGATGGCAAACTGCTCGCATCGGGGTCCGCCGATGGCAATCTCAAGATCTGGGACTCAACGACCAACGCGTGCAACTTTACCCTCCCGCACGGAGCAGCTGTCATGGCCGTCTCCTGGTCTCCTGACGGCACCAATCTGGCCTCTGCTGCAGCAGACGGAACGCTGAGGCTTTGGGTTGCAGAGACGGGCGAGTGTCTTGCCCAGCTCAAGGCGAGCAACTATGATATGCCGACCCTTGCTTGGTCTCCGGACGGCACTCGCATCTTGACAGGCTCAGACGACCACTTTATGAGAGTCTGGGACATCTTGACGGGCGAGTACAACGCTATTCCAGTTGGAAACACCTGGACTCAAGTCTTTACTGTTGGCTGGTCACCCGATTCCAAGCTTTTCGCATCCGGAATGGACGACAAACAGGTGACCATATGGGATCCAGTCACCGGCGAGCGTAAGCTGGTGCTCAAGGGACACGTAGACACCGTCAAGGGCGTCTCTTGGAACCCTGACGGAAGCATCTTGGTCTCGGCATCGTACGATTGCAAGGTCAAAGTTTGGGATCCCAAAACGGGTTCATGCAACGCAACGCTTGATGGACATGGCGACTGGGTCAATGCCGTCTCCTGGGCCCCAGAAGGCGTCAAGTTCGCCTCGGCCTCCAAGGATACGACGGTCAGGATCTGGGACACATCGAGTGAGAAGTGCATACGGGTGCTCTCTGAGCACACTGGTCCTGTTTACTCGGTTGCTTGGGCCCCGCACATCAGGCCGCCAACGCCGCCCCAGCCTCCGGATGATGACCTGGATGGCCATTTGGCGGAGTGGATGAAGAAGTTTATGGACATTCAAGATCGTCTACGCAATCTTGGCGGAGGTGGCACGGTAAGATCAGCTCGTGATACACTTTATATCTGATCCTTAGATTGCTAACGATGTCATTTAACACAGCTCTCGGACATTGAGAAAGATCTCGATGAAAAGAGAAGGCAGTTCAACAAGGAGACAGAAACAGAGCAAACGGTGCTCACCGCTCTGGGCACAGACGTCGACACGGCCGTGACCAAGATGAAGACGGACAAAAAGGTGTACGACGCAGCCCAGGAGCAGCTGGTCGCAAAGCTCCGGGAGGCATCGGCGGACGCTAAATCGCTCGACGCCCTTCAGCAGATTTACGAGCTGACCTACTTGACGCTGGAGGAGTCGCAGAACAAAGTGCGCTATCTGCAGTTCCGAGAGCAGGCCCTTCGGCGGACGGAGAAGAACCGGGCATTTGTCCAGCGGGCGATTGCGAGGGCCGAGACGATTTTGGCTAACACCCAAGGGTGACATGCGTCTGTGACAAGTGGATATGTAGCGGAAGCTAGGTATCTAGTTGAATGCAATTTGAAAAGATGTTGCAAATATGAAAAAGTAGTCATTACTTGCACGCTGACATGATACTGTACCATGATTTTGGACTCATAAATGATATTTCTCGAGATAATGTTCAGGATAAATTTGGGTCAAGCAACCCCTTCATGCCAAGAGCTACATCACTTTTTGGAATCGTAACGGGCCTAATGGATCGTAGCAACAAGGCCGAGAAAACGAGTCGCCAGAAGCTCTACTGAATGTCAACACCGGCTTTGTGAACAGACTAGACACAAGGAAATCCAGAGCAGACTGACAAAGGATGGAGACGACACGGGTATGAGCCCATATCAAGACTCAGATTGACCGAAAATGGTGAAGACGGCAGACATCCAGCGATAACGTTTTCCGGCAACATGAGTGTCCCAACTGTTGAAGAGACTGAGAGACTAGTCAAGCAAATATAATGGGAAGTGCGTGTTGATCAAGCCTTGACTTTGGCTCATGGCGTAACCGTCTCGATGGGCAGCGATATGAAAGGCCTTTGTCGATACAGCTGTAGGATGTCATATAGCTTGGACCTAAGCCCTCCTCCTATCAGTCTAGCTTGTGCTTTATGTCATGTAGCGTGAAACAACTGTGAATAAGCTCAAGCCGATGAGTTCTCGAGAGGAATGACTAGCTATTGTCATATAAGACGACTTGATCTTTGTACTGGAAGATAGACTGAAGCTACATATGTGTGAGACTGAAGGAAACAGATTCGTAAGTTGGCTCTTCTGTTGCATTAGGTCTGGCACGATATTAGGCAAATGGGTGTAACTATTCGAAATCGTCTATGACAATAGCACTGTGAAACGTTGTATGATCCTATCTTAGGTACTGTGAAAGTATCTCTTATACCACGAGAAAATTTCGATATTGATGGCAGATTTCTTTCTCGTGTGTGGTTGATTCGCAGCCTACACATCCTGTAAGTGCTTGTTCCGTACAACACGGCCTGCGAGAGACATCGGATACTGTGTAGGAAGCATCGAAAGAAATCCCTCTCTACTGTGGCCCAAAAGGGATGAAGTGCTTCAAGTTCGCGTGATCGGAAAGCATCTGAGCAGTTCCAGCTTCAGCGCAAGGACGATAAGAGTCGGAACACACATGAGCGTCCTCGAACGCTGACAGGCCATTTTTACTGCCGCGATCAGCAAAGTCGCCCGAATTTGCCGACTGCTACCAATTTCCATATTATCATGTCTATGTTGCTTAGAATACTGACAATTACCGAGGGTATTCAAACGAATTCCCATAAGAGTCTCGCCCTTGACCCGGAACTTGAACAAAGCAAGCTGAACATCATCCCCTTCCGATCCATTTTCTCAACCATCTCCGCCATCCACCCATCCAATCACATCCTATCGCAACCCTGTCATACACCCGAAAGGAACAAAAAGCACAAAGACAAGAACCCGGCACAAGACCCGGAAGAGAACATCGAAGACAGGCAGTCAAAGAAAGAAAAAAGCGGCCAAAAAGTAAAGCTCCACACCGAAGTTTCCCGCGTGCCGTCCCGGGTGACTTTTTACTCTTTTTTTTTTTTCGTGCGTGTGTGTGCTTCTTGGCCGCCGCCGCCCCGACATAGAGAGGGGAGAGTAGAGGGAGTGTGCATAGCTTCTTGTTCTGGACTACTGCAGGTTTGCAACCATTTCGGTGCCTCTCGTCCACTTACAAGAGAGGAGTGTCCCGCTGTAACTTTTGGTTGCTCTTTGGATGCTACCCATCCCTGGGACGTCGTCTTCCGTCTCGACTACTCATTTTCATGTGCCTTGCTTCTTGGACGCGTCGGTCGGCATGTAAGCTGTACATACATGTGCGCGTGCATATATGTATGTATGTATGTATGGCATGAGCATGAGCATGAGCAGGGCCTACTCGGACAAGGACATACTGTAGGTACGATGCGTTCGTGCGTGCGAGCAACCTCGAACCGCACACGATCACTACTTCGTAACCTTGCCTTGCCTTTGCTTCAACGTCAACATGTGGCATCTGCTTCTGCATGCATGTACGAAGCAGCATAGTATCATGGATATGGTATCAGCGCAAGGGGAACGTGCGCTGCATATTCCATCTTTCTTCCCCTTTCCTCTCCTCTTCACTTTTCATTTTTTTTTTACCTTCCGTCTTCTTTCTCCTGCATACATACGACAGGCTCCGTCAACACACATGTAGACGTGCCGCCAATGTCCGTGTGAGCGCCGAGTCTCACAGAAAGCGTGTGAGTGGGCTTCCTCCTCCAGACCAATGTGGATAAGACGCGCTGGGGGAAAAAGCCGGCTTGGCTGAGATGTGACGATGAGCGCGCAGAAACCAGGAACCAGACAGACAGACAGACAGACGACACATGCCATTTTTCTTTTTTTCGCACTTCCACACTCCCCCAAATGTGAGAAATAGTTTGTGAGAGGGTGGTGGGTTAGGTGATGAGGGCTGCGAGACCTGGTGAATGTATAGAAAAAAAAAATCGGTTCATCACGAGAACGGTTTCTTCGCTTAGTCGATGCTGAGTAGTAGTATTATTTGCTTGGTTGGGCTGACCGAAGTTATCGCGTGAGAAGTCTCAACACCACACATCGGTATCTTCACACATCTTCCTCGCTTTTATATCGTGTTTTCTGTTTCGCGTGCCTTTGTCTTTCTCACTTCTCTTTGATCCTCTTCATACCTTTGCGATCATCAGCATCGGAGCCATTTCAACGCTGCAGAATATAATCGCGCATCCATAAACCACTCAACCTCCAGCAGCACAACATAAGTCTTACTCTATAATATATTCAACAGAAGCTGCGAATCCCCATACAAATACTATCAGCTTCCTCCCCGGGCCTTCCATCCCAGTTCCTCCATCCAACTTCCCCTGTCCCCATGCCCTCCAAACCTCACGACAAGAACCCACTCACACTCACACCCATCTCCAAAAACCCAACCTATCGCAACCCCAGATTCTCCCCTCGGGCATCAAACAAATAAAACCACTGATAAATGGATATAAACTGGTGTCTCGCCTTCTCTTCCTACTGGACAACGCACTTGAAGTCTCCATCAAGCTTTCACGTAAAAGGCAGCTTTCTGTCGCTTCACACAGTGAAAGGTACTGGAAATATATTGACAATAGCACACTGTTCTATCGATAAGACGCGCGACGGCCGGGGGTCCGGGCATTGCATGATGCATTTTTTTTTCTTCTTCTTATTGGGAACTGCATGATGCATATGCAGACTGCATCCTCTTGTCACAAGGGAGAGGAAAAGAGTGGGAAAGTGTGTGTGTGGGCGGATGAAGAGGATGGGATAGGTAGAGACGAAGAGCGTAAGAGAAGAGGGTGTGTGGCGGTTGTGGCTAGCTGAGTCGGATAAATGTGTTTTTATTCTTCTCTATATCAAATGCTACCTAGTATTCAACCGCCATACCTATGTTTCATGGGAGAATGCAAGAGGGTTGCGGATAGAAAGACAGAAGCAAAAGAAGAAGAAAGGAATAACACAAGCGGAAACACGAAGAAACCAAAGGAGCTGACGTTTCAAGTCGCTGACACGGAAAACTGTGGCGGCCAAAGAGAGCGAAAGGAGGCCAGAAAGCTGCTGATTCCGTCCAGGTCCAGCCCACCTGCGTTCCCCATCGCCATGCAGCTCTTGGCCCGTTCAGAGTGCGACCATCGCGAAAGGAAGGGAGGGGGTGTGTATGCAGCCGGGCGGACACACAGACAAGCTGCAGTATGAGTGAGCCACCCATGGCACAGAGAAGACCGGCAGAAGAAAAGTGCGCAGCTTGCATGGATCAACATGGACGTCGTATGCTTCAGATGGAGGAAAAAATGAAAACTCCACTGATATTCGTTATTGGGGTATTATATAGGTATCATAAAGCTCATAGTATACAAGAAAATCCTCTCCAAATGGAAAAGAGGCGGAAAATCATCGCTCGCTTGTAAAAAACCAAACCAAATGCCAAACATGTGTGCCCTGTTGAACCCTTTTTTTGTGTTTTGTTTTGTTTTTTTCGTTCACTTTTGGTGCCGTAAGAAAGACCTTTTTCTTCCAACCCCCAAGAAGTCATTTGCTGGAGTCATCCAACAGATAGGTAGCTCGTATCAAGACAAAGGAAAAGAGGAATACAAGTTCAAAGAGAACGAGACGACATGTCAGTGTCGGTACAATGACAAAGAAAAAAGAGGAGCGATGACGCCAGAAGCATCATCGCCTTTACTCCCATCGGTAGGCACCGTCATCGTACACCACCCTGTGGCGACGGCTGCCCGCCGAGACGGTGGACCGGCGTCGCGGCATCATGCGCTCGGCGAGCCGCTGGCGCTGGGCCTCGTCTTCCTCGCGCTCGCGCTGCTCGTCCTTGCGGGCGATGAGCCGGGCCTTTTCCTCGCGGCGCTCCTCCTCAAAGCTCATGCGCCGCACGCTCTCCGTCAGCTTCTTGACGTTGGCATCGTCGTCTCCACCGGCCGCAGCCTTGAAGGACGATGCGCGCAGGGGCGCCGGAGGCATCGGCACCGGGGGCCGCTTGTTGATCTCGGCGTTGGCCTTGGCGATGCGCAGGCGGATGCGGCGCTGTCGCTCTTCCTCTTCATCTCGCTGCTTCTCGACCCGTCGCTCTTCTCGCTCGCGGCGGCGTCGCATTGTCTCTTCATCATCTGCGCTGCTCCGTCCGTGGCTGTCGCGAGAGCTGGTGGAGGAGTGGCGCTCATGCTTGGAAGCTCGGCTTGAGGGAACTGCCTCGACCACCTCAACCTGGATACGAGGTCGCTCTACCCGCTCCACTCGCTCCACTCGCTCCGGTCGCGTCCGCTCATCGACAATGACGGGCCGGCGAGAGAAGCTGGAGTGGGATTCCCGGGGAGAAGAGCCATAGATGGAAGGAGAGGCGAAAGCATTGGCGCTGGCATTGGGCGATGGCGGCGCTGTGTTGGGAAAGTTGAAAGAGGTCGGAGGAGTTCGCGGGGTGGGCGGCCCCTCTACCAGGACGATGCGCTCACGCCGTGAGCCTGCATTATGGCGATCCAGGTCAATGACCTTCTGTCCGTTGATGTAGAGGCTGGAGGAGCGACGCCGTGTGCTCGAGTTGCTGCGGCGCGACCGGTCTGACTCGTCCCCGGAGCGGTAGTTTGGTGTACCGGACCGCGGGCTATAAGTGGGCGTAGGCGGGAACTGGCTGACGAACGGAGAGCTGGGCGAAGTGCCAAGTACTGAGTCGTTGTATTGGATGAACTGGTTGGGGTGCTGGAAGACGACGTTGTTGGCACAGGGCTGGCCGTGCTGCGACTTGTGGCAGAGGACGGGCTGGCGCGACTGTTCCTTGTGGCCGTCTGAGTAGACGTAGGTGTAGACGTTGGTGGTGCACATCGTGTCCGAGTTGCGACGTGTGCTGGTGCGCGTCGTACGCGGTAGATGGGGTGGATGAGAGATAGAAGCCGAAGCTGGTCCTTTTGTGTGTGGAAGCCGACGGCAAAGGGATGTTGATGCTCAGGTCACGGTCAGGCGGGCTATCGAGATTGGTTGTATATTATCTCTGTTCAAAGGCGATACCGATCCAGGTATATCTCCCGTTGCTCGTCTTGCTGGTTGGTTGGTTGGTGTAAGAGTGAAAGAGAACAAGGTAACAAAGGTGGGTATCAAGAGCCTTTTGTAGATTGTTCACGTTGCGGTTGAGTGTCGAGTGTCCCCTTTGATCCTTGTCCGGAATGCAATGCAAGACAGTTGCAACGGGATAAAGAAGAACTTGTGGGGGGTGGTTGCTGTGCGTTTGTTGCCTGGAAGTGCTGGATTGAGAGTGAGGTGAGGGTGCATCGCAGACTTATTATAAAGACAGTCGAGCGGCGAGGGAGTGGAAAGCCAAGAGACGAGACCGTGGCCGCTTTTGGCCGTCGTGTTCCTGTTTCACACGCCCCCTCCACAGCCGTTGGCCAGCCATATCGAGTCTCGACAAGAGTCCTGCACCTCAACCCCTGCCGTCTTTCCACTTTCTGCCTACTCCATACGGGCTCCATGGGGAGTGGGCGTCGGCCCCGGCGAGGCATGTGAGGCATCTTCCAGAGCGCTAACGAGGCCAAGGGCTTCTCCGATGACTCCCTCCTGTTCGTCTCCACGTCCGAGTGTGGGTGCGCAGCTGCATCACCGCGCCGACCAATCCAATATAGCGGCGCGGCTGAGCGTCCATACATAGCCACGGTGGGTTCACCCTGGCTCCCCAGTCAACCAGTTCCTGAGCGGCCAGCCAGAAGAGGGAAGGACAAGAAGTCTGTTTGCGATGGATTGCTTGCTTGCTTCGAGCAGGTGGTACTTGTCAAGGCAGAGAGAGACGATGGACGCTAATAGCTGATGCAAAGCAAAGGTGCACACAGGCTGCCGTCAATCGTCGACACTGGCATCTCGCTTCCTGCTTTGTCTGTACATCGCAAACATCCAGAGAGGGAGCCAGCGCTGCTTTGCTCACGGCCATGGCCTCAGCGCAGGCTGCAGAATTTCGAAACAGGCACGCGCGAGTCTTCAGCGCCGGGGCTGAAAATAGCAGCACAGAGGGCCTCCCGACATGTTGCTGCTGCTTGCATATGCGCTTATTCGAAGCAGCGCGAGCTGTTGGCCAATGGCAGAGACCAGCAGCAGCGAGACGCAGCAGCTCAAAATACCGTCAAATTGGACGGAGAGACTGGCAAAGACACAATGCCCAGGGCGGCTGATGAAGCTGCTGGCGATGGAGCAGCAGCAATTCGGCCCCTCTCCAGCCCTATCTTGAGCGCCGAGGCCAATTCTGGCTCCGACGAGCAGCCAAGCCCATCTCCTCGCCATCAATGTCACCACCATTGGCCAACGAAAAGACCGCGGTCCAGGCCGAAGATGCAGAACACACTGACGCACGTCTCGGATCGCGGGATTGACTCATCCAGTTCAGTTGCCTGGCAGTAGCTTGCGGATGTATCGTTCTGATTTCGTACAGTAGCATCACGAGCCTTCGCATTAGCAGCAGCAGTAGTGCGAGTCCCTCCCTCGCCGGAGGGCTGAAGCTGGTTCAGTTCTCTGCCTGAGTAGGCATCCAGCATCGCATTCGCTTCGCGTCCCCGTCAGACTCACCTGCATCAGACCAGCAGCACAGCAGCAGTAGCTTCAACTCTGATCGGCGCCATTCCAGCGGAGCGTCCGATTGACTTGATGCCTCTGCCAATTGCCAAAGACGGGACAGACAGAATTGACAAGCCACACTGCTGGAGTCCTAGAGGGGCCAGTAGCAGTTGAGTCCAGCTTAGCAGCGGGAGGCTATCGATGGGCCATGGCGCCGTTCCGCTTCTAGGCGCTCCCTGTTAGTGCAGCCGCAGAATCACCACCAGAGCACTAACAGCGCCAGCGGCAGGGGCACCAGCACCGTCATCGACCTCCCGGTCACGTCAGACTGGACCCTGTCGCTCATGTCACTGGAGCCACTAAACTACAGGCATGGTGGCCCTAGACTCCAGGCTGCCAGTGCTTTTCAGCCGCCTGGGCTGTGCTGCCCGGTTTTTGTGGCCCCTCGCTAACGGCCCTAGGAAGAGGCCCTAACGCGAGCCACAAGCCACCAGCCGGCCATGCGCCACACCTCCAAGGAGATTGCCGGCACTCGGCCAGCTTGGGCGATACCCCAATTGCCCAGACTGTCTCTCACCTTCACCCTCGCTCACCTTTCCGTTTCACTGCCTCATCCTAGAGGCAACCGGACGCCGATGGTGATGCACAGATGGCGACACCCGATCGCGGCAGCCCCAGCTCTCCGGCCTCAGCCTCGCTGACGTGCAGCCGTTTTGTCCGAAGAGCCTCAACTCTAAGCGATCCTGTGCATCCGGGGCCGACCATCGCTTCCACTGTTTGCCATCATGACGATATCGCGGCGAGAACCTCAGCCAAACCTGCCATTACGGCATGATCCGCTACGAACGCACGGCCAAGGAAGGGCAAACAAGTCCTACCAAGCACAGAGATGCGCTACTGGGACCGGCTACGCAATCGCTCGACGGGCTCGCCAATGGTAAAGGGCACTGGCGATGGTCAACTACCGGACTAGCTGAGAGGAAGACGCAGTCATGGGACTTGGTCCTGCATGGCCCCATCCATCCCTCCATCCATCCACCCACAGACTGGACCGGCCATACCAATGACACAACTCTCGCCAAACCCACCAAGCAGAGCGCGTCTGCCTATCCAATGTGGGAGCAGCATCTTTATCGACAAGCACGATGGATACTATCAGTTCGGAGCTGATGGGACTTCGAATCTACTAGTGCTTTCGTCTCTCTCACGAGTCTCACCGCGGTGACGCACATCTTGCTGTCGGACTCTGTCCGCATTCGCCCTCATGACCACGACGATCCGAGCGTCTATGTACATACGAGAAGACTCTGGGGCCTAGTTACGGACTACCCACAAGGAGCAGAGCGTTCTGCTTCATTGTGGCGAGTTGATGCGGGTTCTGGCAGGGAGTGCCATGAATGGCTTCCATCGGCTTGTGGCTGTCACCACCGGTTCGGACGTCAGATGGCATGTCGCTGCTCCCGTCAAGACGGCAACGACCGCCAAGATGTTCCACTTCGATACGCGGTCCTGTGAGTGAGACTGCTTCTTCCCAACTGTCTACAGCCATTCCCCCAACAACCAGACGTCCCATCCTTCGGAGGACTTGCACACCCTACATCCATCGTTGCCCTCAACCAAGTCTATTGTCTATCGCATTGTGCCTCGCTTCGAGGAAAGACCTGCATGACTGCGTCTATCCGCGCACATCCCAACTTTAGCCATGAGGATGCTCGTGTTTTCGATTGCGTACGCAGTGTCTATTTTCTGCCACAGACAAACTTTCGCTTGAGCATCTCTCCCGTCTGTCAGCACCCCTTCGCGCCGTCCATCATAAGCAGCGGACTAAGCCCGTTTCTTCGAGGGCTGCCTGTATGGCCGTCCCGTCGTCAGCACTCAACTCGCCCATATGCATTCATCCCAGCTGTGGCGCTCTGCACAAAGCGGCCCCCAAAACAGTTCAGCGCACCATCTCTTTAGAGTCTCTGTCCATATTTGGAGTCCTCAGCGGCGGCGGCCTCCCTACGTGGCGTCTGTAATACGAAAGACCACCAGCGGATAATGACAGCTGCGTGGAACGCGCGAGACAGAAATCTTGGAGTCTATCGCGAAATGTCTGAACTTCGCGGTAAGACTTAGGTTGACGGTTGTGCCCTTCTCCAGTTCAACATTGGCACTTGCAGTTCCGTTGCCCGCCAACCCTTGAACACTTCCCTTCATCCACTCCCACTCTCGCAACTTTCATATTCCACGGTCTCTGATTCGTCCATGCATCGTTGATACTTGGACTAATTCACTCGACATGCAGAGCAGGCATCCAATCCCATTATCAACGTTCCTCATGCAATGCAAGGACGCAGTAGCAGAGACAAAGGGGGGCGTGTAGACATACGTCGCTTCCCCGAACCGGCCGTCGCGCACGACTTACACGCCCCTCCCCTGTCCGGTCTCTCTGTTTTATATTGCATGCCATACCTAAACTGAGACACATCCACGAAATGCTCGCTGTCTCGACAACCCTTATGCCCACTATGGAGTACTATTTTCTGCTGATTCTTGTGAGGGCGAGGGCAGTTAGCCCTGCTGGCCAAAGTTGTGCGCCTTGGGGTACTCATATGACCTCGTCTCGCCGAAGCTGCATTTTGCCGAAGCGCGAGCCATTCGGAGGGCTTCCGCTGGGTCACTTGGCCCTTCTTGGGAGGGAGCACGCTGCTCTGAAAATTTTCTCGTCATGGTCCAAAATGTTGGCCTATTGTCTCTTGATCGCTTATAGCCCTCGCTTGCGTGGTTCGGCATGTGAGATCTGGTGAGTGTGTGTGAACATGCGAGGAACACCACGCCACACCAGCCACATCGTCAAGATGCTCATTAAAGTGCCTATTAAACTCCAAGACAAAACGGGTGATTGCATTGTTGACAGGACAAGAAGGGCATTCCTCTTCGTGGCGGGCAGCACAATAGGCAGTGTCTCAGGCAGATCCAGCATGCCTGTGCAGCCGGCCGTGTCTTGGCCGTTTCCGTCGTGTCGGATTCTCCCCCCCCCGCCATTATCGCGGATCTTGGAGTATTTTTGACGCGCGCCTCCACAGAATCCCCTGGATGGCTGTTTCAAAGTCGTCCGGGCTAGCACTCCGTACAACGACCCACTGTCCCGATGAAGCGGTGCAGGTTTGGAGTCTCACAGCCTTGATGCTGCTCGACTTCGAAGCCGGAGCTGGGGGCTGACAAGCGTCTGCTGTTTCACCTCATCTCCGTGCCCCTATCTCCTGCCTGAGTACATGTATATGCCATACACCGGAGGCAGAATAGACAGTGAGCCCATGATAGGGAGACCTGGACTTTGGCTGTTGGCCGTTGATCACTTCTGTCTGATCCTTCAAGAAGAGACAGTCCATACGATGCCGATGATGGACTTTTTTCTTTAATTAGAACGGGCGTGGAAATTCGTAAGCGCCCAAAGTATGCCCACCTTTGTCGCGAGATTGTGGCCAACGTCTGTAGTCACGGCACTTTCGGTCAAGCCTCCTTTGCCTCGACACAATAAGGTGATGCCGTGGCTGCATATCACGCGTTTTGTGGCCTACGCGGTTTCCTTTCGTCGAGAGCCATATGCTGCATATTCGTCGAATCACATGATATGTGCTTTGCTACTACCGCTTGTAATTGAATCATATTACGGAAGCTGGTCCTATGGTGAAAGATAACTTCTGATTCTCAAAGTCTCTTAATCGTAAGGAATCAGCAGCAGATGGAGTGCGGTGCAACTGGCCTGTTGTCGGTTGCAAGACCGAGTTGTCTATATTGGAGGCAGCTATGGCGCAGCTACATGTTATGAACCTCAATTGCCTAAAAGCATTAACATTCTGGCAAAGGTTGAAATGGCTTTCCTAACTTGAGGGCGCTTATCAAGTTGCTGCGACGACGCACAACTTGCCACATAAAGCTGACAGCCATGGATGAATTTAGATAACAGCACAATCATCACATCAACTCATGCTCCGCTCTGCTCCGTGTGCTTCTACTGAAGCATTCTCGACCAGACGCTCTCCATAATCTATTCTGATCAAGTTGTCCCGTATCAAACCTGCATTTGCCAACCATGGATGTCGCGGAAACCGCCTCAGCATACGTTGTCTCTGCGTTTAAGTTTCTCACCCACGACTACTACACCGACAATACACCTCTTTCAACAGAGGAGGTAGCAGAATGCCTCCATACCATACAAACAGCCCGGATGAGCTTCAACGTTTGCATCACGCTTCTCGTCATCTGCCTGCGTTCACCATGGAGGTACAGGACCCGCAGCGAAGCTATCGTCGGATTCCTTGTGGTATCTTTCGAGTACTTCTTTCCACTGTTCACCCTCATCTGCATTGTCATCGGGAGAGAGTCTCTCAAAGGGCCTCACGAAACGGGGCTATCAGAAGGGTACGCGGGCGAAGTTGGAGCAATGGCTGCCCTCGCAGGTGCTGCATACAAGGGGACGGCTGTGTACGGACCGGTGCTATTCCTCTACTTGTTTTTCGGCCCGTGTTTTATCGAATAGCTTTGCAGCGGGATAGGTAGCATTGGGGTTTTCGGTGCGCGGAGGTTACAGGCTTCTACCGCGATTTCTCTTGAGAATGATGATAGAAAAGCGATACAATTGGAGGCCTCGTGAGCGATATGACTTTACTTAGTACACAGGCTTAATCGAAAGAGACGCCATCTTCTAGATGAGTGACAAAAGTACCTTGCCTCGTGGTGAAACAACATCACCAATTGCACTCCATTGCTGTTATGTAGCATCCCAGTCTGGAGGGAGTAAACATAACGCGGCAGATTTTGATATGCATACATACTAGAAACGCAACAATGGTCAAGTGATGTGATACGCAGTCGCATTCATCAAAAGTTGAAATTCATGATAATAATAGCAGTATGTCGCAATAGTACCGAAGCAATTTCAGTAGCTGAGCATCAAATAAGTAGTAATAAGTAATGTTTCCTCTCCCATATGATAGCAGATGTAAGAATGCAAAACAGGATACTAGCCTACGAGCTCATTTATACTATCAAATTCTTGGAAAGAGCCCTGATGCGAGGCCCATACTTGTAAAAGATGACCGGAATCGGAATCATGGCGATGCTCACGAACCCAAGTACACTCGATGCCCACGCCACACCGAGGCCTTTGTACATATAGCTCGCAAACAAGGGGAACCCAGCGGCGAAGAGAGAGCGAACAATGGTGTTTGCGCCGAGGGCACTGTTGGCCACGTGGGAATAGACGTCGAGGATGTATGTCATTGCCGTGACAAAGACACATAGTAATCCGGAGCCGACAAAGAGACTGCCAATGATCATGCCTACCCAGGGAATATCAAGCGCAGAAGTCCATCCGAATATGAAAAGTCCTACAGGGAGGAGAATGCTTCCTGCCATCATTAGTGGTAAGCGTCGTTCAGGAGGTGCGGGTACAGGTGGATTTGTAGAGGATTCTTCAGATTCGCTCTCTTTTGACTGCTTCCTGCGGGTTGCGTGTTGAACCAATACGGTTCGAGTGACAATCATGGCGGAACCGATGAAGACGCCGACCATCATGCCCAGGAAGGGCAGAGACGATAGACCGAGTTTCCAGTGGCGCTGTTCGCGGAATATGATGGGGTACGAGGAGAAGACGAGGTAGAGGATGCCGTAGGCGAATGCTTGGTAGAGCGTCATGAGGACCAGGATAGGTTCAGTTCCGAGCAACACTATACACATCAGTAAGTAGCAATTTGGGAGACGAACAAGAAGGCGGCTCACCAAAGGGTCGAACCAGATACACCCGCACAAATCTGTGCCAGCCCCCCGTTTCCCTCTTCCCATTCCGACCCAGATCCTCTCTTTGTCTTTTCTGCAGAATGGCGGGCGGATACGTCTCCGGCAACCCAAACAACACAAGAACCGTACACGACCCACCCATGATGCAGCTCAACCATCCCGTCCACCGCCAACCCAAATGACTCGCAGTGATAAAGCTCCCCATCACCGGAGCCAGCAAGGGCCCTCCAAGAACGATGCCAATGACAGTCGCCATGGCAATTGCTCGCTGCTCAGGATGCCAGATGTCGACCAGTCCGCCGCCAAAGAGAGCGATGGGCGCAACGCCAGTCACTCCACATAGGAACCGTCCGATGAGGATTGTCTGCAAATTCTTTCCGACAGCGACGGGGATGCAAAAGATTGTGAAGAGGGCCATGCCGGCGAGCATAGGGTATCGTCTCCCGAATTGTTCGGACAGAGGGCTCCAAAACGGGGGGCCAACGGAATAGCCCTAATCATTGCATCAGCAGGAAATTCGGTCTTTCAGTTGAAAGCTTTCATATGGGGCATATGGGTTGCCCGACTTACTATGACAAAGAGGCTGACTCCTAGAGTGACGACCTCTGTGCCAACGTGAAACTCTTCGCTGATTGCTTGGGCGCCGCTGCTGAAGATGCTGGACGATACGGAGGCTACCAGGTTCCCGGCTATCCATATGAACGTGATGAAGAGCCTTCTGAACAAGGACCAGTTCTTGGGGTTCGCTGGATCTTTGGGATCTTGAAACGTCAGTGGATTAGTTGTCCCCGTCGCTGATGTTTCTTCATCGCTATTGGTGGAACTCGATGGTGGAGTGGCATTTTCGATTTCGTCCAGGACTGCCATTGTTACGACTTTCGTCAGAGACTTCTTCAGTCATGGTAACCATAGAGGAAGTCCATATTGTGAAAACTGTCACAGAATTCTCCTATAATATATAGGCCGATCACCCGGCATCAATTCTAGAGAATGCTGACGACATATGTAAGCAAATGCTTAGCACACCAGTGCCATGTCTAGTGCTGCGGAGAAGCAACAGGTGGCGTGAATGGTCATGTTTGCCTGTGAGGCTAACAGAGGCAACCCCTTTGTTGATGGGACAGAGAGGATGTCCGTGAGATGCGGATCGTCTTTCGGCACACATGCCGAGATTCTGTCATTTTTGGTGTGTATCAGGTCCGTGATTCCAAGGTGTGGAGCGCGTCATCGTCCACTCTTAAGTCGAGGTTAGATGCAACTACAGCCGGGTCTTGAAACTTGTTTGCACAAAAGGCATCGAAGCGATTCACAGCTTTTGAAGGCCAATACCAAGAAGACATATTCAGAAGGATAGAAATGAAGTTTGCAGTGCTGCTGGACAACAGAACCAGGAAACACTGCAACATGTCGGAGCCGCAGTCATTGCAAGGCGCTGAAGACATGGAGCCCCGAGACCAAAGCGGAGTGAGACGGCAAAGACGGGAATCACGGACCGGCGTCGGCCCCGCATCCGGTCCCCATTTTCCCTTTTTGGCATCTCTCTCCGCCGGAGACGGATCATTTTCCTCATCTGAGGTTGCGGTCTACTGCCATCCAAAAGTGAACTGTGCATGTGTCTCTGTCATCGGTGTAATTGCATGGTAAAGAACCTCTGTTTTGAATGGCTGCCTGACAAACGCCGCTGCAACTTAGTACGCCCAGTTACAAATCAAACTACGATAGCTGGAAAGACTAACTCTTGCTCATCATGAAGCACATCGCCACTATCATGTTGACATAGGAACAACTCCACCTGAATAGCCCTTACGCATCCTCTACTTGCCCATAAGCGCCCTTCTTCTTCGCCTCCTTATCCAATCTCTTCTGCTCCTTCAACGCCTTCTTCTCCGCCTTCCTAATCTTCCTCTCTTCCCTTGTGGCGTCTCGAAGGCTGCTATTCGGTCCCGTGATGAACCGTCCCGGATGGACCACAGCCAGCATAAGCAGTGCCGTCATCATCGGGAACGCGTCGAGTGTGTAGAAGTAGTATTCGTGGAACGGTATTGGGTTGGTCGAGGGGTCGATGCCGCCAGTGAATTCGACGAGGCGGAAAATGATGCGCATCTATCAGGAAATTCTTCCGTCAGTTCCCAAGCTCTGTCCTGGACCTGGTAGGAAATACTCACTGTGATGAATGCTAGCACCGCGTAGAGTGCATAGAGCAACCAGAAAGCACCTCTGGGTTTCTCCACATGTTGATGATCCTCTCGCTCCTCTCCAACATCCCTATTCAAGGAAAGTTCCTCCAGCGGCACAGACTGAACCTGACCCAATTTCCGAACACGAACGTGAAACGCAATCATCAACCCCAAAAAGCAAAGAATAAAAAACTCCTGCAGCCCTATCCCTCCCTCATAAATGTGCATGCCAAGTTGCTGGGTAGACGCCGAAGCACTAGGCGTGACCATGACACCGCCCACAGCCTGGACGATAAACGATAGAATATCTGCCCAGACGAAGATTTTCGAGACGTGAGAGGCCTTGACAAAGTATACCTTTCTGTCGGGCATGAAGAAGTGTACCATGCGTGCAAAGGTCATGTACACGAAGGCGTTGATCCAGAGGGGCGCGAGCAGGAAGAGGATCTGCCATACTATGGCAAAGGCATCGTTTTGTTGGTTGTGCGCGCCGAGGGCGTGAAAGATGAAGGCGGTTGTTTCCCAGGCGGCACCCATGAGCAAGACCCAGGTATAACCCTACTCCACGTTGAGGCGATGCCCTGCGTACAGAGGAAGGAGAGGAAGATTCCAGGGAGCATTACTCACCTTTTTGAAAACAAATGCTTCGATAATGTGAATCAAGGTAAGTGTTCCAAACAGTGCAGAGACCACCACTGCGGGAATGAATTCGGGAATGGCATTGTAGGATGAGTTGCAGGCTGTTATGGGCACCTCGCCATATTTTCCGGGAACGGCTGTGGTGCAGCTTGGTAGCGCGGTTGATGTTGTGCTTGATGAAGCAATGTGAGTTGTTGGGGTTGCCATTGGCTTTAACAGGGGACTGGATAGCAAGAGGCAGCCAGCGTATAGTAAAGTGATGAGTTCCGAAGAGTTGTGAACTGTATAGTAAAGGCGGCAGGAAATGGGCTTCCTGATCCCGTAACTATATAGCTTCCTGTTGAGAATGCCTCACAACTCCGAAGGCTCTCTCACCGCACAACCCGAAACCCGACAACTTAACAATCATCAACAACAAACTTTTTCAGCCACATTCGCGTACTATCCAACACCAGGATCACGATAGTCCCAAAAGCTGAATCCCATAGACACAAACCTCGCTCAAGCCGCGATTGGTCAGCTGCAAACCAGGTACGGAGTACACGCGGCAAACGCACAGCTCAGCCCCCGTAGCATCGTAGCCAGGTTCAATTCCTTCGGCACGGGCAATGAAGGACGCGCCAGAGCTTCGTCTAATTTAAGGGGATATACAGCGTGGCTGATGACGGGCGTTTTTGTTTCGGGTTTGGACTTGATGCATTGTTGCTTTGGGATCAAGTTCTGAAGTCCGGCTGTCGTAATTAAGTACGTGGATGTGCCTAGAACCATCAATTTCAAAGTTTCGTCCAAATTTTTACCCATGTCAAGAGAATGTTCATACACAAAGCATTGTCTAAAAAAAGAAACAACATCGAGGGAGCGATCACACTCAACGAAGGACTCTGTCGATGAAAGATGAGAATTGCTGATGTACAACCAAGCATCACCAATAGGTACCTGGATATCTGAAGTCATATCCTATGGTATCGAATGCTGTTGAAATAACCCATTACCCTTTAAAGTAATACCACATCGAGTTGTCTAGACTTCTAAAAAGCACATTGATCTCTTTCAGCTCCTGCATAGGAGTCTAGAGCCATGTAACCACGGATCTCACGGCCCAGTCCCGGGTACGGCATCACGTCTACGTACCACCCAGCGCATCGATTGTGGCGCGGCGAAGGATTCAGCACAGCCATGCACGTCTCACTACATGCATGTGTATACTATTGACCAGAAAATTCATAGAAAGGAAACACAATACGCGTGTTGCAGGAGCACCTGTGCCAGATCTCGAAGCTCCATCAACGTCTAGACAAGATCCCATTCTCATTTCTCTGATACTTCAATAGTTGATGCAACATCTCGTGTCAGCGACTGTCGATTACAGAAGTTAGGCAGTCCAGCTTTGAACTGGCAAATAAAAGATACTGCGGTAATATTTACTATCTAGGGCACTATGACTCTACGATAGTGGTGTTTACAACAACTGAAAACACCAAACAGAGGATCATGACACCCCCAATATCCCTCTATCCCCATCCTCCATCCTCCATTGAGTCCGCCTTCTGAAGCACAAATCGTCGCTCGATTGATATACGCAAGTTGCCCCCATACCTACCAATACACCATAATCCCATTGTTTTCTACTCCCTGTACAGTGTACACCATAACTCCATTCTTTTACCCATGCACCCAGATCTATGTCTAGCGATTCTTCCCCATCTATAATACAACCAGGAAATCCAAAACTCCGTAAAAACACCATCAGTGCCATCCAGCCTTGACAGCACTCTCCACAAACTTGTGCAGCGACTTCATCTCCGGCAGGTTCTGAATCTTTTCAAAGGCATTCTCCAGAAACTCCTGCTTGTCCATCGCCAGAGGCCGCAAGTGATTGTCCGCATCGGGGTGCTTGGCCATCAACTTCAAGGTCGAAAGCAAACTGGTGGCGGCATCGGCCACTTGTCCGTCAATCTCAAAAGCGTACGCACAGAACTGGTCCTCCCACACTTCCCCAACTGATAGCACTGCTGGGGGCGACAGTCCCATGAGCCTTCCAATGGCCATGGGCAGCTTGACGTCGACTTCCTCATTGGTAAAGTCTTCGTTCATATTGAGCTTGACCCCGATGTTGTGAATAGTCGCTCGGTCCATCTTGTCAAAGATGTGCGCCTTGTACAATGGTCCCACGAGAACCTTTTGTGATCTTTCACCTTTGCGCAGCTTCTGTAGGGACTCGAGGGCATCCCACCACCGCTCATGCGTCAAATCGGGCAGGCTAGCCAAAGTCTTCACAACCCATGCATAGAAAACGGAGTCTCCCCTCATCTTCAAAAAGTCGCGGTGAGTCAGTCGTCTTCCGTTGGGAGAAACCAGGCTAGGGTGAATATTGCGGCCCGCAAGGTAAACCGGTGGGTTGCTATCCGGGATATTGTCCTTGGAGAAGACACGACTGCCGACCTTGACCGCGCCTTGGTCGTCCCTGGTTCCGTCCACCTCGAGCGAGCCATCGATTCCGACGCGGATAATGACATCTGGGTGTACGACAATCACACCCGCCTTGGCCATCTCATACAGCAACTGGCGCTGTCTTCTCACGAAGGACTGCATTTCATGGGAGGTCAATTTCTTCATCAATGAGACTGGCGACTCCTTAGCAATGTCAAGAGACATTCTCCTCGCAGGTATCTTCTGTTTGGCTGGCGACTTTGGGGGTGTCAAGGGAGCCGGGGTAGCCGAACCAGCGCCCGGGCCGGATGGGAAAGCCGGCACAGTTGGATGAGAGGGAGAGTTGAGCAGAGATACTTTGGGCGAGTGAATCTCAAGCTCTGGACCAGCTGGCCGACTCGCTGTACGTGGCGGAGACGTTCGAGGTGGACGTCCCGATGATGCCGCTAGACTTCGAGTCACTGGCCTCGGTGCCTTGGGCACCTCCATGACGGACGATCCGGCAACTTCCATGTTGGCCGTGGTTTGGATATTTGGTCGAGAGGATCTCGACAGAACGATGTCCTTTGCTTCTCGGGGTTGACCAGTCTCCGATGTAGCCGTGGCGAGCGTGGAGCTGCAGAGCGTCTGTCGGTGGCTAAGAGACAGATGCTGTAAAGAGTGTATCACATCTAGTACAGTTAGAATATAATAGCTGAAAGAGGATGAGTACACCCAGAATATGACTTGCGAGAGCTGCAATAAAGAATACAGAGAGCAAATCGATGGGCGGATGCAAGGTGAAGAAACTGTGATAACGAGAGATGATGCAAAAACAAGGAAGGAAGAGTACCAAACATTGAGTCCAGGCAAGAGGAGAGGAAGGCTCGAGGATGGAAGGGACAACAGGGAGGTGCATTTGCCGTAGACACGGCAACACCGAGGAAGAGTTGTTGATAGTAATAGACAAGGAAGCCATCAAGGGCGGCGAGAACCTTGGAATTATCAAGGACTTACCCAGCAGATGGCTCAACTCGAATATTTTCTTGTGCTTCGGATCGCCGGCGTTTTCGGCGTTGGAATTGCCCAACAACTTCTGTGCTCCTGCTTAATTCGAGGACTCTCAGGGAAAATAGAAGGCAATGAGTGACTTGATCTTCTCATGCATATACAAAGTGATCAAGGCAAGGATATGGTAGGAGAGTAAGATGTCAACAAGGTGCTTCAAGAGAGAGACGACTGAAATATATACGCAGTCTTTGAGCAGAGGAGACATATTACTAACAGGAGAGAAATAAAAGCTTAAAACAAGGTTCGAAGCATCACCAATAGCCAAAGCCCTTTACAAGCCACACAAGCCTGACAAGGTTCGCTGCTTGCCCAAGACGGTGAGCTCGGGCACTTTAAGGGGTTAGTACAAGCAGATCCTCCAAGTCACGTACGCGAGGTCACATCAGAGGCTGTAGGATGGGTGAACATCTTCGCAAGAGCCGTGACCTTATGCCTGTTCAACCCTCTTGCCTCAGGGCTCCTCTTCGCTATCGAGAGCATAGATATACATGAGCTTTTCTCGCTCGACCTTCACCACGTCACCGGCCGTCTCGGGGCACCATAATCACAACGACCACAGGCTCGAGAGAGTGGCCCGCCATCGCCACGGACATGCGAGCCCAAACGTTTGATTCCTATCCAAGTAGACGCCCAATGCACCACGCCAGCGAACAGCCTGATAAGTAGCACGTGCAAATGCGTCTCCGGCATGCATAGCCAGAGGGAAAGCGCCGACCCACGATACGCTCCGCATAGATTGATTAAGTATGCGATAACTAGCCGCGCCGCATGCCCGGAAACAAACCCCGAAAAGCAAATGTTGTACACAAGAGCGAGTCGACTCTTAGGCGCCGGTGGCGCTGCTGTGGCGAGGGCGCTTGCGAACGCTGCCGGAGGAGGGATGCATCTTTTCGTTGCGCTCTCTCTTGAGCTTGTCGTCCAAAACACGGGCTGCGCAGGATTAGCTTTATGACGAAGATACAACAAGAGCTGGAGCAGCACTGTCAGGGAGAACATACTGAGAATATCGAAACCGAACTGGGGAAACTCCAAACACAGGGCCTTGAACTCGCCCTCGGCCTCGGACCGCAGCGTGTGTGACCGGGTCGCCCAGAAGTTGGCCACGGGGGCGCGGATGGTGGTGTCGTCGGGCGCCGTGTTGGCATAGACGTAGCGCGCGTATTCGATCTCGCCCTTGACCGTCGAGTTGATGCAGTGGATCTTGTTGGCGGCCAGCGTCTGCAGCGCGGCGACGCCCCATTTCTGCGCCAGCGTGTAGATCCTGGCGTGCTTGAGCAGCTGGATGCCCGAGTCGTCGATGGGCGGCACCGAGGGGTCGTGCTCGAGCGTCCGCTGGCCGGGGATCTTGCGCGGGAAGTACTCGCCCGTGTAGAGGAACTCGAGGAAGCAGCCGACGGCGTCCAAGTCCTCGTCGGGGAGGTCGATGTGGCGAGGCTGGGCGGTGCTCTGTTAGCTGGAGCGCAAGGCTGGCGAGCCGTGGCTTGTAAGGGGAGTGGAAAGCCGTACGCTACCGTCCTCGGCAAACTTGCTGCAGATGTCCTCAAAGTACGGGCTCCTGACGAGGAAGGCCTGGTGCGCCTGGAGCAGCGTGGGTTCCTCCTTGCCGACCATGAGCGTCACCACCGGGCTCATCAAGCTGCTGGCAAACGTCTTGCGCTCCTCCACGGGATCTGCCTCGGCGTCGACATCGTCTGCGGCCTCCATGGTCGCCGGCGGAGCGCGATCGCCGCTCTCTGTGGGATTCTCCGTCTCTGCCTGCGTGGACTGGTGGCCCTGGTCCATCTCGACGTCCTGCGTGCTGGCGTCCTCGGGGACTTTGTCGGCCTCGTCGGAAGGCATCGTGAACGCGATTGCACTCGAAGCGGCGGGATTCGGGGACTATAAAGCTAATAACTAGCTTAACCGTAGGCAGATTAAGCAGTGAATGAATGATGACGGAGCCCGCAGGAGGGAGCGCGGCGGTGGTGAAGCTACAAAGAGACTGGCGAGCTGTTGACGAAGACGGAAGTTAAGAGTCGCGACGCGTTCAGCTTGAGCTTACGAGGTACATGCTGTCCTTTGCTGCGTGGGTGGTGCGGGAGGTACCTGGCCTAACCGTGTGGATTGACTTGATGTGCACATTGTCACCTCTTGTTATCGTTGATGCATTGACGCATACGGCTGTCTAGATATGGGCAAAACAGCCATATGTGAACAGTGTTTGATAATCATTTTGGTAAAAAATGGATTCTCAGAGGCCAATTGTAACTTATTTATGTATTCTCGATATCGACATTCCATGCTTCAACTTCACAAGCTCACCACCACATCAAGCTTCAAACTTAACCACGATACCCGGCAGCAACTCCAAAAACGAAGGGCTCCCAACGCTCCCCTGAAAGGCCAGCTTAATCTTTGGTCCAATCTCCGAAGCCAGTGCGAGCGTATGTCGTGCCTTTGCCGAAGAGCTCGGGACGCTGAACCGCCACTCATCCTCTCCCCTCACGGCGCTGCCCACGTTGTGAATAGCATCGTGCACTTTCTTTAGGGCAGACAGCTGCTCCTCAGGCACGTTGAGCCGCAGTCGAGACACCCCGCGGGCGCCACTCGGATGCTGGGTCCGTGCCTTGTCCTCCTCGTACGGCACTCTGTTGCTTCGTGGAGTTCTGTCCAGGCACCAGAAGGGCAAGAAACCAGGCTCCGGCGCATGTCCATCCGCATCCTCGGGGGCACCAATCGCCCACTTCAAGACGACTCCATCCGGCCTCGTACGACCACCCGCCACAGGGTCCCTGTAGATGAATCCCGCGTCTGCATCCTTGACTCGTTGCTGCACGGCGGGAAAGTCGCTCTCGTGAGGCAGAGTGTAAGCCCAGTCGACAATCGTATTCTCCCGCTGGCGTCCCCATCTGTGCTTTGCTCGCTGCTCAGGGCTGATGCCCTCGGTGAAGGCGATGAGTTCGATGTAGACGCCGTCTTCGAAGAGAATCAGCTTATTGAACGTCTCGCCTCCAGCATGAGTCCCGCCAGGGCTGACGACGAAGAAGTCCTTGAGGCGGTCGGGCAGCTGGAGCAGGTCGCTGGCCGAGACGAGGATCACGATGTGGTCCAGCGTCGGCTGTGGTGAGTTGCTGTTTGGCTCTGACATGCTGGGCTGTCTGCAATGCTTCAATCGTTGTTAGAGCAAGAATCTTTCCTTCCGCCTCTTCCCTGGAGCTTCAGTTGATGCAAGCTCATGGTATAAGTAAGCCTGTTATGACGCCATGCGGGGAAGTCGGTACATGTGATAATGCGCCTTTCCTGGTGTTGAAGCTTGACCGTGATGCCAAATCAATGTCCATGGAGCCGATATCGGGCGTTTCTGTCCAGAATGGGAGAAAAGAATGATCATACCAACGATAGTTTTGTCTAATTGCTGAATCGTTGAACAAGTGAAGTGGTTCAATACGTGCCAATAAGACGCGGCTCGCCTCTTCTTCCGATAATAGGCCTACCCTGCAGTTACCATCATGAAGTGACGAAAACTGCATTCTTTTGCTCAGAAAAAGACCATGTGTTCTCAAGGTTGTTAACTAAGATGCGAGACTTGAAGGTTGGAGTCAAGTACTATGATAAGTGGCGTGTCGGTGCCATACGCAGGCGCATGCGTGGTCATAGTAGACGAGCCTCCCAGAATCACCCTTGAGAAGACGAAGGATAAGTGATTTCTTTCCCTCTCAGTAATCTGATCAAGTCAGTGAGTGACTGAACAGACACTCATTCATTCGTACCTGTCAGAGAGAACTGGCATTGGTGAATTAGAATGACATGGAGCTGGTCCGTCCCTGGCAAGTGATATGGCAGCTGGACAGATAAGACGGATCTCGGCCCCATCTCTCTCCCGTGCTCCCGATCTCATCGAAGAAACAAACTCCAGCTGTGCAGGTCCCACTTTGGCCTTGAAGATCGCAATGTTCGCTGAGCAGTGGGGGCGTTGATCAGGTACTGCCGTTACGCGAGGAGAGAGATGGACAGAGATGCACCGGCAAGACCGGATGCTCTTGTTACTTGGTTATCCTGTTCACCTCTATGTACTGCCAGGCCTCAACAACCCCAATGCAACAATTGGCTAAACAACAAGGAATCGTTCCTTTGCTCAGTCTATATGACGTACTCAGCGACTTTGCCATGCTCGCAATATGACGTGTAATGCTTCGTTCGTATTCTGGAAGAGATTCCCCGGCTGGGCTTTATGAATCGGGGCAAACCCTGTCAGTGGTACAAGTACCGCCAAGGTTCGGCGATCGATGTCTCTCTCCTCTTCACCTCTCGAGCGAATACTACTTTGGTCAAATACCGGCTGATGGGCTGTTACAGTTCTCTTATCTTGTTTCTCAAGATACGTAGTATTCCAATGGCATCTTGCCTCGAGAGTAGGCTGATCAGGACGTATCATCGGACGATGACAGCAACGTCCCGGACTTGATGCACAACAGCCAACTCGGGCTCATATGTCATCGTGCCTTGGTCGGCTCTCGATGGTCTCCTCGGCTGCAGCCTAGACGGGATACGAGACGGCATCATATTAAACCAGCTGCACGACGGCAAGCCAGGCATCAGTACTCGTGTAAGGCGGCAAGCGACTCTTCTCTCCCAACCTGCATTCCACCGTCATCGTAAGTTCGTTGCTGTGAACTTGTCGTCATCACATGCAGCTCGGCATCTCCATCTCGCCCCCCTGGCGAAATGCTTTGTCAAGTAATAGTGGGTGAGTACTTGCTTCGCCGGGTTGTAACAATGAACATGGATTCCCCCGCGCTGGATCACGGAACTGGCCCGCACTCACGATCGGAATGTGATGCCGTGTCGGGCTTCCTATCCGGGAATAGAGGCATGCAGATTGCAGATTGCCTTGGTTCAAGATCAGAACAAGGTGCAAGCTTTTGGCGAGTGGCCTGTTTCTGTTCCTGAAGCCTGTTGAATCACCGAGACCCAATTCTCCGTTCATTGATTCGATCCGGCAGCTGATGATGGCAGTTCACAGGGGCTGATGGGCGTCGAGTTGTCGTCTCGGCTCATTCCGTCCAGGCGGCTACACCCGCTTACACGTGGACTCGACATCAGAGGGACACAACGCCCATTTATACTCATGAGCCTCAACACAAAGCAATCTCGATCAAAGAGAAACCACACACAAACTCAAAGGTCTAGATAATTGCCATCTCACCCATTCACTCAACCTAATAGCCGGCTATTCACTCCCTTGTCCCATCTCGCGGTGACCGAAGCCAGCTGAACAGACGCTAACATACTAAACGTTGCGCGATATCCGCTTGACTGGGCCCTCGAAGGATGCTAGCGGCCCAAGAAGACTTTTCCTCGCCCGAGAGATTCCAAGCCCAGTCCCGATCGTTAGACTAATAAGTAGCAATGGTAGCCGTCCCCTTTCGAGCCAAGCTAATAATCAGGTTTCTTTTCTCTCTGGGCCTCGAAGCCTCGACATGCCCCTTGAATGGCTCAGCCGGGGAATCTCATTGGTGCCTGTGTTAGTGTCTGCATGTAAGTGTAGGTAGGATTCTGTGTATACGAGGTTTTGATCGCAACTCTATGCGAGGGTGAGGCCATGTTGACGCCCAACTGGCGTCGGTCTGCAGCTCGGGCCATCGGTTGCTTCCCCCTCGCATGAGATCGGCTCACGTTAGTATTCAGCTGCAGGAAACCAACCTCGAACCTCGTAAAAAAACAAGACGAGATCCTCGTTGTAGCAAGATCAAGACTCGCGTGGATGGACAAGGATTCATCCTCCAGCTGGCCCCCCTTTTCTGCCCCAATTCCGCCTAACCAAAGCTCCACCTCACCGTCTTGCTCGATGCTACATTCGGACCATCGCCGTCTAGGTGGGCCAATAATTCACAAGCGCAGCCCATCTTCTGATGGCTCTAGCTGATCATCGTGCAGGAAGAGCTGGTGTTGTCCAAGACTGAATACGAGGAGACTGCTGCGAGAGACTGCGAGGGATGCCATTGGGCTTCTCCTACCTACGTAGTGGGCTCGGGCAACAACAAGACAAAGAAGCCGAACAAAGAGCACTAGCAGCCAGCATGTAGTAATAGTAAACAAGGGGAATCCTCGTCGTCCCCGGATCTACTTGTCCGTTGTGCTGGCCGTCGTGCGTGTAGATATATATCCGTGGGGCTCGGCAGCTCCTCCTCCCCCGTAGCAGGTCATCCTCTCGTTTTTTCTTTCAGGGCTCAGTTCGACTTGTCCCCTTACGCTCGTTACAATGAGACAGTCTATCGGAGCCGTGAGCCTCTTGGCTCTTGCTCGCCTCGCGTCGGCAACCAATAGCAACTGCGATGGCAACTTCCCTTGCCAGGCGAGTGTCGATGTCATCTTCGCCTGTGCCACGGACTGCATCAGCTCTGCCGCTGTCACCCAAGCAGCCTGTCCTCCGGGAGACTATGCATGCCAATGCCGCCAAAAGGACATCATCCAGGGTGCGGCCAGCAACTGCATTATCGGCAGCTGTGGCTTTGGAACAGGTTCGTATCTGATGAGCCAGTATCTGGTCCTCGTTACCTATGCTAAGTGGCCTCTATAGCCGTCTCTGTTCTGGACCAGGTTGATGACCTGTGCAACTGTGTCGCAAACAACCCCCCGAGTGCTTGCACAACCAGTACGGCGTCTACTTCAACGTCAAAAACTATCGTCGTGACTCCCCCGCCTACTACGACTCAGCCTCCGACTACTTTTGAGGAAGACTGCGAGACAACTTCGTCGCCGGAGACTACCCAGCCTCCTACCACCACTTCGGAAGAGGATTGCGAGACGACAACTCAGCCTCCGATTACCACGCCTTACCCTCCTCCAGTCACTACCACGCAGCCCCCGACTACCACTTCAGAGGAAGACTGTGAGACAACGACGGAGCAGGCCACTACTACGCAGCCTCCCACAACTACCTCGGAAGAAGAGTGCACAACCACTGAGCAAGCTACCACCACTCAGCCTCCCACCACTACTTCTGAAGAGGAGTGCACGACGACTACCGAGTCTAGCACGACCACCTCTGAGGAAGAGTGCACGACAACCGCTGAGTCTACTACTACCACCACTACTTCAGAAGAAGAGTGCACGACAACCACGCAGCCAGTCACCACACAGCCTCCTACTACTACTTCTGAGGAGGAGTGCACGACAACTACCGAGGCTACCACCACCACAACAACTTCAGAAGAAGAGTGCACGACAACCACGGAGTCTACCACCAGCACAACTACTTCCGAAGAGGAATGCACCACGACTTCCATCCCCACAAGCACTACTTTGACGACGATCGTGATCAAGACTACCACCAAAGTGCTGACCACCACTGAGGCTACTACGACTTCGGAGGAGACGACTACGCCCTGCCCGGAGACGACGACTACGGAGACGATCACAGAGGAGACGACTGTGCCCTGCACCACCGAGACAGAGACTCCTCCCCCTCCCCCTCAGACAACCACGGAAACGATCACGGAAGAGACGACTGTGCCTTGCACCACTGAGACTGAGACTCCCCCTCCTCCTCCTCAGACGACAACAGAGACAATTACAGAAGAGACGACTGTGCCCTGCACCACCGAGACGGAGACTCCCCCTCCTTCTCCCCAGACGACCACGGAAACGATCACGGAAGAGACTACTGTGCCTTGCACTACCGAGACTGAGATTCCTCCTCCTCCTCCTCAGACGACGACCACTCCTAGCGTTCCCAGCACGACCACCAGCCCCGCAGGTTCCCAGTCTCAGCCTGCTGGAAGCTCGACCTACGGACCGCCTCCCACAACCACGGCCCCTGGAACCACCGCTCCTGCAACCACGGCATCGATCACAAGCTGCCAGCCTGTGCCCATCAAGACCTGCAACTCCGTCGCCAGCTCGGCTGTTCCCTCATGCGCTCAAGCATGCTTCACGTCGGCTGCCCCGGGCGTCGGCTGCGACGTTAACGACTATGAGTGCCAGTGCAAGCCTGAGGCCCAGGCCAGCTTGACCCAGCTGCTCGTGCCCTGCGTCGCCACTCGTTGTCCCGCTGCCTCTCTGCAGGCCGTCATCACGGGAGCCAGCTCAGGTAAGAATTGTCCCCCGTTCTCCATGTGGATTGCCCTACTCATGAGCTGTTATGTTGACATTGCTTTCTTCTAGTCTGCGCCTGTGCCAGCGCCTCACCCACGCTCTTTGCCCCTGGAACCTGCCAGACCAGCAGCCCTCCTGCTCCCCCTGGCGGCAGCAGCAGCCCCAGCAGCAGCCCGGCCATCCCAAGCAGCTCTACCACCCCGGAAGTTCCCATCAGCTCCGGCGGCAATGGCGGAAGCCCCCCTGGTTCTCCCACGGGCGGAAGCGGAAGCCCAACTACCGCACAGCCCACTGGCGAATCTAGCTCACAGCCCGCTGTAATTGTTCCGGAGACGACCAGCCTTATCACAGAGACAACTACTAATGGAGGAGGAAGCCAGCCTACCAGCCCCCCTACTCTTCCCCCGAGCGCTGGTTCTCGGTTGGAGATGAGCGTCATTGCTGGCGTATTTGCCGCCACCTGGGCGATTGCAATTCTGCTGTGATTGCCTTAGTCGGGACTGTAATTAGCTTGCAGGTTGATGAGATGTAAATGATATTGCCTTTTCATGTTGATATAGTTTGGACAAAAATGTGTGATTGGTACATTCATGAAGTGGAAGTTGTTTGAGATGACACTCTTCGTATGTTGTCAATGAAGAGTGAATTGATGAACGATCAGTCAGGCCGGTAGTGAACTCTTAGAATTGACTTCCAGATGCGCATAATCGGTCTTTGATGGAAATGTTCTGTGAAATTGAAGAATGAAGTGAGGCTCAAAAATGGCTGTAGTATCGATGAGGGACGGGAGATGCGATAAAAAATCTCCACCGGTTTCATGTGGATCCGGCCTCAACCTCGATATTTCAACTCACGGCTCACACATATACTCTCTCATAGAACCTCTCACAGCATCACACAAAATCACACAATAATAAGATTCACAATGACTTCACAAGACCAAACCTCCTCCTCACCAGACGTGGAAGCCCAGCAGCGCACTGCCCACGTCAACCAGCTCTCAACCTGGCTCCTCCAAAACAGCACAATCTACAACATCTTCCTCACCGGCATCACCCACACGTCCGTCACCCGCGGCGCCGTCACCAGCCGCCTGACGCTGACGCCGGCGCACCTCAACTCCAAGGGCGGGCTGCACGGCGCCGTGTCCGCGGCCTTTATCGACTTCACGACGGGGCTGGCCATCGCGTCGGTCGACCTCCGGGAGAAGACGGGCGCGAGCGTCGACATGCACATCAGCTACCTCAGCAGCGCGGCGGGGGCCGGTGACGAGGTCGAGATTGTGGCGACGGCGGAAAAGGTCGGCGGGTCGATGGCGTTTGTGACGATTCTGATATCCAAGGTGGAGGTTGTGGATGGGGAGGAGAGGAGGACGATTGTGACCAAGGGGCATCATACCAAGTTTGTGAGGCAGGGCGGGAAGAAGAGCGAGGGGGAGGTGAAGAATTAGACGTTGCTGACGGCATCTGGAGTTTTCATGATGGTGATAGATCTATAGATTGGATGGATATGGATACAAGGCGCGCCTTTGAGAGACTTTTGCCGTGGACTGCCTCTTTCCTGGATATGATGCCTTACACACGCACGGCTCTCGCCCCGGCATTGACGTGCGGTTAAACAATAGCCGAAGAAACACACACTGTCCCAACTTGTCGTCGGAAAGGCGCAGATGCTCCTCCACTTGACTCACGCCGAATCTCGTTGCAGAAGCCGATTACTAGAAAACATGGACCCCGCCGCGGTGAAGAAGCCGGACGCTAGGAGTGTGGGGGACACGGATCGCGGATCCTGCAAAGCTGGGGATATTTTAAGCTTCAAGTACCTTGTTCCGTGGTGTTGAGGTTGGGCTGAGAGTGTCAAACCTCCCTTTTGCTTGCTCAATTACTCGGCCATCTAGTCAAATAAAGGCAAAATATCGAAATGAGTGCGACGGAAACAACAACTGCGGTGGAATACCTTCAGCCAAGATACTCTCCTCGAATAACCGGCCGCGATGACGCAGCTGAACGAGGACAGCCCGACATTGAGCTCTCGCAGCTCAGCTCCCAGCCTCACAACGACCATGAAACGACACCCAACAGAGCCGAACCCATCACACAAGAACTGAAACCCGTCGACCGCGGCCGCGATGCCTGGTGCACTCTTCTCGGCGCATTTGCCTTTGACGCCCTATTCTGGGGTACTGCCATCATCCCTCCCTCTCCCCATCGACCTCCCCCAAAGCACAGCTAATCAATCCCCGGCAAAGGCTTCCCGGGCTGCTACGGTGTTTTCCAGCGATACTACTCCTCCGTCCCCGCCTTCCAGCCCGACTCCCCGCGCATCCCCGTCGTCGGCGTCCTCTCCACGGGCTTCTACTACTTCGGCTCCCCCTTCTCCGCCATGCTGGCGACCAAGTTCCCCCGGTACCAGCGGCAGCAGATATACCTCGGCTGGGTCCTGAGCATCACCGGCCTCTTGTCCGCGTCGTTCACGTCGTCCGTGAATGGCCTCATCGCTACGCAGGGGGCGCTGTATGGGCTTGGCTTTGTGCTCATTTCGATGCCCATTGTGAGCATGGTGAATGAGTGGTGGGTGGCGCGCAAGGGCATGGCGTTTGGACTCATCTCTGCGTCTTCGGGCGCGACTGGTGCTGTGCTTCCGTTCATCATCGATGCTCTTCTGCGTCGGTACGGATATAAAATCACCTTGCGAGCTTGTGCCGTTGCCATGGCGGTTTTGACTGCTCCCTTGCTGCCGCTATTCAAGGCCCGATTGCCAGCCTCAGACCAGGCCAATTTGGCGAGGATCAACTGGGATTTCCTCAAGAAGCCTCTCTTCTGGATCTACGGCTCGGCGGTCCTCGTCCAGGGCATCGGCTTCTTCTTCCCCGTCGTCTTCTTGCCCTCGTACGCCTCCCTCTTCGACATTTCCTCCACCAAAGGCGCTCTTCTGGTGTCCCTCATGTCCATCGCCCAGGTTCTAGGCCAATTCGCCTTTGGCTACCTCTCAGACAAGAGCCTCCCTGTCAGCTTGCTCATCACAACATGCTGCGCCTTTGCAGCGACCGCCTCATTCACCTTCTGGGGCCTGGCCAAGTCACTCCCGCTGCTTGCCATCTTCAGCTGCATCTACGGCTTCTTCGCCTTCGGGTTCGGCACCATGCGTGTGGCCATGGGGCGCGCAGTCAGCGACGACCCGTCGACTGTGTTTGCGACGTATGCCATCTTTGTTTTTCTGATGGGCGTGGGGAACATCTTGGTTGGGCCGCTGAGCGCGGAGCTGATGGCGCCGAGGGAGGCCGTTCGGGAGCAGTATGCGGGCAATAAGTATGAGCCCATGGTTATTCTGACGGGGGTGACGTCTTTCTTTGCGGCTTTGATTGTGCTGGCGTGGCATGGCGGCAAGGTTCTGTTGAAATAGTTGGCATATGTCTGTAGCTGCCCTTGGCTAAGCCAAGTAACGTGTATTAGGGTCCTGCTTTCACTCACCGTGAGCCTTTGCAAACTGAGTCTGATTTTGTACGACGAATTCACCCAACCTTGGTTATCTCAGCCATCGATGAGGCCAAGTGGTGTTGTTGCCTTCGAAAAGAGCGTGGGAAGCAATCGGTACCTGGTTTAAGGAGCACATCTCGGTCTCTCAAAGGTACACCTTGCATCTTCGACTCTTGGCCTTTGCACTCCCCACGTCTTTCCACTTCTCGTCTGTTCCGTTACGAAGCACCATTCACTTCTCATTTTGTTCTTTCACCTTCATCCATCCATCTCCTCTCTCTCTCTTCTCTTGCCCTTGTGTTCTTTGCATCTTACTTATCTTACTTCGTACTCTCTCCGCATTACGAAGAAAGAACTCAACGATAACCTATCTGTCAACTTTTCGCTTCCTTCTTCCCACTTCCAACGTCACCTCTCAGAGATTTTCCTCAATATCGAGACATATCACCGAACTGCGATCTGAAATCATGTCTGACACTTCGCAAACTTACGAAGAAGAAGGCAACGGAGACTTGGTCTTCCTGGATTATAAAGGGGATTTCTCTGCGGCGAAAAGCATAAATATGATCCAATACAATGATGTTAAGCGCTTTCGAGGGGTCGGTCCTCTGCAACGGGGCGACCGCATATTATTCGTTGATGAGCATGGCATTACGAACCGTGCTTATGGCATGCCAAAAAGGCCTACTGTTCGACGCACACAAGAGATCTTCTGGGGTACTGGCGCGGAAGCCAGAGTTGCTTGGCTTCTCATTGACAGAGCACCAACCATAAAGCACGAGGTCTGGATTGTGACGCAACAGAAGCTCCATGGATTTGCTCCGCACCCAAACCACACTCCGACTGTTATTGCTCTCATAAGATCCGCAACTCTGAAAGAACGCCAAGTTTGGCAATGTATGGTCACCCTTGGGTCATCACTGACCCTTGAGTTGATTGCGGCTCTTGACATTGAAGTTATTGTGGGATATGTGTGCTCTTTGGCTGGCATTGCCCCCGGTGAAGACGATCCTATTCTGGCACTTGAGAAGCTACACTACGATCTGAGCGACGATGTGGTGTTGCTACGCAGAATTCAGCAGAGAATTAGGATGCTCAGCGGTGGACCGGAGGCAGAGGCCGCTGTTGGCATTCTCCCCGAAATCGGCATCCAAGGGCACCTAGATCGCTTCAAGCAAGTATGGGCCGCCATCATTTCGAAGCTCTCTCCCGGACGACTGGCCGATGAGATGGAATTCTATGCCGATGTGATGGAAAAACAATGTCGACGAAGACGAGCGATATGCCCCCCAAGATGCTAAACAATGGGCAATTTAGCACGGTTACATGAACTTGTCTGCCCTGATGTGAGGTTGCTCAGGAAGGCCGGTGAAGGATACGACTCTATTTGGGGAGGGGACAATCAGCATTCAGACTTGGGTTTAGTTGTGCTCGGGCTGATTTCGATGGTTTGGCATGATTCTTTTGCTGGATGGTGGGCAGACTCGCGTTGGTTTGCGATGAGGCCATGGCAGCTCTCATATTCGGAATCGTCGGGACTGGACTTTGCTATTTCTATACACCCCAGCCGCCAGGTACTTGGTCAATCAAAAGTGTGGTACGGAACTGATGTTTCTCGTGATGCGTGAATGGGCTAGACATAGGCTGAACCCGAAGGCATCCCTTTGAAACCGGTAACTGAGTGTCTTCATAGAGCTCACTGGAGGCCTTGGCAGCTCTACTGGACGTTTGAGAGGGTTGAACTTGCATTTCCAATTTGGGTATATGTTGTAAATTTGCTCGACTCCTTGTAGCTTAAAAAGTCTCTCACTGTCGTCTACAGCCGTCCTGCTTGGCCGCATGTCGAGAGCCTTGTCTGCTGCTGTAGTCTCCTGGAGTGGCTGTTCCTGAAAGAATGAAAGAAACAAAGAAGCGATCCGAGACGTTGGCTGGTGCTGCTAGTGAACCATTTCAATTAATTGATGATGATATCAACCAACTGCGATCAGATGGCTATAGGGATGGTGAAGTGATGTCTGGCGCAAGGTTGACGTCGATATTGCTGGACATGTCGATGTAGTACACTGCAAAAGGCGCTGGAATGGCATGCTCACTGGACATGCCGCTGAATCGTGAGCGTCCAGCAGAAAGAAGCCTGAGTACAGGCTGACACAGAGTCAGTCTGTCGAGCAAATGCGCAATGAGGGCAGTCAATGGAAGACGGAGAGTAGACTCTCTGCTGTCTGTCAGTCTCTGGATTGACTTGATCGCGACAGCTCTCTGTCTCGTGAATCAGATTCATGTCTCGAGCCTCTTTGGGTTCTCCCACTAGAAGTACTGAGTACTTGGCGCCTCAAGTCCCTTCCCGTTCCTCCTTCCCTGTCGCTATCATTGGAATACGCACCTCCGCTAAGCTTCAAGAGACATAAACGCTGTGTCATGCTGTCGCCAAAAGTGGCAAGTCTCGCCCAAGCCCCCTGCAAAGTTTGCGGAACCAACAGCGGACGGCTCCTGCCCTAACACGGGACCAGCCCTGGTCGCCACAATTCTGCGCGTCTTTCCTGCCCAGACTTTTCCCTCTCTTCTTTCCCTTCTTTTCTCCTCCTTCATCATCACCGTATCATGTGTCGTTCGTTTCGTTGCTTTCTTTCCCTCTCTTTGCATCTTCATCCGCATCTCCCTCTCGGTCTTTGCATCTCGACATTTCAATTGCATCATCTCTGCAGAGTCGGCCACTTGCCGACCGGCACAGGCACAGACCGCAGAGTACATCCGAAAAGTACCCGACGGCAGCACCGGGCGCCCCGGAAAATCATACCTCCGCTATACTGTAGACGGATTAGCTTTATAGGCGGGGTTCTCGCTAGCTCATGTCAACAGCGCATCCTTGAATGGTGCAGTGGTTTGTTCTTGGCACTCGTCTTAGGCTATCAAGTACTGGGTACGAACGTAAGAGGTATCACTGTGGAAATGGTTCCTTTGGCTCCTCGTTCGACCACTGCCCGTTGCAAGGTTTGTGACGCCCCATGTCGTGCAAACGCTGCAACCAAACCTACGGGTGGTTGGCCGGAGGCGCATGGGTGCTATTTTTTGTTTTTTTGATGTTTTTTTAATGTTTTTTTGTGATGTTTTGTGATGCTTTTTGATGCTTTGATGGTGGTGGTGTCTCGGCCCTTTTTGGTGTGATCGGGATGTGGCGGTTCATGTGCAACTGGACATGGGACATGCTTCTCTCCACCTGCGAGTTCTCAACTCTTGGTGACTTCTCTAAAGCATGGCCAGAAAGCCGTCTTGAGGACTCAAAAATAGTACGGGCAAGGACAAGAGATGACATTCAAGTTTAGGTGCCTTTTGCGAGCAGGTGGAAGATTTTGTGCCATTGAGAAGCCATCACCAGCGGCTTGTTCTCTGCTTCTACCCATCTTCAACCAAAACACAGAACATCATCGCTATCTGGAAGATGCTAAGCCATCAAATCAAACGGCTAATCTTTCTTGCTACCCTGCCTCACGTAAGCTCGACCAGTCGATCAACTAGACCCTGCAAGCTCTGGCGCCTTTCTTCATCCAACAGTGAGTGGCTGGATCGCATCATTCATACTGCGTGTGGTGTTGCGACGATGGCACGATGCGGGGGGCGGACCGAGCATGTCTAAAGCTGGAATATGGCAAAAGATAAGCTTATTCTTCATGTATATTTACCTGAAACCACAAGACTTGTAAACAATTCTTCACATATTGGTGTTCTCTGACATAAGACTCTTTTGTATAGAGGTTTGTGACAGCCGCCAAACCAACCATGGCGACGGCATCGCCCACCTTTGTCACAATCTCGGCCCTCGACGCCGGCCAAATCTCGCTCCCGGAGCACATGTTTGTCAACGACGCGGACCCGGTAAAGAAGACCCTCGTCCCGTCGCTGTCGTTCCTCATCCGCCACCCTGAGCCAGATGGCAGCGTCACAAATCTCGTCTTCGACCTCGGCGTCAAGCGCGACTTGAAGTACACGCCCGCGCAGCAAGCCGAGCTTGCTATATGGCAGCCTATCATTACGGACACGGATTGCGCACAGAGTCTGCGTAACGGGGTGTCTGATGCTGTTCAATCCGGAGATGCTGTCAAGAAAGATGACGGGCCTCTCTTGGATCCGGCAAAGGACGTCGACTACATCATCATCAGCCACGCCCACTGGGACCACACCGGCACGCCATCAGATTTCCCCTCTGCGACATTCGCCGTGGGGTCGGGAACCCTGAATCTCTTCAAGCACGGCGCCGGATCGGCATATCCATCAATTTTCCTCAACCCCGACGAACTGCCTGCCAGCCGCACAATCGAGTTTCCGCCCATCTCTCGCACAGGCGTATACGGCAACGAACCATACGTCCCGAAACACACGCCGTTGCCGGAAGACACCCAGGCGAAGCCGCCTGCTGCAGCAGCGTCGTGGACATGGAAGCCTTTTGACGAGTTACCGCATACGCTCGATTTCTTCGGCGACGGGAGTCTTTACGTGGTTGATACGCCGGGCCACATTTACGGACATGTAAATCTTCTTGCTCGCCTGGGGGAGCGAAGATGGGTGTACCTTGCTGGCGACTGCTGTCATGATCGACGTCTGGTTACTGGCGAGAAGGATATCGGGCTGTATGATGATGGACATGGTGGGTTAAGGAGCATTCATACTGATACGGCGGAGGCGAAGAAGTCGCTTGATAGACTGCGGGAGTTTGCGAAGAAGAAGGGCGAAGAGGGGATTGAGGTGGAGATTGTGCTGGCGCATGACCCTATTTGGAGGAGGGAGAATGCGCACAAGTGTTGGCCGGGGAAGATGTAATGCTTGCTCAACGGCCATGACAAAGAGAGGGTACACAAAGGATGGATAAGGGATTTGAGTGACTGAGACTCATGTGTATGCTGAAAGACAGTGGCAATCAGTGCATGATCATTGGCTCTTCTGGGACAAAGACTTGGCACCGCTGAGGATTGGTTCATAGCGTGTGACTTATGGGGATCGCAAAAACTGATAACCATGAGGATGGGAGAAGGTCGGGCATGTTGTTTGTGATGCTCAAAGGAGTCGTTCTTCGGCAAACAACGACCATTAGGGCAAAATACATTTCCTTTCTATGCATAAAGGGGCAAACAGGGCGCCAATAGCCCCTTTGGCAAGCGCTTCTGTATACACGTAGTCTCTTATGGTCAGCTAGGTGGGGATGAGTCGCGTTCTGAGGGTGCCCGACACCTATCACTTCGTGCTCTCGATCATCAAAGACATGGCCTATACAGCGAAATGAAGGTCGGGTAATGCAAACGGGTGGTTATGTCGGAAAATCGCTATGAGGCCAGGGACGCGTAACACGTATATCAACGAGCCATCACCTCAATGCTCAAGCTGCCATGTTAGCATTGGAAAGTGCTGCAACAGCATGGAAGCTGATAAATCTCCATCCAATGAAACTTGCAACTGGAGAATAAGCCATGTCCGGCCCTCAGTCAACAATACATCAGGCAACGACAGTGAGAAGCATGGGCTTCGGCGACTACAAGAGTCACCGGGGGTTGTCGACGACGGCCTCGCTTTACTTCAAGGAGCCACCTCGCATGCTATACCAGAAGAGCTATCGCCAACAGAAGTGAAGGCAGCATCAGCGAAGATAGCAGCAGTCAAAGAGATAGAGGAAGCGGTAGGAGAGGCATTAGAAAGAGCACACGGAAACAAAGCAGCAGCATCTACGAGGCCAGGAGAAGCAGCGCTAGTTGAGCACAGCTACTGGCCCACCGTGCGTCAATACATCGACAACGGAGGCCACGCAGGACATACAAAGCGCATCAGGCCTGTCTGCCCCATCTGCTCCGACGAGCTGACCATTTACGGGATCGATCCCACCAAGGACGAGTTAATCGAGCGAGCATTCTATTCCATCGAGGAGATGCCCCCCTTCACAAGATGCGCCTTACTCTTGTGCGGTCATATGTTTTGTCCAGACTGCCTCGCCAGGACATTTGAAGCGGACCGCGAGATGCATCGCGGGCGAGCATGTCCCGTCTGTCGGTTCAAGGTTGATTGTGAGCCATGCGGCAGGTTAGGGTGCGTGGTAAATCTCCCTGTTACCGGAATCGCGGCTAGATGGGCTGAGTTTCCGAGTAGAATGGCTGAAGGGGTGTTGGACAGATAGATGTAGTCACTGCATGGCTCGCGAGATGTGAGTGGCTCAAGGGGCGGGGCATATGACACTTTGGCGATATAAGACGGCAGGGCAAGATATGTCAAACAATACATGTATAGAGCAACGCTTACCGAAAGATGGGGATTCCATATGTGCGGCATTGAGGTTGGGAGCTTCCCGAGGCGTGGGGAGGCTCTCAAAGATATCTTACCCAGTTATGATAACGGAAGGCCAAAATAGATTCCGAGGCGGTTCCCTGCTGACATCCACCGACACAGCATGCGAGGAAGCACAAGAACACCCTTGAATCTTGAAAGCCTTCCGTGCGCTATCTACCCGAGGAAATCAGCGACAGTTATGTTGATTGGCTCATTTGTAGATTCGAGACTTGGCGCTCGCTAGGATCGGTTCATCTTCTTGGCAAGCTGCAGGGACTGGATCTAGCAAGCATGGATATCTTGGCTGGGGAACCGTTAACGAAGTACATCATAACCAACAATACTGATAAATATGGTTGACATCCCAGAGATGGGAGCGTCTCAGTTGCGTTCGTGTTTGTCGCTCGTGATAGTAGATTTAAGGAGTCATTGGTTAGTGATGCTCGTAGCATATATAGAACCACGGAGACCTAGCGAGATATATATGTACCCATGAAGCACAAAGAATATGTTTATCTAGGGTTAGTAGGCGCCAAAAAGCTTCAAATATAACCTGGAAACCTTGATTTAATTTTTTTTTCTGGTTACCTGGGTATAAGCCACCTTCTATGTGTGCTACAGCACGAATCATCTCATGAGCTTCGTGAGCAACACGCGATATGTATAGAAATAGAAAGGCAAGGCGTTTATTTCAGCCTTTTGTGTGATGATAATGGTCGGGTCCAGAGGGTTGACGGATGTGTATATGAACCGCCTCATGGTCGCGTTGTTGTGGACTTGAGATGACCTAGAGCGACACGGCATCAAACATAATATATCTTGGAGAAACCTGCACCGCGATAATGACAATGCCCATCCGTCAGCATAGATCGAAGCAGCGCCCAGGAAGAGCAACTCTTAGGGGCTCTGGAGTTGGTCGAAGACAAAGAGCCGCTTCGCTTTTAGCAGCAACAGCGGCGGCAATCGTGGCAGCCTTAGAAGAAGCAGAGTCCGCGGAAACAGCAGAGACACAACCAGCGGAGGGAGCAACAGAGCTAATAGAGGCAGCTGAACCCAGACGCTGGCATATCGTGCGTCAAGACATCCTCGACAAGAAGCTGTACGTAAACCACCCCGAAGTGTGCGATGACGACTTCAGAGTCGTTGTGCCGAGTGCGACAAAAAGCTTCCCGTGGCGCACCTCGATGAGGAAGACGAGTTCCGCGGGGACCGACACGCCATGGTGCTGGCTTGCGGACACATCTTCTGCCATGGCTGCCTAGACAGAATCTGGGGAAACGATCGCAAGGAGAAACGCAAGCTGGCATGCCCCGTCTGCAAAGCCGAGATGCAGTGCCAGCATTGCGGCAAGAAGGCTCGTGTGGTCGCCATTCCCATTCTCTTCTACAATGCCGAGACCCCGAAGAGAGTCCCTCTGACCCTACCAGAAGGGTGAAGCTGGCCGTCCGCCTGCGTGCGCTGCAGGGCAAGCAGAGAGTGGATTGACAGTGCAGGTGAGAGAGCAGTGATGGAACTGAGGCAGCTATTCGGCGAAGACTCTGTGGCCAATCCGAGAGAGGTGGAAATACGGAAGCTGTACAACGAGATCATGGACGACCTGGACAAAGGAAACAACGGCGTGCCGCGTGGACAGGACGAGATAGAGAAGCACTTTATGAATCTGGTTTCTAAAAGTTACCGGGGGCTATGGCGCTTACGGGACACGTTCATCAGGAACAAGCAGCGCGAATGCAGCGAAACTGATCTGTGGCAATGAGACCGTGGCTTGGGCATGGTATATTGCAGCTGTTTGCTGATGACGAGAGGTTATATGGGTTGATGTGATGATACGGAAGGAGGTGAAACAGAAGAGAAGCGGAAGGGTCTCGGAGGCTGCTGTGCCGGTCTCTGCTGCAGGACGGGAAGTGCTGCTGGTTGGCTGGCTCTAACCTTGGGTCACGTCTTGGGCGAGGTCTTTGATATGACGAGACGAGAACACGGGATCTTGTGAGGATCTCGACAGTGGCCGGCGGAGAGGAAGTAGTGGATACATGCAGGAGACGGCGAGCGGTTGCTGGAGGAGAGGTCGAAGTACTTGAGGCTCTGTTTGGTGCGTCTTGATTTGTTTTGGTCCGCATGCCATTGTTCTTGCGGACTTTGGAGTTGAGTTCCCGCAGATACACTTTACCATGAATCTTACTCGCAGATCTCGTATTGATCGCATAGTAGATGGTTATCTCTGACCTAAGTATTTGTTGAGTTGCATTCCTTCGGTAAAGACGATGTCGGCGTATCAATACCTTAGGATTCACGCATCTCAACGCAACCTCTCTATCGCGGCTGCACCTGAAACGAGACGGAAATGCCAGCAGCGCTCCGGCTTTAAACCACGCGCGTGGCCGATATTCCCAGCACTAAAAAGAGAGACTTGGCCAGATTCCTTTGCATGTGAGGCCATCAATGCGCAGCGCAGAGTTTTTCCCAGGCGGGCTGACATGGGACTCGCGCTTTCGGGACTGCAAAATGCACGCATCCATGAATCCATTCGTAAAGGTAAGCCTCGCAGCGTTGGCAGTGAGCAGCGCATGGGATTGAGTCCTGCAAGCGGCATCGGGTACAAAGTCCAGTGCCTTGTAGGCTAGCGGCACGCTGGGCACCCACAGCGGAGCTCGCTCGGCACCTGGCAGCCGGAATCTGCCCCTAGAGCTGTGAAGGCTACAGCGGATGGAAATACAGTGCGAAGGATGGAGTGTGGTTGACGGATTCGATAGTGCATGTGTGCTGGTAGCGGTGATGCATTGGATACATCTTGCAGAAGCATCAACGACAATGACTGGCAGGTTTCTGCGAGATGAATACGAAGCTTGTGATGAAGCCTCTGTGATAAACAGGATGAGGGAATGATATCAGCTGCTAAGTAGATAGATGACCAGGTATGTACATGTAAGATGTTGATGCGACATGGAGCAAAAGGAGAAATCAAAAGACAGGAGTGATGTGATGAGTGCGGCTCCTCTGTCTGCACCGTGCCCGATATCCTCACAGCTCAACGAAGCCAACCCGCACGCTTCCATCGGCACCCTCAGGCCGGGGGCTCATCTCACGGGGGCATCGTCTCTTGTCGCGCCTTTCCTGTCCAGCTCCTTTGGGGGTCCCGGCCTGCTGATGCGACACCAAGCATCAACCCCCCCAGTTTGCGCACCGGCGCTGCCATTGGCTCTGGCGCTGGGCCAACTCGGATGATGCGGCCGGAAGGGCCCGCAAGGCGACCGTCGCTCACGCAGATGCCAGATGCCTGGATGCCGATTTTCCGTGAGCCAACCCAACGGAATGACTGACTGAGCTTCTGCTCTGCCTTGCCTTGCCTTGCTCTGTCTGTCTGCTCTGCTCGCGCTGCAAGGCGGGGAACCAGGGGACCAGATGGCGAGATGGGCCGCCGACGGGACTGTCTTGTCTCGCGTCCATCTGTGTCTTGCCGCTCCGGGCGCTGGTCCTGTCTCTCCTTCTTTTCAACTCCCTTCTCGCCGCATTACTCCGTCTCTCTGCCTCTCCATCATCTCTCCATCAGCGTTGGATTCCGTCTCTCCGCATCCACTCCCTCCCTGTCGGCTTGCTCACGGCCCATCGTCGGCGTCTCATCTTCTTCTCCTCCCCCCGTCCGCTGCTGTTACTTCAACCTCAGCCAGCCCAGCGCTCGAGTCAAGTCAGCTTCTTGACGTTTAGCGCTTTCGACTTCGACCTCAACCACATTGCGGCGCCTGTCTTGTGATTCTCGGCTTTCGCCGCACCGACTTCGAGCCCTCTCCAGCGATACGAAAGGTTTTTTCTTCTTCGCTCTCCAAGCCGACAGAAGGAGAAAAAATCACCGAGCGCGCGCATCCCTTCTCAAATACCAGCAGATCGAGACGGAAAAAAAATATAAGGAGAAGAACAGATCGTGCGCCTTGTCCGTGATGATGCCTTGAGGCTGCTACCGTGACGAGGACAGCGCCCCCAACTCCCGAACCGCATCCTCATCGCGATCCAGATTCCCCAGGCCAAGCCAACGGCCACAGCAATCGCGCCTTGGCGACATCGACCTGTCGCCTATCGATATTGGCATTGACGCCATCGCCCTCGAGCCCGTCTGCGTCTGCGCCGCTGCAGACCGACGACGGCGAGTGACACCCGCTGCTGCGCCGGCGACATTCTGCAGCCAGCGGCCGCGAATTGATTGCCCCGAAGGATCGGAGATCCCGCATCTCGATCTAGATTGCATCCAGATACCGCGATCCGGCCTGCATCACAGCATCACAGCAGCCGCCCGCAATGGCCACCACGCCCCCGCCGATGGCTGCCGTGCCCATCCTCGAGCAGCTCTGCGTCACCACCGCCATCATCGGCCTGCTGGCCATTGGCGGCAAGACCATTGACTCGCTCTACGAGATGAACACGAGCCCCGGCCGAGACACGGCCATCCTCAACAAGGCCCTCCAGGAGCTCAAGCAGTGCCGCTCCTCCGTCCACATCCTCTACAAGAACTTTTCCCTGCTCGAGGCCGGCGCGCTGCCGTACCCCGACCGAGCGACATGGATCAGCACCGACGACCTGGTCGCGACGCTGACCGACACCGTTCTGGCCGTCTCCGACCTGCAAGAGGCCATTGAGCCCATCGAAAAGTGCCAGGGGCTGGCCGCCCGTGTCGCCGTATGCGCTCAGCACGCCCAGCGGCTGTCCAACCTGTCTACGAGGATACGGTGGCACAATCTGACCATGAACATGATGATGACCATTCTTAAGTGGTAAGCAGCCTCTCAGCCTCACAGCCTCACAGCCCTTGATCTGTGCCGCGCAGTCACACGTGCCCCAATGCTTGTCACCTCTCTACCCAACTGGGCTAACACGGAAACCAATTGCAGCCCCGCCGAGCAGGATGCCCAGAACAGCAGGCTGGGCCTCGAGCGACGAATGACCCGGCTGCTCTCCTCCAACAGCGACCTCGCCCTCCGCATGCGCCGCCTCCGAGACACCTTTGGCGCCCGGTCCATGGCCCGGCGCGCCATTCCCAACTACGCCCCCGTGGCCCAGAATGCGCCGCGGCTACCAGCGGACCGCACATCCTCGGCCTCGTCCATCTCCGAGTTATCAGCATCGACAACGTCAGCGCAGTCGGGGCGGCAGACGGCCGCGGATAGCGAAGCAGCCCCTCAGCCTCGGCTCTGGTCCATATTTTCCGGCTATAACCTGGCCGACATTCCTGTCCTCTCCATGATTCCTCTCCCCGTGCTCACCCTCGAGCTCCGCGACAACGAATTCTACACGTTCGACTTTGCGCAGCGCGTCAGCGACGACTTGGTTGAGCTCATGCAGCTTGACCCCGGCCAGCAAGGCACCAGCAAGATGCTGCGCGTCATATTATCCAAGCCGGTGGTGGCTCTGCCGCCAGGAACCGCCGGCATGAACACTACACCCAACACCACTACCGTACCGCTCGACGCCCCGGCCGTTGCTCCGGCAAATACAACGACCACGACAACGACAAAGTCTGAGTCCGTGCGCATGAGCAAGATGATTAAAAGCTTCAAGAACCCGCTCAAGCACCACATTCGGCGGAAGAAGCTGAAATGACTCCTTGATCGCTGCTTCAGCCCCTATCGGGCGGCAGCAACCAGGGAGGATACGCAGTGAATCGTCTGTCGTTTGTTAATATGTGCATATACAGGAGCCGGGACCCAATGAAGCATAGATGAAGGTGTTTCAACGAAGGAAAGGAAACTAATATCCGAGGCACCACTAGAATTTGTTTAACAAGTATGTCTCTTTGAAGGGTTTCATTGACTATTTTTTTGTTATCTGCGCTATAGTAAATTACATATCTGGAAATAAAGCGAATGGCGTTCATGGAGGACAACGCATATTGTTTAGGTTCAATAAGGGGATTTGTTCAAGATTGTTACTTTTGAGGTTTTAGTCTGCGGTTTTACTCTATGTACAATAAAGATCAATATTGGAAACTGTAAATTGAAGGCCGGAGCATGAGTCTATCTTGGTGATGTATCTCTTCTACTTAGTTTTATGCTGGCCATTTCGAGGAAGTAAGGCATTGATACGTGCACTCCTACGATAAGGACTCGATCATTTCGTCGAGATCTGCCCTGAAGTGGGAGATTCTATCAGTGCTGGAGCATGACGACTTGGTAAATGTCGTTAATGTGGCTTTTGTTAAGGTTGCGTGCTAGGCATCTCGAAGAGCCGATATTGATACTGCATTCTACGATACCTACTTGATCACATCATAAGGATATCCCTTAAGGCATCGGGTAATGTTGACTCATAAGGATATCTTCATCGCTACAAGCACACAGTAATCATGTCAATTTCTCTCTCCGGTATACCCGTATTACGCTATTACCCATGCATTATCCAAAAACCCCCATGCCAATGTCTATTCTCCCAAAACAGCATGCTCGTAAATGCTACAGAATACATGTCACCACTTTACATGATCAGCTTGGGACCGTGGTGCTTGGTCGTCTGGCTGTAGGCGCTCATTTCGGTCTCCAGCTCACGCTTGGGGAAGCCGTCAAAGGAAAGGGCGTAGGTGGCAACCGAGTGTGCAATGAGCTGCGTGTAATCATTAGTATACGTATACTCAACTCTGAGTAAGGTTGATGGAAGCTCACCTTGGTGTTGACCTCCCAGGCAGTGTGGTTCAGGTTGCCGAGGTCATCGCACAGCTGGTGGTAGCACGGGTCCAACCACTCGCCGGCGCGTCCGCCGAACATCTCAGCCTCCTCCTTGGTCTTGACAGCCTCGGCACCGGTAGCAATGCCACCGGCGGGAATGCCAGCGCGGATGAAACCGTCATAGTCGCTGCGGCCGTCAAAGGGAACTAAAATCAGTCAGTTGGTGTTACAGCAAAACAGCAAAGGCACTGTCAGAGAACATACTGAAGGTGTAGTTGAGGCCCTGGGACTCGTACCAGTCCACATAGAGGTTCCTCAGCTCCTCGGAACCGGCGGGGCTTTCGGCGTTGGTTGCGTTGTAGATCTGGTAGGCAAAGTTGGGGCTGGCCACTGCACGCAAACCTGTCAGTAACTACTTCATGTTGTTCATCATCAGAAGCACTTACTCATGTCGTAGTCCATGAAGAGACGGATCTTCTGGTTCTCCTCATCGGACAGGCTGGCGGCGTAAAAGTCGGATCCCAAAAGGCCCTCCTCCTCGGCAGCCCACCAGGCGAAGCGGACACAGTTGTTGACCTTGAACTTGGTCAGCTGGACGGCAACCTCCAGAACAGACATGCTGCCGGATCCGTCGTCGTTGATGCCGGGACCCTCGGCAACACCATCGCTGTGACCGCCAAGCATAACGCAGTTGTCGGGGTCTCCCTCTTCCGTCTGGGCCAGGACATTGACAGTCTGGATCTGCTTGACCTCGGCATCAATGTAGGCAATGGCATCGACAGCGTCGCCGTCGTTAAGCTTGGCGAGAATCTTCTTGCCCTCGACGCCGTCAATGCCAAAGGTGGCGATGTGGTCCTCCACGGGCAGTCCGAGCGTTCCATGGAGCTCCTCTGCGTCGGTGTTGTAGATGACGGCGGCCTTGGCGCCAGCCTTGCCGGCACCGATAGACTTGTCACCAAAAGAGCAGGTTCCACGGCGGATGAAGGCAATGTTACCCTTGACATTCTGGGGGTAGTCGGACGCGTCGCATCCGCTGTTCTTGACGAGCACCAGGTCACCGTGGACTGGCTCCTTGTCCTTCGTGGGCGGCGTCAGTCCCATGGGGATGGCAGACTTGGAAACCTCATCGGCCAAGACCAGGCGGTACTGGAAGACGTTGGACAGCGTGACGGGGAATTCCTGGACAGAGACATTGTAGTAGTCGCCGTGGTCGAGCAGCGTGTTTGTGATGTAGTTGAGCGTCGCCTCGTGGCCTGGAATTGCACATGGTCAGTCATCGGACTGATACTAATAACAGCTCTAAGCTGATTCCCATGGACTTACCGGCACTGCCAATGACTCGGGTCGGATGGCCGTATTCCTCCTCAGAGGCCTTTGCGAACTTGTAGAAGCTCTCGGCACGCTTCACGAGTGTGTCAATGCTGATGGCGCTCTGCAGGGCCTCGGAGTCGATCAGCGGCTTGGAGCTGTAGTCGGCGACGGCCTCGTGTGAAGGGGGCAGCGACTCCGGAGCCGTGAGCGGCTGCTGCTGGATGCCGGCTGCCGAAACGCCGCAGAGGGCGAACGAGGCCGTGAGGGCCAATCTGCTGAGAACGGCCATGATGATGATTCTGTGGGAGTATGGAAGGTGTTGGGAGGGAATGAGATGGTAAAAGAAAGAAAGGGGGAGGACGAGACAAGAGAAGCTCGGCAGAAGAGTCACGAGCGAGGACGGGAGGCCGGAGCAGCAGCGCAGATAAGCAGAGATAAGGAGCACAGCACAGCTCAGCAAGACGCGGGCGCACGTCATTCTGCTGGGCGGTCAGCGGGCTTAGCGCAGTTGGTGCAGCTCAGGGCACTGCAGAGGACCCCTGGCCGCTGGACGGGGCTGCTCTAGTGGTCACACGGCCCCAAACAGCCCCTGCAGCGGCGCGGCGGCTAAGGCAGGGGCCGCGCTGGACGAGGTGGATGAGATGGGATGGATGGGGGCGGCTGTGGAATGAAGCCATCGTCATACACTCTCGCACGTGGACAGAAACACTGGGCTTGCTGTAGTATTGATTCACTAATTTACTACTGAAGTTGCATGCTCATCTCATACCAGTGCATCTGCCAGCGTCGGCGAGTGCTCCAAGCAACCAAGACAGCATGTCAATGTAAACGATCAACCAATGGCTTCATCGCGGGCTGAGACATTGTCTAACAGCTCATGTCCCGTCGACTCAAAGCAGTTGTGGCGGTATATACTACAAGCAAGGCCCATCCAAGGGAGGCCACTTGGATGCCGTTACTGATTCTGGATACTATCCCGTCTGTTCGTTGGCTGCCTCTCGCTGCAGAGATTATAGATAGATTGCGCACAAGAACGCCATGCTATCATTCCACCACGGAAGCTACCTCTCAATATATATATATATACCTATTTATCGAGTAAGATGCTGCTACACATATGTAAATCATTTCTGTTTTGCTGGCCAATGCTAGACCTGTTTGCTCGGATTTAGAAGCTTTCAGATTACCCCCGTGCTCAAATCACTGTCGCTCACCCTGTAGCTCACCTGTTTTTTTTTTATGCCAGGCCATCACCATGGACGGACAAAATCGATCAAGTATTCAGATAAAATTGCGTTAATCAAGATGGACAGTACTCATTAACCATGAATCACTACTCGAAGAAAGTCAAAATAATATGCCAAGCCTTACGAAATATTTTATAGTAACGTTGACCGCCATGTTTGAACACTTAAGTATAAGCGACACAGGCACACATCTCACAAACACTTCATAGGAGGCACATGAAGTGAGGGCTCAACTTGTTCAGCTCCCAATCGATCCCTTGCAACCTCTTTCCCACCAGCGTCCTACATGACTGGCTGTATTTTTTTCTTCCATTCCGTCTCTATGTAGTTGGAAACTGTACCTTCTACTAGCTGCAACAATCGTCAATGCGGCGTACAGAAAAACAACCCGGGAAACTAAGCAAAGGACATCAGGATGACTTTGTAGAGTGAGATAGACATTTCATTAGATTATTAATATAGACTACATCACATGTAATCTGTGGCAGTCTCACTAGATAGCATTCTACCGTTCACTGCGTATCTTCTTCGTCTCAGTGTACGTCGACGTCGAGGCACATTAGGCAGCTCGCTTGCCATACGGTTCAAAGGGGAACAAGACGGCAAATAGCGCAAGTCCCCCGTAAAGCGCCGCACACACAAAGACGGGACCCGTGGTAGACGGATCGGCATATCTGATGACGAGTCAGCATTAACACTTATACAATGGAAGAATGAGAGACTTACGTAGCCACTACAGCTGAGAAAGCTCCTGCGAGTCGACAGAAAGCGACAGCGATACCGTTGGCCGTGCCACGATGGGCAGAGAGCAGCGACTCGGCAGTGTATCCGTAGAGGACACCGTAGTAGATCTCGAGCGTAAAGGAGATGACACAGCTGTAGGCGATGTTTTCCACCTGCGACTTGACTTGCGAGTACGCAAAGAAGAAGGCCTATCAGAGTTGCATGCTGTCAGCCTATGTTCAAGTTTGTAAGTGTGAAAAATAGGCTTCAGGAACTCACCATAGTAACCAAGGCGCCAATGACCATGGTATACTTTCGTCCCAGGGGCCTCCAGTTACACATGACCGCACCAAGTACAGGTCCGAATATTCCGCAGACCTGCACGAGGGCATAATTCCTCCACGTCTCATAGGTGCTTGTGACTCCAAACTGGACACCTCGACTGGCCAGGTAGTAGGGCAGAAAGACGTTGAACAGGGGATACGCGAGACCGATGCTCGCCCAGGACAGCCACAGCAGGATGGTCGTGAAGCCCATCTTCTTTGTAAGAAACAAGCTGCGGAGGTGGACCAGGAACTCGCCGACGGAGAAGCGGTTCTTTGAATGAGCTGAGTTGACTGTACCGCAGGCTTCCAGCTGGGCAAGAGTGAGGTTGCAGGGGCGGTTGTATCTCTTGGCAATTCCCTGAAGGTTGTTTACAACTTCCTCGTCGCGACCTTGGCCTATGAGGAACTTGGGAGTTTCCTGAAGACGGATGACGGTGACTCGGGCGACGGCCAGCACGGCGATGAAAGCTCCCATGGTGTACATGAGATATCGCCAGCCGCTGTTGTTGGCTCTGGTGCAGTCGCTGGCATCAGCGCAGGAGAAGTTTGCTATAGGTTACATAATCGTCAGCATTCTTGATCCGACATTACGTCGATGAGACACTTACGCATGAACCCCCAAGCGACTAGGCCGGCAATGGTACATCCAATGCCAAACCAAGCAGGCAACAAGCTGAGAAGCCATTGCTTGTTCGAAGGAAGATACTCGAGAAAGACAGCCGTGTCAAGGATCAAGTTGCCACCAGCGCCGAAGGCGGCAACGGCAATCAAGACACCGAGCCCAGCCCAGTTGGGAGCCCCACCGGTCGCGATGGTAAACACGGAGCAGATGAAGAGCGAGATGTTGAAAGCTATCTTGCGGCCGATGATGTCGGCGAAGAAGCCCCAGAATAGGGCACCCAGAAGCATTCCCATGTATAGAGCGATGGTCAGGCCTTTGTCATACGAAGGCTGGAACTCGAGGACGGCTTGAACGGCGATGATGCCCTGAAGAGACAGCTGGAGCGCGTCTACTCCATATCTATGCACAGTCGAGTGTCAGTGGTTGGAGTGTATGAGAAAAGCGTAAGTGCAGTAAACTCACCCGAAGCCGTTGAGGAAGAAGAGCTTGAGGTGATAGTTGGTCCAACCAATTTGGTCCAATGCCTACTTGAATCAGCTTGATGGAGAGACTCTCGCGTGACACGACGTACGTTGTTGACCAAGTGCATCTTCCTATCCAGAGCAGGATCAAGGTCCTGCATCCCAACCACCTCTTCCCCGCCAGAGAAGTCGGGCTTCTCATCTTGCGGAAAGTCTCTCTCAACATCTCTGCCAACCTCAATCACATCCTCTTCTTTGCCCATGGTTGTGAAGCTGGAAGTAAACAGGTCTCTGTGATGAAGGAAGCGAGCTCCGTAGTGCTGATGGTCTAGCCGAGCAAAACTGAGGGAAACATTTCTCAACGCGGATTGGAGTTGCTTGTTCCGTCTTTATATCCGTTGACATATGCAGTTGGCTGTCGCTGCCCGGATTCCGCAAACTGACCGGTCATCTTCCGTTTATCCTATCAACAGATTGATCCTTCCGGCGGTGTGTGTTGGACCAGGGGTTAGTGAACTGAGCTATAAAGAATGGCGTTCGCCTTTCCGTCATTCTGGTCCTTCTTGACTTGTCCGTCAAGCTCGTCTAGACATCGCTAGATGGAGTAATCTATCAAGCTATGGTTCATGCGGAGCCGATAGACGACAACCAAAATCGTGGAGCACCATATTTGGGGCCCCCGCATTTCATACGTCTTACATGGCTATGCTATCCCCGGGAGGGGGCGTCAAGGGCCGGCCTCGGACTCTATCAAGCTTGTGTGAGATGTCTGGCCCGAGTTACGTTACAGGTTTGAAGCTTGATACGAACGTTCAGATCGCAATCAGCACTAGCTATAGCACCGAACAGCCGGATCCAAGACTATTGACAGCTTTAACAGAGCGATGGGCTAGCTCTATCTAAATCACTACATGTACCGAGCGCGTGGCTTGCTCTCACCCCGGCTGAAAGGCAGTTCACCGAGATGCTTGTTTTGCCGTTTAGACGAGCTGCGAGGGCGCCGTATCACGCTACCGATGTTACATACGAGCGAGACATCGTATTTAGCCTCACCTTACCAGAATGCGATAACAAAAGCGTCGACGAATGGCCACTTGACGAGGGTTTGACTGTTCCGGTTTGACTGCTCCCCTTTCAGAGTTACTACGGATGATATAGGTCTTCAAAATGGGCTCTATCGTAGATACTCGTGTGGCCGGTCCGCCGTTGGACTTGACGGTTCTGGGCATGAACAGCGGAACGTCCATGGTATATGATCCTCTCCATGATGCGTATATGGCATCAGGTCAGACAGCTAATAGAAGATTGCTTACTAGGATGGCGTTGACTGTGTGCTATGTCGGTTTAGACAGCAGGATCCAGCTTCGCCTGTCACCTTGGAGCTGCTGAAATATGGAGAGACGCCCCTCGATCCGGACATCAAGAAGCGGGTGCTGAATATGATTCTGCACAACTCTACTTCGCCTGAGGAAATCGCAGAGATCAATGTCATTCTCGGAGAGACCTTTGCCAAAGCGGCGCTGGAGTTCATCAAGACGAACAACATTGATCAGCCTTCAATAGACATTGTCGGATCCCATGGCCAGACCATCTGGCATATCCCTTATCCAAAGGACCAACAAGTCCGGACGACACTCAGCATGGGCGAAGGAGCCATTATCGCAGCTCGTACAGGAATCACTACAGTGACCGATTTCCGCGTCAGCGAAGTTGCTGTTGGCCGACAGGGAGCTCCCCTCGTTGCCTTCTTCGACGCCTTGCTTTTGCATCATCCTACCAAGTTGAGAGCCTGCCAGAATATAGGAGGTATTGCCAACGTCTGCTTCATTCCTCCTGATGTTGGGGGAGGGCTGAATGACGGCTTCTTCGACTTTGATACTGGTCCTGGAAACGTCTACATCGATGCCGCTGTTCGGTACTACACTGACGGAGCGCGCGAGTATGATAAAGATGGCGAAATGGGCAAACGCGGCACGGTGGATGACGAGCTTGTCGATGAGTTCATCTCCTCCCACCCGTACTTCCACAGGTCCATCCCCAAGACTTCAGGTCGCGAAGACTTCCGTGACACGCTGGCTTTTGACCTGATAGCCAAAGCCGAGCAAAAGGGCCTCTCGCCCGACGACGTGGTGGCCACAATCACCCGGATCACGGCCCAGTCCATCGTCGACCACTACAAGTGCTTTGCGCCGTCTCAAGACATCGACGAGATCTTCCTCTGCGGCGGTGGTGCGTACAACCCCAACATTGTGGACTTTATCCAGCGGAGCTACCCGTCGACGCGGATATATATGCTTGACGCTGCGGGGATTCCCGCCGGGGCGAAGGAGGCGATTACTTTTGCCTGGCAGGGCATGGATGCGATTGTCGGCCGACCGGTGCCTGTGCCGGACCGGGTGGAAACGAGAAGGGAGCAGATTCTTGGAAAGGTGTCCCCTGGGGACAATTACCGAGAGCTGATGTATAAGGCGATGCAGTTTGGGGCGGGGGCCAAGTTGGGGCCGGTGAAGGACTTGACCAACATCGTTGATGGGCAGTTGATGGACAATAAGTGGTGATGCCGGGGGATGGGCATTGGATGGGCTGTAGATAGTTGTGGTGATTTGTAGATATGATTTGTTCTACTTTGTAGAGAAGATTCTTCGAGACTTAAACGACAAAACAATATCCTGGTATCTCATCATACAAGCTATACTTCAATCTCTGTAATTGAGCTTATACGGTGCTTTGCATGGTATTTTTGGTTACGTGGGCGGTTATGGACTCTTAGTCGCCTGTATGTACGTAAAGTCAAGGCATTCCCAGCGTCGGTTTTCCCCTCCCAATGTAAGGTCTGAGTCTATCGCATCTCCAACCGGACATGGAGATAGAAAGCTCCCCCCGCCTCCGTTTGCGGGGAACGAAGCGGGCTCTTTGGAATGCACCTTGTCAGCCTTTCAGCACTTACACCATGAGTCAGCCACCTAGAAGGGTTATTCCTTGAGACTTCAGCTGCTACTGGCCGAATAAGTTACTATACTCATAGAATCGTCGGATTGAAGGAGAGACAACTCATCACTGGGATCAGCAGTAATCGGGCGTCTCTCCATCTGCATGCGCCAAGTCCAAGAATGGAAAATGGCAAGGGTGACTTGCATGCGGAGAGTTTGGGGTTGACACTCTTCGGGATCGGTTTGTCTGTTGCGCCACCTCTAAATAAGCTCTGCTATTAGACTTTAGTATTAGTGTTTAGATGACTATATAAGGTTGTTCAGCTCGGGCAAAGTAATAGACATCCTCAGAACTGGACAACTCGAAACACAACATCAGCAATCCCGACGAGGCAGACTTAAAACTGAGCAACTATTCACGTCTTCGTTTGAAGCCATGGCGAACTTGGACTTGTCAAAGATCATCAAGCCATGGAAGCTGGACGCCCAGCCGACATACGTCTTCACAAACGCGAAGCTAGTCGACCCTCTTCAAGCCCATGTCACCGAGAATGTCACCATCAAGACCTCCGGAGGCAAAATCGTATCTGTCTCAAGCGCACCTCCTAGCATCACCGGCGATGAAATTACCATTGATCTCAAGGGGAAATATGTCTGCCCTGGGCTCATCGACTGCCACGTCCACATCGCCGTTGTCCCCGGCGAGGCCAATCTGAGCTCTTACAACGCCATGACCGAGAGAGTCAGTCTCCTCCGCCAGCCATGGGTCCTCAAGCCGATGCTTGAGCGAGGATTCACGTCAGTTCGTGATTGCGGTGGCGCGAGCTTGGCTATGAAGGAAGCCGTGGAAGATGGCGTCTGCATTGGCCCTCGGCTGTTTATCGCCGGATACGCCCTTTCTCAGACTGGCGGACATGGCGATATGCGCTCTTCGCATGATCAGAGTCCATGTTCTTGCGGTGCTGTCTCGGGAATTAGTCGTATCATTGACGGGACGTCTGAGTGCTTCAGGGTGGCTCGCGATGAGTTGCGTCAAGGGGCTGATTTCATCAAGATCATGGGCGGCGGTGGCATAGCCAGTGCTACAGACAAGATTGAGAATCTCCAGTTCTCGGATGAGGAGATCAAAGCGATTGTGACGGCAGCAAAGAACAATGGGACGTATGTCACCAGCCACAGCTACACACCCCAGGCGATCCAACAAGCGATTCGACAAGGCGTCAGAGGCATTGAGCATGGCAACCTCCTTGACGCAGAAACAGCCAAGTTGATGGCCGAAACGGGCACTTTTCTCACCCCGACATTGATCACACATGTCATGTCGAAGCAACTCAATTTCCTGCCCCCAGCCTCGGCAGCAAAGAACGAAAGCGTCCTCCAGAAAGGCCTCGAAGCCATCAAAATTGCTACCGAAGCCGGCGTCACGATCTGCTTCGGCACGGATCTCCTCGGACCGCTGCATTTTGCCCAGAGCAAGGAGTTTTCTGTGCGCAGTCAGGTGCAGAAGCCGGCGGAGATACTTCGTAGTGCGACTGTCAACGTGGCCAAGTTGTTGATGAGGGAGGACGAGCTGGGGCAGGTTAAAGAGGGGTTTCTGGCTGACTTCATTGTCCTGGATAAGGATCCTTTGGAGGACATTACGATTCTGGATCGTGCTGAGGAGAATGTCCTGGCTGTGGTCAAGGATGGAAGGGTGGTGTCTTCTAGATGGGCTGATATCAAGGTGGATGTCCAGAGTAGGCCATAAGACCACAACGAGACGGGAAATTCTTGGCTGCTGGGCAATTCTATATTTTCTAGTATACAAATTTACCATGCAACTGCGTGGCCATCGCCGCGTTGGTCGCTTCCTCCATGATACACCCTCAGACCACTTGGATCCTGCTTTGCTTGGATGATCTGACCTCGTCCAAACATTGCACGATCCCAACCCGTTACGAGCTGCACCTCGTGGCCCAGTTTACGCAGACCCTCAACTGTATCTTGGGGAAATCCTTCTTCCAGACATACGATGGATTTCTGCGTCAACTTGGAGTAATCGTCTGCCGTTGCATACTCGGGCAATGTGCGGGAGGGCCTGATGCACACTCTCGGCGCATCCAAGGCATCTTGAGGATTCAAGCCAAAGACGCACGAGTTGAGCATGACCTGCAAGTGGCCTTGCGGCTGCATGAAGCCGCCCATGACGCCCACAGAGAGCTCAAGCCGGTCGTTCTTCGTCACCATCGCGGGAATGATGGTGTGATATGGCCGTTTCCGAGGTCTGAGTGTGTTTACGTGTCCCTCGCGCAGCTGGAACTGGGTGCCCCGATTCTGCAAAGCGAAGCCGCAGCCTTTTGGAACGATGCCACTGCCAAAGTTGGAGGCGAGCGAGCAGATGAAGCTGCACGCGTTACCTTCGGAGTCGGATGTGGTGAAATAGACGGTGTCAGAGGACTTGCTGGGGAATCCGTTCTTCAGAGATGCATCGACGGCATCTGATTTGAAGCTGGATACCCGGTCCTTTAGGTATGCATCATCCAGGAGGCTTTTCCATTCCGGCCCAGAGTGTTCTGGATCAGACACATAGGCATCTGCATCAGCAAAGGCATATCGCAGTGCCTCCACTATTGTATGTATGTATTGGGTCGAGTTGTGACCCAGGCCCTTCAGCGAGGGAATCTTTCCGTCCTTCTCCAAGTTGTCGATGATGCCCAGCGCCTCCAGAGCAACAATTCCTTGGCCGTTGGGTGGACATTCCAACAGTTTGTACTCTTGATAACTCTTGGATATAGGTTCAACAAAGGTAGTTGTGTGATCCTTAAGGTCTTGTGTTGTCATGACGCCCCGAAGCTGTTGGATCTCACTGGTGATTGCCTCTGCTACCCATCCCTCATAGAACCCTGCCCTTCCATTGGAAGCTATTTCACGAAGCACTTTACCAAGGTTTGGGTTCTTGAAGACTTGGCCTGCACGAGGAGCCTTGCCTTCTAGGAGAAGCTCGCCGCCATTCGGAGACACCCGCTTCAACAGCCCCTCGCATTCGATCCACTGCCGTGCCGTGATTTCAGACACGGGGAAGCCATCTTTGCAGAGCTCGATAGACGGCTTAAGGATCTGCTCCATGGTCACTTTGCCACTGCCATACGCGTCCTTTGCATCGAACCAAGCGGCGACCTGGCCAGGGACCGTGACCGAGTTTGCATCCTGAGGCGGTAACAGATTGCCAGTCATGCCCAGCTCTCGGCACTTTTCGATGGTCAATCCAGCCGGCGATCGACCTGAACCGTTGATGGCAAAGGCTTTCCGCTTCGTCTCATCCCAGTAAATCATGAACATGTCTCCTCCCACTCCAGTGGAGCAAGGCTCTGTCACGCCGAGGGCGGCAGCCGTGGCTATGGCTGCGTCGACGGCATTGCCGCCAGCTTTGAGAATGTCGAGGCCGGCCTGGGCAGCGAGGGGTTGGGAGGCGGCGACGATGCCCTTTGTGCTGTAGACGACTGATCTTCGGCTGTTGAAGCGGTTGAAGAAGGGAGCTGAGGGGTCGAAGAGGGCATCTGCCCCGTCGCTCGAGGCTTCTCCAACGGCACCGACTGCGTCGAACGGCATTGTGTGTGAGTGTGAGGTGAAGCAACTGTTATCGACTTTTGCTGACGATTAGGTTAGGACTCAGTAAAGATAAGTAGCATCAACTGGAGTTACATCCTGAAGATAATGGACAATCGGTTGAGAGACACCGGGGAGAAGAAACAGCCGATACTGGCCCATGCCGAGGCATTTCCGGAACCATCACTGATATGGACCGCCAAGGCTCTTATTCTCTTCTTGATACGCGGTTATATCGGGTGTTGTCTGTGGTAGCTCGAGCGAAGGCCGCCTTGCCCGCCTTATTCCCTCTTTCTGTTCCCCCACTCAGAGCCATTGTGACCTCGATTATGGTTCTCCTTGAGCCGTGAAAGCGGGGTATTACACGATCGACACCACTTATAACCGCTGCCAATCGAATCTTGGAGTTTTCTAGTCATGCTAGTGTTCTTGGGCCTCTTCTCCAACTGGGCGCCACTGCGGGGGTTAGGGGGGGAAATAAGCTGTGTGCTGGTGGACGCTATTTGTTGATGGTTGAAATCTGGAGATAGGGTCACTGCTTGGAAGAGCAATGATCGCTTGAGCAACCGTCGGAATAGACAGCCGATATAACGTTACACGATGATGCTTCTCTGCGCTTAGAGTTTTGGGGCAATTGTAAAACTCGGCTAAAAGCGAAAGCATTATCAAATGAAGACGATGCTAGTCGTGAGCTTCACTCCAGTAGCGTCATGATAGGAGGTCGGCCGGGAGATAACGGCAATGATGTATGCGGCCTCGCATGCTATCATATCTCGTGCCTCGTCGTCCATGTAGTCTGATTGTCCAAGCCATCTGCAGCTTGAGAGGTTGGCATACTATTGATAGCTGATGCTACAGAAGCCCGGACTAAGATTCAGGGCGAGTGTCGTGGCTTGGAGTCTTGGAGGTTATCTTTCGCCATCAAGCATGCTTGGGTTACATCGGTGATCGTCTCAACTGAAGTCAGCCAGATGAGGAGTTCTGATTCCCGGCATCATGTCGCTAGGTCGTCCATGAAGTGAGGCAACAGCGAGTTTGACAACCATTTCGGAAGACATATCCCGGGCGAACAATACGTGACATGTCAATATCTCGCATGAAACATTATACTCCTGAGAAAAGTATATATAACGACACACACCGTCGTCTGAGCCGATACTCCATTCAAATCACCGCAATTCACATCATACATGCATCATGGCTCCAACCGTCATCGAAGCCCTCCGCGCCCAACATGACAAAAACGTGACCGAGACCATCGAAACTGAAACCGCCCCCGAGAAAGAATGGGGTGTCATCACACAGGGCGCCAAGGAAGCCACCGACCTCGAGCACTCCCAAGGCATTCTCGAGGCCGTTCGCCTTCAATGGAAAGGAGTTGCCTGGGCCTCGTTCCTGTCCCTGTCCATTGTGCTCTACGGATACGACAATGCTCTCATCAATAACTTTTACGGCTATCCCGCCTTTCAAAAGGCCTACGGTGTACCCCACGGTGACGGCTACCAGATCGCTGCAAAGTGGCAGACAGGCCTCTCGCAAGCGAGTATCGTGGGCATCATCCTCGGAGCTACGTTCAACGGCTTCCTCTCGTCCAGGTTCGGCTACAAGAAAGTCATGCTGGTTGGCCTTGTCCTCATGACGGGCTTCGTTGCCATTCCGTTCAGTGCCCGTAACGTCGAAACGCTCCTTGTTGGCGAAATCTTCTGCGGAATGGTCTGGGGCACGTTCGCGTCTATAGGGCCGGCTTACAGCTCCGAGTGTCTTCCCATCTCACTGCGAGGCTTCCTCACCAGCGGTGTCAACATTATGCAAATCATAGGCCAGCTTGTGGCAATCGGTGTCCTTGATGGCCTCGTCGATTTAGACTCGGAGTGGTCCTACAAGATCCCGTTCGCTATCCAATGGGTCTGGCCCGTTCCACTGTTTATAGGGTGTCTGTTTGCGCCGGAATCTCCGTGGTATCTCGTTCGCAAGGGTAGACTCCAAGAAGCGGAACACAGCCTTCGCCGTCTCAGCTCCAAGAGTGACAACAAGATCAAGGAGCATCTAGCCATGATCATTCATACCGTCAACTACGAAGAAGAGGTACGAACAGGTTCATCGTATATCGACCTGTTTCGGGGCAGCAACCTCCGTCGAACGGAAATCTGCTGCTTATCATTCGCCGGTCAGGTATTCAATGGCATCTTCATGATGAACCCTGGAACGTACTTCTGGGAACAGGCAGGCCTGTCTGCCAGTAACAGCTACAAGGTCTCTGTGGCTGCTACGGCTATTGGACTGCTTGCAACTTGCATTGGCTGCGTCCTCATTGCTCATCTAGGCCGTCGCAGCCTCTATCTCTGGGGCATGGTCTTCATGACCGTCGTCAACGTTCTCATCGGCATCTTGGCAACAGTTCATGCCAATGAAGGCACCAAATGGGGACAAGTCGCCCTTACCATCCTCTGGGTATTCTGCTACGATATCTCGGTAGGGCCAGCAGCTTACGCAACGTCGAGTGAGGTTTCCGCAATCAGTCTGCGGGTTCAAAGTGTTGCTGCAGCAAAGATAGCACACCAAATCTTTGACATCATTGCTGCTGTGCTCGAGCCATACATGATCAATCCCACCGCTTGGGGCTGGGCTGGAAAGACGGCCTACTTCTGGGGCGGAACCTCGGTGCTTGTGACTATATGGGCATTCTTCCGATATCCCGAAACATTCAAGCGATCATATGAAGAGCTGGATATTCTGTTTGAAAGGGGCATTCCTGCACGCAAGTTTCGCAAGTACGATGTTGATGCTTATGATATTGATGGCCAGCAGGTTCACGAGAAGTCTGCTTAGTGATGGCCTTGGGACAAGTGGTGCGATGTTTGAGACATGTGTTATCTTTGACCTCATCGTGTTATAATTTTCTCTCTCGTGACATTTGAGTGATGGAATTTAATAATATGGGTCTTATTTTACCTGCGATAAGCTCGTCTAAGGCCGTAGGCTCTGCAATACCTTCAAGATCTGCTTCCGTCCATCGTATAAGGGATACAGGCCGAGGATCAGAAGGCTTATCCACAACCAGATGAGCGACACCACAACCCAGGCTTTGAAGAACTGCTGAGAAGTTAGCGATTGAGCACGATAATGGAGAACTTGACGACTCACAACTTTGCTGAAAATGTATTTTGCCCCGTACATCGGCAGAGGCCACAGAACCCAGATACCAAAGAAGGAGAAGAGCGACCAGAACAGTGCATATCGTTGCCACCTCAAATCAGTTTGGTCATGAACAACCTCGGAAGAATCACTCAGGACACCACCCTTGGTAGCTTGACCTGTGGGGGGTTCTCGGGCTGAATCTGACTCTTCAGTCGACGCATCGCTGTCAAGTAACAGTTTTTCATCCGTAAACCGAGCCCAGTCGTAGTTATTCGGCCAGAAGAACGACAGAATTACCGTATACAGCAAGGGGCTGAGAGCAGAGGCCACAGTGCCATACATACATGGGAGCGTTTGTCCAGTAGAGTCGACCGTTACTTCGCCGAAAAGAGCCTGTGCCGTACCAAGCCATGTACCCAAACCAGTTGCCAGACCAGCGACGGCGGAAACGACGGCCGCAAAACCACTTTGTTTATTCCAAAGGATAGTAAGAATCAAGGGAAATATGCCAGGACATGTTACCACGCCTGAGTCAACTGTCAGTTATCCATCAGAGAAACTGAGCTTGCTTTCCTTACCGATCATGTAAAGAGTCCAGCCCATGTTGATTCCGCCGTAGTTGAAAGCGGCAGTTAAGCCAGCTGAGATGGCAGCAAACAGCACGACTCCAAGATGGCTCCATCTGATGACATCTTTGTTGCCTGCGTTCTTGTTGATGTAGGTTCTGTAGAAGTCGAATGTGAAGATGGACGACACAGCAATCACCTGAGCGGACAGTGTTGAAGTGATTGCCATGAAAGTCATGAGCAGGACAGCGACGGCGCCGCCTTTTCCTGCTACCGCCACGGCTACGTACGGGAGCACAAGGCCGTTTGTGACCTCCAAGCTGGTCATCGGCTATGTTAAACAACCAAGTTAGTATGACTACTTGCTAAGAAGATATTGCAACTTACACGAGGATACGTTGGGAAGATAGGAGAGCTTTCGAGTCCCAAAGCTGCAAGACCCATTATAGTGCCTAGACTCCATGGGATGGAAAAGTATGCAAAGCCGCCGACTACATATCCTGGTACTACGGCTTTGGGGGATGCTGCAAATGCCTTGATGAAGTAGCTAGTATCCATCTGCCCAATATGGTGTCAATACATATTTGCAACTTGATAGCTCTTACACTTACAATAACAGCACCAAAGTTTGAAACGAGGAGGATAATAGCAAAGAATATCCCTTGCTGAGAGTTCATAGTGAGAAGAGATCCTTGATAGTTCCCGTAAACCTGATAGGAAGGCTGCGCCTTGACAACGAGATCGTAAATTCCGTCGATGGAGCCGACGTCATGGTGGGTTAGGGTTTTCGTTGTTAAGTAGCAGCACAAGATGGCGATGACAAAGGTGTGGATGTAATCTGTCAGAAACCTGCATTTTATGAAGCAGAGTCAGTTGATCCATTATGGTTCCTTCGGAGGCGGAGTACATACGTTGCCTTGATGCCGCCGACGAGTGTATAGAGGACGACTCCTACAGGTAAGAGGAACGTTGAAGCCATAATGTGGATGCCTGTTCTGCACGACTAATTAATAGGTTGTCAAATATGACATGGGCATATATCTTACAGAAACGTGATGACGGCGGCAGCTCCCAGGATCATGTTGATGGTGTTGAAAAGGTTGTTGACAACAGCCAAGAAGGTGAACACCAGATGTGCAGTTGTCCCTACTCTTCTCATCAGTGTCAAATGTAGCTATCACCCAGTATTTGCACTCACCGTATCTGATGCGAACAATCTCCAGAACAGTATGTGCTTCTGGGATGCGTTTCTTGCAGACCACTCCGAGGTATGCAAAGAAGACTATCATTCTGTGAGTTGCAGAAGTCAGCCCTTATCCACTTGGTGAACTCTTGGAAGGCATTGTCATACGGTGTACATCCAGCGCCATACCAGAACCCCCCAGAGACTCCATATAGGTACGTTACCAAGACGCAGCTAAGCAAAGCTGTGCTCCATAGCCATGACTGCTACCTTGTCAGCGCCTCATCGTGAAAGGAAATAGTCAATGCATACTGAGACGACCGCAGAAGCAACAAGGCCTGTTCCCACAGATCGATTGGCGACCATGAATCTGAGAAGCGCAATTAGCAAGAAGCATAAGAAGAGTAGGTAGTGAGAGGTGAAAGCTTACGTCTCGACATTGTTGTTGTCTTCATTGAGTGTTTTCTTCAGCAACCGTGTTATACCAATCATGCCTGTGAACGTTAGTACCGGCGTATAAGAGGATCAATTCAAGCGGAACATACCAACAGCAAAGATTAGTCCAACTGCCACAACGACAGCATAGCCCGCCGCCTGTGGCAAGGGAGATGGGACAACACTGTCGTCGTCAGATCTCAAGAACAGACTCATCTTGAACTCTTGCCATCTGCAATGAGATTGTATACCTCTAAGGCTCAGCATATGTTGCATTCCATTGCTATAAGTATCAAATATGCGAAGTACTAATTCTACTTGTTGAGTGGGCGCCATCGTTGAAGTGCATTGCGTGATAAGTTTAACAGCCAAAAGCGCACTCCGTCTTCTCCTGTATGAGGCCATCAGGGCCAGGTATGTCGTCAGTTAATGGACTCCATAGCTCAGCTAATAGACCAGGATTCTGTAGCTGCATAAGTTTATACGATTGGAGCTTATGATGTTCCGAAACTTTAACCTCAGTCTATCGTCGCATATGCCTTCCTCCATGCGGCTACTGGCTGTGTATTCCTGTATGAGTGAGACAACTCAGCTGTCTATCATCCTGCTACTCCCTTGAACAGCTAGGCTTCTATAGATGCAGACGTGTGTAGCTCACTTATGACAGCATGTGGAGGTATCCATCTGTAACATCTCGCCAAGGAATTCGAAAGTTAATCCATATATACGCCCTAGAGAACATATCGCTGGAGCCGGAGACTTTTGTTAGACATGGATATGTTTCCCGTATGCCGTTCGCTGTTGACTGCATGCATGGTGATCGAGTTCAAGGTCGCCTTGAATCGTTGATTGGCTGAGGTTGACGGCTATCGTATCACGACATCGGGAGCGAAATGGTTGTTGCCCGATTAGGCAACTTTCTGTGAAACTAGGGAAGATGGTGGGCCCTTCAACGACAACAAGGGTTGACGTTTTGCGAGCAGAGGTGACAAATAACCTGTACCATATTCAAGATGGAATAAATGAGCTATACTGGCCGAGATCTCGTCCAGCTCACGTGGATGACTGGGATGGAAGCATGTACATACAAAGGCACGTTGAGTACGAGAAGCTAATATTGCGTTCAGTCATAACAGAAGATTGTCTACTGAACATTAGCGGCCAGCCTCTTGAAGAGAGGCGCAGCGTATGATCTTAACAATCGGCCAAATCACAAGATGACATGTATCAGTAAGAGACTAAAGCTTATAAGTGGCACAGAAGATCAGAGAAGAGGGATGCCAAGCTTGATGGTATCTGGCAATGAGAGCCGTTGTACTAGCCGCTATCCCTTAACCTTCAGTATCTCAGAGCAGCATGAAGGAGGCCTTTGCAAACTTACTTGTATTGAAGAAATTCTGCTCCGTCTTCTCGTAGAGTCGAAATATGTCTGGAGATTATGACATCCGAGGGATGTCAGAGATGCTTAACTGATATAGCAATACACAACCAATGAGGTATAGAGACAGCAGCTGCAAGAGCTGATATTATCTTCAAGGCCAAGAGGCTACAGAAAGTGGGAAATTACAGACATGTCATATATACACCTAGGAAGGGGCACCAGCCTACCTGTCCCAGATGCTGGAACGGATATTGGCAACACGGAGCTGGAGCCTGAAAGCCTTATACCGAAGTTTGATGGCTTTCTTCCTAAGGAGCAAAGAAGCTCTGACCGCTCAAGCCAATGCACAGGCCTATGTGAAGCTGGAGGAGAATAGAAGGCGGAAGCTGCCACGCTGACATACTCAGCTAACACACACGCAGCTGGTGCCACCCGCCTCCAGAGCTCTTATGTCTTAACTTCACAGCGTCTTTGAAAAGGCTTGTGCACTGCATCTCTTTCTTATTCAACATCTCTTCAGAACCCAACGCTTCTCTCTTCGGAACCCCAACCTTCTCTCTTGAAGCCTCAAGCTTCTCGATCCACAGCCTTAACCTTCGAGGTGCTTAGGTGCTTAGTAGGCATCTCACATCATCATCAGTAAGAACTTCCCTTCTACTCCTGTTCCAGTACAATACTGACTATTAGCCATATTATAGAGGACCAGCACGTTGCCGCACATACATCAATCTGCGCCATCTGCAATCTAGGCATGGACGACGACAGCGAGATGTACTCTTGCCCGGAGGAACAGGCGCTTCCACCGCAAATGATAGATCCCAACTGGAACGTTCTGGACCACTTGAGCCCTTTCCACCAAGCGTGTTACATGCACCACCAACGCCACCGTTTGAACCACCTCAAAGCACTCAACGTTTACCACACGGACGACCAGCATACTTTGCTCTTGGACGAAGCCGGATTCTTGAGCGCTGTCGGTGTTCCTCTCCCAACCAGGGAACAACTGCAAAGGCCTCCTCCTGAGCTTATCTTTGGCAAAGAAGCAGAGCAGAAGCAAAATGATGAACAGCTATTATCGATGGCTACGCAAGTCTTGGAGGTTCTACAAGATGGACCTGAATATAGACATCCAACATGGCAAACGCTTCAGCAACTCCTCGAAACCGAACTTTTACATTACAAGACGCCTGCTGCACTGGTGGAAGCTGTCAATGATGCAATCAAACAAGAAGAAGAGAACTACTCAACATTTCGTCTTGTGTTTATGGCTGACTTTCTCACTACTCCGGAAGCCAGCAAGGATTCTTTCGACAAGATTCTCGAAACAATTTGCTTAGCTATGGGCTATAGAGTGTATGGCAAGACCGAACAGCTGAAAATGTTAAGCGAGATTGACGAAGAACTCAGTGAAAATGTGCTGGAGTTCCGCGACATGTATCAGCGAATGAATGCCCATTTGGCACAAAACGGCACACAGAGAACCAAAACCGCCATGGAGAAGCTGAAAAGGCTTGATGACAGATGGGAAAGGATCGTTGAGACCCTCTCGCCCTACTTCACCTCATACCAAATGTATGAGATACTTCAATCTTGGCAAGCTATCCAAGGCCATACAACACGTTTCAGCGAGGCGTCTTCTCCTCGGACACAGACTGCCAACAATTCGAACCTCGAGCTCGGCCAAGCCGGAAGGAATTCATCGCCCCTGTTTTAAGAATGGTCTTGCCATAGACAATCGCGTCTCTCATCGTCGATGAGTGTCTTCTCGTCAGCTGAGTCTTAATGTCACTTCAAACCAACACGGCGTCGAATATGAAAATCGATGACGATTTATTTTAGTATCATGCTCATTATACTGCGGACAACAAGGCTTTCAATACCTTCATTATTCGACTCCGATCTGCTCACGATGATCTGGCGGAACGCGACGGGATTGATGGTCAAAATTCTCCTCCATTCCTTGATGAGACACTTTCTACCCACAAACGAACTTATCTATAGAATTATTCTTTCGCTTTTTCCAGCGTTTCCTTTCTGATGGGTTCTTAACGAACACATCTCTACGGACGGAGCTTCAACACCCGACCAGAGATGACGATTGCTTTTTTTAAGGTGGGAAAATGGTGATGCTTTCAACAGCAGGTGAGTTTCTTCAGGGGATCGGCGGTTTATACTCTACTTAAAAGGACTGGGACAGGGCAAGGGGGGAAAGAACTTCAAAAGCGGCTTCGTTTCGTTCCTAGTTTCACATGAACTTGATAATTTACTCAGATTTCTCATTACACCCCCAATTTACCACCGGCTCAAAACCAGAGGGTGTATCTCCATATGGTACCAACTATTAAGGCGCCTCAACCACCATGCATGGGCCTAAGTGAAGTAGTTAGACGTTCCGCTATACCACCGAGCGGCGGGCTGTCTCCATATGGGGAAGGATCGGTGCGAATAAGCGATTCAAGGGCATGTGTACCTGAATGAAGGCGCCCTACTGGCAAGGGACTATGGTTGCCTAGCCAAGGGTTGGATTAGGCGCTCGACTTTCCTTTCAACAGTGACAAACAATTGCTAATGCATGTCAAGACGGAGACGAAGTGGCTCGCGTAGGACATCCGCTGATGTGGCTTCATGAATGAGCCTAGATTCGACTTTAAGGCATTCCTAGGGATTCAGAGGAGCGGTAGATTACCGTGATTGGGAGATAGAAAAGGATATGGCAAGGTTAGTAGACTCCTCAGTCGCGATGGACGGATGGTGCGTAGGACATGTACTCGTATTGGCAACTACCGTTATCTACTGCGTATATATCAGGAATATATTGCTCTGTTCATCATAGTATGAGGCTCTCATTAAATCTCATCATTAGTCCAGTATCACTAGAATCCCATGTACATATATTTTCATGCTATACTTGCTGGATGTAAGAGACAATGTCGTTGAAGATGAGTCCAAGTGGGCTGAGACAGCGTGTTGATGTGTGTCCACTGGAGGAGATACTGCACTGCAGGGATTGACCTGACCGCCCCAGATATTTGGCGAAAAAAACCATCTGCATCATCAAACACCTTCACCATTCCCGTATCTTAACTCTTTGGATAAGAATCAGCTTTCTTTCGACGTCTCATTCCCCCAAAGACCATCAAATCCACACTGAAACTGTCACCAACCATGGACCCACCAGCGTGGTACTGCCGTCTGGTCAATCTCTCACAAAAACGCGAAATAGAAGAGGATGACTTTGACGAGGACATCTCCGAGCTTCGAGAGAGCGACGCTCCAGACGAATTCAGCGATGGCGAAAGCATCCAGCGTTGTGAATGCCCCAGCTCGGACATGCTGGACTGCGAGTGCGACGCTGAGGATGCCGCACCCGAGAGGGCAATGGACGACGGGGCGGAATCGGGACGCTCATACCAGGGCTCAGATGCCGACTATTACTATGAGCTGAAGGAACGACGCATTGAACGGAAAATTGACTTGCGAGATGAGAAGGAGAGAGCGGAGGAGCGACGACGTCTCTTTCGAGAACTGGACAGCGAACAGGAGCGCGAGGTCCGCGAAGCCTATGAGGCCATGCTGGAGGAGCAGAAGAAGGGAGATGCTCCTCGGCCCCGACTGGCATCTCTCTCCAGAGCAGTTTTCCACCTGTTCTCGGTGGACCACATAGACTATTGCTACGACTACGACCATTATCTTGGGACGAGATACGTCGAATTCTATTGTCTCGACGAAAAGGGCCAGACAATTAGTCATGATGATTTAAAGGTCAAGATCTCGGGGCACGTCTACCTGAATAGCAGTACTGACTGCGATTTTCTGTCCTTTGTTCAACCGAAGCGGGCTGGCATCAAAAAGAGGCAATTCCCGGTTCGTGGACAGGATCATGCGCCAGTCTTTCAGTTCATCAGCAGCAAATATTTGATCATGACTGTAAGATCGGATGCCAAGATGGTCTCGGGCGATATCCAGCAGTTGGGAGTCACAGATGTGCCGAAAGAGCTCAAGTTTTTTGGCATCTGCATGGAGCGAGAGGAGCGGAAGGCGTATTTTGAAAAGACATCAGGAAGATTTCGGCGGCTAGGGTAAACCCTGAGCAAGCATATGGAACTTGATAGCTCTACTGAGTAGGTATCTAGTCGAATAAGTGTGAGAGGCTGACAGTCCGGGCCTCAGCTTGAAGTACGCTGTCCTATGGTGACCCAGTCACCGGTTCTGGTTGATGGCACCAGAGTTTTCGAGGGAACAGTTCACAACCACGATCACAACCATAATTCAAACGCGGGTCAACTCTATCAAATTCCGGCTACCCATAAAGACTTGTTGCGAGCAAATGTAACTCCAATTATAGATGAGCCCAGATGCAGACAACCCAATTAAACCTGTACCCCTTGACTCCCTTTCCAACGAGAAAACAACAGTAAACTCCATAACCCAGACCCGTCAAAGAATAGTGACAGTCGCCAGGATATCCAACAATTATGATTAAGCCAAAATTGGTCTGGCCATGGGTCCAAGCCAGACGCAATGATACATCCAAGCTATTAAAGAGCAAATGCGCGGCCCTGTAAAGGACGTCGCTAGAGGAGAAAACGCAACAGGAGACGCATGACGAACCAAAGAATATTTAGTTGCTTGTTCGATTGGCATCCGTTGACTGCTCACCATCATCCTGAACAATTTTCCACCTCCTGACTGGCCCTTGCATGTCGGCCCACAGGTCAGTAGGCAAAAACTCGCCCACTTCCTGTCGGAAAGTCTCTCGCTCGGCACGATCAGCTTCGAGCATCTTGTCGACAGTTTCTTGCGCCTTGCGCAAAGTAGCCTGCACTTTATCTTCGACAGTCTGGCGACGCGCGACCTCGATGAGCAAGCCGTGGTAGGCACTCGCGTAGCCTTCGTAGAATGCTCGCATTTCAGTCATCTCCTCGATCTTGGCAAATATTACTTCCTTTTCCATCGCCCATCGGCTCAAGAAGTCGTCTTCGGCGGCCTGGTAGCTTGCCAGGCGATGGCTGACTTCGCTTAGCTGGGTGAAAGCATCGAGTATGCCCGAGTTGGCCGCTCTGGTCCGCTCCGCCACGTCTTGCAGAACGGAGTACTTGAGCTCAATCTGGGCAAGATGTTCTTGGATGTCGCCCACAACGTCTTCCACCATGTCGGCATCCTGGACGACCACGCGGAGCATCTCCGCTCGATCCTGTGCTGTCTGGGGTTCGAGGTCGGATTTGTTGGACTCTTGCTCGGCAATGACTCCCGATATTGAGACGCTTTCGCTGCCCTGGGTCTGAGTCGCCTCGGCGGCCATCCTGCGGGCTAACGCTGCGGCTCCCTCGGTCGTCCGGATAGCCGTTACGCACATGTCGAAATGCCGCGTCAGAGAGGCCAGATTCTCGGCCATGACGGTGGAGTGCTCAAACAGGTCCAGCATCATGTCCGACATGCCTTGATCAGGTGGCGCAGGGATGGGCGCGCTATCCATAATTTTCTTTGTGTTTCGGATGTCGGTTTCGAGTCGAAGCAGGTCGCCGTCAAACGACACCTGGATGGCCTGCGGCATCAACCAGACACGTCAGTATCAGGTACAATAGCCCTCGGAATTGAATACTACCTACCTGCAGCTCCGCTATGCACGCCCTCATGGATTCCTGTATTGCGCCAACGCTCGTCTCATCGACAAAGTCCATGAGATTCTTACTCTCCTCCCCGGGGGGCCGGAGCGCCGGATCGACGGGCGTTTCCCTCAGCATGTCCATGGTGCCCTTGAGCTGCGCGTCGACGTCGTCCATGTGCTTCAGCAGCTGGAAAAAGTCCTTCTTCCCCCACTCGTTGGTGGCCTGCAGGCTCGCTGCGAGACGCGACAGAAGCTGCGCTTGGTCGGTGATGGCGGCGCGCAGGAACTTGGTCTGGGCCATCAGCACAACCGTCTCTTCGTGCTGATTCCGCGCCGCCCGGATAATTTCTTCGGCTCTGAGCACGAGAGTGATGGACGACAGCGACCGCTTTGATCGGAGCAGATGGCTGACGAGCGTGTCGATGGAGATGGTCGGATTGTCGCCTGAGGGCCTGGGCAAGCCGGTGGACGACGAGCCCAGGCTGCGCCGAGTTGAAGGCGCAGGGGAAGCCATGTTGAATGAAGTGAGATTGCTGTGAATAGGAGTCGGTCGAGTGTCGGGATGGAATGCTCAATCCGCTACATGGCTCACATGGTGAGCGGACGAGGAAGAGACGTTGGCTGTTAATGTTGGATGTTGGATGGTCTGCCTGAAGCTGGGAGACTCAACCGGCGGAACAGGAGCTCGAGATTCGGGGCGGCCCGATAAGGCCGATAAGAGCAGGGCAGCTGGCGTCATTCCATTCAACCTTCTGGGCGGTCTGTTAGCGGTCTGTCAGCTGGTCGTTAGTGCTGCAACCTCCCCGGGATCAACCCCACAGAGAGTGCCGAGCCTAAGGTACAGGATACCCGCTGCTGCACCGCGGATGGCAGCTCTTGGCGGGCATCGGTACCTGACACGTCGGGTACCTTACCTCTCATCGCCCGAGAGCAACTGGGCTGTACGCACTGTAATGGGGTGCGAAAAGCTGAGGTGGTTAAAAAATGGACTCAACAATGGCATCACGGCGGCACAGTCTTCCTCTCCGTCACATGCTAAAAGCCACAGAATTCGTGTGGCAGTACGAGCTTTGTATGCCTTTGGGTGATGCAGAGGCTGGCTGTCACGAGGGAAAACATGCGTAACCCGAGAAGTGCCAATCAGAGTCGGCTACCTAACTCGTACCCGAATTGGAGGTGTTTGCCTCGGAACTACAGTTGATCAGAAAGTGGGAAGCAAAGAGAACATGAAAGAAGCCGCAAACTGACCTCAACCTCGTTGTCCATCGATCAAGCTCAGGCCGTATACTTCGGAGCTGAGAGCAGAACCTGGAGAACTTCCAGTTCGCGAGGGCTGCATCGTAGTATATCCCCATATACACATCTCAACGATAGCTTGGTGGCTGCAGAGGTAGACGTATTCCACGAGCACTGCTTAATGTCCATCCATCTTGGGCCATAGCCGGAGAATGGTGGGATGGCGAGTCCATTGATGTCTTGAATGAATGACCTGATTTGGAGTCAAAGAGAAAAGGGTAAAGCATTAATAATGCCGTGACACTTCCATCACAGCATCATAGAAGGAGGCTTACCGGCATATGTCTCGCGCAGACTCAGGCTCCTCCGATGCAGCGCATATAGCTTCCACCTCACAATAGAGGCGCGCTAACTCGCGACATCTCTGAGAGGATAGACCATCAGGATTAGCCTCCTGGATATAGCTAAGAATGTCCAGCAAGAAGCCGAGATCGTCATTCATGGACACACCGAGGTCTCAATACAGAAACGCCCATCTCCTTGACAAGTCTTCTGTGGATGGCGGCGGAGTGCCAAAGTCTAGAAAGGGAAAGGGCTCATGAGGCTTCATGAACCCCAAGCGTCGCCTCTGTAGATGCTGAAACGGCATGTACGTCTCCCATAACGGCCTCAGATCTCCGGTCCTGCAGGGCACCGAAATGTTCCTAACCTTGCTTAGCAGATCGGGTTTGCCAGTGACAATCTGGTGCTGGGTTTTCCAGACATGCGCCAAAAGTTTCAGCACAATGTCAGGTTTTCGCCGCGATACTTGAGCAAATTCGTCAGAAAGATTGTCTCCTGTTTGGTTGGCGAGCCGTATGTGCTCGCGTATTCCCAAAGAGTCGCGCAACCACTGCTTCCATGTCGGGTACCTGTAGGTGGCTAGCCCAAAATGAGTACCGATAGAGACAGAGGGAGGATGTTCCAGCAGTGAAGGGTTCAATAAAGATATATTGCAGGATAAAACTCCAGAATTCGTAGCCTCCGTGTGGCTCAGGAGCTGCTCGGGGCTAAAGGGCGTTCGGCATGGTAGATAGACGACGTCTTCACGCGGCCTTTTGAGTTGTAGCTTTTGGTCGAGGATATAAATGTCGCGCAGCTCGTCATTCGAATGGCGGTGGTTATGAGTGAGATATAGCAAATGTAGATGCTCTTTGCAAGCGGTGGGCGTGAGTTCACCTAGAGTAGCATGTTGTTGTAATATGAGCGATCGGACCTCATGGATAGGAGCTTGGTGTACACCGAGCATCTTCAATATCTGCCCATGACTTTCATGTTTCAGTATCGCTTCATGGACAACTCTGATCTCCGAGTCCGCTGGGATAGGAGCGCCAGCTGAAGTTGGCCAAAAATGGGGCCCAGCTGCCAGCGAGGTTAACGAACCGTTCCGTAAGGGGATAATGTCCAGCTGTCTCGCGACTTCCAGGTTTGATTCGGTTTTTGACACAAGGTCCGATATTCCTCTGGCACTCTCTATAGAGGTTCTGGCGTCTTCGTCGGCCATTTTGTGCTTGGCTTAATAGCAGATGTGATGAACGTCGTAAAAGGGTGTGTTGTCATAGAGGAGAGCGGGATAAGTGACCAAAGTTCGCCCACAAGACATCAAAGACAACTTGAAGATGTGAGAGACACATTTCTGGCTGACGACGGAGATGAACCTCTAGCTACTGGGCTCTTTTATATGCATTATCTCCTCGCATCGCATCTTGAGAGCTGAGATGGTGTTTCTGACAATGACTCTGTATTTATAAGTCAGCTTCATGTTGTAAGCATACGGTCAACACCGGTAACAGATCGCCCGACGCTGGCCGCCAATCAGTGCCTTTCCAAGAATTCCTCGGCCGAAAGAATGGCCAGTCATTATGATGTGAGACGAGAATGCTTCGATTTTTACGACTGTTTTTGATGAATGATGTACATGTGATTTGGGGCATATCAACCCCAACCCTGACATGCAAGACAACCACGAACCCTCGAGCCAGCCAACCGGAAAAGCCTGCGTTTTGTGTGACAGCATATAGAACCCAGATCCTGCACAAAGCCTTCCGGCCTGGCTGATCGATCCTTCAAGAAAGTCTTATGACCATCCTTTAAGAAGCGTATATGCTTCGTCTGATGAACCGCTGAGCGGAACCCCTCCATTCCTTCTGAGCCTCATCAAGCGGAACTTGCCGAATTACTCTTTGCGGTAATCTACGTACCGCCTCTCTCAAAACAGTAGCAAATAGATAGCATAGAAATGATTGTTCCAATCTGGAAGATTGGCAAAGGGCCGGCCAAAGAGGGTGTCCCGCTGTCAGCATTCGGCTGCCTACCTACTTTCCTAGGTACATCCAAAGCGAACCATCACCCACGCGATACACCCAGGCGCTACCTACTACCCATAGAACAGTTCCGTAAAGGCGGAGGATCGTGCTCATTTACATGCACGTTTCATGCCGTCGTCCCAAAGCAGCGAAAGATGCGAGACAGGAATTGAGCAATGATCACTAGGGAGGCGTCTCAGGCGGACCAAGGTCATTATTAGCGGGCAACGGCAGGACTTTTGATGCGCTTCCATTCGTTTACGGGAACAGCATCAACATGCATATGTCATCTTCCAAAAGGGCAATTTACAACTCAAATGCTTCAGCCTTACGATGAAAGGCCTCCAAAAATAGCCGGCAGTAGCACTGCTACTTGGTTGCAATTCATCAATCTCGCCAGCCTGATTGGGGGCGCACAGGCTGCCCATTTCAGTATCCGCCGGTATTCGCGTACTTGCTCTTATTATGGCGACCATCGGTGGCATTATCAAGAGTCGAGCCCATTAACGAGTCCAAAAGTCAACGACGTCGGTTTTGAAGATGTTGTAGAAGTCGAGTCAACGATTGAGAAAGCTGGTCCAAGTTTCGCCAATGTCCTGTACCGTGGTTGACTGAGCTTGGCCTGATCTATGTACTCCATATAGAGTCCCAAAAGCCGATGCATCGCCGAACATCGCCGAACTAACCAATTGGCCGCGATTCAAGGCTGGACAAGGGCGCCTTTAATTTTGCTTTCCATTTCATTCCATCATCTCCTTTCTTCCATCGCATGGAGATAACACAGGAGCCGGCGCTGGGGTACAGAACGGCTTGTACAACGCTGCGAGCAAATACACCGATTGGAGAGCGTTGATTACACTGCAGAATGGGCAGCGAGGCACAGCTTACAAACAGTCTGCAAGCACTTACTTGGTACATACGGACCCATGCCGCTAACGAAAAGGCGCCGGATAAGTGCAAATAGAGTAATAGTCTGCCGACGGCTGAATGGATCTGGACGACGCATTCAGTATCTGCTGGCGAGATGCCGCATTCCATCGCCGATGAGCTGGAGGACATGTGAGGATTGAGCAGCTGAAGATTAGATAAGCCACAATGGAACTCATTCATACATCTGAGGGCCAACATTCAACTGTAGGGAGAGGAAAGTCATCAGACGGAGAGAAAAAAAAAGGCCCGTGATTCGCTGGCTGTGCTGGCCTGAGCCCTGAGCGCAGACCATCTGAGACACACAGGAGTATTACTATTCATGTCTTGGATGCTTGCGATGGATGGATGGATTCCTGGAAGTTGTCCATGAAAGCGACTCGTGAAAGTGACAAGCGGGCCGATGTTCCGCCCTGTCTGTGACTGGACCGCATGCCGATTTTTTCTGCGCCAGACCGACATCGGCTCGGTACCTGAAGTAGCTCAATCGTGCTGTGGGTATATCGGACAGGTTGCGCTGCGATTTTAGTAGGCGCACGTGCGTAACGGTACTCTGGAGAAGGCAAAGAGTACTTGTGGCCAAGTACCAGCGGATCCGGTGCGTCATCGCCCAGACGGGGACAAATTTTTTGATGCCGGGATTGATTGCGAGACAACGAAGAATGTGAGAATGCAGATGCACTCGGTGGGAGAGGGAATTGGAGGAGAATTAGAAGAAGGATGGAAATAAAGGACATATAATAGATTCTTTAGATAGTTATTAGATGGAATATTCAATGGAAGGAAGTGCTGAATGTCAAGGTTTTTCTCGTGGCACAAGACTGGCGTCTGGCATCAGACTTTGGTGACAACCTGCGCCAACCCCGGCATCTCCAGCTTTTCGAGGCCGTTTCTCGACCAATTGCGAGACAAACATCGATTGTTAGTCATTTCTGCGCGCATCTCAAGACGGAGAACGAAGAACGGAGTGCAGAGCAGTTCAAATCCAGCGTCTTTCTGTCCAATGAGTCATTGCTCTGGGCGAAACTAATTGACTTTAAAAGTCGCCAATCTACCCCACATCTGCCATCGCCGACATAAAAATTCTCTGGCGCCGTCGCCGTTCTCCATTCTTTTCCTCTCCAAGTCCCGGATTCAGATTTCCAGATCGAAGAAGCACTCTTTGTATTCTTCATCACACACACACACACACAAACACCATCGCCATGTGTTCCCACGACGCGCCCGCAGTCGAGATTCCTGCCGTCAACGGCACGCCCAATGGCACCACCAACGGCGTCACCAACGGCCGGCGCCAGCCCAAGCTGCCGTACCAGCAGCACCACAGCGACGAGCGATCAAACACCGGCCGCTTCCAGATCATCGAGAGCACCCTGCGAGAGGGCGAGCAGTTTGCCAACGCCTTTTACGACACAGGTATGGCCTCAACTCTCCATTTCTGCACACAACTGAGACACAATGACTGACTGACGGCTACTACAGAGACCAAGATCAAGATGTGAGCCGAATCACCGCCGTCTCCTGCCACCAGATCCCTTGAACAATACTCATACTATCGCAGCGCAACCGCCCTCTCCGACTTCGGTGTCGATTACATCGAGTTGACCTCCCCCGTTGCTTCTCCCCAGTCTCGCGCCGACTGCGAGGCCATCTGCAAGCTCGGCCTCAAGGCCAAGATCCTGACCCGTTCGTCCCTCCTCCTATCCCGTTACGACGACCGCTGCTAACGATGTTCTCCCCTTAGACGTGCGATGCACGGTAAGAAATACGAGCCGAACGCAAAACTTCCCCTACGACGAAAACTAACTCTGGACTGCGCAGATGGAGGATGCCAGGGTTGCTGTCGCAACCGGTGTTGACGGTGTCGACGTCGTCATTGGCACATCACAGATCCTTCGCGATCACTCCCACCACAAGTCCATGGCTGAAATCACCGAGACCGCCATCGAGGTCGTCAAGTGGATTAAGAGGTATGCGTCCGGTCATTGCGGGTGAAGCAATGCGCTCAGAGCATTGGCCGCATCCCTCATCGAACATACGAAGCTTACCCCTTTCACAGCCAGGGCGTTGAAGTCCGATTCTCCTCCGAAGACTCCTTCCGATCCAACATTGTCGACCTGCTCAGCCTGTACCAAGCCGTCGACGTAAGTTCAACTTCGCTCGAGACATACAACACTTCCCGGTGGCCGTTCTAACCCCATGTATAGAAGGCAGGATGCGACCGAGTCGGTGTTGCGGACACAGTTGGCGTTGCCACCCCTCGCCAGGTTTTCAAGCTGGTCCGGATGCTGAGAGACGTTGTCAGCTGCGACATTGAGTGAGTACCAACAGAGACTACCGTCAAGGGGCCGAGACTAACGTCATGTAGGACACACTTCCACAACGACACCATGTGGTGAGTACGATCCGAGACTGCTAAACAAAGCTTGCGAGTTAACAATCCATCAGCGCCGTCGCCAACGCACACGCCGCCCTGGAGGCCGGTGCCACACGTAAGTGCCAATCACCTCTCTAAGGCTGTATCCTGATCCCGGTCCTCTAACAACCCTTACAGATGTCGACACCTCAGTTCTCGGTATCGGCGAGCGAAATGGTATCACCGTATGTATTGCGAGCCCCGAAGACGAAGACTCTTGACTAACAGTCCTCAGCCCCTGGGTGGTCTCCTGGCCCGCATGATCGTCGAGAGCCCCGACTACGTCAAGTCCAAGTACAAGCTGCACAAGCTCAAGGAGATTGAGGATCTTGTTGCAGACGTCGTCCAGGTCAACGTTCCTTTCAACAACCCCATTACCGGCTACTCCGCCTTCTCCCACAAGGCCGGCATCCACAGCAAGGCTATTCTTGCCAAGCCCGAGACATACGAGATTCTCAACCCCAGCGACTGGGGTGTCAAGAGATGTAAGTACCTTCCTGCTGCCTGTGTCTATCAGCATAAGAGACTGACAAGTTATAGGGATCCACTTCTCTTCAAGATTGACTGGTTGGAATGCCATTAAGAGCAGAGCCGGCCAGTTGGGTCTGATTATCACCGACGAGCAGGCTAAGCAACTGTACGTTTTCTAAGTAGCCGCCCCTGTTGACGCACAACTAACTCGCCCACAGTACACAGAAGATCAAGGCGATGGCTGACGTCCGTCCCCTTGCTATCGACGACACGGATTCTATTATCCGTTCGTTCTGCCTTGAGCATCAACCCGAAGACCAACCCGATCAGTAGATGTTGTGTTTCGGAAGAAAGAAATGAAGCGTTAGAGAAAAGGGATGAAAAAGGAGCGAGAGAATTCAGGGGCTATATAATACCGCCCTTGGGGATCAGTCATTGGACAATAGAGTTCACGGTAGATGTCGCCGTAAAACAAAAGACACTCATGGTTCTATACAAGATGAATCCTGTACAAGTCGCCGTGCCAAGTTGTGTCAATTGGCATTTGATCCTAAACATCCTAGATGGCGTCACTTCGTATCTCTACTCTCTCTTGTATGAGCTTCTTTTTGAAAGACAACCATGCAAACGACCACAGCAGTTCCTGTTTACGCAGAACGGTTCACATTCAGGTGACCCAACTCATCACAGCTATTCCTCCCGTATTTAGGAAGGGTGAAGGAAGTTATTCCTCCCGTATATAGGAAGGTTGAAGGAAGTTGTTGGGGGGGACTGTATTGTGTCTTGGAATTTGCGAGTTTATTTAGTGGCTTTGTTGCCAAATGTCGGGATTACGGTATCGTAACAAGCTTTTTTCTGGTGTTAGGGGCATATAGAAGTGTAAACAAAAACTGTGTGCCATATTTGATGATAGTTGTTCAGATCCCTCATCCGATAGTGGAAAGGGAACATACAGGTTTAGTCTAGGGGAGGTTTTGACCGTGTACATCTAAGTAAACTTTCACGAAAAGACGCCGTCAAAGTTTTGGATAGGTGATGTTGCCCAGTGAGCGCTTCAGCCTTTTGACTCTTTATGATAAAAACTCTCCGTGCAAGTTCCTTGCTATTCTCAACGAGGTTACTGGAAGTCAAAGCCTCGTGGCACTTTTTCCTGATGCAGGAATTACTAGACAGGTTGCCACCATCGTCCTCTGGGGCTTACAATAGCTGAGTCTGGATCTTTATCATGAGGGGGGTTGTGACAGTGTCAAGGTCAGAAGCGAACAGGTTCGATCAGGACGCTGACTGTTGGTATCTCTAGACAATGTCCTGAGGATTATGAGACAATACCTTGAGGAAGACATACTGCTGGTTTGAGTGTAAGACTGAGAATATTCTAATGTTCCCAACCTTGGCAAAGAGCATGTGCTCTGTAAAGACTTCCATGTTGTACACAAACCTTCTGGCATCGTCGTGGCGCCTCCTAGTCCTCCTACTGCCTGTTTAAACAACATTCACCATGGCACAAGCTTTGAGGCGTATCCTTTTCGAACATCGTGGCGTTTGTCTTTTACGTTTGTCTCTTCCCGTCAAGCTGCCGTTGAGAGTATATAAGCAAATCGATGCCCCTGTCTGTTGTCCGTGTTGTTCAGCTCACTCTTCCGTACCATCACCATACATACCAAGCGCTTTCAAAGCTCTTCAAGCGACCACTCTCGCGTACACAAAGGCCTACAAGGCTCACTCACATATACACAAAAGATCTCTTACCTACACAAGAGACCTTTGACATACACAAAGATCTCTCTCGTTCAAAACGAACACAAAGAGCCATTCTGATGGTTTCCTCCAAGACCATCCTGGGCCTGATCGTCGGCACATCCAGCCGCGCCAAATGGAACAACCACTCGGCAGTCCTTCAGCTCCCGCCAGAGATCATCCTGTGCATCGCCGATCACCTAGCCCTGAACGACCTCTTCACTCTCTCCCAGGTCTGTCGCGCCTTTCGGCATCTCACACATCGAGACTGGAAGAGGGAACTTTTCAAGCTCCGTCCTCGCGACCAGTACCGCTTCTGGGTTGGGCTGTCTCTTATACGGCCGCAGTTTTGGGCATGCGGAAGGTGCTGCAGGATGCATCGTATTTGTGATTCCGGCAGGCCCATCTCCTGGGCCCCTTCGGTCCGGGGATGGAGGCGGCTCCCTTGCGGTGCTCATTATAGGGAGCGACAACAGGGCTCTCAAACAGCGACTCGCCGATGTCGCTCGATAAGAGGGATCCTGGGCATGATCTATCTTCGCCTCGCGGGCAGTCCTACGCCCACATTCCAGTCTGCCTACTCTTGATTCGATTGTCGACCGCCGCTTCTCGCCAAGTGAAAGAAAAGCTTGACTCCTGCGGCGGCTAGGGGGCGAGATAGGAGATAGGAGGCAGCGGATTCTCGAGGCTGTCCACCTTGAGGATGCAACTGAGTCAGGCCCGGAGACCCCAGACAAGGAGGTCTATCCTTACTTTCAAACCTACTAAACAGAAGGATCAAGCATTGGTCTCTGTAGGGAGGCTAACCTAGAACAAAGCAGCCTGGCACGACATCCGGCACCAAGGAGCACCCATGAATATTAGTGGGAGATCACACACGAAAGCGCATATGAGGAGGACTGGGTGCATCGAGGGCCCCATTTTGATTTATCCCATGGCAGGATTGGAAGGCTGCAACTGGCGGAGGGTTACAATTCGATTGATAAAGCCAGGGAAAGACATCCTTGGACCAGAGAAGGACTTTCCGAGAAAACCCCTTACGATGTCATTTGCACGAAACCATTGGGCTGAGTCTCCAAAAGGAGGCTCTGATCTCCCGAAGCTATGGACCGGCCGTTGTTATCCACTTCATGCGGAAAGCTACCACGTCCCAAGCCTTGGACCGTGCATCTGCTGGATTCATGCGCGGCTCTCGCACGACTTGGTCTAGAGTGCATCGAAGTGCCGTCCTTAGACTCCAGGCAGCCCTTTCGCAAGGCCAAATGGCGGTGCAAATCATGGGGGTTGCGCTAATGACTGTTGTTTTCTCCTTATTGGTTGAGGAGCTGAAGTAGCGAGTATCTGACGGAAATTGGTATACTGGTTGATTTCATGGACACTTTAGTATAGTACTGTCAGAGCGTCTTTTCGAATAATACAAGCGTTGATTTGCATTGATTTTGACACTGCGATTTGACTTGAGTGAACTACGTAGCCAGTCAGCAACATGAGAGAGTTTTGATTGATTTTGATCCTTCGTGAGACGGAATGTGGGAGACCCCTGTCAGAGTCTGTAAACGGCAAGTTGCACAAACTGCAAAGGGTAAGGGTGGCGATGCTTTCATTGGCAGGGATGTTGTCGACAGGGTTGCAATGAGAGATCGAAACAATCAATCTCCAATGCAACACCAGGAAGGCAAAGAGAGTGCTTACGACGTTCGAAACGAAACATGCAGTTTCTTGCCATGACAGACCGTTTCTTATCAATCAGTTGAGACAGGTTGTCAACTCATCAATGGGCGGCACTAATGTCTTAACCTTAAATCCAAATGCCGGTATCTTCAGTGGCGCCTTACTTCGTCTGGACTCTTTCTTCGAGCGTATCTCCGTAGTTTTGCTCTAGTCATTCTTGGCAACTGTGTCCAGCGCCCAGGACTTGTCAGCGACAAGGCAGTTGGTTGTCTTTGAAGACAAAGCGACAACTGTTTTCGCTCTAACACAAGCCTCTCTTACTAAGGAGTGCAAATGGCGGTAAAACGGTATGTTGATAGCTTGTTGCGGAGTAGAACTAGCAGTTTAAGATCCAATGCCACGTCACCGCGGCCTCACGGTTTTGAAATTAGAGAAACGAGACTTTGGCAATCATTCAAGCTATTTCGCGGTATCGTAGTAATTAACGAGGCAACTCGCTTGCTTCGCTTGTTCTAAGGTATTCTAAAGATTCATCATGATCCTCAAGGCATCAAATCATTTCCACATCATTGGGCAGCAGGGGCGGCAGCGGCAGCCACCTCCAAAAGACGCCTCAGGACGTCATCATCGCTGGCGTTGCCCTGTCCCAGGACGGTCTCGTACGCAGGGTACAGCACCGTCTTCTCAATCTCCTTGTACTTGCCATCCGCGACGTAGACAACGTTTCCTTGCCTGGAGGCGTCGACCATGAGGTAGGCGGCAGCGCGAGCAACCACGAGAGCGGGCTGGGGGACGTGCTGGATGCCCTTCATGAGGTCCTCGAAGCCGGGCAGGACGTTGCTGCTCGTCCATGAGGGCGTCAGGGTGTTGATGCGGATGGGAAGCCCCGCGATTTCTGCAAGTCGCGCAAGACCCCTGCCGAACCCCAGGACGCCGTGCTTGGCCGTAGCTGCATGAACACCCGTCAGCAATGGAGGAAAAACGCGTGGCCGGTAGCGAAAACAAAAAAACACAGTGCTCAAACTTACAGTAATCGACGGCGCGCAGGGGCTGCAGTCCCGTGCTGGAGCCCATGAGGACGATGCTGCCGCCCTCGGGCTGCTCCTTCATGTAGTGAAGGGCCAGGCAGGCGGTGTTGATGAGGCCCCTCAGACCAATGTCGAGCAGCTCGTGCGACGGCTCCTTGAGCTCCCCCTGGTCGTCCGTCTCCAGGGCCAGGTAGTTGGCGCGGGGGCCGATGCCCGCGTTGGCAAAGACGCTGTCGATGCGGCCGTGGTGCTCCTTGGCCTTCTTGAAGAGCGCGCGCAGGTCCTCCCACTTGGACACGTCGGTTCGCACAAACAGCAGGCCGGGCGCCTCGGCCGGCGGCGGGTTGACGTCGCCGCTGACCACCGACGCTCCCAGCGACAGCAGCAGGTCGACAGTAGCGAGGCCGATACCCGACGAGCCGCCTGTGTGGTAGAGCCGGGTTTCCTTTCGTCAGCCTTCAAGTTCGAAACAAATCAAATGATTTCATACAGTGTGCTACAACAGAGTTGCAACGAGATCGCCCCCCGCAAAAAAACAAGGAAGAGGGAAAAAGAGCTCAAACTGTGTCGTACCTGTGAGGACGACAACCTTGCCCTTGAGGGCACTAAGATCCTCGTCCTTGATGAGAATTTCGGCCATGGTGTTGGAGATTAGTATGTACTGTGGTAGTAGTAGAAGGATTTAAACGAGGTAGAGAAGCTCTGGAAATGGTTTGGTGGGATGCAGGATGCAGGGAGGAGACGGCAGAGAGGCGGCTAGAAGTATCGAGATGAAGTGATATCGCACGAGTAATAAATCAGGACAAAGGGGGCTTCGCAGGAATGGGGATCTCGGGAGAGGGAAAAGAGGCGCCTCGTCCGGTGCTTGGTAGCCGACACACGGAGGAAAAGGCGCTTTATAGCCCCTTTACCTGGGGCATCTAGTGAAACGAGCCTAGCCCATCCGCTGCCCCATACGAGCGCCGTTGCAGGACTGGCTCTCGGGCAGCCTAAGCCCACATATCGTCTATATTAAAGGTCGGTCTGGCATCATGCACCATGGACCGAGGCCCCCAAAGCTGCTATAGCACGAGTCCCTACAGTGGCGGCCGGGTATGTGGGCAGTGTATCCTTGCTCTGCCTGGGATTCCTCACGGGGGACTTGGCCCGGTTGAGCGGTCCGCGAGTTTTGCCTGCGAACGACTCGACTCGACTCGCACGCGAGTAATGAGACGAACACCAAGCATGGGTCCCGCCAGGGAAGAAATGATGAGCCCGTCTCTCTATTCACACTACGGTCTCATGGCTGCCGATCTTTTTAGTCTAGAATATGTAAAAAGAATACTATAATTATTTAGTCTGTGGTCTGATTTCTCTTGCGAGTGAAAATATGATATACGACTTAGTCTGATTCGTTTACAACTCACTTTGTCAAATATTTAGTTCTGGGGCCGTCACGAAACTTGCTGACTCTTCCTCGTTCTCTTCTGCAACTCGTTCTTTTTTTTCTTCCCCCCCATCTCACGAGTTACTCTCCGTTCCCAACAAGCGCTTACAAGCCAGCCTGCCCATCATGGTCAAGCCGGCAGGGGACGGCGTTTCGCTCCTCTATGCCTCGTCAGTGCTCATCGGTCTATCTTGGGTTACATTCGCAGCCCGGATCTCCGTGCGGGTTTGGCGTAAGTCCGCTGGATGGGACGACGTTCTGATGTTGATAGGCATTGTACGTCACGAAAATAGGCAATATGCTTACCCATATGCCTTTCCTTTTCTCCTCCAGTTCCTCCACCTCAAAATGCACGGACGCCTCTCTAACTTCTGCAGCTTCTGTTTACGGTGACGGCCTGCTTATGCATAGTCTGTTGCTACCTTGGATCGGGGCAGCTGGCTGCAGCCCTGCAGCCCGCTGAGATTATGAAAGGAACCAAGGTGCGTTGTTCCAACTGCGATTCGACCTCGACGCGATATGACATGCTGACGATCGCCAAAACAGCTCTTCTTCATCGCCGAATACTTCTACTCCTCCGGCACCGTCTTCATCAAATCCAGCATCGCCGTCACCCTTCTGCGAATCGCCGACGCTCGCCGCCGTTACAAATGGACGATCTGGGCCGTCATCATCTCCACCATCATCTCCTGCATCGTCTTCATTTCCGGCATTTCCAACATCTGCCATCCCATCACCACCCTGTGGGGTGAGACGACGTACGGCACATGCAACCTGCAGCTCAACAGCGATGTCAGCTTCTTCTTCTCCGCCATTGAGATCTTGACCGACTGGACCTTGGCCGTCCTGCCTGCGGCCTTGTTGTGGGGTGTTCAGATGAAGAGCAAGGTCAAGTTCTCGGTGGCCTTGATTCTCTCAATGGGTGCTTTGTACGTTCCATTCAACGATGCCTCCTTTCTGTTCCTCTTTGCGCCCCCTACTGTATTACCGAGGTAGAAAACCCACTAACTCTTAAATCAGTGCGAGTTGCGCAACCATCGTACGACTCCGCTTCCTGACTCTCTACGATAACCCCACCGAGTTCATGTTCGGAACCGGCAGGATCGGCCTCTGGTCCATCATCGAGGAGGGCATCGGCATCATCGCCGGCTCTCTGCACGCCCTCCGCCCCCTGCTCTCCCTGCCCTTTTTCGGCGGCGGCAGCTCCGGCGGCAACACCGACGGCTCGGCCGGGCACAACAAGTACATGCCCAGGAGCGGACACCGGCCCGCGCAGCACACGGACATTGGGCTCGACACTTTCCACCAGCTCGGCGACGGGGAGGCGGACGGCGACGGCGACAGCTCCAAGCACATCCTGAGGGAGACCAAGGTCACGATGGTCAGGACCGAGCGGACTGCTTCGCCGGGGGAGTACGGCCGGTCTCAGGTTCTGGGGTGGAAGCAGAACAACTACGAGGCTTGAAAAATTGGAAACTGATACCCTTTTTTTTTTTTTTTTTTTTTTTTTTGTCCGGATGGCGCATTAGTCGACAGAAGCGACGGGCAGGATCCCGTATCTGCCGTAGCCTGGAAATGTTTATATCTTTTTAATATAGATTCAGCTCTCCGCTTCATGAAGGAAAACAAGCGTGATCCAGATGTCCGGTGGTCATGAGATGGAGTATTTGATAGAAAAAAGTCCTCTTTTATGAGAAAAATCTTGACTTTAGCAACGGCTTGCCTTGACCGAATGAGTACAAAAAGTGTCCTCTCGCCACATATCCGTCTAAACGATTTCTCTGCCTTAACCTGGATGAAGTCGTACTCTTCACTCAGCAGAAGCAGAGTGCAACTGACAATGATGCCCGTTGGGACTCTTAGAGTAGCTGCATGTGCCGCATAATCTACCTATCTAACAGCCTTATTCTACTGAAGACCTATATATCACTGCCCATGGCCATCCGTGAACGTGAAGATCATCCCAAGATAATGCACACACAAGCTCTCGTCAAGTACGCGGCGATCTTATGTGTGATTAGTATTGTTAGATGGCTATCATCAGGAACATAACACATCTCTCAAAGATCATCGCTCAAAGCCTTCAGAACATCTCTCGCCTCGTTCCTCACACTCTCGACAATTTCCCCAGCACCTTGCACGCTCTTCACAAGCCCTACGCCCGCGCCCACATACGTTGCCAGTCTCCCCTCCGGACCCCAGCCGGCATCGCCACTCTTGGCCGCCTCGTCATGCAGCACCTGCAGCTTCTCAAACGAAACTCCGGCCTCGTGATCGATCCAGCTGCGGTTGGTCAGAGTTCGAGGTGAGAACTGCTCGGGCCAGCCAAACGTGCCGCGCAGATGGTTGTACAGCTGCGTCCGCAGGGTGTTTCTCGCGCCGTCAGACGCCCGAACCACTTCGTCCTGGTACCCCTTTGCGATGCGTGCCTCTGACGAAGCGAGGAACCGAGTCCCCATGGCCACACCGGCGGCACCCAGGGCCAATGCGGCGGCTGCTCCTCGACCGTCGATGATTCCCCCTGCTGCGACGACGGGGATTCCGGACTCCTTTATTGCGTCGGCCACTTCCGGGAAGAGCACAATGGTCCCAGTGGTGTCCTTTACCATGCCGTGACCGCCTGCTTCCGAGCCTTGAACGACCAAAACATCCGGAGGCGTGGAGCTGTTGACAGCGGCAATCGCATCACGCAGTGTGCCGACTTGAATCCAGACTTGCGTATCCCGAGACGCCCCTCGAAGAGAAACCGTCCACTCATCCAGCTCCGGCTGGCCGTTTCTCGGAGCAAACAGCCATACGGCACACGGCCTGTGCTTTTCTACATCAGACGTTGCAATCTTCAGATCGCCGTTCCACACCTGGTAGCCAACGCCAATGGGCAACAGGGGATGGTGGCGCAAACTAGTCGAGGCAGCGACCAACTCCCTCGCCTTGTCGAGGTCCGCCGACAGTCCGTCCGGCTTCGCCTGGGGCCCAATAAATCCCAAACCGCCGGCCGCAGAGACGGCGACGGCGAGCTGTGGGCCGGCCATTATGCGCATCGGGGCGCCGATGATGAAGGGCTTTTTGACCCATGGGTAAGGGCGCGCAAGAAGGCGTCTCAGCTCCGCCGCTCTTTGAGAGGCCATTGTTGATTCAACTTGAGAGAACAGGACCGAGTTGAAGCAAGGAATAGTTGTTGATTCTCTGGTTAGTCTTCAGACTAAAGCATGCATTAGGGAATCTGTCCAACACTTGGGTACGTCAGTTCCCGCAAAACCAACACTCGGAAATGAGTTCTCCGCCTTTCTGAACGGTAGTACAGAGACTTTCGTGAGCTACCGTCATCTCCCACAACTACAGGAAACTTCCGCACTGCAGACATTTCGTGGAGCCGTTGAGCAGAGGCCTTCTGAGCGCTGCTTTGTAAGGACACTGCAGAAAAGCCACAAGACATTAAGCAAGCAGGGAACGGCATGGAAAACTCACAGGCGGAATGGTTTGCTGCTTTGAGACTTTTACAGCTGAAGGGAGCAAGGAAGAGGGGCGCCATCAGCCTTATGAAACCCATTCCCGGCAACTGAGACCGAGGTTACAACACTCGTGATTTTCTCTGATCATCCTTTCAGGCAAAGCTGGCCGCACAGTTGATTTCAAATTCCGCGGAGATGCTCTCACGGTGCAGCTTTTGCGAAGGAGCAAGATGTTGTCATTGGTGGGGAGGGCTGTCGAGCTGAATAATGGCACTTCTGTGGCGCACGCTGCTTCTCTGTGGCTGCGTGGTAGAGACTGCTATTGGAGATTCGATGAGATCAAGACGAAGAACTGGATGAGATGGAAGCTGGAATAAATAGAAGCAGTGCGTCGCCTGTCTGGAGAAGGGGTTCAATTCTGTAGGCTACAAAGGCATCATAGAGACAATACAACAACTTGCAATAACTCGGTTGCCTATACAGCAACACTCACCCTCAAGACTTAAACAAAACAGCCTCAACTTACCGTTACTTGACAGCCAACTTGTCAAATTAAACATGTCTCCTAGATCTGATAACGCCGTCGTCATCATCGGCTCAGGCCCCGGCATTGGCACAAACACGGCAGCCGTCTTCGCAGCCAACAAGTTCAACAAAGTCGCCCTCGTCGCCCGGAATCCCACCCAACTGGACAAGGACGCAGAATCCGTCAAAAGCGCTGCCAACGACAACATCACCGTAAAGACATACTCAACCGACGTAGTCGACCCAGGCCGATTCACTTCAACCCTCAAGCAAATCAGCCAAGACCTCGGCACCATCGAAGTCGTCCTCTACAACGCCGCCATCGTCTCCAAGTCGCACCACCTGCAAGTCACCGACGACGAGCTCATCCGCGACTTCAAGCTTTCCACCATTGCGCTCAACAATCTCTCCAAATGGGCCATGCCACAGCTCGTCGCCCTGGCGGAGAAGGATGCATCGGCGCAGCCTACACTTATCGTGACGAGCTCGCACTTGCCAGAGGCGCCCGAGACGGATCTCGTGTCGCTGTCCGTGTCGAAGGCTGCGCAGAAGAACTTTGCGAGGTCGCTGAGGATGGAGTTTGAGCCCAAGGGGGTGCATGTTGCGCTGTTGAGCGTGGCGGGATATGTGTTTGATCATTTGCAGTTTTTGAATGCGAAGTATATTGCGAGGCAGGCTTGGGAGCTGTATGCGCAGCCGAGGGGGAGCTGGACTGAGGAAGTTCGGATTGAGGAGCCATGAACGGATGAATGGTGTTGAGGGGTGGAAATAATAAAAGTCGGCATATATGGCAAGCTGCTCTTGGGTTTGACATAGGTAATCATATAATGAACACAAGCTTGTATTTGTTGTCTATGTGTCAACTGTCTCATCATTTTACCGATCCATGTCAATTCGGCTCATGATATGAAGCCCCGGATCAACCTAGGCGAGGCTGAATCTGGCAGGCGAGATTCAAGATCGATCTGCTAGCAGGGTCACCACCATCGCAAACGCGGGGTTGAGTGCATGGGACGGAGTTTACAGCTTCGATCTTGGCTTTCCTATCCTGGGTTTTCTTTCCGGTCCTGCGAATTACGAGACCTGAGTCCAGCTATCGATAAATGACACGAGTGATGGCTGCAACTTTAGACAAACTGCAGAGTTTGACCTGACTCTGATACGCACCAGTTTTGTCCTTCAGAAACGCACTCCGGGGCTTCAACAATCTCTAAGACTCCCGATACAACAAAAGTTCATACTGTCAACGCCATCGGTTGCACATCTCCGCCTGTCAAGTCCATACTCGCCGGGCGCAGCCGAATATAGACACGATTAGCCTCATGGCCTATCCCGTAGTGGCAGCGCCAGCACTAGAGCCAACAACAAACGGCAATGAGAGAGGAAAGACACGAGGCGCTTCTGCTCTCGATACTAGTTGCCGAAGCGTCCCAGCTGAGCAGCCTTGGCAAATCCACAAGGCGTGATCGACGCAGGACCGTGTGACCCACGCCGGCCTCAAGGTGCCTGAGCGTGGTATTGCTTAGTCTCAGCCCATGGTCATACGAAGCAAGATTGTTAGAGTTGGTTTTGCAACTGCTTCTTAACTCGTAAGTCAACTCCTGCCTTCTATCAAAGACTAAGATATCCACAATGAGACAAATATCAAACAAGATGTGTATAGTTCGGTCTCTGTCTACATAATGACACTACCAGTATAAGGTACAAGTTTAAAAAGCAAAACAAAACTCCATAGCCCGTTGGTATTCGGATATTGTTCCCTCCCATATAATGGCAAAATCATCAGCAGCATACAAAGAAAAGACAAAGAAAGACAAACGGACAGAAAAGAAGGTATCGTAATCTGACAGACGCTCAAGTAAATCATTAATCCTCGCATATCGAACACATCTCCGTCACAAGAAACCAAAATAAACATCCTCACCTCTGATTCAACTTAGGTAACCTCGGGAAGACCTTGGGGATTCGTCTGAGTTACCACGCCACCGAGCTGAGACACGCGATGCTGGGGATTCGGTCCCGGTTCTGCCTCCATATGCTTCGGCCTCGCTATGCCATCCTCATAATACATGTATTCAGGGGGCGCATCCTCCGGAAGCTCCATGACAACCGGCTCCACGATGGACGCCGACTGCTGGTGAGAATCGTGCTCAAAGCCCGGAGCTCGATCGCAGCACTCGTGATACGCAGGAGCCGCGGCACCGAAGCCGACGGTCGTCTCGAAGGCGCTCTGTCGGATCTGCTGCAGGGCTCGCCGCTCGTCTTCCAGTGCCCTTGCGGTCCTTCGGATTGATTCTCTTCGCGACTCGCTGACCTTTTTCATGGCCTCGACGTACTTCTTCTGGGCATCGAGTGCGTCGACAAGTGTGGCTCCGAGTCTTTCTATCAGCTCGGTGTTTTGCGACTTGCTGTGGTATCGTTCTTGCGCTGCCTCTCTGGCAGCGATGAAGAGCCCGTCGAGATTCTTCTTGGCTTGTGTCAAGTCCCGTCCGGGAGTTGCTTGGATGGCCTCGACGGCTTCGTCGCTGAGTTCGAGACCGCGGTTGATGTAAGCGACGCAGCGTTTTAGGATCGTATGGACGCTTCGCTGGGAGAAGATGTCTGAGTGATTCTCGAAGCTTGCGCGTTGCTTCTCAAACAGGGCTCGCTCGACGGCTACTTTGACTGCTTGAGCGGCTTTGACACCTCGGACGGCCGCCTTGAGTGCCTCGGTTCTCTCCTGAAGCGCCAGCTTGGCCAGCTTGTGCGCCTCCTCCTGCTCGTCCTCGTCTGCAAAGCCCGCCGTCGGACCATCGAATATTTTCGAGTAAAGCGCATCAATCGCCTTATGCGCGGCGCCGTGTCGTTCCACCAGCCCTTCCAGCTCCTTCATCTCAATCACCAGCGCCGCTTTATCGGCCTTGAGGTCGTTCAGCTTGGCCTCGGCCTTGTGCCGCTTCTCCAGCACCTCGTGATACGCCTTCTCCTCCCGCATAGCCTTTTCATCAAAGGCCATCTTCTTCTTCAGCACGGTGTAGACAAACTTCTTGGCCACCGAGTCCCTGTAGCTCTTGTGCTGCTTGAGCTGCTGGTTCGCCGCCGCAATGGCCTCCTGCACCTCGGGCTCGAGGTCCGCCAGCCGCTTCTCGACATGCTCAATCTTGACCTGGTTGTTGTTGAACAGGCCCGGCGCGTGGGCCGTGGCCTCGAGCTCGCCCAGGAGCTGCGTGTTCCGCGACGCCGCTTCCTCAATGGCCTGTCGCACTTTGCGCTCCGCTGCTGGGTCGGACGGTGGATGGTTGTGTTGGCGAGTCGGCATGTTGGTGATTGGTTGAGGGGGGAGAAAGTCTGCAGCTGCAGCTTTGCGGTCGATCATGGACGAGGCCATTGGATCCATGGCGGTGAAGTGACCCGGCCTTTTTACGCGTCTACTGTTGCTTTGCAGATGAGAATGATGATGATGATGATGACGAAGGAGATGATTAACGCGTTTGTTCGCGTTTTGGAAACATGTCGGGCAGCATCACGGGTTCCGGCGTCGTGGGACAGGGTCCTATTTACGCTATTATCAATTCCTTGGTAAGACGGGGGCATTGGAGTCGAACTGACCAGTTATTCCAGCCCTTTGAGAGATCATCTCCAGCTGCTCTCGTCATCTTACAGCGAGCCTGCAAAGATTTGTCATCTATGGATCATTTGGGAGGAATACAGCGTAGGGCCAAGCGAGGAGCCGTCAGCACTTAGACCAGGTGTGCCTTTGCATGCAGTTCGCATAGCCTTGATGCCAGCTGCGCCACAACTGGAATCAGTGGGAATCATAGCCGATATCTGTAAAAGGATCTCAGACTGGTGGTGCGATATCAGGCTCACTGCCACTCTGCCGCCAAGCCACAGTTCCAAATCTCTTCTTCCTCATACTAGTCCAATATCCCACTAACACACAACAACTAACAACTGAACCGTCTCAACTATCGGCATATCCCACCCCGTACCTGAACCAAGTTAGCTCTAATTTTGCTATGAGGCGCTCCAATAGCCTCAGCTGCAAGAGCTAAGCAACCAGTTTCTTCGCCCAACGACGTCAGTCAAGAATAACTACTGGCCGAATTAGGCTACCGGTCCATCAGCGCGGCGCATCTTCCGGCTTCCTTTTCCCCATACTGAGAAAGCTCACCATCCTAACATCCACTCCGGCTGCTACTACTCCGCGGGGGTTGATTCTTGATGAATAAGCCAAATGACGCTCCTTCAAGTCGGATTCAGGTGGGAGACCACGAAGGGCGCAAGACAAGTGCTTAACTGCTTGCTTTAGTAGACTTCTGACGGAAAGAGAATGCGAATGCTACCTTGGTCGCTCGTGGGAGTCATGTGGGACTTGCTATAAAGCCGCGCCTGTTCCATTCACGGCGATGGATTGTCATTCAGCATTCAAGAGCAACCTTCGAAGACTTACTTAAAGAACAGAACCAAGTCTCCAAATTTTGGTTCTGAATGAGGACAACTCGCATCGTTACGCCTGTAGTCTCAACAGCAGTCTCGAAACTACACAATGGCTGACAAGTCTATTCCCACCCTCCACTACCTCGACATTGGTCGATTGGGTCGCGGCGAAGTTGTCCGGTAGGTCTTACAACGCCATAAGCCGCTCGTCCACAACTTTGTTTCTTCATACAATTCCCAACTATGAAGTCCTATACTGACACAAATATTAGCCTATTCCTGAGGGATGCCGGCATTGAGTTCAACGATGTCCGACATGCTTACAACGACACATGGCCGGCGACGAGCGCGAAGCTCAAGGAACAGGGCATCACTCGAACTGGCAAAGTGCCTGCGCTCTTGATCAACGGCCTTGTGCTCAACCAAGTCAGTTCCCTATCCCATTGCTATCAGTGTGAGGCCACTATCTAACAAGAGTCGCTACAGCACATCCCGATTCTGAGGTATCTGGCTAGAGAAACCGGCCGCTATGACGGCGAGACAAACCATGAAAAGTTTCAAGTTGATGCCGTTGCCGATGTTTACAATGACTGGAGGGTAAGTCAATGCCGTACTCTTACGCATCTAGCCGTCGATCATCAGAAGACACTAACAGGTGAATCATAGATTCAATGGGTAGCAATGCTGAAAGGCGTCACAGACGAGTACAGAAACAAGATTGTGCCAGAATACTACAAGGTCATCTCAGAGTACTACTCTGCCAACAACGGCCCGTATCTCCTTGGAGGTAAGGTCACCTACGCCGACTTTGCTGTCTACCAATCCATCGACAATGACGAGCGAATCGGCGCTTTGCCTGTGAGTTTCTCTGGCATATAATCATTTTCTGTGATTGTATTCTTTACTGACTGGTTCGAAATAGGCTGAGCTTCCCGAAGCGGTGCAACGGTTCCGCGAGGCCTTTGAGGCGCGTCCGACCATTGCGGCTTATATCGAGGAGAACCGCCCGAAGAAGGCATGAATGAGTGAGGAGTCAAGACATTACTCTGTCGATGTGGTTCGAGCTCCAAATTAGGTCACATTTAGCATCAATTGAAAATCACCATGACAGATATTCTCAGCATCTGTAGGATGGCCTTAATCTTGTGAGGGTATTAGATAGGCACTAACAGCCAGATATGGTATCTTTCCAATATGCTCACTTTCGGTAAGTGTGAAAGCGAATGTTTTGTGAACACATCCAGTTAACTTCCCTTTCAAGAGATTCTCGATATTTGTGAGATTTTATGGGAGAGCTACTGATGATGGGTCAAGTAAGCTCCAAGAGTGAAGCTCCAAAGATCAACATCACGAAAATGTCATACAATATAGTGACGCCGCAAAACAAGCGTGGTATTATACCAACCTGGGTATCCCAATACCATCTCGACTCTTAGCAACAAGCCTAACCTGTAAGATCGGGTCAGGCGTTCTGAGCTGTCCCTCCCAGACATCACATGCATTTGTGATCACGACAAATGGTTGCCTCAATTCCGCTATGAAGAAAAGTCCATACGTTGTTTACTTTACAAGTCAATACGCTCTATCCATATATATGCTGTCAGAGGCGCGGAGTTCATCGTCAAGCCATCTTTAATACCGCATAGCCAGGTCGACAGTCAAAATGAAGCATGCAGTCGGACTTGACTGCAACGTTGCAAGGTCACTAGGAGATTTAAAAAGCTTCGGAAAAGAATCCGTGTCAACGAAAATGCAATTCAAGGGTGCAGCTATTCCATGTCGCAAAAACTTTCCACTTCAAGCTTCAAGGCAGACAACCCCCCTTGCTACATCGCGAGGAGCCTCAAGACGCGAGACATATATTTCCGCGGGATACGGATAATACAGTGCTTACTCAAATGCCGCGCTTTCCTACAACTCGCCTTCAAACCAAGGAGAAGATCATCGTTTCATCTGCCGGGCCTGGTTGACTGAGCGAGGGATGACCCGGCCGGCACTTCGAGGGCCTCGCCGTCGGAGCTGCTTCACCCGGCCAGGCGATCCATTGGTGGAGGATAATTACCGATGCATGAACGCCGTAATTAAGTACACATGTAACATTCTGACTAATAAGAAACCCTTCTTCGTTTGCTGACTTACAAGAAGGATGTGCAGAGAGATTCATGGTACGCACATGGCAAATGCAATATGCCAGATTGCCTCGCGAGCCCGCTTCATGCGCTGGGGGGAAAGGGACAAAACATGTGGCAGATCGGATGATATGCAGATGGGAAGAAAAGGCTTCCCGCATGCCCAGGTTTGCATGAAAAAGCTAAGCCTTAGGCACAGATTTAGTCTCATCACGACCCTCTCTGAAGCATGACGGAGGAGGAGTGAGATTTCACACGATTCTGTCACATACGAGTATATCGTGATGCCACGAGGTTATGGAGAGGCCGCTTTCATGCCGAAGATGCCCACTCCTCCGCATAGTGAAGGGATCCCGGGGAGTGCTTTTCCCCTTCTTCTCCGGCCCGCATCCCGGGATCAGGCCCCCCCACAATCCGAGTATGGCGGCTGGTGAGCTTTGCTTATTCCTACTCGTATGATTTTAGCGGTTTCATGCCGCTCATTCTTCCCTGGCAAATAACGTCTGATCGGGCTCTCAGTCAAGGAACTACCCGCTGCTAATAAAGTATCAAGCGAAGCAAAACGGCAATTGTCAATGCAAATCCTTCTAGAAGTCCTACAACACCAGGGCCGACATCCAGGTTTGATACCAACCCCAGCTGAAACAGCTTGAGCTGCCAGAAACGTCGAGACCAGTAAGGCCTTGGACGGAAAGACGACACATGGAAACAAAAAAGAAAGCAAAAAGACTCTTCTAGCCCCTTTGTCCCCCTTGGCTCTCTCCTCTATCACAGCGGTCAACAAGAGCTTGGACTACAGGGACGAGACGCTCGCTAGAAGACATGGCCCAACGTGTCCCCCCAGGGTCGCTGGCTGCACAGACTGGTCAAAGTATGCCGATCGCGGGCTCGCCGTGGGAATTCGCAACATTTCCCATTCTCTATCCCCAGTCTCTACCCAGACTCGTTGTATGGGTTGCTCGTAAACCTGCTCATTACTAGCGAAGCGCAGCACTGTGGAGATGGTAGGCACAGACGCCTCGCTACAAACTACCTTACCTACGTGAGGAAGAGGCAGGCAGAGTAGTAGTGCGTAGTAGTATTATACTCCATATTTGTCGAGGTCCAGCCCCTTTCTAGCTCTGGAGAGAATGTAACCAGAAGCGAAAGAACAGAGGTCTCCGCTCATATGATGGTGTTCCCTGCTGGCTATTTCGTACATGGACAGTACATAATCGCACATGAACAACCCATGTCTTCTGCAGGGGGCCACAGGGGTCGTCGATGGATTGCTTTTCCTTTCCAACCAGGCCCTGCCAAAAAAGGACCCCTGCCCACTATCCCGACCGGCTCTTCTTTTGCCATGGAAAGAAAGCCGTCTTTCGAGCCGCTGGAAACTAGCCGTTGGAACTACCCCTGTCAAGGCAAGAGGGAAAAACAAAGGCGGCAGAGACCACATCCACTTAGAAGCTCGCCACCCATGCAGATGGGCCAGAAGCAACAGGCAATCTGAGGTAGCATCGCACTACGGCATCCCGACTGCCGCGGGCTTACGCTGGACGAGCGAGCAAGCAATTCTGGCCTCATATGTGCATATGGACATGGATTGCCTGTTGAAGAAAAGCGGCTGGGGGGGCGGAAGAGAGGGATTTATACACGCGTAGGTTTGCAGCGTCACATCGATCCATTGGAGATGCAATGGGATGACGAATTAGGGGAAATCGCACGATGGCATTCCAAATAATCAGAATCAGCCTCACAATTTCACGCGAACAAATCGGAATACATCGGTCAAGGAATGGAGGAGAGAAACATTCAAGTAAGGCTGCGTAACGATGGCATTCTCCATAACTACCTAAAGAGGGTATGTATAACTAGCAGAAATGGTATTAAAGAAGACATAAAGATCAGTTAGTATATCGTAAGTTCGTTCGTTCCACGTCAGAGTGCAGCCAACAACGCCTTGCCCAGCGGCACAGGAGAATAAAAAAGACAGCAAACAGGAACAGAAAAAGAGAACATCATGCTCAGATGGACAAAAGTCCGCGGGTCTCTCCTCCTCGCCCTCCAAATGCAGAGAAAAATGCAGATGCGCCATGGAATGCAATGCTTGTCCGTTTCCATCATCATTTCATGCCCTCTTTTCCTCCCATATCTCTTTTGTTCCGTTCATGATGCGTTGTTGACTCGGTCAAAGAACTCTCCAATCTTGTGCTCAAAGGGAGCAAGGGGATGCTCCTCGCCCAGACCCATGTCACTCATCTTGTATCGGGGGTTTGTCGTGTGCATGGACATGTAGCCCCGGACGCTGTCTAGCCAGGACTGCTCGTACACACCCCTACCCTTGAGGATCTGTTCAACACGCTTTGCGGAATCTAGCGTCTCCTTGTTGACATCTTCTAGGACCTCGAGAATAGGCTTGCCAGTGGTCGCGGCGCGGTTATGGAGGTAGTTTCTGGTGTCACCACCCAGTTCCTCCTTGTAGAATCTGTACAGGGCAAGGATGCGGTTAGTCACCGGGATCCCGAAATACAATAACTGGTAGCATAATTACTCACGAGAGAACATCATTGGAAATGTTAATGAAGTTGGCCATGTCGGGGATCGCCTCGATGTAAGCTGAAGAATCGGGATACTGCTCCTTGGGGTAGCAAAACACGGCATACGCCACGTCCATCCCGGACATGTCCCTGTAAAAGTCCGGGAACTTGATACCGGCCCGCGTAATCTCCATCTTCTGGAAGCCGTCGGAGCGCTCAAGCAGGTTGCTGGTCAAGAACTTGAGCACGGAGATCTGCAGCATGTTGGCCATGACGGTGTCGAAGTGCTCATCCGCCTCGCGCAGCAGAATGGCAATGCCCTCGAGCAGGTTGTTCCCTTGGGGCTCTCCTCTGAAGAAGCGCGAGTGGAACTTCAGGGCGTTCTCGTACATCTCGTTGCTGGAGGCTTCCGCCAGGCCGACAATGTCGTCGTACTGGACGACGAGCCACGTGAACAAGCCGACATACCCCTGGACTTGCACGGGATGGTTGGGATGAGCGAGCTGCATGAATCGTGTTAGCTAGATTATACTACAGCTCTGATACATCTCTAGCACGCTAATCCAGCCACCGGGGAGCCAAGAATCAAGATACAAGACAACTTCAACGGTAGGGAGAAGCTCGAGGGGCCACTCAGGGAGAAGGAAGCTTTCTGGAAAAGGCAAAGGAAAAAGGGTCATGGAAACTCACCAATCCCTCAGCATAGCCAAGACGGAACCCCTTTGCAGAAATGGGGGTGTTGAGCGGCACGTCAAACTCAATGGCTCGCTTGTGCATATAGGCGAGCAAGCCCTCGACGGCCTCGGCCTTCAGCTTGGGCGCCCCGGGATACTTGAGCTGCTTGAGCATATCGGAGCAGATGGGTCCCACTTGGGCGGCCAGCTTCTCGGGGTCCTGGGGCAGGTCCTTCTTCTGCTTTGAGGACCGGACAATCTTCTTGGGGAGGAACCGCTTCAGCGAGTTGACGACCCGGCGGCACGCGGAGGCGGCGGCGGTGTGGCACGAGGCATCTTTGTTCTGGCTTTTGCGTGAGAAGACCATCTTGTTCGTATTATTCGGAACAAGCGCGGTTCGCTGACGAGGTGGGTGAGAACACTGAATTGTGGGAATTACAACAGAGATCTGATATGAGATGGGGCCCCCAAAAAAAAGCAAAGCCAAAGTTTCAAGGATAATAGCAGCAGAGAAGCAAAGAAGCAAAGAAGCACGACTCCTTCTTGAGCTTGATGGTGAGGATAGACTCAAGACTAGAGACGATTTGAAACGCACCAGACGGGGGGAAACCTTGGATCTTTATTCATAGCGTCCGCTCCTCGAAGCCGCTGGCTCCGTTGGCTCCGTTTGCTCGTACAAACGCTCTGGGGTATTACATGATACGTGAGCAGTTGCTCAACATGAGGTGAAAGAGTCAGTCAGCCAGGCGGGTTTCCGAATCGAGCCCCCATGGCCGGCGAGAATCGTCAAGGGGACATGCCCTCGTTCGCGTAGAATAGTGGATTGGGAAGGTATACTAGCTTATGTTGTTGGTTGCTAGCTTTTCTTGCCATGCGTTGTAGTATTCTCTCGTCGTATGTCATGTATTGGTAGTAGTAGTAGTATCATTTCTCCAGCAACCCGGGTGGTGTCATGACAAACTCGCCCGGACTTTCGTGCTCATCGTATCTGGGCCCCTCTACGTATCTCGTTTGGGGGTGTGATTGTCCCAGATGCTCGGCGGAACCCACGTTCCCAGTTCTACCAAAGAGTGCCGAGCCGTAAACGGGGCCTCTTCTCTGCCCACTTTGCCCACTTAGTTGCGTTGGTCTGCAGTGGATAAACGGGCACAGCGAAGACGAAAAGAGACTTGGTCTATCAAAAAGCTTGGATACCGCTCCCTTGGGCCGTATCAGGCCCGTCTAGGAGAGGAGTGACTTCATGATCCAGCGGCGATGTGCAGTCATGTGAATCCTTTCAGCTGCTCTCCAGACGCAAGATACGGCCAAAAGGGAGAAGCCCTTCACTGCGCTTCCTCCGGGAGATGCCGGCCGCCGAGCGTCTTGTCACCGAGAGAAATGGGGACGGCCAATGTCGTATCGCTGCAACCACGTTCCACGTCTGCTTATCATGATTTGAGGCTGTTGGTCAGACTGTTAATTTATTTGTGCTGTATACATATATTGTCTCCTCTCTCACTTCGGCCATGCTTTCCAATCGGGACACGAATTGTGGGGGATGAGCTCGGAAGACTAGGGCGCCATGAGGCAGATATCGTGCCTTTTCCTGGCCTCTCTGACTCTTCCCTACCGTCTTTCGGGCAAGTAACTGGCCGCTGATGCTACAGTATTACGGATAATAAACCAGCAGTATCTGCGAGCACTTGAAAGGGGGAGGGGTCCTCCAAGTGGTCCCCCCATGGGCTAGGCATACTCGTAGTCTTCATTCAACCCATGCCCGTGAACGCTTTTTGCTCTGGCACCTTTATGTCCGCCTTGCTCATGGGTTTACTCGTACACCCCAGGCAAGGATTCGCAAGCTACGAGTATGCCGGCGTAGTTGTAGCTCACATTGCTAGTAGTATATCCCCGTTGATACGCACCCGGTGCCTGCCATCATGACGGACTGGAAAACGCGGCAGTGAGTTGTCAGTACGAACGATGCTCGTCTGTATTGCTAGTCCTCTTCTTACCTTCAGAAGGAAGGATCTTCAGCCCCAGGACACTAGTATCCGCTGGTTCAACTGCTCTCTCCATAATTCTCGTTGTGGGACGAACAGGTCCCTCTTCACGATCTTAGCTCTCACCTCTGTCCGCAGTAGTACATGCTGACGGCTTTTTGCCCATTAATCTGGCATGAGTTTGGTCCTGGAACTGCTCCGTAGCAATGCATTGAATCGGATCTGTAAAAAAGCAAGGAGTGTCTTGTATGAGCATACGTCATCTAAGAGAGAAGAGGCTCAATCTCGAAATATCATGCCCTCATGGGAAGGCTCATATCGACTACAAGTATGGCTGGCATGTCTTGGGTATGGCTGGCACGTCCAAGACGTGCCCGATCCGACGGCGCGCCTTATCTCGCCCTGCGTAGCACGTGTTCCCTTTACCGTTCAAACCTCCTTGGAGCCTTTCCTCATGTCAGTTAGCCTTCAAGCACGAATTGCCACTACCGAGACCATTTTTCCTGTTTTCTGGCTTCAACGGGCTTGAGAGACAGGGCCTCGGACCTGCTGCTGGCAGTACTAAAGTAGTACATACATGACAAGTCTCTCCTCCTTCCCCCATCCCACTGATTCGTTCGTGCCTTGGAAAGTCGGCTCAACCAGGCAAAAGTGCTTCTCCCCTCTCCGACGTCCGAACTAGCTTCACCCAAAGTACGCCGGCTTGACCTGTCAATTGACGCTGGTGGAGGTGTTACACCAAGGCCAACCGCGCCAAGCTCGCCTGGCAATTGGGGCTGTCCGGGGTTCCGCAGACAGGGGGGGTCTCTTGGACCTTGCTCTTGGGTGGCCTGTAGAGGGAAATGACACGCTCGTGACATCTCCGGCAACGGCCCAGGGGTTTGGAATTTGCCGCTGCAAGACCGGGTCATACCACGGGAGAGGCGGCGGGCGGCGGCACTGGGGCACTTGGTCCTCTGGCTCGCATGCAGAAGATGTGTGTGTATGTATTCGTGTGTACCTACAGGTACGGTGAAGATACTCTGTGATACTCGTTCAAGACCTCGTCTGTTCGGCTGTCAACGCCAATGGGAGCGAGGACAAACCCTCCCCTGTCAGCGTCTCCTCTCCCCGCTTTGGGGGGCGTGCCGACATGCGCCAGATAGGAGCTGGCCAGGGTGCTGTGTGTGCCCTTTTCCGTCTTGTTGGTTCTCTTGTTTCCATTTCTTCGCTTCCGTCTTCCATGCATGTCGCCAGGGGTGCATGAGAGGGGAGAGAGAGAGAGAGAGGCATGCCATTGACAGCGCGTCTTGCAGGTACGAAATGCGGCAGCTCTGCACATACAAGTACGGGGTCTAGGGCTGGCCGACTCGCGAGCACTCGGACGTCCCCATGGTCGGCGGACGGCGTACAACAGAGAGCCTGTATGTACTTTGCAGCACGAAGAGACAATTACAAAGCCTTTACATACCATGCCACGACAGGGAGTTGCGAGGGTAGCCGCGCAAAAGCCGCGCCGCAAATTGATGAGAGGCTAGTACAATCCGCCGAAGTGGAGGGCCTCAAAAGTGAGGGCTTCGCGCTGCTAGCCAAGTGATGGATAAACCAGGGTCTGGCGAGCGAAACTGACGAGTCTTTTCGGCGAGAGAGAGAGTGAGGCAGAGACTGAGACACTGAGAGGATCACACACACGCAAGCTGGGCGCAGAAAAAGCAAAGAAAGAATGGGAGGAATCCTTCTCATCTCTCACGAGTGAGAAGGAGACGCACTAGTTATCACTAGACGCAACAACCAGCAAGTTTTCAGACGTCGTTGCATGTGCGAGATGCAAGGGCTTCGCTTCTGAGCCGCTATTGACTGCAAGACTGATACAGCCAGTATGCGTATTTGCTTTTTCTTGCGAGCATACAATACTGACCACGGCCAGCACTTCAGCTGGCAAGGATACGCGAATATCCCAAGCATTTGGCAAGCCCGGAGGACAGCTCCGTACGCAATTGACCACTCAGACGGCCCCGTCCATGTCGTCCTAGCAGTGAGCCGTGGGCCAACTTGGCAAAGAGCCTGGCCTGGGATTGCGGCACCGCTCACATGTCATGTTTTCTGTTACGTACGTAATGTGTGCTCCGTAACAACGTAGTATTGCCCCTTGCATATAAACCGACTTTCAGGCACGCGCTGCCACTGCTCGACAAGACGTCTGCCAGTCTCATCTCAACAGGGGCAAAGTCTTACAGTAGGTCGTTAGTATGGTTACTGCAACTGCGTGCTTCAACTCTTGTAATACTAGGAATCATAGGTTCAATCTGTGTGTCTGCGTGCCTGTGTGCCCGGTTATACCAACTTTCAGTAGAATGCAGTACAGGTAGGGCCACAAGGTCCCCTCCCCCCCCCCTTTCACACAACCGGGTAGTGGGCAATGGGCTCACGTTTGAGGCGGCCGCGCACTAGAGAGAAGGTAGATTTGGATGAGCGGTCCGTCCCTTGGCTGTTATTTTAAACGGGTTCCTCGAGGTAAGATTGTCGACACGTGTGGACAGAGTCCCGGCCGGGCATCTCCATGCTCTGGCGCTGGGCCTGGCCCTGCACCGTGGTCCCCTCCTCCTCATCCTCCCCATCTCGCTCGGCACCCCCCCTGGTCGGAAGACGGCTCGAGAAAAGGGCGGCATTTGAAAAAGTGACAGCCGACGGCGCGATGCCCTGCCCTGCCCTGTTACCTCTCACTTTTTACAGACACTCTTGGTATAAACGCCGGGCGTCCTGCTGTTTGCGTTGGGTGCGAGCTGATGCGTCCTGCAGTTCCTGATCCCGTACCTTCTGCCCACCCCTGCCGCTTCCCACCCGAAGAGGCGAGAGACGAGCAGAGAAAGTCGAACGAGCGAGCGAGAAGAGTCACCGAGAGAGACTGAAAGCGGGTGACAAAGATTCCCAGACTTGCCGTGTTTCTCTCGAGACAGTGGTTCCATCGCGGCCTTTCTCTTCGTCACGGCCCCGGAGTTCAGTTTCGGTCATACGACTCTGCATATTGCCCTCTTTTTTGCTTCCCTGATTTGTCTTATTGAGTTCCCTCCACACACACTCGGCCCCCCTTTCTCACCCCCCTCCTCTTCAATATGAGCATCCCATATAGGCGCCTCGACTCGTCGAAGCGCGAAGTCCGCCTGCTGGAGATCAACTCGGCTCGCAACATCAACGACCCGGTCGAGTGCAGGCTGGTGACAGTCCGACTGACCGACGAGCCCGAGTTCATCGCGCTGTCGTCGCTGTACGGCGATGCCAACGAGACGGAGCGCATCTACATCTCGGGCCAGCCCGTCAGCATCACCACCCACCTGGCGGCGGCCATCAAGAACATCCGCGCCGTCTTCTACCCGACCGTCTCGCGGCGGTTCCAGCGCACGCCGGCCCGGCGCCCGCACGGCGCGCCGCGATGGCTGCGCCAGCTCTTTGGCGTCAGCGGCACGCAGCGCGGCGAGCTCGAGGCGCGCGCCCTGCGCGTCTGGGTCGACCTCGTGTGCATCAACCAGGTCGACGAGGTGGAGCGCCAGCGCCAGACGCTCGACATGCGCCTCATCTACAAGTCGGCCGAGCTGGTCATCGGCTGGCTGGGCGACAAGGCCGAGCACACCGACGTGGCCATGATGACGCTGGCCGAGATTGAGGACGCCATGCCCGCCCGC